TGGGAATCGAGTTGGTCAAGGCGAGGGCGAGAACGATGTGGATGTAGGGAGAGGAGGGGGAGTAGATAGAGGCGAGAGGGTTTTTTGAGACTTGGCGAGTATGGCCGTCCTGTCTTTTTCCCTCATATCGACATCGTCTTACGTACAGCCTAAGTACATAGAACTGATGAGCCTTACAAGATCTATGTAACTCTCTTCACCCCCGCTAACCCAGTTCCTTCCCGAGTCTTACGACCTCTTCCGACATAGGCCTGACCAGCCCTTGCAGATTCCGCGGCTGCACCTATGCAAAGCTTGGGCGACCGCAACGAACGGCGCGATCCTCGTGAGGTGGATCAAGGCCAACTGCGCATTTGCCGCCACCGGCCCTTATTCCTCTCTCTATAAGGACATGGATCACTTTATTGTGCGCGTAAGTCGAGACGTCTTACTTCGCTATTGGTACTGACTGCAATTTCGCGTAGTTCCAATGTTATCAGCGTGCGTAGGCAGCCCGACGTGCAAAATCAATAAATAACGCATACTGATTCGACTTGTTACAGAGGAGCTAGGCCTCGCAATGGAGATGCTCGTCGATTGGGAAGCCGCGCATCATGTACCCAACACTTGGAGTCCCATTGGGGATACGAGGACAAGCACTCTCAAAAATACATGGCGTCTCAAACCAAGCAGCGCCACATCATCCAGCCGATATCCGCAATGTCCCTCTCCCCTCTTCATCTACACCGCCAAAGACCTCTTCGAGTTTATCTCTGATCTGCGCAGACAACCCTTGATGGAGATGCTGGGGGATGTAGTGCCGGACTGTGAGTATTATGTGTTTCCGCCCAATTTTCCGATACAGGATTCCGAAACGCGACTGCTGAACATGGAAGATGAAGTAAGTCTAGCGTGGATTTGCCCTAGGGTCGGTCTCGAGACGACAACACCGCTGACCATTTTCCGCGCAGGAATTACAGGGAGTAGCGGATGCCACACGAGACGTGCCGAGGGCACCGTCAGATTCTTCCAGGTCGGGACCCGTGTCTGCGCTGCGAGCAATGTTCAACAAGGCAAGTGACTGTCTTGACAAAGTATTGGATTTTCGTCCATGCTAATATCAGCTATTCATGTAGGACCGACATATTACAATATAGCTCGCTACGCTAAAGGGGTCTCAACGACATGTGAGGGGTACGGAAACGGGAAAAGTAGTAATCCAGTCTGATTTCTTCGCACCAGCGACAATCTTTTCTCATTATCATCTCATACCATATTTATATGATGCGTTGAAGAGTCGAATGATGCGTTTCTTGCTTAGCGTCCACTCGTATGGACTTGCTGTATCTGGCAGCCAGTCGTTAACGTGTCCATGAGCTTGCTTCCTACTGAGTCGGTGATGCTCTGGACTCTGTCGCGTCGGAGACTATGCATATTGTGGATGCCAAATGAGAGAAACATATCATTCATCATATATTACTATTTGTAGGGTTTATTGTTCTACTCTTTCCATGCGATAATACCGAAAAGGTCTCCCTCCCTCCCAGCTCCTATCCAGCTCCTTTGCACTCCCTTCACCCCCAAGCTCCGCCCCGGCACTCACCAACTCTCGATCAGCTTCAAAACGACGTACGAGACGACAGGCAGATCCTAAGTGGAGTCGTTAGTACTCCATGAAACAATCTCCCCGCCCGACGACATACTCTGAAGAGGCAGAACACCAGGACTAGATTGACTCTTGCCAGTGCCTCGCAGTGCACAAGCCAAGCCCAGAGAGCGGAGGTGGGTAGGACAGTGTAAGCCTCCTCTTGGTAGGCGAGTAGGGCTTCCATCCTGTCCAGCTTGGCCTGGACCTCAGGCGGCACTTGGGTGGGGGCGGGGGCGGGGGCGGGGGCGGGAAGTCCGACGTCGATGGTGAGAGCGGGAGGGGTAATGGCCGAGGGGGCGAGGGGCTGGGCTGGGTGGGAGGTGGCAGGGGAAGTGGCGAACACCCGTGTACCGTATGGCATGGTGCACCACCAACACCGCCTGAGCACATGAGGGAGAAGTATCAGGCCAATGGGCCGATACCTGGGAAAAGTGTCAGCCACCTTGAGGGACAAGTCACCCCCACAGCGCAAAGTGCCTCTCACCATGGACTCACTCCTTGTGCTCGCTCAGCCCAAGCCACCCGACGAACAAAAATACCAACAACAGTACATCCCGCAACCCTGTTCCTCGAATCAGCTATGATCCTCTCAAGATAGAAGCTGGCAAAACAGTGGTAAAACGTACCGGCAAAGACTTCCCTGCCTTGGGAGAACTTGTCCGCCGGGAACAGAGGAAGGGCCCAGCCAACCAAGGTGCGGACGCCAAGCCGCCAACGGATCTCTTCCCCACCGTCGCTGGGGGGGGGGCGTTGGATTCGGGGTCGGGGTTGCGATCGGGGTTGGGGCTGTCGTGGCTGACGGCGGGGCAAGGGATCTGTTGTCTTGCGTCAGCCGTGCATCCTGCGCGAGTAAAGCCAGACGGAGCACATTATAAGAGTACAGGACGTGGTCACAATGAAGGGATAAGCTGACACGTACCGTGCGGCGGGGGCGGTTGATTGCCTCTTTCCGTGGCCGGGGAGGAGGGGCCGAGGACTTGCCCCAACTATCCCATCCGCTGGGTATCATGACAGCATCTCTGTCAAGCACATTAGCTCGGTGGTTGAAGGAGAATTTGGTAGAGCCGACGATGGCGGGTGTCGATACAGTGTTTGGGGAGGTTGGTGGCGGATTCAGCGAAGGCGGGACCGTATACAGTCTGCGGAGGAGGTAGCTCTTCAGGAGAGAAGGGGCCGTGTGAAACAGAGCGGCACCATCCAAGTCCATGATCAATATGATAGTCAATGAAGATGGGATGAACATACAGGCCAAACAGACAGTTCTCAGTGCCTGCTGTGCTCGATCTGTCTTTTCTTCCCAGTGTCCATCTTTCACTCCCCCATCCTCGGCAGCATTATCCATGAGATCGGTCTTCGCGCAAACCCCAACGATAGGAATTCCCGGGCTGTGATGTTGTCAGTGTGCTTCGAACGCGTGACGTTGGGAGAGGACGAACGCGCTGAAGTACCCGAGCCAAGTGGTAACAGAGGGCCGACACCAGTATATGTGGTCGTACCAACAATGGCTGGTGAAGGCTCAGTATAGTGCTGCAAGGCAAGTGTGATTGCACTACTCGTTGGCGGAGTAGCTAGAGGTGAGAAGGTTTTTTTATCGACTTGTTGATATGGTGCAACAGTCTTGTTTCTTCATTTCGACATTGTCTTACATATAGCCAATGGGTCACACAATCTCTATGTATCTCTCTTCACCCCCGACAAACAGAAGCTTCCGACCACCCTCTCGGCATCAGGCTCGAGTATCAACGTCACAACATGACCAACAAGCATATGCATCATCAACAAGCCCATGTATATCCATAGATGCATGCCGGTCATAACACAAAAACGACGAAAGAAAGCCCGGAAGGAACCAACAAAAAGATCAGACACAAAAGCAAAGTTTCTACACATTCTCTATCTACCGCTGCATCAGCTAAAGTAAAGTATCTCGCAGACAAGGCAGTGTACTCACAGGTATATTCATCCAGTCATTTGATCTAGTGATAGCTAAAAGATACAACTTTGCCATGAGATGGGGCGGAGGCGGGATAGAGGCAGGCAGGGTTTCAAACGGGGGAAGGAGATATGAGAGCACGAGGGGTAAAAAGAAGGGCGGAGTGTGGTAAAGCGAGGGTAGTGAATTACAGGAGGTAGTTGGTGATCGAGAGCCAGCCCCAAACGAGTGCGCCAGAGAGGATGGGGAGGGTAAGGTTATCATCAACCCCAACATCTAAAAAATCCATCAGCCCCCACTCTACCAACACCCGACACAAAGGACCCACCAAGCGCCTCAACAACAGCTCCCCCAACGCCCACAACAAGCCCAGTCACCCACAACCCCCAATACCCATGCCCAAAGTCTTCCACATCCAACACCGTCCACTTCCCCCCGCTCCCATTCCACCAAAAGACAGTGCCGATCAAGAAGCCCGTGACGGAAGCAGCGAGGAAGCCGGCAAGAGATTTGCGGGGAGCGAAGGGGAGGAGACGGATACCGGGGAAATGGGCTGGGAGGGGAGGGGTGTAGCGACCCCAGAGACGGCCTATGGTGGAGGCGGTGGTGTCGGACCATGAGAGACTGCAGACGGGTCAGTAGTCGCTCCGGCAAGTACAAGGGGGACTCACGTCAAGATCGCGACCACGGCGACATCTCGAGGGTACAGCACCAACACCCATATGACACCGATCAAGTACCACACGACCCCGTTGACCTTATCTCTCTCGCTCTCGCGCATCAAGAAGCCAGCGACCATCTCCCATACTTCTGCAAAGGCGGGGTATCGAAGACGCAAAAAGTCGGTGATGGAGACGCCGACGAGGAGTGCTGTAAGGACTTTGACGAGGGGGCCGACAGAGGGGGGGTCAAGATACCACAGGAAAAGAGTGACGAAGCCTGCAAAAAGGTCAGCATTGCCGAATGAAAAGACAAGGGGGGGAGACGTACCTATAGAAGAATGGAACGTCTTTCGCGGTATCTCCCAATCCACAACCTTCGTAGGCGTCACCCCAGGGCTAGGTTTCCGCTTCACACTACTACTCCTTCGCCTCCGGGTGACTATAGGCTTGTCGCCGGTGCCCGTTTGCGTCGACAGGGCGGGGGGAGGGAAGGACTCTTCTGAGATGGGCGAAGCGGGCGCGTCGGCATCGGGGATGGTGGACAGATGGGATAAGGAATCTATTGATGGGGGTTTCGAGGGTCTGGCGGCTCTGTTTGGGTTCTTTCGCTGCCTGCCGTTGGCGACAGATGCCATGGTGAGGTTAGATGTGTTCGCGTCCGAGTATGCGTATGGAGAGATGAAGCGGGAAAAAGAGGCCGTGCACAACAACTGCTTGAGGTCGTATTTGATTCCGCGACACGTGGCAATCTCGTGCCCGACACGTGGGGGCTCGGCGAGGGGCTCGATGGGACTCGGCGTACATGGTGCTAGAAGATCGCAAGGTTACGACTAGATATCAAGCTGAAAGAAGTAGGACGAAGCATTGTATTAGGTTCTCAGTCAAGCAATTGTAGACGTTGAAGGAGATGGGCTAGATGCCAAAGAGCCATCGCCATTACATGCAAGTGTTTGCCAGCATACTACATACGGAACAGAGCAACATATCTACCGAAACCACCTTACTGCGCCTCTCCCTCAGCGGCCAAAGCAATACCAACAGCGCCCGCGACTTGCACATCGCCACCCTCCTTGACTTCCTCGACGGCAGCGGCATCCGTGGCGGTAGCGTTGTCGGTGGAGGTAGAAGCGGCAGGGGCGGGATAGACGGGAGGGGGCTTGCAAATGTCTTGGCCGAACGTACGAAGAGACAAGATACTGCAAGAGAGTCAGCTTTCATCACTCGATCTCGAACGGTCCACTCACGACTTCTCTCGCTTGTCGATCATCAAACTCATACTGATCTTCGCCTTCCAAATCGGCAGATACAACGGCAACCTCAACTCTCCCCCAGGCAACTTTCTCTCCTCGTCCGCCTCCACCGTCCCAGGCTCAAACACCACCACCCCAGCACCAGACTCTCTACCCTCAATCTCAGCCTTCCATTCGGGACGGAAACGGTCGATGGCGGGATAGTGATCGACAAGAAGGTTGCGGAGCTCGTCGAGAGTGGCGCGTACAAGAATACCATCGCCGAGGTGGGGGAGGAGCTCAAGAACGCCGTCGACGGGGGGTCGCCATTTGCAAGAGATGTCGGTGTTCTTGGACTCTTTCGAATCTTGGCGAGTGAAGGACTTGACACCGGCAGAGATGATTCGGAGACGAGTGTAGTCGTTGTTCAACAAGATTTGCTACACAGACGTCAGTATATGCGTCGCAAATGGGAAGAAGGGCTGACCTTGACAATCTCGTTGGTGAGGTACATCGTTCTGTGAGGAGTACCGTACTCGTTTCGGACGAGCAAGTGGTTCTTGGGGAACGTGTCCTTGAACTGGAACCTGGCACTAAGATACCCCATCAGCGCCACACCTCTCGAACAAGTTGCCGAGATGACTCACAGGATGGCCTTCACCTCGTCGTGCTCCGGGTCGACATAAGAATACGGGTCCTCCTTGAACGTCACATCCCTCTTCTCCTTCTTCGCCGGCGCTTCCTTCTTCTTCTCTTCGACAGCGGCAGCGGTGGCGGGGGCAGGGGCGTCGGCGACAGGGGCATCTTCACGAGGGCGCTTCGTGTCGGCTTGCTGGAGGGAAGGGCTCGCCTCACGCTTCAGAGAGGTAGAAGCGGCGGCAGATCCAGAGGAGGCACCGGCGGCGCGTTCAATGACGGCGACGAAGAAACCGCCAGTGTTCTGGTCGTGGGGGAGGAGTCGCATACTAACCATCCTTTAGCTTGTAATCTTCCAGAGAGGGAAGCGACGTACCTTCGCTCAAGATGAATATCTTCCACATTCGCAGGCGGCCACAAACTCCTCGGCAACGTCTTCCCCTTCTCCCCCCTCTCCTTCTCCTTCCCACTCTCCAACGCCTCCTGATACCCCTCAAATGTCTCATACCACACCAACTCCCCATCCTTCCCCCCAGGCTGGGTCGCAACCTTCCACTTATTCATCCCCGGGCGGCGCTTGAGCTCGGGGAGCTGGGAGGAGACGTCGACGAGGGAGAAGGAGGGGTTGTTGTTGAGGGCGGCGCAGAGGACGGATTCGTCTTCGGCGGGGTTGAGGGAGCAGGTGGAGTAGACGAGGCGGCCGCCGGGTTTCAGGAGGGCCATAGCACGCTCGAGGATACGGAGTTGGAGACTGGGAAATGTCAGCGATACGTTTTCGGAAGAGGAGAATGAAGGCTTACGGGTGGAGAGAGTTGCCGTCGGCGACACCCCACTTGCCCCAGATTTCGATGTTCTTTCGCATAGTACCGTCACCACTGCATCTGTGAAAGAGTCAGTAAAAGCAGATATGAGGATAAAAAGACATACGGGACGTCGGCGAGGATACGGTCGAACAAGAGCTTCTGGTTGTCGCCGAGCTTGATCTGGGGGAAGATGGCTGCTCCTCGTCAGACGGTATACTCGGGGAGAAGAAGACACTCACAGGCATCAAAGTTGGTCACCATCAGACCCTTGCTAGGCATTCTGCCAGTCTGGTGGACAAGCATGTGCGTACGCTTGTAGTCAGAGTCGTTGGCGATGAGAAGACCGGTAGAGGTGGTGTGGTGAGGGTTGAGCGCTTCGATGATTTGAGCAGTCTTGGAGCCGGGGGCGGCACACATGTCGAGACACTGCATCATGTCAGCTTATCCAAAGAAAGAGAGGGAAAGGCGCACGTGGTGATGAGACTCGACGTCCAAGAAGAGAGGAGGGATCATCGACACCGCCTCCTGCCTGCTCAGATTCCCAACCTCCGTCTCTCCCACCAAAAACCTCTGGAAGTTCTTGAAAGGCTCCGTTTTTCGGACAACACGCTTGGGGGCGGAGACTGTCCATCCGAGGCCGGCGGGGTACCAGGAGATCTGGGCGGGGGGGTCGTAGACGGTCCCCTCGAATTCGACGTTGTGCATTTTGGGGACGTAGACGGTCTTGATGATGTCGTTGATGGTCTCGGCGTGGCTAGACACTAGTCAGTAGGTATAAAGATAACCATAATGCCACTCACGCTCGAGAGCCAGTCACACGGAAAGTCAAAGGCAACTCCTGCTTCACAGTCTCCATGAATTGCGGCCACTCCTCGGGCGTCATGATGTTCATCTCCTAACTCTTCATCAGCACTCGTCGTCGATCGGAATGGATGCGCTTACCTGGTAGTAGGTCTCAAAGGCCTTGTTCGACTTCTCAGCGCTGGTCAAATTGACCCAATCGCCGCGGCCGCTGTTGCTGGGGTCGTCCCTATGGCCGGCCTTGCTGCCTCCTCGTCCGCCGCGCTACAGCAAGAGTCAGTCGTGCCCCTTGCAGGATACCTATATACGCACTCCGTTTTTCTTGCCGCCCCTTGGTCGTCCCATATTGATAGTGGGAGTGTGTGAAGTATAGCGTGGATTTGTTTACAACAGCGCAAAAACAAACCAGAGGATATGTGCGCAAAAATAATTGATTCCGTCGGGGGCCCCGCAACCACCGACACTGTATGGGCAGTTGTACATGGCCTTCTGCTTTGGGATGAAGACGGTGGTACTACTCTGAGGCAGCGTTATGGGCTATTTTCCCGTCGGCGACAGCCTCTGCGAGATACAGCAGCTATCGGTTGGGTACAGAACGAGATGCTGGCAACCGTGGACAGCCTTGAATTGCTCACTGAACAAAGCCAAATGAGGACAAGATAATACATACAGATAGTGTTACTCAAGACAACAGATATATTAGCCCAACATGACCGCAGATCCAATCTCTATCAAGATCTCTCGCCACATACAAGCCTCGTCGTCCATCCCCTCGTCCATTCTCCTCCAACACTAGACAACAGATATATTAACCCAACATGACCGCAGATCCAATCTCTATCAAGATCTCTCGCCACATACAAGCCTCGTCGTCCATCCCTTCGTCCATTCTCCTCCAACACTCTTCTGACACTTTCTCCAGCACGTCGAGCTCGTATGAGCACTGGTACATGAATGATTTGATGATCTCCCGGGCGCGTTGGCGCTGGGGAGGGGCGTAGAGGACTGTGCAGGCGATGAGAAGGGGCTAACGAGAGAGTCAGTAATAATCATGATCGGAGGAGGGGGGAGTCGGACGTACCCAGTTCATATACTCCACTTTCGGTCCCACATCCGCGCAGATATCCAGCGCCTCCACAGCATACTTCTGTACCACCTCCTCCTCCCGTCTCCTCCCCAGCAGCTCCCGATGCACCAAGATCTGCACCCCCACCCAAAGCGCCAAACTCCCGTCCCTCGTCCTCTTATCCGTGATAGTCGGCAGAACGTCTCTCCTCCATGCTTCGAGGTCGGTGCAGAACTTGATTATACGTTGTGGAAGCTCTGGCCGGTGGGTGGGGGTGGACGAAGGAGAGGGAGGGGAGATGTATCGGGAGCGGTGGCAGGCTTCGAAGAGGATGTTGTTGGCGCGAACGGTAAGTTTGACGATACTGCGATGGTACCCGGTAGTACTCTCGATCGACTGTAGACCGTATCAGCATCATACGGAATGACAAAATAGTAGCTTACATCGAGCACGGATGAATCTTGACTTTGCAGCTTCTCCCACCAATCCGACGACTCTGTAATCACAACACAAGGATCGCCCGTTGTCATCGACGCTAAACGAGCCACTCAGTACGCCTACCATGTACGACCAGGCGACCACAGAGACTCACCTAGCAGATCCACATGCACCAAGTACTCGATCAAACAGACTCGAAGAGGGAGCGGAGGCTCTGGTCCGCGGTCGCCGAATAGAATCGCATCGCATCCACCTCGAAACCGAACAGAAGCATGGGCAAGTCGTAAGGCCTCGCGCCATCTCGGCTGGGCACCTAGCAGCTATCACAAGATATCAGATGATGATAAGAGAGAGCTGAAGGAGTGGAAGGGAGGAGAAGGACGTACATCGGCACCCGAGACCATCATACTCGCCGCCAGAAACGTATCCGATCTCAGCTCCACCGGGACATGCTGCGCCATCCTCAAGAGTCTGATAGCTTCGTTTCTATAGCTGAGTCCCAGGCGAGAGGTATGTCCATTGGTGTCGGGCGCGCTTCCCTTGTCTTCTAATCTAGACAAGTAAATCAGTATTCCATCAAGCGAGAGAAAGGCAAGTACTTACGAAGCGAGATGTACTGCGCCGACGGCAAGCAGTGCTAGTCTCAAAGCACCAGTACACAAAGGCGTATCTCCGGAGGCGAAGAGAAGGAGAGGGATGACGTGGTCGAGCCATGGGTTCGGATCTTCGTGTACGACAAAAGTGGAGAGTGTGTACGTGAAACAGTGATGGAACTGTCCGACGTATAAGTTTGGGCATACGAGCATGGACGAGCACTTACACATCTGAGATCATCGGCCACTGGAAACGCCTCCTTCAAAAACTCTGGCGGATCCACAGGCCCACTAAAGAACTGCCCCATCCTCGTATCCCGACACAGCGCCATCAACAGATCAAACGGATCCATCGCCCTAATCTTGTGCAGCGGCGCAACATTCGTAGGCTTTCCATGATGAGACTGATGTGCCATGTGCGATGGATGGAAATGATGGGATGCGGAGGACGGTACGCTGCGAGGGGTGGGGGATGGTTCTGGCTGAAGCTGAAGCTGGATCTCGGATCGGGGTCTACTTTGGGCGGATGCGGAAGATTCGGCGACTGGGCTGGAATGATGTCGTTTGTGCAGCTTTTCAGCGACCTTTTGGGAGTTGAATGTCTTTCTCTCCGGGTACACACACTCCCGGGGAATCAGTCTGTGCGCAGAAGAACTCGGAAGGGAGACATACCTCGGCGCCGTACTTGATACACCTCTCGCATTCGGGTTTGCCTACACCTTGTCAGATACCATTCCCAAGCTCTCTAGAGCACCCACCTGTATCACACTTGACCCTTCGACTCCTACAAACAAGACACCCATTCTTCGACCTACGCCCCCAATCAGTACAACCTCCAAAGTCGACGCAAGGGGAAAGACCTTACCTAGTCACTTTCGTCTTGTTCGTCCCAGGAGCTAGCATCTCCGAACTCGTCTCATGCTGGGGATCTGCGTTACCCATAGATCCAGTAGGGCGGCGATGTATCGAACGATACCTGCGGCGAAGGGAAAGAAGCAAGAGAGAGAAAGCAAGAGAGATCTCTGCTCGAGATAGATCGGAACGGGATCAAAATGCCGCCGACTCTGGTCGTTGTTTGGTCAATGTTTGGTTCGGGTCCTGGCGATCAAAGTAAAGGGATACATCACAAAGCATAACGCCTTTGCCGGGTGGGGATGACATGGCGCGTTGAGTGATCTCTAATGAGTCTGATTGAATGGTCGGGAAGACTGTTTGACGTCTTCTCGGAATGGTGAGTGCGTTAAACGTCGGAGGGGTGATTGGGAGGAAGGGATGACCAGAAGAAGAAGAAGAAGAAGAAGAAGAGGAGGAAGAGGAAGAGGAAGGAGAAGAAAAGACGTACCCAATACATATACTCAATCTTTGGCCCACCCCCACATAAATATCCATAGTCTCCAACGCATGCCTCTGCACCCCCTCATTATCCCTCCCCCTCCCCAACAGTCCCCTCTCCACCATGATCCCCACCGCATGCCACATCGCCAAACTCCCATCATGCGTCCGCTTATCCCCTATCCCCGGCAGTACATTCACGCGCCACGCGTCGAGGTCGGAGCAGAGCTGGAATATGCGGTGACGCAGGTCAGGCCGGGAGGTGGGGAGGAAGGGGGCGGCGAGGGAGATGTGACCATCGCACTTGACGCGCCGACTCCTGCATACGAGACACCCGTTCCTAGAGCTACATCCCGTCAGTGTTTTACATTACTACTCCAGCTCCCACGCACCGAGTGGTCTTTGTCCTGTCTTTGCATCATCACTCATCATGGCACCTAGCCTTACGGGCGCCGATCTCACTCCCCATGCACCTTGTTCGATAGCCGGCCGGTGCGAGCGGTACACCCCACCACCCCTTTGCAGCCGTGGATGTGGACCAACAGCGTACCAAGCGAAGTGAGTCTTCAGTCATACTATGCCATCCAACGCTAACGATTAACAAGGCTTATCATGCCCCCTCCCCACCACCTCAAGACATCCACCTCTCGCCCCATCACCAAACCTACCAAGACCACCAAGCCCACCCCCTCAATACCCCCAAGGTTCACCAGACCAGAGCCCGAGAAGCAGATTACGGTGGAACAAAACCTCGCAGCGATCGAGCTCGTTTTGGGGAGGATGGAATATGGGTCTATGGATGGAGGTGGGCTACTTGCGCCGCCGGCTATCCTCTCCCATGAGGGGTATGCTTCCCGTCGTCCTAGTCCTATTTTCATCCCCACTCCTCTCTCCCCATACGCACCCTCCTTCTCCTTTCCCATCCCCTTCCCCTCCTCCTCCTCCGCTCTTTCTCAAATCGACACAACCATATACGAACTCGCCAACCCCTCTCTCGAAGTTTTTCTAGCGCTCAAGAAGAAAGAGAACTGGGCCCGCGGGAAAACGGAGGTAGTTTCGACCCTTGGAAACATCACTTCAAGCACGGGCAGGGGGAGGGGAGGAGGAAAGATGGGAGGGTGGAGGATTCGAGGGGCGTTGGGTCGGGGTGGGGGTTTGGGGGAGGGGGGTGGAGGGAGATGGCTGTTGTCAAGGGGATGGAGCTGGGTGATGGGGATGGGGATGGGGATGGGGATGGGGATGGGGATGGGGATGGGGATGAGGATGGGGATGGGGATGGGGATGGGGATGGTGAAGATATGAGTTAGAAAATGGCGATGCTGAGAATGGTACGAGTAGCTTGTATAAGCTTAGGAACGTGATGCATCACAATCGTTGTATTGCCAAGCATGTCTTCTTCTACAGCATTGACCAAGAGGCGAAGTTGAATGATCAGTTCATCGGCCCGGATTCGGCTTGTGCCCAGGCCCCAGCTTGTGCCTCAGTCGGCCACCTCCACCTCCACATTCCACGTCGTCATGCCTCGCAGGCGCAGCCGCCTTTTGGCCGCCTTAAGGCTTGGTGGCGGCGAGAGAGCTCTTTGTTCGATTTCCTCTTAGAACAACTCAGTAAGTAACGCATCCCAACATCTGCCAGTCCCACTAACGAAGATGGGTACAGTGTTTAGTCTGTTCAAGAGGTCTGCTTCAGCCGCTATGGGTGCCCCAAAATACGTATATAAGATCGTACCTCACTCTTCTGTGGACCCTCGGTGCGTTCTCCTCTCCATGTCTTCTTCAAGGAGATCCAGCTGATTCGGAAATAGGTTCACATTTCCCGTCCCAATCCCCACTTCCCACCAATTCATCCTCCCCCTCGACCTGCAAGACCGATTCATCCACCTCTCTTCCGCTGCTCAAATCCCAAAGACTCTCGGGCTATTCTTCAAGGAGGCAGAGTCGGTGGTGCTGCTGAGGGTGGAGACGGAGAGGATCGGGGCGTGGAAGAAGCTTGAGTGGGTCATGGAGGATCAGGAGAAGAGGACAGGAGGTAAGTCTGTTTCACGGACATTTGCTATGTCTCGAGGATACACCATCAGTGCTATGGCGGCTGACGAATGGCTACAGACATGCCTTACCTCTGTGCGCATGCTTGGCCGGTACCTCTGGAAGGGGAATACGTGGAGAGCTTCAAGGAGGTGCATCGGAAGGGCGGGGATTGGGATGCTGCGCTGGCACAAGGAGAGTTGAAGAGTTGGCTGGTGTAGATACATCACCGTCTCCCATGCATGGCCTGCTTCCAGCTGCTCCTCCCCACTCCCCTAACCCCCTCCATAGCCGCCTGCATCTCATCTCGACAGTATGTAACTCGACTGCATCTGATGTTCGGTGATTGGCCAGGCACGGCCCTGATCCCCTGTTCCCTTTTCTGGCCCGCGTGTTTTGCTCCCGCTTCTTCCTTTGGGTGAGATAAGCCGCACGTGGCGCACGTGGCACCCCGCTTATCTTTTTATTCTGCGCAACTCAAAATTTCGCTCTCCACCGAGGCCGTATCTAGCGATTACTTCCGCTTTCCTCTCTTCTCCTTCTCTTTCTCCTTTTTGATGCATACAAATACCCCAGGGGCACCCTCACTCCCGCCCACCCATCTCCACTGTTCAGCATGATTTCCGCAGAAACCCTCAAACGCCGGGCCACCTCCCGATCCGCCTGGGTCCTCCCCAAAGAAGAGTCGTGTGTCGCCCCCGATGAGGTCTGGAGTAACAAGGGTTAGCCTCTTCCCCACTCCTCCCCCCTCACTGCTTCAGGTGTTGACAACGCTCAGATATGGACCCGGCGCCGGTGGAGCATCGTATATGGACATCCTGGACCTTTTTCGCGTACTGGATTTCAGATCTCATCACCCCCGGTGGTTGGGCGACGTCGAGTTCGTTCATCGAGCTTGGACTGACGTGGTGGGAGAGTTGTCTTGCGATGTATGTGGGAGGGTTCTTGGTCGCCATTGTGATTACTTGTGAGTCACATTCTGTTCCGCAGTCGGTTTGGAGCGGTGACTGATAAGCTTCGGTCGTGTCTCAGCCAACGGCTACATCGGTGCCATGGTGAGTGTACAGCGCTGCTTATCTGTCGTGTCCGCTGACCGACTTTTCAGGTGCATACTCCTTTCGCTGTCACTTCTCGATCCGTCTTTGGTTACTGGGGTTCCAAATTTGTCGTTTTCTCGCGTATGTGCACGGCATGCTTCTGGCTCAGTATTAACTCTTGGTCGTGAGTCGTCTCTATCCCACTTTTTTTGGCATATGCTGACGGAGGGTAGTGGTGGTGTCTTCATCAGTCTCATGATCGAGGCCATCTGGCCATCGTATGCCAACTTGAAGAACTCTATTCCCGCCAATCAGGGCGCTACCTCTAGGGACTTCCTGTCCTTCTTCCTCTTCTGGTGCGTCCTCTCACTTTACTTATACTATCAAAAAAACTTACCTTCTATCAGGCTCTTGCAATTCCCCTTCATCTTCATCCACCCCTCCAAACTCAAATGGGTCTTCAACGTCAAAGCTGCGCTCGTCCCCATCGTCGCTTGTGGAACCCTTATCTGGGTACGTGCCCCCTCTCCAGTCTCCGCTCCATGTTGCTGATGTATAAAACAGGCTTGTATCATCGCTTCTCCCAACACCGGCAGGGCTTTGGGTTCCCCTGCGAACAGGGCGGAAGGAGGTACAGCGAGGTTTATGGCGTTCATGTACGCTGTCACTGCCGCCCAATCTACATGGGCTACCCTCAGTACGTCTCCCCTCTTCCTCTTCTTATCCCTATACTGACGAATTTACAGGTGTCAACATCGGCGACTTCTCCCGATACTGCAAGAAACCCTCGGCGTCCTACATCCAAATGATTGTCTTCCCTCTCCTCTACGCCGGTCTTTCGTTCTTCGCCTCCATCACTGCTTCTTGCGTTGCGTACACGTATGGAACGGAGAACTCGTATTACCAGCCGTACGACATTGTTGTACGTATTTCTTGCTTCGGATGAGGATAAGGCATAGCTGACTATTGGGCAGGCGCTTTGGAACACTTCTGCGGGTGGTCGATGTGCTATGTTCCTCGCTTCTTTCGTCTGGTATGTCCATCCTTTCCCCTCCATGGCTTTTCCATACTGACAGCTGGGCAGGGCGATGTGCAACGTCACAACCAACATCACCGCCAACTCCATCTCCGCCGCCAACGACATGACCTCCCTCGCCCCCAAATACATCAACATTCAACGCGGCCAATTCATCGCCGTCACCATCGGCGTCTGGGGTTTCGTCCCCTGGAAAGTCCTCGCCACCGCTTCAAACTTCCTCACCTTCATGTCTTCCTACTCGGTCGTCCTTGCGCCGATCGCAGTCATCATGGTTGTCGACTTCTTCTTTGTGAAGAAGCAAAAGTTGAATGTGTATGAGCTTTACAAGCCGAAGGGTATCTATCGATACTCGAAGGGATGGAACTGGAGGGCGTATGTGGCGCTTGCAGTGGCGGTCGCTCCCAACTTGCCGGGTATGGCGAACGCTATCAACGACTCTATCTACATCGGAAACATCCAGTACATTTACATGGTGTCCAACATCTTCGGTAACACTGGTACGTCTCTCTCTCCCCTCCCCTTCCCCTTCGTGAGAATACTGACCTCGCGTATAGTCGCCTTGACGATCTACCTTCTCCTCAACCGCTTCTTCCCCCCACAGTCCGCCATCATCGAGACCGCCGTCCACGACGTCCTGGCCGAACCCGAGTACACCACTTACGACTCTACCGACCCAGTTGCAAAGGAAGAAGCGGAAGTCGGGGGTGAAGCGTGGTCGGCGGCGTTTTCGAAGAATGGGGAGAAGGGGTTGGAAGGGGAAACGGATGTGAAGAGCGCCATCTAGTGGGAAAGCTAGTCTAGTGTGATGGAGTGCGGAGTGCCAGGAGGAGGTGGGGTGTGAAGGTCGAGGAGGAGGAGGGAGGGAGGGAGATCTTTCTTTCATTTCGCTTCTCATTTTGTGCTCGGGCTAGGGGTGTGCGTGAAGGATAAAGTCAAACGTTGTATACTACCATATCTCCCATACTACTTACACATTACTCGTAGTTTGGGGACTATCTTTCTTAGTGAATGAACACCATCACTCTTTCGTCGTCGTACATCTGCGCAGATCTGGGAGCGCCAGCAGCATCGTAGTTTCATAAGATTGGTATGTTGAGGGAAGGAGAGATGCTGACATCAGGCTCCATTAACATCTTCAGGTGCATCATGCAGTATAGTTACTAGACGGCTACCAAACACCCCCAACTACGCTTCACGCTCACGCTCTTCGAGCAGGGCTTTAGCTGCCTCGCCCACATCATCATCCAGGGTAGCGCACATCCTGACTTGATCAATAGTCATCTTCTCGAAACCCTCAAACGCTTCATAGTGACTGATCAGGAGTGCACACTCAGTTGGCCTTTCACCCTCTGCCTCTCTGGTCTTCCAGATCGCCACCATCGTGCCGGCAGAGGGAGAACGTCGTCCATCAGCGGTCCTCTCTGGAATAATGAATTCACTCTGCTTAGGTAGCCTCGGCGCTCTTCCCGTCAGCGCGCTATACAGCCTTTGACACCCTTCTTCATACTGCCATTCCAAAGATTCGATCGTTTGCTGGCCGTAAGTCCACGTATTTCCGCTGGTGAAGTTTCGACCTCTGACGTCGTAACCAGTCTCGGTGTTGTTCGGATTGGCGTGGACAGACCATTCGACGGCCTCAAGGTCTCCATTGGCGTTGTCAAATTCAAAGGTGAAGCAATCGTTTAGTCGGGGGTTGGAGTCTGTAGAGTTGACTTCTTCGTTATAGGCGTTTGATGATGCCATGTTGAATGAGTGATATTTCGATGGGAGGTGTCGCTATAATCTTGAAATCTTGAATTAGGGTAGCGGTTCACACTTATATACCCGTGAGTCAGACATGAATCGTGTTTAAGACAATGAATGGTGCAAAACAACACTCCTTTCCGAGCATTCATCTCAGTATATGAAGTCCGAACACAAAGGTCGAATTCGTCTCTGCAAGGGATACATGTGACAGTCTATTCATGCTATCGACTGATTGTGGTCCTCGTTGATACAAAGGACAATACCCCGATGGTTCTCGAGTAGTCGCATATCGGCGTTATTGGATCATCGACGCATCCACAGGAAGCTGTTGCTTTAATTCTTAATTCAACAGCCGCGTACCATTGCTCGTATGTGCATATCAGCTACTCTCCTACGGTCCATGTAAGCATGTCCATACGTACTTTGCATAGTACAGTATAAAACGATCCCAGACGTCCTTGTGCGCCTCTCACATCAGAGATGAAAGCCAAAAATCTAGGGGGGAGCCTTACCCGCACGGATCGCAATCGACACCTGCGAGGTAGCTTCGTCCTTGAAGTACCTATCCGACATGTCAGCTCGTACTCCATAGCCATTAGATAGAGATGACTTACTTTTCCATACCTTCTCGTGAGATCCCACCAAGTTTTGTATCTCATCAAGGTCTCTCGCAGCCATATCCACTGTACACCTTATCCAAGAGCCAAGTGATTATATAAATATAATTCATATCCCGAGACCGTAATGTATGACGAAGAGAAAAGAGAAAATAGTCTATCAGATCCCCCAAGACGCAAACACTTAAGCCTTCGTGTTGGTCTTGAGCACCTTCTTCCACACCGGGGTCTTGCTCATCTTCTGCTCGACTTCCCTCCTCATCTCCTCCTCCAGCTCACGCTCATCAAGCTCACCAGAGGCGTACCACACAATGGTGATCATACCCAAGAGAGCAGTGATGATACAACCAGCGAGGGCACCGATAGCCTTGGGCGTCCAGCCCATCCTGAGAGTGAATGGACCCCAGGGCTGACCGTTGAAGTTGGTGGTGGAGTAGGTGCCGACGACGTTACCTTCGGTACCCATACCCTGAGCGGCGCACTGCTCAGTGATCTGGGCGGGGACTTGGTCCCTCTGGTCCTGGAAGACCTCGGGAGCTTCGATGAAGACGACGGCGAGACCGGAAGACAAGTGCCAGTCAATCTACACTCGATCAGCGACCATCCTCTTATCATACAAGGGAGGGGGGGACTCACGTGGCAGTGGAACATCCAAGCACCGGGGTTGTCGGCCCTCCATCGAAGAGTGACGGAACCGGTAGGGGGGATGACGATGGTGTCTCGTCGAGCGGGGTTGGACTGGTTCTCGTCGATGGCGGGGTTGACCTCGAGGTCATCGGAAGTAACGTCGAAAGACTTGTGGACGACCTGGAACTCGTGACTGTTCGCTCAAAAGTCAGCTACAAATGTATACGCTTGAGGAGATGACGTACCCGTGGAAGTGGAAGGGGTGGAATCCAGCATCCCAGTTGTAGACGGTCAACTGAACGACGTCCATGTGCTTGTAGGTGAAGGCGTTGGTCATGGCACCGTAGACGGCGGTGTTGTTGGCATCGTCACCCATGGTCAAAGCAGTCAACATGGAGGGGGTGGAAGTAGGCATCTGGTAGGTGATGTTGTTGAAAGAAGCTCGGTTGGTTCCGTCGTCGTAAGTCTATCCCAATCGTCAGCTTTGATTCCAAAAGAGAGAATGGACGTACGTCAAAGTAGGCGTTGAGGACGATCTCGACATCAGGCTCAGTCAAGAGCTCGACAGCGCGAAGAGGAGTGAGCTCGGTGTCGTTGAAAGTAGTGATGCTGGAAGGAGACCACTCGACAGCAGCATCGTTGGCAGAGTCGTAGACGATCTGGATGGTGTTGTTGATCTGAAGGTCGTCGGGGATGGCGTCGTACATGTCGGTGTCTTGCATGAACATGAAAGCGTAGTTCCTGTCGGTAGAGTTCTTGGCCTCGACCCAGATAGAGTATCGCTGGGCGACAGAGAGGGTGACAGCGTCGATGAGGAAAGGCTCGACCTCCACACCATCCATCTCGATGATGTAAAGGTCGTGGTCCTCCATGGCGACCCAGAACACTATCACTCGATTAGCTCGCTATCATCGAAAAAAAAGGAAAGGGACGTACTAGCAAGAGAACCCATGTTGACCATGTGAATCCTGTAAGACCTGCCGGCCTCAAAGTTGATAGCAAAGTTGTCGGAAACGGCAGCACCGGAGATGAGGTCATCGTTGGAAGCCATGTAAGAACCGTTGGTCCAAGCACCGTAGATAACAGCGGCGACTAGAGGACGGTCAGCTCTCGTATGGAGGGAAGGACGGGGGGGGGGGAGGGACGTACCAGGTACGGGCTCGGCGCCGGTGGGGTTCGTCCAGTCAAGGAAGTCTCGCGTCTCAAGCACGGGGTACTCCTCGTTGTACCTATCGTCTCATCAGCTCCTTACTCGCTTCCGACAAGAAGTGAAGAACGTACCAATCAGCCATGACAACAGTAAACTCCTCATCCCAAGTCAAGTTATCAGATCGGCCAGTAGCGTTCTGAGGCTGGATGACAATTGGAGCCCTCAAACCATCCGCGTTCTGACCATCGTGGTGACCGTGAATCCAGTAACTACCGGTCTGGGTTCCAGTGTCGATGGTGTAGTCGAGGGTGGAGCCGGAGGGGATAGGACATTGGTTGATACCGGTGGCACCGTCGAACCAATTGGTACCGTTAAACATGAGACCGTGGGTGTGGAGGGCGGTACCGACATCGCCGAGGCCGTTGGTCAAGTGGAGCAAGATGACATCGCCGGAAGTGACGGTAAGTGGGGGAGGGGGCCAGGTGTTGTTGATACCGATGACTCGTCGCTCTTCAAGCTGTGAATGTTGTCAGTAAAGCAGCAAAGGAGAAAGGAGAGGGACGTACACCAGCGGGGTTGGCCTGGGTGTAAGTGACGTTCCACCAGTGCTCGACGGTAGCCGCCTGGGCGGTGGTGGCAGCGAAGGAGAGGGCAGAAGCCAGCAGCGCTGTGCTTGAGAACATGGTGAAGTAGAACCCGGTGGGTGCAAGAGAGAGAAAGATGGCGTTTGGATAAATAGATGTGCATGTGCATGGAAACTTGTCCGAAATCTGATTTTTGCCGAGAGCAGGACAGCTTCTAAAAATGCCTCAGGTGCGGCCGAAAGCAGGGAAAGAGAGATGTAAGACCCAGGCACGGGGCTTTATCGGATAACGGAAAATTAATTTCGAGGCAGGCATCTCCACCTCTCTTTCATTTGCTCGACCGCACACTGAGACGCGTACCGACACATGCAGGACGTTCCAGTCGTCATGCCGCGCTGCCGACTAGAAAGCCAAGAGGAATGCAAGCGAAAAGAGGCCGAGGGGAATGGAAAGAGTCGCTGCTCTTGGACGGAGATAGAGAACAGGCACTGGGATGGCGGTTATGACGGGTAATGGCGTCGGGCGTGAGCTGAGATGTACTCGTACAGACGTACAGTGGTCGTGGTGCGTTGAGCGTGGTGTATGGCATGGAGCTGAGGATCAAGATGCATTGCGGCGTGGAGGCGTTCATCGAGGTTGTCCAGTCATGCGTCATACGCATAACGCACTCCGGGACGATTTTAGTCTTCTTTTTTTTTTTCTCTCTGTCTTTGAGGTCCACTCAAAGCGCTCCCAAACCAAAGGTCTGGGTAGATAGGAAAGGTTTGCTGGGATATGTTTGGATCCCCCCCTGCGCAATGGGTGGGACAGGTGCGGCGCGCCATGCGGGTGCTTGACATTTGGAAGAAAATAAAGGTGATACATCCTCGCTAATGAAGACGAGATATCCGACTTTACCATTCGTTCTTGCTCGCCCCGCACTATGTACACTTTTGGCAACCTCCATTGTCGGGGCGCCACATGGCTGACTGGGTGCCTGGGTGCCGACTCTTCCCACCGCCCTGCCCCGACGAGTAGAGACACAGAAGAGATGCAGCAGCGCAAGTCACGTGCCTGGCTGTTATCAGATACCTGCATGGACCCGAGATCTCCCTGAGGATGGTCCAAAAATGGCCGTGCCTCGCTGCTTGGCCGTTCAAACGATCTCTGCTGATCTCTTAGCAGTTAGCCAAGTTAGCCGCGACTTATTAGCGTCCCCTGCGGCCGAAATGTATAATCCCAGGCACCCTCTCGACCGCCCGCCCGCAAAGAATCTTTGGCCCTATCGGCTTTACTCGTCATCAAGAAAAGGCTCAAATCTCGGAAAGTACTTGAATCCCCAGCCTTCTCCCTCATTTTCCTCTTTCTCCTCACCAACACATCTCTTTACATCCCCCACCGAACAAAGTACTCTTGGCCATCATGGCGAAGGACGTCTTCTCCGTCCCCATCTTCTTCATCGTCTTCCGTAAGCCCCCCCCCCTCCCTCTCCCACTCTACTTTTTTTCTCACTGACACTTTCTCAGGTGAGACGATTGAAGCCGCCATCATCGTATCAGTCCTGCTCTCGTTCGTCGAGCAGCTGATGCTTACCGGCAACCTTTCCGCCAATGACATGAACAAGAACGAAAGCACCGCTCCCAGCGACGGCGAAGCAGAGACGGACGGCTCCATCTCTTCCGGTGTCGACGACAAGGAGCGAAGGGCCAAGTTGGTCAAGAGGATGAGGATCCAGATTTGGGCTGGTACGCTTTTGGGTCTTTTCATTGCTCTGTGTATTGGTGCTGCTTTCATCGCTGTCGTGAGTCTTCTTTCTGCGAACCGGGGGCGCCGATCTTTACCGACATCCGTCTAGTTCTACACCAAGCTCGACGATCTGTGGGCCAAGACTGAGCAGCTTTGGGAAGGTATCTTCTCCATTATCGCCGCCTTCATCATCTGGGTACGTCCCCTCCCTCTTCCCTCCTTCCTCCCACTGACTCCCTGCCGCAGATAATGGCCACCGCCTTCTTGAAAATGGACCGATCCCGAATCAAGTGGCGATGGAAGCTCGCCGCCGCCTTCGACCAGTCCCAAGCCAAGGTCGTCGCCCAAGAAAACATGTCCGACGAAGACCGCGCCGCCGCCAAGGCGGAGGGCAAGTCCGGTAAATGGGCCTTGTTCCTCTTGCCGCTCATCACCGTCTTGCGAGAAGGTCTTGAGGCTGTCGTCTTTGTCGGTGGTGTCTCGCTTGGTTTGCCTGCTACTTCCATTCCCCTCGCCGTCGTCGTCGGTCTTATCGCCGGTTTCGCTGTCGGTACGTCCCCCCTTCCCCTTCCCCCTCCCCTCCCCTCCTTCTTTTCGCATAGCTGACTTGGTGATTAGGTTACTTGATCTACCGAACCGGTTCCACCACCACCCTCCACTGGTTCTTGGTCGGCTCCACCTCCTTCCTCTGCCTCATCGGTGCCGGCCTCTTCTCCAAAGCTATCGGCTACTTCCAGTACTACCACTTCTCCCAAGGTGTCGGTGGTGACGTCGCCGAGACGGGTGACGGCCCCGGTTCCTTCGAGGTCAAGGGTAACGTCTGGCACTTGACGTACGGAAACCCCGAGACTGGGTCTCCTACTACCAACGGTGGTTGGCAAATCTTCAACGCCATTCTCGGATGGAGTACGTCCCCCTTCCCCCTTCCCCCTTCTTTCCCTTTCCCTTTCCCTTCTTCTCTTGACCCAAAGCCTGACTGGAGTATAGACAACACCGCCACCCTCGGCTCCATCCTTTCCTACGTCTTCTACTGGATCCTCGTTGCCCTCACCCTCGTCGTTTTCAAATGGAAGGAAGGCAGAATCACCTTCTTCGGCAAAGCCTCCGCCTCCCACGCTCGCCGACTCCAAATCCGAGAAGAGTTTGCCGCTGCCAATGCCAATGCCGGCTCGAAGGAGGCCGAGGTGGAGGGTGAGAAGAAGATCAACCCTGATGCGGAGACGCCTTCTGAGGAGAGGCATGTCCCTGCTTTGGGCCACTAGATTATCAACGAGGTTTGATGTAGCGTAGATTTATTTGATAAGCTTGATTCTAGTTGACTGGGGTGGCTATCGCCTCACTGTTCTTTCTCTTTTCATCTTATCATCATATATAGATTGGGTCTTTCTTTTTTTCTTGGACATACGTTAATAGTTGTGATCGACCGAGACAAAATTACATGTATTGGTTTCGATCTGTTAAGAACATCACTTGCAAAGTCTTCCACATGCTCATCGGATATGCTCATCTTAACGCGTTGCGCTCCACCTCAATGGCAAAGAAACCGTTTACGAACCAAAGACGACCCAAAAAAAACTTCTTTGCCCAACGAGGAACCAAATGCAAGACAAACAACGCTCTCGAATCTCAATTGGCTGCGGCCTGCCATGCCTGCCAAACACGTACTTTGCTCTTCACCCATCGAGTAGTCGTCGTACAGCTTCAGCTTCATAGCGACATCATGCTCATAGATCTATTCCTTGCCTTGCCTCACCGCCTGGTCACACCACGGTCAACTTGACCCGGCTAGAAGAAGACCGATAGGACCGGGAGACCGAGCTGCGGGGCCAAATTCTTTCGGTGCTGTCCCGGCTGCGATGCTCTTGTTGCTGCATCCCTTCTAATCATCTCTTCTAACCATTTCTAATCATTCCTTGTCCCATTACCCCACGGTATACAAGATGCTGCCCCTCAAACACACTGCGGCTGCCAGGCGGGTCTTCTCTCGCGCCCTCCTGTCGAAACTCTCTTCTCTCCAGCTCCAGCCCCGACCCACAGCGCGCACCCACCTCACCTTCACCCACCCCTCAGCCCTCGCCTTCTCCTCTTCCAGTCAGGCAGCGAGCGGCCATCTGTCACAGCTGGCGAAGAAGGATGATACCGTGCTCACCCGTCTCAGAGCGGGCGAGGGACAGCTCGTGGACGAAGGGTACTACGATCCTGACGACAAGTTTAACGGCCCACCTGTATCTTACGACGTACGTCTTCATCTCCTTCTCCTTCTCTCTGTCACACGAGCTCATGTAGGAATGATATAGCCATTCCGATACCCCGCCCAACTCCAACCCCACCTCCCTCTAGCCAAGCTCAGAGCCCCAAGCGGGAGACCATACACCCCCAGCACCACCGCCAACATCCTATGCCGCAACCACTCTACCACAAGACAGCTCTGCCACGAAACCCGTCATGGCGAAATCTTTTCCATGGAGACATTTGTGATCGTCTATGAATCTGCGAACGAAAGCGACCTTGTCGCAAGTCCTCTTCCCATCTCACTTTTGATAAAGCACAAAGTCTGACACAAGCGTAGCAATCCCTAGAGAACGGCCAAACATTCCGAGGCCGCGTCGTATTCGCCGACAACAGAATTACCCACCTCGCATTCGACGGCCACCTCTTCTCCGTCTCGCACGACCCCAACGGCGTGCACGGCACCGCCAGCCTGAAGCAAGTCGTAGCTGTCTTGGCAGAGACGGAGCGGGAGATGCTGGGTATTGACCCAAAGACTGCTGCAGGTCTGTTCCTTCCTCTTTTATCTGTGAGAAGAAGAACGTTTGCTTATGGGGTTTGGTAGATATCCTCGCGTTACACGTCGACGAACGTCGAAACGGTACCACCCACGACTCTTCCCCTACCCCTACCCCTTCCCCTGCATCGTCCATCCCCTCATCTTCCGACCCTTCATCCTCCAACGACCCCGACGAGCTCGCCCTCCAACACCACCTCGAGTCCCTCTCAAACTCGCGCAAACAAGCCCTCGCGGAGAGCCGCTCTGTCCTAGACCGCGTACGAGCAAGCCTCGACCATCTGGTAGTCGACTATGATCCTGAGGGGAACAAACAGATCTTTGGCTCTGATGTACGTCCCACACCCCTCACCCCACCTTCCCTCCCTCCCTCCCTCTCTCTCTCTCTCCGACATAAGACTGATGAAATCGAATCTAGGATTTCAAATACCCAGCCCAACACCACTCCCTCCCCCTCCACACCATCGACCCCCCCTCCTCCTACCCCTACACCCCCAACACATCCGCCCGTATCCTCTCCCCGGACGACACCGAGTCGCACGAAATCCGGAACCTGTCTAAAGATGGAAAGGTTGTGACATACGATGGGATTGTCCGAATATTCGAAAGGGAAGACGATGGTGATTTTGTCGTAAGCATCACCCACCCCACCCCACCCCACCATTCAAGCATTTAGAGGTAAGCTGACAATCTGGTATAGACACAGATGAACAATGGCAAGACCCTCCGCGCGCGTCTGATCTTTGCAGATGGTCGTATCACCCACCTAGCCACCGACGGCCACGTCTTTTCCCTCTCTGACCAAGGCGAAGGGCTGGACGAGACTGTACGTCTGGAAAGGGTCGTTGGTCTTTTGGGCAAGGTGGAGAGGGAGATGTTGAAGATTGAGCCGACATTGTTTGAATGTGAGTCTTCTCATCCCCTTCCCTCTTTCCTCACGGAGCCAATACCGACTTTTTTTCAAAACAGCCATCTACACTCAACACATCGCCGAATACACCGAACGCCACTCCAAAGCCAAAGCCCAAGCCCAACGCCGCCTCACAGCAGACGACCCCCCCTCCCCCAGCCCCGCCCCCGAAGAAGCGCTCGAAAACACCCACCCCTCCTCAGTCCCCACCATAGCCGAATGGAACCTCAACCCCCACACACTCATCAACAACCTCCCCATCTGGGCCGCCTGCGCCCTCCAAAACCACCCCGCCGTATTCTCCTCCCCCTCCCCGGCCGCCATTGGCACGGATGAAATAGTGGAGAGGATTGAGAAAGGGGAAGGGGAAGGGTTGGAGTTCTTTGTGGAGAGGGCTGTTAAGGAGGATGGTTTGCCTACCAGGTTGGACCCTGATGGGAAGGGGAGGTGGTGTGAATGGATTGTTAGGGTGCGAAGCCAAAGCGAGGCGTACGTCCTCCCCCCCTCCCTTCCCTTTTTCGATCCTCGGTCTATTTCACAGCCAAGCTGACATCTACCCCCAGCGCCCAACACCCCGAAATCCGCGCATTCATAGCGACCATCCACGACGACGGTCTTTGCGCCAAGACGATATCCATCGGCGGGACGTTTGTGAACCTAGAGTTGCTGGATGGGGGAGGGTATGTCGTTGGGGAGGAGGAAGAGGTTGGCGTTGGGGATTTGGCGGGGGTATAAAGGCGCATGGTGGACGGAGAGAAAAGGCGGGGATGAAGGGTTGGGTGGTGTCGAGCAACGCACTCGCCCCTCGCCCAAACGCTTCACCCCATGTCCTGGGCACACGCTCGTAGTGTAATGTAACATCCAAATGGACAATCGTACTTCTTGATTCTCTTCTCTGCATTCCACCACCATATATATATATCGCAAAACCGCTATCTATCTATACCAACTCTCACCCACTCTCTAAAGCTCATCATGCCCCACAAACAACTCCTCATCCTCAAACTCTTCCTCCGCAAGACCAGCCGCGTCACTCATTCGGTTCTCCTCCACAAACTCGACCAACGAGTCGAGGCTCCTGTCGCCGGCGTACTCGATAAACTCGGAGCTGCCGGCGGGGCGGAACTTGATGGTGGGGAAACCTTGGACGCGGAAGGGCGCGGCGGGGGGAATGTCGTTCTCGGTGGCGTCCATTTGGGCGCTAGAGACGAGTCAGCTTGAGAGGTGAGGGTGTATGGAGTCGACTTACATGACGACGTTCTTCTCGGCAGCATACTTGTCACCAAGAGTGTCCCAGATAGGAGCAAGACGTTCTAACGATCAATCAGTAAAAGTCCCACACAGCAAGTCACGTGAACTCACGACAGTGACCGCACCAGGGAGCGTAAAACTCGGCAAAGACATCCTTGGTCTCGTCCCCAAACACATTCTCCCAGTCATCGGCGACAAGCTTGTAAACAGGACCCTGGGTAGCAGGGATAGCCTCAGACTTGACGCTAGCTTGCACATCGCCCTTGGTGTACTTGTCGACAAACTCCTTGATGGCCTTGGCCGTAGCCTTGCCAGTCAACGGGTACTTGGTCTGCTCGGCGAGGTCCTGGATGACGAACGCGGGCCACGAATCGCCGGGGAGGTTGAGAGACTTGCCGTGGTCGACAAACTTGACAGCGTCAATGTAGACAAAGTTGACCACGCCCTTGAGGCTCTTGGCGACGTCGCGGAGGTCCTTGACGATGCTGTCCCGGTTGGCGGCGTCGTTGGGGTCGGCAAAGAGGTAGGCGATGGGGAGACCCTGCTCGGCGTAAGAGCCAAAGTTTTCAGGGGAGATTTCGTCAAAGAGGGGGATGGAGTTTTGCTTTACAAACTCGGCGAGGTTCTCGGTAGTGGGCTCGACGTTGGAAGGGAAGACGGCGTAGCCCTCGTCAAAGTCCTTGTAGAGGACGATGGCGGGAAGAGAGGGAGACTCGGGGATGTTGGGGAGAGAGGGGGAGAGGTACTGGCCAAAGAGGTAAGAGTCTCGGGCGGAGCTGGAGAAGGTCTTGTATTGCTCGGGGATAGCGTGAGAGTCGTCACCGTACGCGACGAGGACACTAGAGGGGCGTTAGCGAAGACCAGACGCGTACAGGATGGCGACTTACACCTTGTCGGACTTGATGAACTCGTCGTGAGACTCGGGGGTCACATCGCTAAGAGCGGGAAGACTTTGCCTATGCCATTGTCAGTGAGTATTCTCCGGCCTTCACCATCATCCACACCGCATCTCCAGCTGGGGTGTGAATTTCCGTGCCGACGCAAACTTCCTTCGCGCCAATGCCTCTGCACAACCCCAAGCGCTCAACAGAAATATAGATACTCACTTGAGCATGTAAGAGATTATACCATCGGCCTTCCTGGTTCCAGCATAGTCGGTAGGGGACCCGTTTCGGAAGACCTTCAAGGTAGGGTACCCGTTCACGCCAAACTCGCCACAGACAGCCTGCTCAACAGTGCAGTCAACCTTTACAGGTTTGTCAGCGTCAGTCCGAGGTAGAGAGAGAGATAGAGACGCGTACCTTGGCAAGCTTGATGCCCTTGGGCTTGAGCTCGGTAGCAGCTTCTTCGTAATGAGGGGCAAGGCTGGGCGTTTGTCAGCAAAGCGCAATGTATTTCTGAGGAGAGGACTCACTTTTTGCAGTGTCCGCACCCTAGGCAACAGCATGTCAGCGCAAATTCCAAAAGTCATGACATTTCACGCGTCGGCACTTACAGGGAGCGAAGAACCTAACGGAACAATTGTCAGCTACAATTCTGCATTTTGTCGACAACACCACCCGAACGACGCCTCACCACGTGCACATCTATCGCCAGGCCCACATGGACCCCATGTTTGATGAAAGAAAACTCACTCGACAAGCGCCAGATCCTCGTCAATGATCTCGTTCTGGAAAGTAGCCTCCGTCAGGTCGAGAACGTCGGTGGCAATGACCGAGGTGGCGGCCATGAGGGCGAGAGAGACGCCGGTGGAAAACTTCATCCTGGATTGTTTTAGGATGGAAAAGAAAGAGAAGATGGAAGAAGAACGGGAAATATGATTCAGTCAGCAGAATGGCGAGACACGGGGGGCCGATGCCACGTCGACGCGCAGTTACGTAACGCCAAGAACCGGCTTTGAAACGTCAGCCACTTCGCACAACTTGCTCTGTCCATCTTCGACAGGCAGATCATCCAGAATACGAATAGCATTCAGATATATACATAGGCTATACTCGTGCTTGTGGGTCTTGGTGAATGGTGTATTCCCCGGACTTTCCCAACTTGAGACCAATGTCGCCTCCCCCGGGCAAATACAAAGCTTTCGCCTGTATAAAATTGTTCCTCACAGCGCACGTAAAGGAGCGAGTCTCGCCGTTGAAAGCCGCACCATGCCTAGATTATAATCAGCTCGATCCTGATGTCCATTCGCGAGAGTACTCACGTTGCGATGGCGGCGCCCCTGACTCGAACGATCCAACGATGATACCTCTCCCACCCCTTCAACCCTATACCAACACCTCTCTCCTCCATCCATTCATTTTCCGCGTCCTTCAGCCCGAACGGTGGTGTATCCAACGTCCATCCACCCTCCTCCACGCTCCTCTCAATGAAGAACTCCAAGCCGTGCCCATTACGGTCAAAGATGACGTCCATCAACTCGTCCTCGCTGATGCTCGGGGCCGAGCCTACAAAGACTTCGGGTCGTTCCTCATATGCTTTTGCTACCCAGGCAGGTCGCCCGTTTACCAGAGTGGCGGATGTGAAATCCCATTCCTTGAGAGAGGAGACGTTGCCGAGAGGGGGCGGGATGGCGAGGGAAGTGTTGGTGGAAGAGGTGGAAAAGGTCGGGGAAGGCAGAGCTGTAGGGCGCCATCAGCTAAAGCCAACACGAATATATATCTCAAAGCTTACCGTCGTCACTGTCGAACGAGATCGGATCATCAACCTCATTCAAACGCTCATAATACTCCTTGATAGATTCTAAAGCACCGTGAGCCACACTCCTCTCGGATCGCCACGTGAAAATTCCTTACTATCAATCTGCGGTCTCTCCCACTCCTGAATTTCCAACAGCTCCGCCACGTCGCTTCCCAAACCTCCCAAGAACTGATGCAAAACATCATCTCCCCCAGCAAAGCGTAGTGAGAAGAAACAGCCGTCCATCGCGATCCTGACCGCAACGTCGTTCTTGTACTGGACTACAGTCTTGACGAGGACACCTTTCTCAAGCTGATCCTATCTTATACATCAGCTCACGACTAAGCTGGACAAAATGTGCGGAGAGAACATACGATAAAGTCCACGTGGATATTGGCGGGCGGCGGGACGACCACCACGAGAGCCGGCACAACATACTCTGTGTCCGTCACATAGCCTTTTTGATGGCATGGGAGCAAGTCCCACGTGGGCGAGATGATGACGGCGGCGGTGTTTTTGGTATATCGAATGCCCGCTGGACTTTTGGTGATATGAGATGCAGGCATGAGTGGTGTCGTGGGGAATTTCAGATTCTAGCCCTTTGTCAGTGCACGTTCACGCAAGGTAGGTAGAATTGTAGGACTTACAGAAAGCATCTTCGCTTCACGAGCCTTGAAATCCCGTTCTTCCTTTGCTGTACTCGACTCTATCTCCGTCTTTTGCTTCTGTATGACGTTCTCACGAATCTCTGCAGCCCCTCATCAGCTATTTGACCCTCGCATCGAGCCGAGCATCAAACTCACCAGACATAGCCGCCCTCTCTTCCGCATTCGGGTTCAACGCCAGTCTCGTCTCTTCCGGAATGACCTCTTCACATCTCTCGATAGCCAAGTCGTTCGAGCTCGCATCCCGTCGAGTGGAGAACACAAACCCGTCGACGGCGATATACGATGGCGAGTCCAGTGAATCATGATCGTAGCGCAGGCGTGCTTTCAGCATGACCCCTTGCTCAAGCCGTTCCTACATCATCTCATCAGCAACCTTCTTCAACAAGAGACACAGGTGACCCACGATAGCGTCCCCACTATTCCACTTGTTGTAGACGACAACGATACCATCTTCAAAGGAAGGACCAAATCCAAAGTCGTGCGTGCGCAAGCTGTCGGGGTTGTAGCGATGGATGATCTCGAAAGCCTTGTTGGAATCATATCGAATGCCGCTCGTGCCCTTTGGTATCGCAGGGACTGGGGTTGTCCTGGGGGTGACGCTGGGAAAGACGTAGCCCTGAAGATGGTCAGACTTTGGATCCTAGACAGCCTGCGGACGTACTTGTGTCGTGAAGAAGGTTGGGGCGGCTTTCGTTTCTTTGGCGAGTATTTCACTTGCCCTCTCGGCACGTATATCATCGTATACTTCTTCTTCCCAATCTTCAATAGACCAGGCGTTTTCATCGAGATAGTTTCTACAAACAGCTAAAGTGCCTCGTAAGCGCTTGTCTCCCATACGCCCATTCGCACTCGAGAGGCCGAGCAAAACGTACCTTCCAACTCCTCGACTTCCCCCGGCTTGATCTCCAATATATCCTTCTCTCGATCAGTAAGGAATCCCGAACACCGTTCAACCACAAATTGCTCATTATCCTCCATGAGAGCAAGCACATGCCCATCGATAGCGATATAGCTCGGGCCATTTATCCGATGAACGTCTTCATACCGTAAGCGGACTTTGAACGTCTTGCCAGATTGGATTTCTTTCTGCATCGCCTCGTCAATTGACTCTTGGAACAACTTGAAAACAGAGAACTTACTGTAGAAGGACGCTCATCCGGGACGCGTTTGTACACTTTGACAAGACCTGGTACGAAGATCGGGCCATCCGTGCTTCTGTAGACGAATTTATCATCATCATCAGGTCGGATGATCTCAATCGCTCGGGTTTTATCGTAAAGTATTCCGCTATCTCCTCGTGCGATATAAGTGGGATGCGGCTGGGTCGAGACATCGGGAAACGTGAATAGCTGAGACGAAAATTAGCTATAGCGTTTGAAGAGAAAACAGTCTGCGTACCTCGACCTCTTCCCCACTTTCCTTCCGCTTCTTCTCTTTCCCCTCAAACCTCAACTTTGCAGAGGAGACGAGACGTTCCTGCAATTGATCGAAATGTCTCTCATACGCAGCTACATCCACATATCAGCTCCAATTGCCGAACAAGGAAGAAGAGGTGGAGATGTACCATCGATACCAGCTTGCTCTCCCGGTTGAACCTTCAAACACTCGCGAGACACGTCCGGCAATCTCCCAATAACGGCGTGTCCCAGTTTAGGGTAATCCCCAAGATGGGCACTGTGAGTAGCCAAGCAGTACCCATCCAAAGAGATCCTGACAAGGCTTCGTTCGGCGGATGTAGAATAGAGGAGGTGTGCTTTGAATGTCGTGCCGTTTCGCGTTTGGAGCTACGTTAGAACTGTCAGCATCACCTTCATGCAGATCGTATGAGGACTCACAGAGATATCTTGCTCAGGGATTGGCGTGTATACTCTGACGAGACCGTAAAAGCCGACATGCGTCTGACCGTTCTTACGCGCCTTTGAAGAGGCGTCGGTGATGTTATGATAGTGAGGTGAGATGATGGTGAATGACTTGTTTGCGTAGAGGATGCCGCTGTCGCCACGGTGAATGTTAATACTCGTACTAGTGTTTCGCTCGATGGGGAATACAAAATCCTACATGCGTGTTAGGCCGAACGATACGAAGGAGAAAGGGCACTTACATCGGCTGAAACCATCTTGTTCATGTGGTCCAAGATACCGCCAGTAGTCTTTCCCAGATACTCTTCAGCTGCCTCGTGAAGAGACTTGTCAGGGGAAATATCCGTCACTCCACGCGTCTTGGCCCCTTCCAAAGCACCCTCTCGCTCAAGTCGACTTTCGACCTCCGCAATCCGAGCTTCCCGCGCTTCCTCCGTCTCGCGAGTCTCCTTCCTGTCTTTCGCCTGCGTCTCTCCCAGATCATGCTGAGCATTCTCAAGCACCTTCACTACTGCTGGAACAGTAGGGGGAGGCTCGCGGATGTGGAGGTCGCGGAACCTAGCCGCAGCGGGGAGAGAAGGCGCCCCTTGCGGGCTACTGAATAGCCGTGCGAGCCCGGGAGTTTGGGGTTTCGTCGAGATATGACCACGTCGGAAGACAGCTGGCTTGGCGGCGAGGCCGAGACCAGCGACGGAGAGGACCATTGTAGCGGTCAGGAGAGGGTGATCGCTCGCAAAAGCGGCAAGCCGGTCGAAAGGGGTAGGAGTGGTCGCGAGAGTGGACCGGTGGGTGTGAGCGGCGCCTTCACTATAGCCTTTGTGATATATAGTCCCAGCAAATGTTCGAGTGAGAGGATGTGATGCTGGTGCTGGTGCTGGACAATGGCCTCCAGAGTCTACCCCAAGTCAGCAGGAATCAGAAGCGACGACAGACAAGACTCACCTCCAGGAGCGTCGTCGCTCTTGGTCTCTTTCGAGAAGAGATGGAAAGTCGGCATTGTAGCAAAATCCCACAAGGTTGGCGTCCCTCATCTGAGACAGGGAACGAGCACGCATATATGGGCACCCTACATACCCTTCAGCAGCTAGTCGGCATCACAAACTACTCACCCAAAAGGGACCCTGACGCTTCACAGTGACTGATTGCAACTTATTTGCAAGGGTCTTCGGGTTGTTTGTTGAATTGCATGACGAGGGATTGATGCGAAGGGGCAAGTCAGGGCTTAGGGATGGCGAGGAAAAAGTTGAAACATCTCTTTTGTTCTTGACGAGTCTTGAAACAAGCGGTCTTGCCGCCATTGTTGTTCTTTCAGGGTCAGGCGGAGAGGGCCGCCCCTCGGTCGCCCGTGCTCAACCCGTGCTATCATCAGCTATGAGCGTATGTGGCAGAGTGGCAGTACGGTAGCGCCAGTCGTTGGTAGATTACTAGACCATGCAGTCAATCGCAACCTGGATTCATCTTTTCTGCATGAAAGAGGCGAAAAGACGTGTCACTCTGAAAGCTACGACGCGACGTCTCCGTTTACAGCTACGATTTCTTCAGTAGCGTCGAGCAGGGTAGAGAACATCGTTTGTTCTGTCTCCGAATCGCCGAATGGGACTTCGGCACGTTCGCCTTCGATGGTAGCGCTAGGCTCAGCATTGGGCGGGTTGGTCGTCATGGTATTGAGATAAATCAGAAGTCTGTGGGATAAGACACTACGAGCTCTTCATGATATCTTACTTCGATAGCTGAAGGGGGATGACCTGATATAGCTTCTGATCTTCTACTCCCATGGCACAAATAATACCTTTCATGCTGCTGTCCAACAACCCACGACGCACAGATCTCTCTTCGTTGCTTATCTTGCCACCCTTTATCTGTCAACAGATCTCACAGTCAGGGCTATCTAGCGAAACCACTGATGTTTGACGGCATTTCCCCTCCCCAACGCTCAGTGGAGCGGACTCCAGGCCCCAGGCAGACTTGAGATGCAAGAGGTGCTCGCTACTACGGCCAGATCAAATCGGCGCAGCAAGGACAAGCGGGCACCCTGTGTACGCTTTCTCTCGAACTCATGTATATAAGGCCTTCCTCCAAGACCGGTTTGAAAGTCAGTCATCACTCCTTCTTTCAATACTCTCTCGGCACTCCCACCAGCCTTCTCCCTACCTCCCGCAACATTTCACGAAAGCGACCAACATGCCTGTTATCCCTCAACGGTCCCTGCTCTGGCCCGTGATGGCGGTCTTGCTCTTCTGCAGCCTACCAGGTCGCGTTACCGCTCTCCCTTTCTCGGCCAACTCGGGTCATACGGCAGTCCAGACCAACCCATAACTGGCTCATAGGGCTTTCTTTTGTGATTTTGTTTTCTTCCTCATGAAGATCAGCAGTCATTCCTATTGGCACTTCCCTATATTGCTATGCAATTCCTCATCAAATTCACATATAATGGCCAAAGCAGTGGACTGTCTGGAGGAAGCCGCAATGGGTGACGACGGAAACCCCGAGAGGTCCTGAGAGCAAGGAGGTCATGTGATGGAATGGTGCATTTACAACGTGAAAAGTGATGGTATATACAACTGCAGGTGAAACATACAGATGAGCAGCACAACTTTTGTTTTACACAACATATCTTTCTTTCACTTCATCTCAGTTCCTCTTTCGCTTCCCATTCTTTCTCTGCAATCCTCTCTCTTCTTCTTGTCGTAATTGTCGTATTATCCACAAGTATCCCGCGGGTTTACACATCCACAACCCAAAGCCAAACACCTCTCCTGTCCTCTCCATCGGCCTCCTCCCGATCCAAGCTTTCAGGGAGGCTCTTGAGCTCTTGCACAGCTCTCGCTTCGCGCCACTGCCTGTCGAGATAAACAAGCGCGCGGCGACCATCTTGAGATGGACGAATTACGGTCGGCACTATCCACGTTGAGACTCTACTCTGTGTCAGCTGGGGTACTCGAGATCAGGGGTCAAGTTGGAGAAAACGAGAAAGAAGGGAGGCTTACTCGTCCACCCACGTGCGTTTGTACCCAGTTCCAATCCCAGCACCTTTTCCTATCTCGTAGGACATGGCGTAGAACAAAGCAGCCTCCCTTCTTATACCACGCCAAGCAACTCTCTGGAAGACCTCCCTCCCGAGATCTGTCTCTGACCTTCTTCTGAATACCGATAGCAACTCTTCACCCGGCATGCCGTACACCGGCGATTCAGTCCCCGGGCTCCTCCCATTCTCAGACACTTGGCGCGAATGCGTAGAAGTGGGAAACGAGAGTGATGAGGATGACGGGGTTGAATAATTCGGGAGGCGGAAAGTGTATGCGGCAGAGGTGAGATGGCCCAGTGGATGACTGACGGAAGAGTAGAGCGAAGACGACGAGTATGAGGACGAGCCCAAGCCGGGTCGATATGCACTCCCAGCGGTGTTGACAGACGGATGAGGGGGTGGGGACGCCGGGGAGGAGGGAGCGGAATAAGAAGGCGGAGAGGGAGTGAAGCTGGTGGAGTTGCGCAGGAAGAACCATCTCTCGTTGGAGTGGGGATTGATGTGGAGGGTTTCAATCCCGGTGCTGCACTTCTTCGGTCCTGCAGCTGCCTCCTTTTGCGCCATGTTGTCATTACCTCCGAACGATCTTGTAGCCTGAGCTGGACGATCGCTTAAATCAGACTCTCCCTTTGTATCACCTGTATATCTTGGAGCCTCCGCTATGGCCTTGTGGAGTCTGCCAGGGACGGAGGAGGGGCTCTCAGAGGCATCAGGATGAGGAGGGGAAGAAGCGCTAGATGAAGCCTACATGGATCGTCAGTCGGTGTACATCTTTCAAAGACCTTGGTCATGGCTTACATCCGACTCTCCCTTCGTATCATCTTGAACAACCCTCCCCTCCTGCTCGGCATCTGACATCTCCTTCTGCTTCGCCTCCAACTCCTTCTTTTCCGCCTTCTTCCTCTCCCGCTTCTCCTTCTTCTTCCTCCTCAACTCCATCCCAGCACTTTCCTGCTCGACTCTCAAATCCGATGCAATGGCTCCCTCGGTGGTCGACTCGTCGTGCGCAAGAAGGTTGGGGTTTGGAGAAAGGGAAGAAGTCGTAGTGTCGATAGTGGACTCGGACAGGGACTTGCGTCCGCTCGAGGTTTCGGCCACACTACTGCCCTCGACGGGCGACGACTTGTACATGCGCGCGAGAGAAGCCCTGGTCACAGGCTCTTCAGGATCGGACTTGTTGGAAGAGTTGGGTATGGCGGTGCTGCTGGGGCTGGGAGCATCGTTTGCGGTGGCTGCGTCTGTTCCGGTGGCGGTGGGCTGGACGGGCCGAAGCTGGATTATGTCAGCTCCATCTCACAACGGAATCCACAATTAAAGACATTCATACATTTCCATCCCCCCTCTCCGTCTCTTTTCCCGTGATCTTTTCTGTATCTTTCTTCCCCTTCCCAGTCTTCGTCTTCGCACCATCTTTCGCGCTCTCATCGTCCTTCATGACACTCTTCTTAGCCTCAGCCTCAGCTTCTGTTGTTGCTGAGGGAGAAGAAGAGGGAGAAGAAGAGGGAGAAGAAGAGGGAGAAGAAGAGGGAGAAGAAGAGGGAGAAGAAGCATGTCGGCCGCTAAGCTCTTGTATAGCCGTATGGATATCCCCAACAGAGAACAGGTGACCATCTTCCTTCTCTTTGGGAGATTGCAGCGGTCGACGAAGGGATGAACGATCAGCTTCGGTATCCTTACATTCAAGCATCAGCCTATATTCGGTGAGGAGGGTACTGGGTGAAACGCACCTCCATCGTCTTCCCTTGCCCCTCCTGCTCCTGCGCGGCAGAAAGTAGTCCCGAATCGCTCGCCCGAATAGAGTCTTCTAGCACTTTACGAAGCGGCTCTTCATCGCCCGTCTTTGCCTTATTCGCTTTGGGGGAGGCATAGCTTGAAGAGTTGGTAGTGAGAGTGGATGTATCTCGTGTCTATAAATTATCAGCGCGAACCCAAAATCAACACCGACCCATCTTTGACCATACGGCATGAAACTCACAGACTCCGTCCCAGTCCCACCCACCGCCTGTTCACCTTCAACCTCAATCCTAGCAGCATTAATGTCCCGAGCGAGCTGGCGTTTGGACGTAGTGACGCTTTCGTGACGACTCCCGGGGCTCGGGCTTTTGGCAATCCCATCCCCATCCCCATCCCTATCCTCGTTCTCAGCCTCAATCTCAGACTGAGACTTGGATGTGTGCTGGGCACGAAGCTCCGCCATAGCTTTGTGTATATCGCCCATAGGGTAGATATGCTTGTTGGCCGCGGGTGGGATGGACGCGGGATTCTAAGCTTTGTCAGTTGATGCTTTTGGTGGGAAGAAGGGTGGTTCACGATTTCGAATTGATCCCTCTCATTGCCTTTGTTCTCGTCAGCGGCGGTAGCGGTATCGGGCTGGGTGGTGGGTCTGTGCGTGGGGGCGGGTTGACGGTGACGATCGATGTCGGCGGGGTTGGTGGTGTTGATGTGGTTGCCGGTCTCGTCGATCCGGAAGCTAGAAGAAGACGATGTGCTAATGAGGGGTGCTGTGGAGGATTTTGAAGAAGTGAAAGGAGCCGAAGGAGTCTTGTCCTGAGAAGGCTGACGATCAGTAAGGATGATTGATAACGGGAAGGAGTGCGGAAGACATACCTCTTCAGAACGTTGCTGCCCACTCCAGTAGGACCAAAGCCCTTGCCCCACCGACGTGGGGGACACTCCAGCATCACTCAACGTATCCCCACCAATCTTTGCAGGAGACTTGACCAATATCCCACGCGTCCCGCCTCCTCCCAAGCTTCCCGAGCCAGCACCTTGCACCTCTTGGATACTGTTCTCCATGTTTTGTGTATGGTGCTCAGAGATGAGATATCTGATCTTCTTCTCGAGACCCTTGACGCGACGCCGAGTGCGCAAGGCAAACCAGAGAGAACCCCCGGCAAGGACCGTCATGATAAGCGTGGGTCTCATTCCGGCTGGAGGTAGTTCGGCGGGATAGCCGGGGGAACAGGAGTCCGGGGCATATCTCCTAGGAAGGTCTTTGGCCATTGTTGATTGTGGTGCCACCGGGGCAGGAGCGGGAGGGGTAGATGAGGAGGAAGAGGCGGAAGGAGGGTCGATAGCCTGGTGGGCGGCAAGGGCTGATACGCCTGCGCTATAGCCTTTGTGGTATGACTGGCGGAGGAGGGCGTTGAGGATGGTGTGGTTGCGGGTGTGGCGGTCATCGTCGTCGGACATGATGCAGATGAGAAAGAGGGATACAAATGGGAAGTGAAGGGACACTGGAGGATTGCTGGAGGATGCCTTGCGGATCACTGGGACGCGTGACAACCACAGGTGGAGGCAGGGCGCATCATTAACTCTCTCTAATCAAGGGCCGGTAATAACCGGATTACATACACTGGGGTTAGTGTTGCATTACAATTATCGACCCATGGACTGGCTTCTCTTCACCTTGTACGGACTGTACATGGTATATCTTCTCCCTGGTCAGGCGAGCGTAGGCTGCATATGCACAGAGCGGGCAGATCCCATCAATCTAATCTATACCTTCATTACTCTGTGTGCTTTGTCGCGTCCCACCTTTCACGGACACCTCGAAGCGATGGGGCAACCATACTGCCTTGGCCACACTGCCAAGCAGCGAGCTCCATACGACGTCGCCCAAGTGAGACAGAGTGGGCCAGAAAGAAACCTCGGGATCCCGAGCTTCATCTCTCCGGAGTATCTGCAGTGCTGTGACTGATCTCCGGTGTGATTCTATGCACTGTACAAGACCAACGACAGCCTACTACAGGCGTACAAGCTGAGATATGTGAGCTGCTACACCCAGCGAACTCATCATACATTGCTGGATACTCCCAAATTCAACGATGTTCGGCCCGAGCCAAGCGGTCTTCCGTCGCCGATCGCCTTTCGAATGAATCATGCCATCGATCCTTCTTTTTGACCTCTCTTATATGTCTTCAAAAGAGAGATCAGAGTAGATCCTTGCCATTCCCTACTTGTTGAAAGCTGACAACGCCCCCCCACCCTTTCTTTTCTTGGGAACGGGAATGGGAAAGAAAGGTGTAGAGCTGATGGTAATGGTATGGGTTAGGCGGGCTTTTATGAAAGGTGTGGGTTCGTTTAGAAGGGCTTATAGTACGGTTTTGGAATGGCAGTTTCATGGGTTGGATACGTTTGATTTCTATAATTTGATCAATGAATGTGGTCTGCAGAGAGAGGGCCCCTGACGTTATGCATGGTCACACTTGGACAAGAGACATGATATATAAGTCGGGTTTTGATGCCATACTTCACTACGGCACGCTACCTCTCTCACTCCGTCTTGTCGTCTTTTCCCTTTCGCAGTTCATCCAGCACCCTCCCACCTTGCCTCTTCTCCCCATACCCGGCCAACGACCCCATACTCCTCAATGCATTCTCCAACTCTTCCACCCTCTTCTGCAGCGCCTCAATCTCCCCCATAGCAGCGGTGGGAGATGTGTTGGGGGCCAATGAACCCGCCGACCCAGGTGTAGCTTGAGCAGCTTGAGCAGGCCTGACAACATTCGCCCGGGCAGACATTTGAGAACCACGCGTCAAATCCCCAACCCGCTGTTCAAGCACCTTCACCCTCTTCCTCCCTCTCCAACCCCATACACCCGCACCAACAGCTACCATACCAGCAACCAAGCCCCAGCCGGAGAGGGAGCCCGAAGAGGCGTAGGACCAAGAGTGAATTTGAGGGTTGGAGGGGGTGGTGGAGGAAGTGTGGTGGGGTTTGGGATTGTTTGCGGCCTGCGGCGCGGAGAGATGGGGAGGGAGGAGAGAAGGGTCCTCTTCCTCAGGAAAGACGAGTCTCCCAAAAGAAGGCATGGGCAACGGGAAGAATGCGTCAGAAAAGAAATCTTCTGATGGCCACTTCGACCGAGTATCGGTAGCCTCAGAGGCGTCGGAAGGGGGCTGGAGAAAGCGAGAGAAGAGTGCGTCGTTGATATGGTTGAGCCTTACATCTATCCCCGCAGGTCAGCTTCTCTCTCCCTCTCTCTCTCTCGACCGTTGATGATTGTGGACGTACCTCGGAGAAGATGTTCTCTCTCCATCCCTCCACTTCCCACTCCCCCTTCCCCAGCACCTACACCTCCTCCCCGCTCCCCGGCAGCGTGAGATCCAGCCGGTCTTTCCCAGCGTTTGATGACGACTTTGCTTACCCCGCCTCCATCCTCCCCGCCCCAAGTACGTTCATCCTCTATAACCCTAGTACCATCGGGGAGGGTATGTTCGTTGTGTCTATGCTTCGGCCCTGTGGTGGTGGCCGTGGCTGTGGTGGAGGTGGGCAAGGGAGAGGAGGATAGAGGGGATGGGGTGACGTCGTTTGATTGCGTAGCAGGTGCGGACGAAGGTGTGGGGTCGGAAGGTGTTGAGGTCGTGTCTGGATTGGTTCCGAATGAAGACATGTCTTTCGTGCTGTAGATGTTACTGGAGATGGAAAGAGAAAAGAAGAAACGAGATAGGATACGCACCATTCGTACTGGGCGGCAAAGGTGGAGGTCGTAGGTGGAGGCATCTTCGACAGATTTCTAGTACCTCCCTTCGCGTAAGCTCTCGCTCGAACCTTGCGATGTATGAGCTTATAGGGATTCTGGGGCTGATACCAACGCTGAGCAAGCTACCAGAAACAACACATACTCAACCCAGGGGTATCAGGCCAACATCAATCTCCCTTGCGCATTCTCTCTTCCTCTTCCTGCATGAGTTCAGAGACGTTCACAGCTCAATCAAGTTTTCAGGCAAAATGCATATTGCGCTTCCTATAAACCTATAAACAATAAAAAACCTTAAGACTCGGTCCGAGGACTCTCCATCTACAACTAGAAGAGAAAGTCCCTTGTTGACCTTTTTTGGGTGGGGGCGATATGCACTTTCCTATTTCCAACGCAAGAAGAGAAGACATGATACTCGAATTTTTCGAACGTAATAAAAGTGGGTTGGATGGATAGCAGAACATTACGAGTTGGGACGATTAGACGATTGGGGGGGAAGGTATCCACAGGTGGGTGAGGGTGAGGGAGGGTGATAAAAGAAAGTAATGAAACAAGGAGATAGGAAAATCGAAGGAGAGAAAAGAAAAACTTCTGACTGTTTCGCGCTGACCCCGCGCATCTTTTATCCCCCTTACATGAACGCCCTAATCTGCTCCTTGCTGAGCACCTTAAGGTCGACAAGCGACATGAGGAAAGACCCCATGTTGCTGACCTTGCCCTCAAGCTCCTCGCACCTCCTCTCGAGGAACTCGGCCCTCTCAATCTTGGCCCTCCTCTCATCTCGCGACTTTTTCGCAGCATCCTTGGCCTTGTCCCGGTTGTCGGCAATCTTTTCGCCAAACTCGGTGGCGCCGGCGACGAGCTCAGGTCGGACCTTTTTGAGGAGCTCCTCGTAGGTGGGGAACGACATGATCTCGGGGATGGTCATACCCAGGATAGCCTGGGCGGAACCGTCCTTGAGGAACTTGGCGGGGACGACAGACTTGGGACGGTCGGTGGATGGCTTGCCGGTGGCAGTGAGCCGGACGGGAGACATGTCGTCGTCAAAGTCGTCGAGAGGAAGAGCCTCGAGAGAGGAAGCGGGCGAGACGGAAGAAGAGGCGGGAGAGGGCTTGGAGACACGACGCTTAGGAGCGACAGCGGCCTTAGGCTTGCCGGTGCCGGGAGGTCGTCCTCGACGCTTGGGAGCGGGAGCCCCTTCGTCGCTGGCGTCAAAGGCCTTTCGCTTGGCACCGAGGGCGGCAACGGGTGCGACGGGCGAAGCGGGGAGCGAAAGGTTGACGGGCTCGACAGCCATGGGAGCGTTGCCGACCAAGTGAGTGATGGCAGCGTAGAGGTCGGTGTTCTCCTGGACAGGGGCAGCGGGGAGGGGCTGAGGGGGGAAGACTTCGGGAGAAGAGTCGAAACCAGAGAACAAACCAAAGTTGGTCAACTGAGCCTGGATGGTCTCGGGAGAGAGCATGTTCTCGAGGCGGTGAGACATGCCGGTAGGAGAAGAGGTGTTGAAGGCGGCGCCGAAACCAAAGCCAAAGTTGTAGTTCTGAGGCTCGGGCTCGAGCGCGACCGACTGGTCCGACTCGGTAGAGTTAGACAAAGCGGAAGCGGAGAAGGCGGGGGAGACGTTGGCAGAGACTGTAGAGATGTCAGCAGTGTTACACAAGACTACTAAGGGTGACTTACTCTTCTCGCCGAGGTCCGTCTCCACCAAAAAAGAGTCCCAGTCAATGTCGTCGATGAATGACATGTCGAGATCGTCTACGGCTTGTGTGGTAGGGATAGTGTGGTCCAAAGTCGAAATAAGACTTGGTTGACGGGGTGATATCGTCTTTTTGGGAGGCTCTACGAGTGTAGTGCGACTGGTAGGAGGGGGAGGGAGGCGCGTCGGGATAGTGGGTAGATTGTACTTTAGTCTAATAGGCGTCAGCACGGTACAACTTCGGCGCGATAGGAGAGTCTTACATGTTTACGTCTTTAGACGGGGGCGATCGACTGGTTACGAAAGGCTCAGAGATTGACTCGGACACCGGGCTTGGCAGCACGGGGGTTGTTGTTGTTGACTTGTTTGTTGTTGTTGCGCTATCGCGGGGCGGAAGAAAGTGGTGGAAGCCATGATGGGCAAAGGTTGAAAGAACCAGGTAGGGTTCGGGTTGGGTAGGGTAGGTAGTAGTAGTTAAAGTGGAGGGCTGTTGATGGCTCTGGTGACGTCCTTGTTGTTGACGACTGTTATCTTCTTGGGAAGACGGGTTGTTTAAGCGGAGAAGAACATTTTGGATAGTAGTTGAATAGTAGTTGTTGGATGATAGATGCACTTGGCGGGGTGTGGAGGGGTAATGCCCGAGGCTGAGGTGTCGCTTGTGGTAAATGCGGGGATGAGAGGAGGATGAGAAAGAAGCGAGCAATTCGCATGGGTCCAATCAGGGACGGAATTTCAACCGGCGTTTCTGTTTGCCACCCTCTATCACTGTGGCACCATATTCCACGTCACCCGCGCCAAACAACACACGTTGTTCTTCCATCGCCACGTTCTCTTTCAACCTATCTCAATCATCACAAACGTTCAACCCCGGCAATCATTTTGACCATGTACTGGCATGGCACTATTCGCGGTCCCGTTATCGGACTGGGCTCTCGTGTGTGATGCAGCAAACATTGGCCATCGCCGCGACGCTATAGCTTCAGGCTGACTCGTATTATAAGGATGGGCTAGCTGATCTCATAGTCCCCATCACTTCTATTCATCTTGTCACATACTGTATGTGCTGGTCTAACCTGTAGTAACCCCGACAGGTTGTGATTCCCGACGCTACCTCGACACTCCCAACAACAGCCACATCTCTTTTCGACGCGTCTCTCGAGAGCGCCATCGTCCCTCTTTTGGCTACCACGCCAGTATCTGGACTCTCTAGAAAACGGACTTCCTTGTTAGCCTCGAGCGCTTCAGTTCCTCAGGTCATCTTTTGACTACCCTCTCGTCATCAGGACATCCAACATCGTACGTCTCCAACTTCGTACGGCCACCATCCCTTGGCCGTCCCCTCTGCCTTATCTCTGACACTCCTCTTCTAGTCAGTGTCCTTTCACCTTCTTACCCCTCCATTCAAACCCTTGACACCTCTCCATTACCTCCTACTCTACCCGACATCAACGAGATCGACAAGACGAGCTGTATATGAAGCAGTCCGACCAATATCCGGGGTATAACCACCAAGAGCTGTTGACTCCGCCCTTGACGCCTGCGAGCCCTTTCACCCAATCCGACTGTACCTTCTCCGCTATGGGAACACGCACGACAAACGATATGGGATTGGTCGACTCGGCGAACGCATCGCCGGACTTTAGGCAGCCACCGCCAATGTCTGTACCGGAGCTTGATCTGGATTATGTTGGCGGAGGAGAAGTTGGATTTGCTAATGGGGAGAAGGGAGTTCGAAGGTGGGAGGAGGATGGGGAGGAGGAGAAGTATAGATGGAGGGAGGACATGACGGGGGAAGAGAAGGAGGCGACAGCACCCCAATACCCAACTCTTCCAACAAGTCCGATCCTGAAGAGCCTGTGACCAGGGCTTCTCTCGCGCGCATGTACAAGTCGTCGCCCGTCGAGGGCAGTAGTGTGGCCGAAACCTCGAGCGGACGCAAGTCCCTGTCCGAGTCCACTATCGACACTACGACTTCTTCCCTTTCTCCAAACCCCAACCTTCTTGCGCACGACGAGTCCACCACCGAGGGAGCCATTGCACCGGATTTGAGAGTCGAGCAGGAAAGTGCTGGGATGGAGTTGAGGAGGAAGAAGAAGGAGAAGCGGGAGAGGAAGAAGGCGGAAAAGAAGGAGTTGGAGGCGAAGCAGAAGGAGATGTCAGATGCCGAGCAGGAGGGGAGGGTTGTTCAAGATGATACGAAGGGAGAGTCGGATGTAAGCCATGACCAAGGTCTTTGAAAGATGTACACCGACTGACGATCCATGTAGGCTTCATCTAGCGCTTCTTCCCCTCCTCATCCTGATGCCTCTGAGAGCCCCTCCTCCGTCCCTGGCAGACTCCACAAGGTCATAGCGGAGGCTCCAAGATATACAGGTGATACAAAGGGATAGTCTGATGTAAGCGATCGTCCAGCTCAGGCTACAAGATCGTTCGGAGGTAATGACAAAACGGCGCAAAAGGAGGCAGCTGCAGGACCAAAGAAGAGCAGCACCGAGATTGAAACCCTCCACATCAATCCCAACTCCAACGAGAGATGGTTCTTCCTGCTCAACTCCACCAGCTTCACTCCCTCTCCGCCTTTCTATTCCGCTCCTTACTCCCCGGCGTCCCCACCCCCTCATCAGTCTGTCAACACCGCTGGGAGTGCATATCGACCCGGCTTCCGCTCGTCCTCGTACTCTTCTTCGCTCTACTCTTCCATCTACTGGGCCACCTCACTTCTGCCGCATACACTTTCCGCCTTCCGAATTATCCAACCCCGTCATCCTCATCACTCTCGTTTCCCACTTCTACGCATTCGCGCCAAGTGTCTGAGAATGGGAGGAGCCCGGGGACTGAATCGCCGGTGTACGGCATGCCGGGTGAAGAGTTGCTATCGGTATTCAGAAGAAGGTCAGAGACAGATCTCGGGAGGGAGGTCTTCCAGAGAGTTGCTTGGCGTGGTATAAAAGGGGAGGCTGCTTTGTTTTCCAGCATGTCCTACCAGACAGGAAAAGGTGCTGGAATCGGAACTGGGTACAAACGCACGTGGGTGGACGAGTAAGCCTCCCTTCATTCTCGTCTTCTCCATCGAGTACCCCAGCTGACACAGAGTAGAGTCTCAACGTGGATAGTGCCGACCGTTATTCGTCCGTCTCAAGATGGTCGCCGCGCGCTTGTCTATCTCGACAGGCAGTGGCGCGAAGCGAGAGCTGTGCAAGAGCTCAAGAGCCTCCCTGAACGCTTGGATCGGGAGAGGGCCGATGGAGAGGACAGGAGAGGTGTCTGGCTTTGGCTTGTGGATGTGTAAACCCGCGGGATACTGGTGGATAATACGACAAATATGACAAGAAGAAGCGAGAGGAATGAAGAGAAAGAATGGGAAGCGAAAGAGGAACGGAACTGAGATGAAGTAAAAGAAAGATATGGTTGTGTAAAACAAAAGTTGTGCTGCCTATCTATACGTTTCACCTGTAGTTGTATATACCTTCACTTTTCACGTTGTAAATGCACCATTCCATTGCATGACCTCCTTGCTCTCGAGACCTCTGGGGGTTTCCGTCGTCGTCCATTGCGGCTTCCTCCAGACAGTCCACAACTGCTTTGGCCATTATATGTGAGTTTGATGAGGACTTGCATAGCAATATAGAGAAATACTAATAGGTATAATGACTGCTGATCTTCATGAAGAAGAAAACAAAACCACAAAAGAAAGCCCTATGAGCCAGTTTTGTCCAAACGCTCGACCGAGGGCCTCAAGGGCCACTGATTACCGGCCGAAGGGTAAGTCAGACTTGGCAGAGCAGCCTTAGCCATCTCGTCTCCCTGATCCGCCGCCGCATTGACAAGATCACTTGCCCCGTATCCGATGAATGAAAGCTCCTTGTATGGCCACGTTTTACCATCTGTCGTTGCGTAAGGAGTGAGAAAGTCGATAGCGCCCAAGATAGACCTATGACGATAGAGTAAGCTGCAGTTCAAGGGTAGAATTGAGACGTTCACTGACTGTCCTTGCTCGCCCTTATAACCCCAAAGATCAACGCCAACCTGGTGAGCTATGTCTGCAAGCCGAGCGTGCGCTACCAGGTTAAAACACGAATAATGCCATGAGCGTGTTCGGGAGAGCTCGAGAGGCTGGGATCCGTCGGTTCCGATTTGGCTGTCGATGATGGCTTTGTCCCCTTCTACCATCGCAGCAGCAAGGTCATTTTGCCCGACATAGGCGGCAATACCGGCAATTTGCAGGCGAGCGAAAGTACCATGGTTATTCGTGGCGGACAGCTATTGTTCGTCTGTGAGCTGTATGCTTCTCGATCTATGGGGATCACGCGGCTCACTTCTTTCTTTCCGAATTTACTATCCGTCAACCACGTGAGGAATTCTTGGTTCCACGCTTTGAATGCCTTCTCCGTCTCGCTATTCCAACTCGCGTCGTACACTGTGCTGAGAATGGCCGCGGCATCAAGAACCGTCGTGTATTGCTCTGAAAAGTCCAAAATGCCAATCGCTCTTCCCTATATACAAAGTGAGCCAGCATTGTCACATCGACATGCGAACGAGGACATACGTCGTTTTCGCAAGGAATAATCTGCGAATGCTTCAGGTGCGGGGTCATCGCCGTACCCTCGTCAAGGAACCAAGTCTTGATGACTTGCGCCGCATGTTCCCTGTAAGCCGGGGTGTCGGTATAGTACCAGGCGAGCGCCAAGGAATAGGACGCAGTGAACATGTCCGCCCTGTCCTGCTTTGACGTATACAGAGAAGCTTCGGGGTTGACATAGCCGTCGCGTTTTACATACGGGCACACCTCGCCCGACTCGGGGGTTTCCCAGTTGTTTGGCCAGTAATAGGGTGCTTGGGAAGCATAATCGTGGCTAAAAATGTGTCAGCAAAGATCAAATAGTAGGCAAGTCTGAAAGTAGTAGACGCACATAGTACCATTAGGGACAGACATCTCGTTATTGGTCACTGTCCAAGGCCCTGGGATTGCATCGGCTTGGTACATCTCTCAACGACAGGGAAACTTCCACTCACCTTTCTTGAGATACTTCTTTGCCTGTTTCACCAAGTTGTCCAAGTCCTGTTGCAAATCCGCGTCTCCTTCTTGCAGCTTGGTCTTTGCTGCCCCCAGCAACAGTCCGTTCAGGACTACTGTCTGAGGCAAGATGGGTTGGTCTCCGCTGGATCGGTCTTGGACTGCCGTATGACCTGAGTTGTCCGAGAAAGGGAGAGCGGTAATGCCACCTGGTAGGCTGCAGAAGAGCAAGACCGCCATCATGGTCGAGAGCAAGGACCGTTGAGGGATAAAAGGCATGTTGGTCGCTTTCGTGAGATGTTGCGGGAGGTAGGGAGAAGGCTGGTGGGAGTGCCGAGAGAGTATTGAAAGAAGGATTGATAACTGACTTTCGAACCGGTCTTGGAAGAAGGCTTTATATACATGAGCTCGAGAGATAGCGGGCACAGGGTGCCCGCTTGTCCTTGCTGCGCCGATCCGATCTGGCCGTAGTAGCGAGCACCTCTTGCTTCTTCATGTCTGCATGGGGCCTGGAGTCCACTCCATTGAGCTTTGGTGAGGGAAAATGCCTTCAAACATCAGTGGTTTCGCTAGATAGCCCTGACTGTGAGATCCGTTGACAGATCACAACAACGAGAGATCTGCGCCTCGTGTGTTGTTGACAGCTGATCTCGGATCTCTGATCGGCTACTCGAGCTGCTCAAAGGCAATGATCTACTACATTCTTATCAGCATGACCTGAGAATAGAGTATCTCCCGACATAGAGCGGCCATATACGGGGGTCTCGGATCGGGTGAGATCTGCACTTACGGAAAGCTTCATCGGCGGAGACATTCTCGGCGACCTTCAAGGGGTTCTGAGTCTCGTGCCACTCTATGAAATAGAGGGTTCGCAGAACCCCGTTGTACTCGGTGAGGGCGGCCTTGAGAAGAGGTGCCTCCCGACATTTGCTCAAAGGAAGGTCGTCCCTTTTATCCTTGACTAGCGTTCATCGCGCGGCGTTCCCGCGCGTAATACTTATCGGATTATCAGTCCATTTATCAGAAAAAAAATATTAATTGCTGGGATTCGGAGTCATGTCTGTATCCATGAAAGATGGTATAAGTCCAATCCGCACAGAGGAGGGAAAGAATTAGGTCGGTATGCATTGAAAATGGTCACCTGCTTTCCCCAACGCTTGGATGGTCCAGAGATGCTTTCCATTCGGCTAATATGCAATCTGCTACTAACATTACACTTACGCTACCCTCCCACCTCTCAATGCGTCGAGTTCCACTCACATCCTCATTACTCCCCCTAAGACGCCGGCGTGATTGGATCTGACCTCTCGTCCGCGCTCTTCCAGAGGCTCTTCTGAGACTTTTGTCGCTGGGCGGAGCTATTAGGGATCACGCGCCTGATGAGTAAATGGGTGTCAGCCATGAAACAGTTTATAGATATTCGAGAGTCATGGAATGCACATACGAGCTATAGAAATTGCAGATGACCTCGCGCTGTGTGTCAGTCATCTTCTGGTATTATTCCATCATGAGGAGATAACGCGTTAGTCCCAGACAAGTCAACCGCCACCGGCGGCAGCTCATGAGCGAGCTCAGCTTCGTTGCTGGAGAAGCGCATGTCCTCTTCACCGAGGGCTGCGCCAATGAGACCGGACGAAGCGACCACTTAATGCTTGGTGAACGCGACATCCAGATTGGATAGATCGAAAAGCTAGTTGAGCGTCTTGGGAAACACAAAGGGTTGGAAGCGGCAGCACCCAAAGTTGGCTGGCTTGTCGCTGGAGGCGCCACCTGCTCGTTCTCCATGTCTCTGAACCAAGACCTGAGGAGCATCGACATCCCCTCATCAGCATAGCCCAACAGCACGGTGCTCTTGTAGGCTAGTCGATGGCCTCCAAGCCCCCCAAATCGACCATTGCGTTGCTCTTCCTCAACACCATAGCAGCGGCGGACTGGGACTGAGCAGACAATGGAGGGAGGAGGCGTCGATAGAGATGCACAGAGCGAGGGGAGCGGGTTTTCTAGGCGCGAGATGAAGCACTTGATCAAGCGGCCCTCGACAACGAACTCCCTGTTGACGGGCTCGGACTCCACCGTACCATGGACGCTGGGCGGCTGGTCACGAGGGGACGGTGGGTCGGAATCATACCGTAGTACACGTCGCCTAGTCAGAGTGTCAGCTTCAGAATATCATAGGAGAGAAAAGGGGCGACACACTGCCTGGTTGTGCCCAAGACGTGAACCTCTCCATTTCGCCCTGGTAGACATGGATGGGAGATTCCTGTTTGCCGTCATGAACAATTGAGGTCCAAGTGGCGCCGATTGCCTCGTCAACCGAATAGGGGGGGGTTAGTCTCATTCGGATCGACGTACAGAGAGATCACCACTGGGAAAAGGTTGGCCGCAGACTCAAGATCATACAAGATCATACGATGCTTCGAACACCATAGACCGTGGCCTGTTCTCGTTAGGCACCGTCATCACCATCGGAGTCGTCAAAATCAGAATCGGACGACTGAGGCCCGTTGATACTGGCAAAGGGGATAGGCACAGGTCTGGCGACAGGACGGTGAGAGGGCCAGGGAAGAAGAGGTCGAACAGGTGGTGGAGGGCTTTCAGGCTCGCAGAAGTCGCAAGGGCGAGTGGCGCGAGTGGATTGGCGAACGACAGTGGCTTCATCAACATGCGGTCGAGGGGCAGCCACCGGGGCAGCACGGCGAGAGGGAGGCTGGGTGCGCCACCTAGTGCTGGGCGGAGGCCCTTCAGGCTCGTAGACGTCACGAGGGCGGGTGGCGCGAGTGGATTGGCGCATGGTTCTGTTGAGACTGAGAGCAAACAAGGAGTGTATTAAAGAGAATGATAGTTCACATAGGAGGAAAAGAGAAGTGGGCTACGTAGCAGGTCAAGCGACCTGGCGCGGGTCGGGAAGGGCTTGTGTCGAGCCAGCTCCCAGCCCCAATCATCCATCTTCGGATCCGCTCCTCCCAATAAGCATACCAAAGCCCACAAGTTAAAGGTACATGCTTCGATCCTCGCGATGGGAGCGGAACCAAATAGATGAAGCGCCGAACGTGGCACTCGCCATGTCCGGTGGCTATGGAGAGACACAGACCAGGAGAATGGCATACTGGAGTATTCATTCATAAGGAAATCGAGCTAGATAGTCATGGTACGACCTAGTGTACATGGCACTAGTGTGTAGCTGCTAGGTCACGGGTCAACTTGGCTGCTGGCTGGCTTGGTAATGTTGAAAGACCAAGTTGCTGACTCCGAGGAGCTGGACCATCGACCCTACGCACACCTCATCTGACCATCAACGTCTCCCCAACCACGGCAAGCGGAGACAACTCAATCTCAGTATCTTATTTCTCTCTCTCCTCCCACAGTGCCACACTGCTGCCAGTTGATGCGGGACCCTCACGTCATACCAACATGAGCGGTCGTGACCGACGGCCTCAGCGCGCGTTCCTGCAAAAAGTTGACGTGTACGTTCTCACTCCACTTCTCCATCTTCCTTCTGTCTTCTGTCCACCATCCCTGAAACTCATTGTCTGCATTACCCTTACAGCCACATCTCATCCTCTCAAGGGATACAAGAAAGGCTGCTCGTCTAGGCGAGGCACAGCCTTCGTTCATCCGACATCACGGGAGGCGCGCGGTCAACTCTGCGGTATGCAGTGCCGCTTACGACTAGACTCCTAAAGCCAATCTACAACCTCACCAACAGTCTCACAATGCCCTTTCTCTCTACTGCTCATCATATCCTGACAATATGGTGTAGCTCTGTGCTTTTGTGCGTGCATAGACTATGAGTAGGTTTCTACGTTTGATCTCTAAGAAAACGTATTTTGACAAGAAGGACTCTGACGGGGCATATCGTACAGTACAATACAACAGCAAAAGCCGAGAAGCACGATTATTGCAAAGACTTGTGGTTATGTGTTATGGTTATGGAATGATAAGGTATAGTCGGCTTGGAGCACGATGGAAAAGGCAAGAATATAGAACAACGGTATATGCAAGAAGGAAGGAGAGCGAAATCAAAGAAGGGTTAAAGACCAAGAAGGAGGAAGAGGCAAGGGTCATAGCAGCAAGCTGACAACACCCAGACAGGCTACAGCCCATCCAGCGCCAACGGCGACTCTCCCCGCACCCGAAGTCTGGTTTCCCTTGGAAGTTCCGCCCCCCTGATTCCCAGTCCCTCCATTGGACGTCTCCAAGCTCCCCACATCCACCGTCGCATCCCCGCTCCCAACGACACTCGTACCGTACGTCGACGTCGCGTCTTCCGCCACACTTGATTCTTCGAGGAAATCGTTGGAGAAGAAGACGAGTGCGATGGAGGGGGCGAAGACGGGGATGGTACACGTGTTGGCGGTTTGGTCGCAGGCGATTTGGTATGTTGTTTGGTCACCCGACAAACGACCGTCGGCGGCAAAGGACGAGCCGAGAGTCTGGTTCGCCCAGTAGATGTCGTACTGCTCGCTTACGGTATCCGCTTGCAGGTACCTCACATACACCTCGGACGGACTACCCTGATTCTGAACATTGATGACAATGTCCAAATCGCTCCCACCCGTCGCATCATCGATAAAGTTGAACAGCACCATCCTCGCGAGGACGTCGTCCTCGTAGATGCCGTAGACGGGGTGGTAGATGTAGTTGGCGTCGACTTCGGCGAGAGGGGTGAGGTCGACGACGCGCGAGTTGTTGGATTTGCCGAAGGCTTCGGCGACAACGAGGGTGGGGTAGTAGACGCTTCCGGGGGTCCATTGGCGGGTACTCGACAAGCTGGAAGGGGGAGGAGTGAAGGGCTATGCCATGTAAGCTTTGTCGTTGTGTAGAGAAGGGAGGGGCTTACGTTGTAGTAGACGTTCTGACCACCAACGTGCATGAGGGCGGCAGAAAAGTTGCCGTACGCCATTTGCAGCGCATAATCCGTCATCCTATTCTCATCAGCTTTGAAGCGGGCTCTCGGAGGGATATACTCACCACATGGCCGCACCAAAGCTATCACTCAATCCCGGAAACCCACCACAACTTGCCGTGTTCATCTCCAACATGACATACTCCTTGCCCCTGTCCTGTACCGTCGCCGAGTCTCCCAAATACGCGCCCACAAGCGCTTGAGCAGAGGTATGGTTCAGGAAGTCGGCAAAGATGTCTTGGGCATCAATGACGTTGCCGTTGACCTGACAGTTGTTGGTGGGGTAATGTTGGACGGTGACGGCGGATAGACGGTCGACGTTGTCGTCGAGCCATCCGGCGGAGAGGAGGTCGGAGAACTCGAATCCGGCGACTTCGCAGCAGAGCGAGGGGCCGAGGAATATGGAGGGGTCGAGGAGGGAGCCGTTGGCGATGATGGAGGCGAGGGTGGCGTCGTACTCAGAGATATAGTCGGCGACGTTGTATCCCGCTTCACGATGGTTGTGGTCGACATACCTGTCGGAGGTCAGTGCCCAGTCTAAGAAGGAAGGAAAGGCGCTTACAAGTCTGGTTCGTTGCCCACACTCAGACCGAGCAAGCTATCGCCAAGAATCTCTTGGGCCCAGGTAGCCGCCAAAGGGATGTTGTCAATCTGCAAATCGACGTCCGTCTCATTGAACGCGAGACCGAAATACCATTCGACACCGACGAGGGATGTGATATTTGACATGATGTAGAACAGCTCGGGAGAGTAGTTGATGATGGGCGTGTCGGTCTGCGCATGTGTTGTAAGCTGACTGTGATGGTCCTTTGCGCAGTACTCACGGCGCCAGAGGAGACCTTGATCTTTTCCATCGCCGCGCCCTCGTCGAGCCCATCGACAAAGATGGTACTGCCTTCTTGACTGTTACCGCCTACTCTCACAATCGCGCCCACGCCCGCACGGTTCTGGATGTTGGCCATGAAATTCAGAAACGGTACTTTGAGGGTTCCGCTCCGGGCGCCCATAATGGACGGCGCGACTGACAACTCTATCGAGAACCCGAGAAAGTTGCCTTTTTGTGGGATGGACAGGGCGAGGTTTTCAGCGACGACGCCGTCGCCGTTGGAGGGGATGGACATGGTGATGGATGTGACGGCGGGGGAAGGGGGAGTGGGGGCTGTAAGACGGGCGGGGTCGTAGGCTGCGAGACCGGTGTAGGTCTCACCAGCGGCGAGGGAGGTGGCGGTGGCGGTGGCAGAAGCGCCGGTATAAAGAGTGACTGAAGCATCTGCCCGGGCGAGGGGCAGGGCAAGGAAACCGAGAAGTGGAAGGAGGGCGAGAGAGGGGAACATGGCGGATGGATGAAAAGAAGAGAGATGCGGAATGTTTACTCTCTAAAAGGAGTGCGCTTGATGGGCCTCGTGGAACTTGCCTGTGTGGGAGATCAGATGGCTCGTTTGGCGAAAGGGATCTGAGCGTACGACTGCGGGAGTTGGATCTGGATGGCCGGAGGATGGAAGGATAGGAGCGCGGAGGATACAGCAGGCGAGATCTGGGGATTGGGGGGTGGGTGGGCTGGTGGCTAGTGGGTGGTGGGTGGTGGCAGGGGGGCAGGAGAGTGGGGAGTTGGTGCGTGGTGGATTATACAAGGATATGGATGGATGGAAGAGAAGAAGAGATGCAACTGGCCCCACTGCGCCTTGGTGGCTGTCGGCTGAGCGTCAACAACCACGCCCAGATTCCGGCGCACTGTTTGGCTCTTCCGATCGTCACAGGGACCGGGAATTAACCATCTCGCTCTTCCGGGTCCTGGCCCCGCTGCTGCTCATTCGCCATGCATCCATGCAGTCTGCTGCTCTCCCCTCCCACGCATGCTCTCACTGGGATGCATAGGCACCCCCTGCAGCCTGCTGCATTGTGACTTAGAAGTTAGGACAGACACCCCAATACACCATTTGGGCTCATTGGCAGTGGCGGGAAAGACGGATAATGCGTATTTCAGGTGCAAAAATACAGGGAAAAAATCCGGTGGTACCCCGGAAGCTTGTTCGTGTTGTTTGATCTCTTCTTGTGCACCAAACAAGCGCTGCGCTCTTGGAGCTTTCGGCTTCTGGTCTTCCCGTCCCATACTCTACGTGCATAGCTGCTATTTAATGGATCCAGTGAACATGGGCAGTCATATTTCTCTGATTTTTTTTTGATTCATATGGCAAGCTTCGAGCACATCACTCGCCAGTCCAAGCTGCTGTCCCTGCATGCTGCATCCCCTCGAAAACGGAGGACCGAGTAACACTCCCCCCTTGCTCAGCTCTGCGCTCTGGGCGTGCTCAGGCCTCAGCTGCCCTTTCTCCTCTTTCCTCTCTCTCTCTCCTTCTCGCTGCATGCAGCTGCAGCCTGTCGGCCGGAAGCCCGGAACAGGGAAAGCAGGGATTAAAGCCAAATAAGGAACACAAAGCCAAGCATTTTACCAGAACTGCGCGCCGGGAACTTTTCCAGCCTCAGCCCTCTCAAGCCTTCATTGGCCCTTGGCCCAGGGCCCTTGACCCCCTTCGGCCTTCACAGATGACCGGGTTGGACTCGTTTTTCAGTATTTCCATTCCAAGCTTGTGGCCGTTGTGGCCGTTGTGGCCCTTGTGTGTTCTGTGAAGCTTGTGGGTACTGGGTTGCGGGTTGCGGCCGTTGTGGATAATTTGGATCCCGAAAGCCGAATTGGTCTTCTTGAGCTTGTTGAGCTCGAAATGTGGCTGTGGGGTATCGAGCTGGGTAGCGGGTACCGGCTCCCGGCGGAGAGATCATGGTCTGTAGTGTACCCTGTATGCACTCTGCACTCTGCAGTCTTCAGTCTTCTTGGTCCATGCTGTGCATCCTCTAGCATGCGTGCGCAAGTGCGTACTCACTCGCTGAAGTGAACAGAGATCATTAACGCATTTGCGTCGCGTCAATTAGTTTAAATGACTGATGAACAAACAACAAAAGTCAAACAAACAACTCTCTTCCCCAGGCCCTCAAGGTCTCACAAACTCTGAAAGTCAGATCTTGCGATTATGGTTATTTCTCCTCATTCTCCATCCAGCCCGAAGATGTTAAATGATATCAATTTATCAAACACTGGGGAATGGAGGACGATGACGACGACGAGTGACAAACTGACGACTGATCCCTGTGGCACCGGGCTGTAACTATGTACAACCAAGTACCATGTGTCTAAAGGTGACAGTCTTAATACCATCAAGTACTCTACAAGTATCGAGTAGCCACATCATGGAAGTCAGTTGCGGAAACAACGAACCCACCAACAAATTCTTCGATGCTTCAACGTCATCCCCGTCTTTCCTCATTCTCATCTCATACTTTCCGCCCTTCCACAGAAAGAGCCTTTCCACGAGCTCCACCAGACTGGTAAATGCTGCATGTAAAGCGTTGAGATATCTCATCACTGATTCCATCTTGACACCATCGCCTTCCCGTACATTCGACCTATCGGTTGAGTCCTGGTCACCAACGTTGGATTCCTCTAACGATCCCCAAGTCCAGATACCAAAGCAATGTCAACCCATACCATCACAGCCCCCATTCCGACCTACGCCCACAGAGCCCTCCACCGCTCCTGGGCCGCCCCCGCCCCCGTCCCGCATAACCATAACAGCCCATCTCCCCCCGCCCGACCCGTCCACCGTCCACGTACGACCAGATCGGTTGGAAGGGAAGGACAAGAACAGTGGTTCGAATGCCATCCTCTACACCATCCCGCTCCAAGGCGTGTGTCGAACTTTGCAGTGCATTTGCGGGATGTTATTGATATGATTGATAAAGACCCAGGAGAGAGCGAAGAAGTAGGGGAGGGGGAGGGGGAGGGGAAGAAGATGTCGGATTTTGAGACGCCGGCTGGTTCGCCGGCTGAGTCGCCCGTGTTTCGCACGTCTTCGTCTTCGTCGTTGGGTTTTGTGAGCCGGCCGTCTCAGCTCGGTTTGACGTCTGTCGTGTTGGAGGAGGAGGAAGCGGGTGGGGTTGAAGCGGGTGTTTCCGCTGAGAGGAAAGATGTTGATGTTGCTGGGCTGGCGGATACTGAACCCGAGGCAGTGACCGGCGGTGGAAAGGCCGTCCAATCTTTCGAGAATCCCGCGCCCAGGGTTCCACCCCCGCCTCGTCTCTCAGTGTTCAAACGCCGAGCCGCCACTCTACCCTCAACTCCCCAATTCCTCGCATCCCGCCAAACCCAAACCCAAACCCAAACCCACCGCCCCCACACCCAACCCTCCCTCAGTCCCCTCCCAACCCGTCCCATATTCGAGCGCGAAGCCTTCAAAACCACCGAAGACAAGATCCACAACTATATCAAACATTATCAGACGCATCCATGGACGGAGATGGAAGAAGGGCCGGATTATTTCTTGTTTGGGTGGAGGAATGAGGTGATTGCGAGTTGGAATAGGTTTTATAGTAAGGAGAATGAGGCGAAGAGGAGGGAGGCGAGGGGAAGTGTTAGTTTGCCTGGTTAGCGTTTTCATAGCGATAGTCAGCGGATGTATGCCTTTTGAATGTGATGACTTTGGAGGACTGGTAGCATCTCCGTATGACTAGCCCTGGCTATACGGCGGCAGTCCACCCCTATCATACCCCGGCGGTGCCCCCTGTCCTTCAGGACCCGCCCCAGGCGCCGATACCACATCACCACCTTCCTCAGCCCCAGCCACCGGCCCACTAGCCGCCACGCCCCCTACAGCATTCGCCGCCTGGCTCGCATCAAAGCTCGGCGGCGCATGTTGCGATTCATGTGGTGGAGGTGGGGTTGCAGGCAAAGGCGGGGAGTGTAGGGGATGGGCGTTGGTGGGGAGGGTTTGGGTGGAGAATTGTTGGAATGTGCGGGGAGGGGGTTGGGAGTGGGGAGAGTTGAAGGATGGGAGGGCGGGGAGGGAGGGTTCGTCGATACCTGGTGGGAGGTCGTCCTGTTTGGAATTAGTCTCAAGCACGAGAGAACTTGAGGATTACGCACCTGGAGATCGACGACTCGTGTACCGTCACCGAGTCCGAGATGTTCCATCAACTCTACAGCGCCTCCCGCCTGTCCAGCCCCGTCCAGCCCCAGACGAGCGACTACGTCTTCCACCACGCCATTCACCACCTGGACGAGCTCGCCTGGTTGGGGTGGGTCCATGGAGCCGCGGGCGTGTAACGAGGCGGCGAGGGAAGGAGGAGGCTGGGAGAACGTTTCATAGCCGTCGTACTAGTCAATGTCAGCAATGCTCAGAAAGTATGCAGAAGTACTACTCACCTCGACCCAGGTAGCGAGTTCACCTGAGAGCCCATCTCTACCCACTCTCAACTCTTCCCTCACAGGCTCCACAGCAGCGGGAGTAACATCGTTCGACTCCCTCTCCTTGCCCGTATCTCTATGCGGGAGTACCACGCTCACACTGCCTCGCCTCCTCTCCTCTTGCGCTTGAGACTCCAAGAACGTCGGAAGCCCGCTCGGACCGGAACCTGCCGCTTCTGGCTCTTGCTCGACTGGCGGAGGTGGGTATGAGGCCGATGGGCCAGCCTGTGATGGACGACGTCCAGGCTCGAATGGAGGTGGGAGATCATCCCCGGGTACGTCTTCTGCCCTGGTGGTCCCTTGGGCACCGACGATATCCCGCCCTTTAAGCCTGTACGCTTCTCTAGCTCGCTGCTGTTCCACTTCGGGATCGAGAATGGGCGAAGGAGGCTCAGAGATGGTATCAGGGAAAGTGGAAGAAGAGGCAGAAGGCGGCCGGTAGATCTTGGGCAAGATGACGATGGGGTGCTCGATCGTCCACCCATCGTCCTCGCTCTCGGAACTGGCCGGGCCTGATGGACCTGCACTGCCCCCATCGCCCAGCCCGACTCTGACGCGCACACCGAATTGGACCTCGTGCCATCCTGCGCGCTGGTTGATCTCGCCCCACGTCCGTTCTGCCAGATGGCCGGTTTGAGCTGTTGGGATAGTGAACAGCAGGCGCGGTGCCGGGAGAGGGGGAGGACCGGGGTAGCGCAGGGATTTGCCGGAGGAGTGGAGGAGAGTGTAGTGCTGTTCGGGAGCAGGAGGGGTGGAAGACGAGGATTGCGAGGAATGGATGGTGACCAAGCGGTAGAACTCGACCCGTATTCTGCGCATACGCCTCAGAATGCCCTTGGCCTCCTGCTCTGCACTTGTCGAGCCCTTCTGATATCCTGCTTGCTCACTAGTAGACAAGGTAGACGGTTTGATCTCGACTCCAAGGTGCACCAGATCACCGAGGTGAGGGGTATCCGACGACAAGAGAAGGCGGGTCGTGATGCCCTTCTTGGTCTGCACATGCTCTACCTCCTTCTTGGAGAGTGGATAGGTCGCAAACAGGGTCTGGGGCGTTCCCTCGACAGGTATTGTAGCCTCGACTTGCTGCCCCGTCGACAGGGAAAGGATAACCGAGAGCGTGTACCGCACTTCGCCTTTGGAGAGGGCTGACAGATTCAGCGTTCCAGGGAGTATCTCGCCATCTGGGTCTGCCGTCGAGCTGTCTACCCAGTCGGGCGGGGGGATGGTGGCTGGGAGAGGAATAACAAATTGGTGGCAGGCCGGGAATCTCGCTGTCGATGTACTTTCCTCGTCCAATGATGGTGGGGCCGGGTAGAGCGTCTGCTCGGGAAAGGGATAGAGGTCGATGGGGGGTGCTTCGGGCAGCACTGACTGGAGCTGCAGCTTGGCTCTCCTACAAGAGACAGTCAGCTCACGACTCCGAGGACAAAGGAAGAGCCTACAAGGCCTGTACACCGTGCTCCTCGCCAGCACCGAGGCCCTTGACAAAGACCTCGCCCTGGACAGATGGCCCGCAGAAGAATGAAGCGGCGTCGGGGAGGGGTACCACCAGGATCTGTGGGAGGGTAGGGGCATAGTCTGGGGGGTGGTCGGCCATGGCGAAAATGGAGATGAAAGAGGAGATGGGCGCAGTGGAATCCGCCAAATGACACGCACTCGCAAGGTGGAGGCAGGCGGCGTCGATGACGAAGCTTTCGAGAGGATATCTTGTTTTGGTCAAGGGCTCTTGCAACAATTGTGCATCAAGGTGAGTGAAGCATGGTGCCAGTGAGGCAAGAGTCAAGGGTTGTCTATTATATTGTATGTATCCGACGAGACGATGCTCAGCAGCTGCCACCCTCCGGCCTCTTGCGAGATCGTTCGTCAACCAACAATGCCACTCTTGACTCTGAGTGTCGTCTGCAGAAGAGTATTTGTATCGAGACTAGGGAAACCGGGTATCTACAAGAGATGTGAAGACAAAAGTCGGAATGCGCCATTGAACGCGGCAGGGAGGATCGACAAGACAAGAGCATATAGTACGGCTGTGCATAAAGTCCATATCTTCTTCTGACTTCTCTCCATATCCCCTCTGATCTATACACAATCTTCCTACCACGAATGGTTGACAAGAATGACTATCAAAGCGTTAGTACTGACACCATTGGTGCGCTGCTTGGAGGTCGCCACTCACAACGACACTGGCAGCTGTCCAGCTAGTACATGACCCACCAATCCGGATCATTGTCACTCTGAGGCATAGCATTGTTTGACCTTCTCACAGCTCCATCATCGATGGCCTCGCGAGTGTGAGAAGGCTCGGGAGAAGAAGGTGCAGGAGCTTCAACGCCAGGAGCGGAAGGGGTGTGGCGGCTGACAAGTTTGGGAAAGAAGCGCGCCATGAACTTTGACCCCGACCCCGACCTCGACCCCGATCCCGTGGTGGGAGAAGAAGGAGACTTCGGTAGGGTCTCTAGGTACTGCATCTCGGCGAGTACGGTGGCGAGCTTGCCCGTGATGGGGATAGGGCGAGACGCCACAGTAGAGTGGTCGGTGATGTTGTCGAGGACGATGATGTGAGACATGGTGAGATGAGGTGTATTTGTGGGTTGGGTGTGTGTTTTATGATGGGTGAGGGTCACTGGTCAAGTGAGGGAGTGGTTGGAATGTGGAGAGTGCATTGAGAAGAGATAGATACCGAATTGACATCTATAAGGCAGGGTTTGCGGAAGTGCTGTAGCTTTCCGCAATGGGCAGTGTTATTTCCGCTACATCATGTATCGTCTCATGACGATTGGAAACTTCTCCCGGAGTGTCATGATGACGGCCCTTCTATACGTCTCCGACAGCAGTGATGCTCGGATACATGATGTTTTGAGGATACGGCTCTGAGGTGTCGCACCAACTCATGAACCTCCACTTGAGGGACCGAAAGCCGGCTCTGCGTGGACTTCTGGGAGCTGGAGGCAGACTTTGGGACTGGGGTGCCTGCCGAGCGAGATGTATAGCTGCACTCGACATGTGGGGGATGTCCGCAGTCCATCATCCCAGCTTCCCCTGCCGCCTCTCCACCCCATCCTCAAACCTCATCTCATCCCGCGCCTCCCAACCCTCATCTTCTTCATCCCCCTCCACCTCCGCCCCATGCCCACCTTCCTCCCACTCCCCCTCATCCGTCTTCCAATACCCCCTGCCCAAGCGAGACCTTTTCCCACCCGCGACGTTGGCGTTTTCGAAGGCCAGGGCAGCTTTGCGTTTCTTTTCAATTTTTTCGAGCTGGGCGTCGGTGGCGGGGATGGCTTTGACACGGCAGACTTCGACTTGGATGCCGAGGGAGAGGAGCACGTCGATCCAGATCTGTAACATCCATGAGCGTCTGAAGAGAATAGGGCTGCTGCACACTGACCTTCTGAGTTTCAGACAGACTATCACCAGGGCCTTTGACTTCGACAAACCTCGCGTCTTTCGTCTCTGCGTTCCAAACACTGATCACTGATGAGTATATGGCCTACTGATGATATGTAGACTCACATCAAGTCCGGCACACCACTCGCCCGATGTCTATACTCCTCCGCCAACATCCTACACACCCCACTCACTCCCCTTCCGCCCAAACACTGCAGAATCTCCACCAAATCCTCCTTGCCATACTCCCAGTTCACACCCACCGCCCAGGTAGCTCGTTCTCTTTCCCTATCGTCGGCCTCTAAAAGCAGTTCGACGGCTTTCTTGCTGGAAGAAGCGATGAGGGCAAGGCGGGCTTCGAGGAGGGCGGAGCGCGAGGGTAGGAACGTATCTTCGCCGAGATCGAGAGGGGCGGTTTGGTAGGAGGTTTCAAAAGCGCCGGGGAGGGGATGGAACAGCACGGGCCAGAGTAAGAGGGTAAAGACGGTGGTAAGTATGGAGGATTCGGAATGGTATCTGTCAAGTATCAGCGAGTCTGCGAGTGAGCTTCGAGAAGGAAGCGTACCCTTTGTACCCCTTCTTCTCCCACCACTCCAAAACCCACTCTTCCACGCCGACTTCACCATCCTTGCCCATCCACAGACTCTTTCCAACCAATCTTGTCTCTCCACTGCTCTCGCCGTTTTCACTCTTCACTCCACCGGAGTAGGTTCTCGGGATCCTGACTTGGCCCCGGTTCTCGGGTAGGCGTACAGCGTTGAGGTCGCGGGTCTCGCATTTTAGAAGCGAAGCATAAGAGATGTGGCGTTCGTCTGCAGGAAGGTTGAGCTTGTTTTCGAGTCTGGTCAGGCGGCGAGATAGAGCCGGTCGATAGACTGCGCTCATGTCAATACATGTTACATGAGAAAGAGCGAGACATACTGATATGGGTATCCTCATCCAGAAGCGCGTCTATGCAGACTTGTGTAGCTTCTCGCAGTTTCGCCTTCTTCTCTTTCGGTGTGGTGTTGTAATGGTTCATGAGTACTAGAGCCAGACGGTCATACCACGCCCTATCGAGTCTTGTGTCAGTCCCGATACTATCGAGCATATAGCAGCTTACCCTCTTTTACCTCGCCTCCATCGCCGCTGAGCGATAAGGGCTTTCAATATCCTACACTCGGTGTCATATTCATGTAACACGCCGAGCGCTTCGGCACCCTACGGTTCAATGAGCTGGGATACAAGCACGAACGTCTCCCGACTCACCTTGTAGACGATCCTTGTAAGGACGTGGGCTGTTTGAAATCTATCCCCAACCAGATTCTTCTCACGTCCCTCCTCATCACCTGGGCCGGACTCTTCAGCCGCCACCATCCCCTTCCAGACATCCCAAACGCCCTCCCATATCCGTTTCACAATCGCCGCACCTTCTTTCCTTCCCAACCACTGTCCTTGATTGAACGAGACAGACCCCGCTAGAGAAGCGTTCGGGTTCTTCCGCTGTTGGTCCCAGCCCTCTCCCAGGGCATCAGTGACGGTAGCCTCCCATCCGACTGCCCTTTCCCAGACCAAAAGTTCTTCCCTCGTGTTCCAGATCTTGGATCGTGCAGGTGTACCGTAATCTGGGTAACACCGCTTTTTGGAATTGACGAGGATGCTGGGGAGCATGAGACTAGCGCCCCCGGGCGCTATAGGCGGAGTACGGGAGAAGATCAGATTCACGCGGGATATCAGGGCATGAAGTTCTGGCGTGAGGCGGATGAGGGAGGATCCCAGAATGTGTAGCAGTTGATTGCGAAGCAGAGTTTCGGTAGTTTGGGGTCTGCCGAAAGGTAATGCGGTCTGCTTTGTCGACTTTTTGGGGGTTTCTTTGGATTTTTCGAAAGGCAGAGTGGTCTGCTTCTCTTTGCCTTTGGCATTGTCCAGTGGCACAAACCCCAAAATGGTTTGCTTCTTTGCCAGGCCCTCCAAAGCTGCAATGCACCCGTCTCTCGAGCCCGTCTGATGGCTGGGAATCTTCTTCTCCCTGCACGCCTTTCGTAGTTCGTCCAGTGGCATGCACGAGAGAAGGTCGGACAGGGAAAGATCTGACTCTGATAGTGCGAAGTGAGTGAGAGGTGGTGATGGTAGAGGTTGGAGGGAAAATGGAGAGATGTGCGGGCTGGGTGCTGGTGTAGGAGTTTGAGACGGTGATGGTTTTGCGCTCGCATTTCTGGATGCTTTCCCGGTGCTGCCTCCTCGAGGTTCGACGCTGATCTCTTCATCATCGCTCACAACTTCCACCCGCCCGACTTTCGCCGCCCAAAGGCTCTCTTTGAGAGCTTCAGCCAGTTGTGGGTCTGCTTTCTCTTCTTCCAAAGTAAGACCAGACGAAAGATTTGACCAAGGTTTGGTGGAGGAAGGGCGTTTGTCGAGCGAAGGGCGTTGAGACGTAGGGGTTTTGATAGAAGATGACGAGGACATAGCCCGCTTCAGGGGAGTAGACGAAGGGCGGCTGCTGGGCCCGGGATCTTCCCAGATTGGTTCGTCGCGGACAATATCCTGCGGCACCTTCAGCTCTTGACACAACGTCTTCATCCCTTTCTTCACACCATCTTCTCCTATTTCTTGTTCGTAGGCAGCGGACAGAGACGAAAAGGTGTGTATCTTGCCGGGCACGCGGAGGAGAAGTCGGGTAAGGAGGTAATGTGATTCATCTGTCCATAGGTCAGTGATTGAACTGCGCGAAATGATACAGAGCCCTTACATGGAAGATCAAGGATATACTTGAGAACACACAGCTCCCTTGGACTGAACAAATATGATTCACTCTCCAGTACGGTATTGATCATCTCTTTTTTGATCAGCGGCTTTCCCAATGTCAAGATCAGAGGGAGCTCACCATCGAGTAGTCGAACATACATCGAGATACCCCGCTCTTGGCGTACAGTCTCTGCAGTTTCATTGCCATCTTGCGCGATCTCCCCTGCACTCTCTTCATCAAAGTACTCTCCGGCGTGCTCCAGTCCCGCGGAGGGGACGAGGAAGCTGGGAGCAGGCGGACTGGACGCCATTTTGTCGCTAAAGCGGGTGTCTTTTGCTTGAACCACAGGCTCGAGATGGTCTAGTCGTCCATTGGGTGACAAGAGAAGAGCCTGTATATGGCAGACTATTGACTTCTGACGTAGAGCCTTACGAATGCACAATTACTGATACACGAAACGCGTCTGACGCGTTACTGATGACGTTTATTTGCTTCCGCTTCGATCTGCCTGGGCGGCGGAGGCGCTCGGCCCACATGTTGTTGATGAACGCGTCTTCACGAGGCGTCCTGGGCTTGTCCCACTGCTTGAAGTAGTACAGCCTGCCGTCGCGAAGGGGGTCAAAGAATACGTACTGGCACCCGCGATCCTGCCGAGTCTCAACCGTGAGTAGGGCGAATCGGAGACCCGAGTGGGAGGCGTATATGGTGCGGCGGCTCGAAGCTCTGGTCTCGAAGTGGGAGGAGGTACGTCTTCCCATCATCATAATAGTAGCTGGCTGCCGAAATGGCTTTACTTGCAGAGTTTTTTTGAGGGCGCTTCAGTTGGCCGACTTTGTTTGTTTAACAGGATATGGACGCAAGCTAGTAAGGTCTCAAATGCGCACGAGCAGATGGAGCTTGGACATGCTGCACAGACTCGGGAAAAGCATATGACAACCCACACCGGGGCCGACATTTACAACATGCTTAGCTATGCAGCAGATCAGAGCAACCACGAGAAGAGTATGGGGAGGAGGAGACGAAGCAACGCGGGTGGTTTGACGTGCCGTTCAGTAACAAGGAAGGTCTGTGTGTATGTAGCTCACGTATGTAATGTCGCGGCGTGCACTTCTCTCATGTCTTTTGTAATGCATTGGTTCTGCTGAGAACGGGGTCGGGCAGTTGAATCAAGCAACTCATGGGTGGCCTGGGCCGGGCAGCCTCGCATCATCCAACTACTTACGTAAAGCGTTCATTTGGTCCCGTTTGCATCATGGACAATCTGCAGAAGCGGATTGGCGGGCGCTCATTACCTCTATCATTTCCGTCCATCCCATCCAAAACCACTATCAGCCATGTTCAGAGCCACCCGAGTCCCCTGCTCCGCCCTCCGGTATGTCCAAGACTGGCGCGGAGACGTAATTTTGGCAAGCAACTGACAAGACGTCGGCAGCCCCTTGAAGACCTCTACGAATATCTTTGGTCTCCCTGTCCACCAAAACCCCCTGCCCGCCCTCACCACCATCTACACCACCACCCTCGCATCCCTGACACACCTCCCCTCCACATCAGTCTACCGCCAAGCCACGGAGGCGATCACCAAGCACCGAATGTCGATCGTCGAGCAGGCGCAAGGGAATGTGGAGGAGGCCGAGGAGAAGCTGGGCGGTAGGGTGGTGGAATGGGTTATCGAGGAGGCTGAAAGAGAGGCGGCTTTGGCAGCAAAGGCGGTTGAGTGGAAGGTGTAAGTGGGGACTTTGGGATGATGTCGGGACGTGCTGACAGGACAATAGTTGGGAACCTCTTGTTGAAGAACCTGCTCCTCAACAATGGCGATACTTTGAGCCCCTGAGCGACGACGCTTGATTCTTTCTTCTTTTCACGACCCCAGCATTGTATAGGGAGTTTCCGGAGGAGCTGCATCGAGATGCATGATTCTAAGACGATCAATCAAGGAGGCGACTGACATGCGCTGTATAACACTGCTCAAGGATGATATCTAATTCTGTAGGGTTTATCACCGCCCTTCACCTTCACTCGAGTGTACGGATCCAGCTGCACGTCAAGATCCGTCCTGTGCCCTCTGTATCCTCTCTGGCCACCACTGTCGCCCCCGCCTCCAGTCTCGCTGTCTTCACTCCCACTCTCGCTATCGCTGTCGCTCGCACCATCATTCCTAGTCCCTCCTTCTCTACGGCCTTCGTTCCCACCATCGCTGTCGCTGCTGTTCTCGTTGTGCATTGGAGAAGCGGGAGAGTCCGGCACGATGTCCGAGTCAGAGGTAGAGTCCGTTGAGGAGTCAGAGGAAGTGTCTGAATCAGTATCAGAAGAGGAGTCCGAGTCGGTTTGAGAACCAGCAGATACCGGAGCTCTGTCATCTGTTGATGTGGATGCGTCTGTTTTGGCAGTCGTGGGGGTACTCGGATCTGAGCTATCTGAGGTGGAAGGTGAAGGAGGCGATGAAGACGCAGAGGAGTCTGTATCAGACTCGGCAGGAGTGTGTCCGTCTTTCTTCCGTTCGTCTCCCCTGTCTCTGTCTTTTCTGTCTTTCTTCCGTTCGTCTCCCCTGTCTCTGTCTTTTCTGTCTTTCTTCTTGGGATCTCTTTCACCTGACCCGCGTTGGTCGTTGCCATCCTCCCTTTGCCCATCCTCGCTACCCCCGGAGGTACTCTCGCCCCTGCCCGTATCGCGTGCACTGTCCTTCTTATGCTTCCTGGGGTCTTTCTTCGCCTCTCTTCGAGGGTCCCCCGGCTCTTCCCCACCTCTTGTACCACTCCCCCCCGGGCCTCTAGCATCATCCTCCCTCCTTCCAGGTCTACCTCCATCATCACCCGACCTTGGCCGGTCATCTTCAGGCCTTCGCGTTGAGCCTGATGGATCTGTAGTGGAGTGCTGGCGATCGGATGAAGAGCCGGGTAGGGAGGGAAATGATGAGGGGGAGGTTGAAGCGACGATCAGGCCGATGGCGATGAGTAGGATTAGGAGAGCTTCACTTAGGGCTTTTTCAAAGAACATTGTTGGACGCTCTTTGCGAGGATTGCGGTATACTCTTGGGAAAGGCAATCGGATCCAAGGTCGGCGTGAGGTTCAATGCGGATAGAAGGCATTTTTAGGCTCAACAAAGCCCCTCCTAGGGCATTTGTACCAGAGCTTAGTCTGTTGAGATGCGCGGGATAAAGGAAGGAGTCGTGAAAGCAGCAGGTGAAAGGTACTGCTTGTGCTCATGGTTGGGTGTATCTATGCATCATAATATATTGGCGACAAAGTGTGTGCATGCTGTATTAGTCCAGCTTGGTCTGCATTATCATTAGCAACGATCTCCGTGCCACCCCACCAAAGACTCACATTACTAAAGTCCATCTCGGGATGCTCCCGCTTAAACTTTTCCACCAACTCTTCCTTCTTGATCTGATCGCTCGTCTTGCCGCCCATAGCCTTCTGGCGATTATCAAACATCATCTTCTCCACCATCCCTCTCGTGGCTGGGTCCAGATCGGACAGCTGCGAGTTTTCGGGTTTGATCTTCTTGGTGTCGATCTTGGGGTGGTGGGTGAGGATGTGCGGCCACCATTGGGACTTGCCGATGTGGGAGGAGAGTTTTTCGAGCTCAATCGTGAGGATGGAAGAGTCTGTTTACCACAGGATAAGCTGTGTACGAAGGTTATGATGGAAGGGCGTACCGATGGTCCATGAACAGTCGTCAACAACTACGTCGGCAAACAGCTGACCTTCCAATATGGCGTCTTTCTCCTTTTTCAATTGTACCTATGATCCGAATTAGATTATGCGATTGCTTACATTGCTGGATCACAAGCAGAGTTTCCGGCGAGCGAACCTTGAGTGTCGTCTTCTTGATCTCTACGATCAGGTCTTTCCCGCGAGTCCCTTCGGGCAAAGGAACCGTGACAGTAGCGGTATCAAGCTCTTGTGTCCATTTGTAAGGCAGTTCTGTACCATATCGTCAGTCTCTACCCCCATATCTCAATCATATGAGTGTTAAAGTGGCAGCTCAACCCAATTCTTGAAGATAGGACAAGGAACGTACCGGCTTGTTCAGCTTGCTCTCTTTGTCTTTCAGCGAAATCGAACGCAGTCCGCTCTTGGGGGGTCATCTGGTCGTACGTCTTGTCAGACATCTTGTCGATAGTATGGGGGGTTATTGATGTGTTGATAATGGAATAGAACAAGTGTAACAAAAATAGATATGTAATGATTGACGAAAGATGGAGAGAGAGAAGGGTCCTCGACAGGCCGACGGGCGTCAGGCGGCCATGTCCGCGCACGGGATCAATTTGTTTGTCTCCTCTGCTTGAAATCAAAAAGTTCTCTATGGTCCATATAATTCTCAAATAGAATCAGGCAGTGCCCCCATCACTCACTACAAGCCAAGATTGACCAACCATTATGTCCGACGCCTTCTCAACACATCCCGAGCACGCCCTCGACCATCCCGAACTCGAGGCCATCTTGGAACAGGCCAAAGCCGGGCCCAGCAGCGCGAGCTTGGGCGATGGAGCAGAGGGGATGAGCGTGGAAGATGCCTTCGAAGTTGAAGAGAGTGTGAGGAGAATACTGGAAGGGGGTTACAAGACTGTAAGTCATGTCGAGGATGTGATACACATAGCTGACGAAGGAGCGTAGATTGGACTGCAGTTTCCAGATGAACTGCTGCCGACTTCGGTTTCAGTCTATCGGGCGATACAGACTCGAATAGGACACACTGGCGCACAAGCATACGTTCTGGCTGACAGTACATATGGGAAGTGAGTGTCACTGGGATCTCCAAGAAGTCGCAAGAGCTCATGCGCCGAGACAGCTGTTGTCCCGATATCCTGAGCTGTTTGCATTTGCCGGCAGATTTCTTGGTTCACTATGGCCATGCTTGCCTAACACCGTACGTCTATGCCAACGTGACATGGCAATGAGCTGATATGGATCTGAACGCAGAACCGACGCACTCCCGATACATTACGTCTTTCCCCGTAAGAAGCTCGACGTCGAGCATGCCTTCGGGGCATTGTCCAAGGCCAGCGAGGAAGATGTGCAAGATGGGAAGAAGGGTGTGATCGTTGTCTGGGATGTGGCATATGACTGGCTTGCGAGTGAGTCATTGCCACCGACAGGGCGACAGCGGGCTCATTTGGATACAGGTTCGATTGCAGAGACATTCAACAAAGAATCAACGATACCCACCACTTTCGCGCATATCAACAAGCCTACTGCTGCTCCTCCAAAGAGCGATGAAAAGGGCAAAGCGCCTGCTTTGAGGACTGTTGAGCCTCCTGAGGGTTTGGCGTTGACCGACTGCATACTGTGGTATATCGGGGAAGAGGGCAGGTCATCCATGAACCTCCAGATGACCCACGCCTACAACTCTGTACGTCATTTCAGTCGCTATCTATTATCGCTGACCTTCTTTAGCTTTACTTGTACTCCCCAACATCCCAAACCACCTCTCCCCTCCACCGCACCACTTCCCGTCTCCTATCCCGCCGCCTCTTCGCCCTCCACCAAGCCCTCTCCTCCGACATCTTCGGCCTCATCGTCTCCAACATCGGCCTCTCCTCCTCCCGTCCCCTCCTCGCCCAACTCCGCGCCGACCTCAGACGCGCCCAGAAAAAGTCTTACACCCTCAGCGTGGGCAGGCTCAACCCCGCCAAGCTGGCAAACTTTGTGGAGATAGAGTGTTTTGTGTTGGTGGGGTGTAATGAGGGTGGGGTGGTGGATTCGAAAGAGTTTATGAGACCTATCATTACGCCTTGGGAATTGAGCTTGGCTTTGCAAGGAGAGGGGCACGAGTGGGCGCCGGAAAAGTGGACGTTAGATTTGGGCAAGGTTCTGGAAGGTGAGTCCGTCTTCCTATCAGCGGGACTCTGGACTGATGATCCGACAGATGCGAGAGCCAAAGCCGATGAAGATGACGATAAATCAGAAACCCAATCCAACCACTCCACCTCTTCCGACGAAGCCCCCGAATTCTCCCTTATCACCGGTACCTACCGCACCAAGAAACGTTTCAACGACGAATCTGCGGGACCTGCTACTACCAACCAGATCGAATCCGGCATTCAGGATCTTACGCTTCGGGATCAGACGTTTGCGTTGAGCAAGCTGGAGAGCGCGGGATCGAGCTTTTTGGCGTCGAGAGAGTTTAAGGGGTTGGAAGTGAGGTATGGGATGGATGAGCCTAGTTTGTTGGAGGAGGGGAGGAGTGGGGTGGCGAGGGGGTATACGGAGGAGAAGTAGACAGCTTGACTGGAACATGTATACCGTGGTCCAAGGTCATAAAACGGCGCTCTACCCATGTACCATTCATCACGGTGTCTACGAGCTCTCAAGCAGGATATGCGGTACGGGTGGCTTCGAGAGGTCCGTTCTACGCCTGAGAGTCTCGTGTCGCTTCCCAAAGTACATCTGATACCGTGTTCTGATACCTCACCTCGACCCTTCCACGCAGATGTTTCAGTTCGCTTAGCACCAGTGCCCTCTTTTGCGTGTTATCGTATGCAAGGTCGAGTTCGGCAGGCAAGGTGCTTATGTCGAAATTAGCTTGTCGCAGACGTTCCTCGTTGGTTTTATTTCTGGTTGACCAGTTGGACAATATTCTTGAGATGGGGTTCCGTGAATCTGCCATTCGAACAGTACTAGGATGAGAGAACGATGTTGTCCCCACGCCTGGCCGTTGGTAGAGCTCTTCAGGGCTCTGGCGAGAAAGGATTACGGTATTCAACGCTTCATCGCTCATTATGGTGAGGTCGTCTGTTGGTTCAGACGGCTCCTGGTCAGGGCGCTCGCTGTCACTTTCTGTTGCGAAAGTGAAATCACGGATCAGGGCCTTTCGTCGATCAACATTCTCTTGAACTTCGGCGATCTCAGTCTCCACATATGACCGCTGAGTCTCGATTACAAGAAGTTGCTTCCGATATCCATTCTGCTTTGACAAGGCTTGTTCAAGCTCAGAGCGGGTGTCCTTATGTCTTTTATGGGCTAATAGAAGCCCACGACAAGTCATGGGAGAACTATCCCTTGTCCGCCTTGGGCTGCTCGAGTCTCGTCGGGAAAGCGGTGGCGAATCTTGCCTAGCTTTTTGGTTCATAGGGAACGACCACTCTTGTGATGGGTACATGTTTGCGGTACGGGTTGTGGATGATCGTGATTATGCGGCCGGGTCTAGCTGCTTGTTTGTGTCTGAAAAAATATTATAGAAAAGATCTTGTTGTAGTTCGGACGATCAGCCAACCTTCGTCGTAATCTACATTCACACATGAAAACACAGACCACATTTGATCTCCGCGCACAACAGCGGTCCTTGTAATGCCGCCATTGTTGCATAGTTGATGTTAGCTCACCGCCCTCGTCAGCAGTCGGACACTATTCCATTGTCTCTACCTTTTTTCAGGAGAGGCTATCCTTGTGGCTTCCTTTTTTTCGGAGTCTCATAGCCGCATTCGGACTTATATTGGACAATGGCAGATTTGAAACACCAGGAGGAAAGGGCGGAAGAGAGGAGGAAGTTGTTGCTGGACGAACGGTCCCCATTTGGCGGAACAGCAAAAGGTCTACTCTACGTACTTCTGTCAGAGACAGAATGAAGGTTTCTGTCAGAGACAGAATGAAGGTTTTCATACGCGGTGTCATCCTGCTACAGTATCGTGGCACGTGCAGTGATGGTCTGAGGTAGTTGGTCACCTTCTTCGGAGTCTATGCTCAACCTCGATCCTTGTTCAAAGCTCTCCAGCTGAACCTTCACCCTCTAAGCTTCTGTATTGCGTCCACAGCTGAATCAACTCTTGCGCCCCAGCCTTCAACATTTCATTTTCGGCCTCAGTCTCGGACTGTAGGGAGGATATTTCGTCGTTGATTTCTATCAGCAGACATTCGTTAGTCTTGTGTCGATCTGACGCGGTGAGGAGTCTTGATAAGGGATTGAGAGGGGCTTTGTGAGAGGTAGGTGTAGGGGAAGGAGATCGTGACACTAGACCGGCTTGTTGAGTCGTCCATTTCACGGTCATCAAGGCCAAGCGATTAGATATCAAAGCAAAATCTTCAGAAGCATCATTTCTACCTTCCTGTTCGCCGGCATCAGAGCTCCCGCCCCCCTCAAGCCCATGAGATTGGTGCCGTTCAATCCTGCTTTTCATCATCGTAACCTGAGTTTCAACATCGGAACGCAAAGATTTCTTGTCATCGAGGTCCCTTTGATGACGGGCTCTTTTGGTCTCAGCGACGTCGAGTCCAAGCCGGGTTTCTTTATGCCTGCCATGATCAGGCAAGACTCTACTTGCTGTGGTGGTGAGCGCAGGGAAGGCGCTAAGGGCCGATTGATGCGAGGATGATGCGTCGTCGTCCATTCTCAAATTTACCGCTGTAACAGTCTTTCAGGTGTCGATCGATTATGTTAGGGAGGAGGATAGCTGAGGATTCGTCTGACAGCTCAGATATATTCTGCATCCTACTTACTTCCATAGGCGGAGCTTGGATGTAATAAGCCTTACGATGAGTGGAGGACCGGAGTTAGGAAGTAAGCCGTCCTTTGTTGTTGTGCGTATACTTGCCGCCGCGATCACATTTGTATAGCCGCCAGCTGGGCTTTGCCAACGGTGTTGTAGCTATCATGATGGGTAGTCTCCTTTGACGTACTTGACTTTCAAGCACATCACAGCAGCGCGGATATATCCTGAGGGGGCGCTACTAAGACATGAACAACAATGTAAGTCACTAGGCATACTTAATGGTGATGGTAGCAAGAGGAGATGTTTCTGCTGATTTATGAGTTTAGAGAAAAACAATGAGAAGCCGCTATGATACAGTTCCTTGTCGCCATTGACATGGCAGCAGAGGCTGCCGGTCGTCACGACGCGCAGTGTGCACTTATAACCGTACCACACTGTGATGTGTCCGGCCATAAACCTCTTTCACGTCCATAGACTTCAAAGACTAGCTGGAGATTTGATATCGAGTAGAATATGGTCTTCACATAAGCATCGCATACTGTAGTCTAGTCGGCCGGGCTACTCTGCTTTCATTTCATTCAACATCATCCTCTTCAACAGCGGAATCAGATGATAAGAGGAGCGGGATCAAATTTCACTAACCTTTAGGTCGCGTTTGGTCCGCCGCCTGCTTGAAAGCTGCTCGAAAGAATTATTCTGCTCCTCTCGCATTCCTCCCCTCCCTCGCCCCTGTATACTCCATCCTCCAGTCCCCTGGAATCCCTCGCAAGCAGATATACCCTTGTGGTATCCCCCTCCCCCCGCGACCTCCACTTCAAAAACCCTACGTCGCTTTCAAAACATTACGCGCACACGGCGGTCAATTGGGGTTGAACAACAGCTCATCTAAATCACGCCCTTCAAGCATAGAAGTGTAGACTGAGGACATCAGAGGGAATATAGCGAGAATGAGCTACGGCCAAGCTTTGCAGAAAGTCAACTCATGGGCGGATTTCGAGGTACGTTCGTCACCTTTGCGCTCGATCGGCTTTGTCTGACACGGAGCTCTCGGGCAGATCTTCATACGTGGGCGCGTATTTACCCAGACAATCCCAGGCCTCAAGCATATTGCGGTCATACTGCAGATGTATGGTAATGTCTACGCTGGCATACGGTCGTCTGATAGGAAGAGTGATATGGTCGACAAGTAAGTGCGATTCTTTCAAGTCTCTCGGCAAGACTGATGCCCCGGAAGGTTGAAATCCGCATTTTATGGAATCAAGTCCCGAAATGACTTGCAGACGTATGCCGATGTGCGAGTCAGATGCGAGGCGTATGCGTTTGGCTACACGACCGAGTCATTGAATGCCGCCCTCGCCCAGCCAACAGCTGTCCCGCCAGCCAGTGGCGCACCGGTCAATGGCGCCCCACCACCGGCTGCAGGGCCTTCGACAGCTGCCGCAGGATCTACTGGATCAGCAGGATTTGGTGTGCAGAGATGGCAACCTCGTACGTCGTTGATCGTGGCCGAAGGGGCATTTTCTAATGGACCGAACAGAAACGGCTACTGGAGGAGGATCAAATGGCGCGGCATATCCAGCATCATCGGCTCCGGCACTACCAGAACGTGTACCGCCTAGAACAGCGCTTATGAATGCTTATCGTGGTGAGTCGGTCAGCCTTCACTTCGGCGTAGTGCTGACATCCAACTGTAGAGGCGGCAGGACCCGCGGCTATCAATCACGTACCGAGAGGACCAATATTGCTTGAGTGGAAGACGAGTCCAATGTGGAAACCTGTACAGGCGATTACAAATATGGAGCAATTACCAGGTCGGTCGTCTAGGCTCACGTCAAGGCACAGCTGATCGGTCTTTAGATATCACGGCCCACGAAAGCCACACAAATCGCAAAGAAAGAGTCACTCGTTTCGTTCTTCCTAACGACGTAATCGCCAAACTCAACATGTCCCACACCTCCCCAACTACGACACCCCACTACTCTCTCCGCCTATTCTGCGCCTCCTCAGATCATTACCGCCCACTGAACGCTCGCACAAATCCGTACGGCACCAACAAGGATATACCGATCGAATATCCGTCTTTGCCGGATGTGTATGTGGATGGAGTCGGCTTGCCGTTCAAGGAGAAGGGACTGAGAGGGAAAGCGGGGAGCGCTCCGCCGTTTGATCTGGAAAAGGCGCCGGCGAGGCGGGGGTATATGCCGGGGAGGATGATTTCGGTGGCGTTTGGGCACAAGGGGCCGACGACGGGAAAGAACAAGTCCATCTCCAAAGTGAGTCTTTCTATACTGGGCTACTGTTGTTCGTAGGCTGATGTGCGTACAGAAATTCTTCTACCAGCTGGTCTTGGCGGAAATAACGACGAAAGAGGAACTGTTGACAAGACTGGGCAACCTTCAACCCACAAATGCGGGTGATTCTTTGGACCAATGTAGGTATACACAGTGCTTCTTCTCCATAGTATTGACCTCTCCCTTAGTACGAAGACAGCAAGACGAGGACGATGATATCGTAGCGGGAACGGCGTCATTATCGCTCAAGGATCCAGTGGGTACCTTTTGACTCTCATTAGAATGCGCTGACCACTGGCAGTTGTCGTATATGCGTATATCACGTCCAGTACGGTCCAAGAAATGTTCACATCTTCAATGTTTCGAGGCCCAGTGGTGGGTTGAGAGCAACGCCACTCATCCACAGTGGCTGTGCCCACATTGCAGCAAAGAGCTGTTCTTTGACGACCTTATCATTGATGGGTACGTCTTCCTCACTCTGTGAAATACATTGAACTGACATTCGCTCAGATACGTCTCTTCAATATTGAAAGCCGTTCCGGACGATTACGACGATGTGATCTTGGAGCCTTCAGGCGAATGGCACACGGAAGATAACAAATACGCCTCCGAGGTCTGGCGAGCAGCGCATCCTCCTCCAGCTCCGCCTGCCCCCGCCATCCCATCTGTACCACCTCCTTCCGGCCCATCATCCTCTACACCAGGGCTCGAAACGAAACCCAGTCTGACCCAGCTCAACGGCAACGACAGCAGCAATGGTGAAGGCGCCAAGCGAAAAGTGGTCGAGATCTTGGACTCGGACGACGAAGATAGTCTCCGTGGTAAATCTTCGGCAGCCCCTTCTTCGCGCGTGTCCCTCTCCATCCCTCCTGTCGGTGCTCGAACAGGTCTCAATACACCGATTATTGATCTGACTCTGTCAGATTCAGAAGACGAAGGCCCACCACCGCCACCGCGTGCACCTGCGCCTGCGACGGCGAACCCGGTGACAGCGCAAGTGTCGAGACCGCATACGTCTATGGGGACGAGCGCGAGTGATATGGATGGTGAAAATGCGTTCTGGCGGGGCAACGTGAATGATGGGCAGGGGGCGGGGATCAATGGGGGCAGTTCGAGTCTTCCGGCCAGCTCGACGCAGTCTACGCCGGCTGCAGGGGCTGGGAGGATGCCGCAGATGGGAACTTGGGATTAGACTTTAGTCGCTTAGTCGACCGATGAGTGGGGTGTTGAGGTTTCTTGGGTTGTCATTGGGGATGTTAGCGCATACGATCATTTTATATTTGTATAGAAATTTTCATGAAGGTCTTGACCGGTCATCGAGTCTGGAAAGGGTGGTGGAGTGAACTCGCATCGACAGCAGGCCCAGATTCTCCTGGTGTCAGATGTGCAAAGATCCAGAAGTGGATAGTCAGACGGCGAGTCATAACTTGGGCTCCTGCACGAGTCTGTCATCGAGTTGGCCGAGGATCATAGCTCATGATATGCATGAAATCGAGAGTCCACATATCAATACTTCTTCGCCTCTACACCCTCTGGTGGTCTGATTGGAGTCGTCTCTGCAAATGGTTAGCGGCAGCCCCATACGGCGAGCACTCACCTTTCCCGATATTCGACCAGTCCGTGCTCAGTGTAGTACCACCACTCTCGGTGAAACTCTTGATCATCGCCCGGCGCGTATCATCGTCGGCATCGCCATACAGCTGGGAAAAGAATTTTTGAAGAGCAGCGTCGCCTCCTGCGTTCTGCAGATACTGGTCAGTGCAGGCGCTTGGGGTGTAGAGGCTTGGGGGGACGTACAGGATCCGAAGCATCGTTCTCCTCTTCCTCCACGTCAAACTTGTCCCAGTTCGTCTTTTCCTTCTTCTTCTGCGCGACCCCTTCAGACTTGGACTTGCTAGCACCCCCGGAAACGGCGCTCGCTCCAGCGGCACTTGAGGAGCTAGGTCCAGCCTGCTGAGCGACAGGCGGCTTGGTGGGGTCTGCCAGCAACGTAGGCCAGCTGACGGCTTCGCCTTTCTGAAGCTTGAGCTCGAGCTTGGTACCGAGTACTCTGAAAGAGCTGCCCGGGGCGAGCACGCTGGCAAGGGGAGAGAGGGTGAGAGACTGGGTTTCTGGGGAAGGGCCGGAGGGCAGAGGCGGGAGAGTAATTTTGATCTGCGATATCGTCAGCACCCGCTTATATTGGTACGTGACGCTCAAGCTTTCGCTGAAGACTCACTGAAGTGGTTTCAAAGTCTACTTTGACGTCGTCTTTAACCTTGTCGTACCCCTTGAGGTAGATGGCGAGGATGAGCTCGGAGGGGGTTTGGTAGAAGTCGTACCGGGGGGTAGGGATCTCTGTGGCCATGCTGGCTATAATATCAGATGTCAAAAAGTGGAAAAAGGGATGACAATCAGTGAAAGTGGTTTTGAAGAGCAGAGAGATCTTCTAGAACGCGAATGTCGGCAATGACCGCAATTATCTACCGGCCGCCGCCAAGAACGACTGAGCATACAACTGGCACCTGACAGTGAGTGCTATGCAGCTTGATTAAACGTAGGTGGCCATCATACCACCCCATGCATGGCCCATTATGCACAACAAGCAGAAAAGGATCGGAACCAAACATTGACCCCCATACAAAGCGGCAGCCGCCGCCCAGGGTGCCTCCACTCAAACTTGCCACCTTCTTCAATCTCGACTTCTTGCGCTTCAAAATTCTTTCGTCACAACAAATACCTCAAACCCGTCCATCCCACCATCTCAATTACAGCAAATAATGGCCCCATTCGGAGGACGTGGTCAATCTAGCGGAGGGTATGGTAGTCGAGGCGGAGGAGGAAGCCGGGGCGGTGGTGGTTTCAGGGGTGGAGGAAGGGGAGGCAGGGGTGGGTTTAGGGGTGGGAGGGATAATGGGCCGAAGTTGCCGGCAGAGCTGCTTGAGCAGGTGGACGCCAAGTATGGTATGTATTCTTCCTCTTCGTGGGTACAAGCTGCTGACTTTGCGAGAAGGTTCTGGAGGCAAGAGAGATATCTCGCGGAAGGAGAAACGCAAAGCAGCTAGAGACGACAAGCGCGGACCTGCCCAGCGATCTCGACGTGCATCTCCATCAGAAGGCGGAGAAGAAGAAGAGGAAGAGCGACCACCAGCAAAGAAAGCCAAGACTGCCCCTCCTCCCGTATCATCGAAAGGCAAGGAGAAGGAAGGGGAGAAGAAGGAGAAGAAGAAGAAGCTTCCCGAGCTGACCTTGCCCGGGACGGATACGAACAATGATGTGGAGGATAAGGAGATTGCGTGGTTGGAGTACATGCTCAAGAAGGAGAAGAAGCCGAAAGACGAAGATGACTTGGAAGATGGGCTGGATGGTACGTTCTGGCCGAGTTTGAGTATGGGCTGTGCTGATTTCAGAGTAGATCTGTTGGACTTTACCGAAGGGCTTGGTCGGAAAGGAAGTACTGCCAAGGGGTCAATGCTTGATGAAAGCGATGACGGTTTTGATTCCGACGAGGACGAGGAAGAGATGGTTGATCTAATTGAAGACGAGGAGGAAGAGGATGAGGATCAGCAGAGCCTCAAAGAATCGGAGGTACGTCATCCCGCTTGAGTTGTGACGATATCTCACCCTCTGCGCAGGATGAAGGAGAGTTCCAAGGGTTTGGGGATAGCGACGACGCTGCTTCAGAACCAGGACTTGAAGACGAAGACGAATCACCACCCCAAAACCCCATCGACCCCAAAGCCGGAGAAGCCGCTTCAGACGACCAACCCGCCCCCACCAAATACATTCCTCCCCATCTCCGAGCTGCCCAACTCGCCGAAAAAGCCAAAGGCGACAAGGCCAAGATCGAGGCTCGCCTCAAGCTTGAGAGGAAGGCGCAGGGTCTGTTGAATAAGCTGAGTGAACAGAATTTGGAATCTATCCTCGGGGAGATTGAGGGGTTGTATAGGGATAACAGCCGTAACGGTGCGCTTCATCCTTTGTGAAGTAGAGTACGAAGCTGACTTTGAACAGATACGACCACGACCCTCACGGACTTGGTTATTCAGATGATATCAAACAAGGCCAACTTGCTCGACTCTTTCGTCGTCCTCTACGCCACTTTGGTCGGTGCCCTCCACCGTATTATCGGTATCGAATTCGGCGCCCATTTCACCCACACGCTCGTCATGAAATACATCCACGCCTCGTCCTCCTCCTCGTCTTCTTCCGACGACATTACAGAACCCAAGGAGAGCATCATCCAAGCAACCATCTACGAAACGCCTGATGCGGGCAAAGAAGCGCTCAATCTTTTGACGTTGATTGCGGAGCTGTATAATGCGCAAGTGGTGGGGTCGAGGTTGATTTATGATCTTGTGAGGGGGTTTATTGATAGTGAAGGGAAAGAGGGCGAGGTGATGGGTGAACGTGAGATTGAGGGGCTGTTGAAAGTCTTGAGATGCAGGTATACCGCTCCCTTCCCTTACCCCAATACTAATGTCAAGCAGGTTCCGGCAGCCAACTCCGATCCGACGATCCCTCAAGTCTCAAAGACATTGTCAACCTCGTCCAAGCCAAGACGAAAGGTAAAGAAAAGACCATGACGGCCCGTGCGCGCTTCATGGTCGAGACGCTCGTCAACGTTAATAAACATGGCAAATTGAGAGCTGGGGCGGAGGGGGAGGCGGGGAATGAAGCTGCGCAGAGGATGAAAAAGTTCTTGTCTGGTTTGGGCAAGAAACGGAGATGTGAGTCCTTTTCTTCAAGGTTTGTGGGTGAGGGTATGGCTGATTTTGGGGATAGTACTTACGTATGAGCCGTTAAGAGTGTCTCTCTCCGACTTGACGTCTGCGGATAAGAAGGGTAAATGGTGGTTGGTCGGCGCTGGGTGGTCTGGAAACCCCCTGGTAGACTTGGAACAGCAGCGCGAGGAAGCGCGAGCGGGGAAGAAGACAAAGAAGAATGCAAAGGGTCAAGATGCGGAGAAGGATAATGAAGCGGCGTTGTTGGAGCTTGCGAGGAAGCAGGGGATGAATACGGATGTTCGTCGGGGAGTGTTTGTGGTGCTCATGACGAGTGAAGTGAGTGTTTTTTTTTTTTTCTTTTTTTTTTTTCAGACACGGAGGGACGACACTGATCATCTTCCAGGATTACGCCCATGCTTGTGACCGACTCAGTCACTTTAAGCTAAGTGACGTCCAACAGCGAGAGTTTGTTCGCGTGGCGTTGCATTGCTGTGGACTGGTATGACTCTCCCACTATCATTTCCATCACCACTAACACATACCCAGGAACCGACATACAACCCCTACTACACCCTGATCCTCAACCATCTCTGCGCCAACTCTTACGACCACCGCTTCACATTCCAATACGCCCTGTGGGACTTTATGCGCGAGCTCGAGAATGGCAGCACCGTCCCGAAACAAAAGCTCGGCAACGTGGCCCGAGCCGTCGCATACGTCGTCGCCCGGGGAGGGGTGGACTTGACAGTATTCAAAGCTATCGATTTCACCGCCCTCTCCAAACCTCTCACCAAATTCCTCACCACCTTCTTACCCTTCTTCCTCATCGCCCTCCAATCCATCTCGCCGATATTCAACCTCCCAAAGGCGTTCAAGCAGGTGGAGTTTGATGAGGAGATTGTAAAGGAGAGGTTTGAAAAGGTGTTGAGTCATTCAGAGTTGGCGGGGGGGTGGTTGTGGGTGTTGGATCGGGAGATGAAGAGTGGGGGGAGGTGGGAGGGGGAGGTGGGAGGTGGGAGGGAGAGGGAGGTTGTGATGAAGGGGGTGGAGATTGCCAAGGGTGTCTTGGGGGCGGCGGTGTGATCTAGAGCTTACCTACATTCTATCTCTTGTACGATGTATCTTATGACCAGGACTCGTCTACCTTCAACGTTGTCTCAAGCCCCTCTATTGCCAGACATCGGACACCGCGCATGGATATTGCTCAGCTGATACATTTGTTTTGTTTGACATGGCTTGGGACGGTCTGTTTGTGTAACTGACTGTTGGCGCTGGCGGCTGTGGGGTTCTCGCTCATCCCATGTTCAGCCGAATTGAGCTTTACGTGGTAGGTGATTAGGTTCAACATGATTGTCTGCAGAGACCCGCCTGTGCCCGCTGCATATAGGCCGCTCAGTGCTTCGAAACATATATATTGGGTATGTACCTCAGGACGAGAGCCGGATGGCTAGGAGATATATATATAATTATTCTACTACAGCGAAGCTACTCGACAGTCAACGTAGTACCATGAGAACAGCCCACCTCTTGCCCCCGTATCTCTTTCACGGCGGCTCTCGATCCGTACATGATTTATTTACTACTACCCAGTCACTCATCTCGCTGAAGGCAGGAGATGCAGAAAGACAAAACGGTGGAACGGTCCGATACTCTGTCAAGCCTTTCGGCCGTATCACCCACATTCCACCAAAATGAGTCCATGTTGACTGACCCTTTTCCGTCCCTCCCATGCATCAAGCAGCCCTCAAACTGCCTCCATGAATTCACCCTTCCATGGCCTTTGGATACGCTGATGTGTATGCCACTGATGCGCTTATGCATGCATGACAAGCCGAGTGACACCAGTGCAGGAATCAGGATCGCCCATGTTTTTCCCTGAGGCGCGCGTCATCGGGAGCTCTGCGCGCATTCCTTCTTTGCAATCCTATTCTGAACACTTTCTTCCTCCTCCTCCTGTCTTTTCTCGTCAACAGTACCATACGCAAGAGGCAACAGGGGATAAGCAATGCTCGAATATATTTACGTCTGCCGGCATGGGTTCAGGTGCGTTGACACGGCTTGGTGGATCGTCCAGCTCGAGAGGAATACTGAATGGAGTTGTACAGGTCGAACTGGGTGGACCCTGCGATCAAGACGGGGCCTACGGGCATGAACCGTGATCCTCCCGTACGTCTCCTTCCCCTTCCTCTTTCTTCTTCTTCTTCTTCTTCTCGCCTTCCCTTAACTCACCCGCAACAGCTCGCAGCCCACGGCCTCGACCAATCCGCCCACCTCGCCTCCTACCTCTCCTCCCCCTCCCGAACCGCCCCCTACCCAACACCCGAGATCGTCTTTACGTCCCCGTTTTACAGGTGTGTGCAGACGGCGTTACCGACGGCGCAGGCTTTGGGACTTGTGCTGGGGGAGGGGGAAGATGGTTGGGAGTATGACGAGCCCTTGGAACAGGATGGTACCGAGGGAGAACAAGGAGGGCAAGGAGATGATAAGAAGAAGGGGAAAGGGCAAAGCAAAAGACGGTCCAAAAAAGGTCTTCACCTCGAACACGGTCTCTCCGAATGGTACTCCCCCGTCTATCCCTCAACCGGCCTTCATCCCCGCCCCGGCCCACCTTCATCCCTCATCCCCCACTTCCCCCCAGGCAGCATAAACCCCACTTACTCCTCCACGTATTACCCCTCGCGGAAGGGGGAGAGCTTGAAGGAGCTGCATGAGCGGATGGAGGGGTTTTTGAATGCGTGGGTGGGCAGGGTGGAGGGGGAGTATCCGGAGGTGAGGTGTGTGGTTGTTTTCATGCATGCGGCGAGTTTGATTGCTTTTGGACGGGCTGTGAGTTTTCTTTTATTCTTCCTTGTTGGTGTAGAAGGTTGGGTGGTAGGCAGAAGGGCTGATGAACTCGGATTAGTTGACAGGAGACAGAGGCATGGAAATTGTAGCAGGCTGCGCCTCTACCTCCCTGTACCAACGTAAACCCCCTCCCCTCCCCTCCCCCTCAACCACTCAGCTCCCCACACCGACCACGCCGTCCCACCCCTCCCACCCCGCCAAAGCCAGGTTACCACCCTGCGGCACATCCCAATACACCCTCCTCCTCTCCGGGCACACGTCCTACCTCCCCTCCGGGCTCGAACGCGACTGGTCCTTTGCCGACGTCGTCCTCAAACCTGGAGATGGAGAGGTTGTTTGTGATTATGGGGATGGGGAGGCGCATGAGGGGGAGGTTTGGGAGGAAGGACTGGCCGGGGGGTGGGAGGGGATGGGGAGGTGGGTTAGGGAGGGGGAACAACAGGGGAGGGGGGATTTTGGGGTTGGGGAGAGGAGGGCTAGGATGTGATTAGGAGAGGGGGAGAGGGGGAGGGGGGTGTTGTATAGTTATATACTGGGATTGGGACCTTGTGACTTGGGTCTGGGGTTTCATGTCATCATACGTTACTTGTAAAGATAATTCACGCTATATTCGTACAAACTACTGAACCACCCTCCTGTTTCGCCTTCTTCAAACCAAATGGGTATGACCACTCAAGAGGCTAGATCTGATTGCGCGACAAGATCGTGATTCATACCATAAATCATACAACACTTGAGATCTGGCTGATGAGCAAAAAAATACTCGACAGGAAGAAGCAAAAAAGACACGGACAGTCAAAATTCTTGCGACATGGGTAGGGGAAGGACGATAAAGATGATCGACTCCACAGCCACTTGACTATGAGCCAGCCAGGTACACAAAGTGAGCGAAAAGATACACAAGATAAGTCAAGACATCAGAGAATCCATGTCATGTTCTTCGACGTCAGTGAAATCAATTGTCATCCAAGACGTCATAGGTCGATGATGAACAAGAGGTCGGGTAGAAAAGTATCCGTCGGCATTGTCGATTTGTGTAGGATTAATGATGGTAGGAAGCGAAAGGTAGTATCGTCGCCGGGTTGGTGATTATCCCAGTTATCTCAAGGCAAAAGCCGAATGTTTTGAAAGTGTTTGATGTTGCTGCTTGCTGTGTAAAGTAGGTAGCCCAGCCGACATCAGCACCATGGCAACCCGAAATCCTTCTACCCTCTCCAGGTCCTTTCCATCCCGCGGTGTCCTTGCGTTTCAAACGTCGAAAAAATTTGTCAAGTGTCGCATGAAAGTCGAAAAGAGGCGATGCCGCCCTCAAAATGACCACTCTCAATCCCCCACACCCACAGCCTCAAGTCTTCCCCACCCTCCTAGAAAATCCTTTGAAAAAGAAAAAGCAACCAGTCATGCCAAAAGTCATACATCCTACATCCTAGTGCGTAGAAAAACTTAGGCCTCCTCGGTCCTGAGCTTGGCGGCGGCGTTGGTGACCCTGCGGTATAGTCAGCACATGCTCCTCACCACCCCCTTCTCCCCACCCATCCATCCACCCACTCCACCCGATCCGCCTCCCAAAAGCCAAAAGAGTAAAAAGGCAACGACTCACTTGACACCCAAAACCTTGGCCCTAGCAATAATCTCCACCCTCTTCTTGCTGCTCACACCGTGCGCAATGGAAGCGGCATACTTGCCAGAGTGCATCAAGAGCAGCTCGAGCTCAGACAGGTTGTGGACGAGGAGCTCCTTGTGGCCGGAGGGGAGGAGGTGGCGGGTCTTGGCGTTGGAGCCGTAACCGATCTTGGGCATGGGGATCTGGCCAGAGAACCTTCGTCGGACCTAGTGCTGTGGTGTTAGTGTTTGCAAGACGATGACAGAGGAAGAGGCGTACTCTGTTGTCGATACCCTTGGGCTTCCTCCAGGACTCCTTGACACCATGGTACCTGTCGGACTGGTGCCTCTTGAAGTGCTTTGTGCGCTTCTTGACGATGGGGATGTGGGCGGGCATCTTTTGGTGTTGACGGGTGGAGACTGCTCAAAGTTGTCGAGATGGAGGATCAGGGAGGGAGCGCCGCGGGAGCAAATCGGGGAAACGGCGAAAAGCTGCCGCGGGAGCAAATTACTTATCTCCGACATTCGCGACTGCCTGATTGTGTGGTTCCACATCACTTGCTATACCATGCATATACTACTGCAGAGCCCACGTCTTGACCACAAACAGCTCCTCCGGCATCCCCTCCTGCACCTCCTCCTTCACCACCCTCAGCCCCGCATCCTTGAACGCCTCGACCCACTTGCCACTGCTCCGAGTTAGGGAAGAGTCTTCTTCGTCCATGAATTCTTGGGGCTCCCCGTTGGCGCCCTCGTCGCAGCAGTTCTCTTTGACAAAAATATACGAGTCGGGGGAACGGAGGGCGGCGCGGGAGCGCTGGAGGAAGGATACGAGGTCGTCGTGGTTCATGTGGCCTGTTTCCATATTAGCTTGTACTCAAGAGAGAAGGAGGGGAGGGCACTTGCCGAGACACCATTGGCACCAAATAACATCATACACCACCTCCTCCCCATCCAACCCCTCCCCCCCACCCCTCTTCTGCCCCACGACCCCCAACTCCACTCCATTCTTCCCAGGAGACCTCGGGTCAAGCAACTGCAGTCCCCCTTGGATAAACCTCACCCGCTTACCCCTCCCTCCTTTCGCTTCACTTGCCTGTCGGTGGGCTTCGGCGTAAGATTCGACTTGTAGCTCGTTCCCTTCTCTTTCCACCGGTTTCGGCGGGAGCGCATGGACGGGCAACGGTAAATCCCTCCACTCCCCATCGCTCGCGGACCTATACGCCTCCCCCACAAACTTGCCCACCGGCTCCACGAGCACGACATCATCAAACAACGGCGCCAGCACCGTCCTTGTCACCCTGCCGATCCCGGCGCCCACGTCGAGCGCTGTGCGCCTGTGGACCGGGAGGGGCGGCAGGGGGGCAGGGGTGAGGGGGGAGGGGAAGGGGGAGAGGGAGGGGAGGAGGGAGAGGAGGAGGAGCCGGGAGGAGAGTTGTTCGATATGCGGCACAGGGCCCGTGCCGAACCCACCAAGCACCCCGTCGACGCTGGCTTCGACGTTGTCCCAGTACTCAATCCCCCGCTCATAATCCGGCCCGGGGCGACTGTCCATACTAGCCTTGTTCTTCAAAGCGGAGCCGAGGGAGGAAGGTGGGGCTGGGGTGGGGAGAGAGGGTTTGGAGTTGGGTTTGTGGCGTTTAGCGTCGGGGAGGGGCATCTTGGGTTGGGGTTTGGGGACGAGCCTCTGCACGCGCTTTGTGGTGGAGAAGAGACGAGTGAGCAGCGTGGATTGTTCCCTCTAGAGTGAAGAGTGAAGGTAGGGAGGGGGTGGAAGGGAAGAAGAGAGGATGATGGAGGATGGAGGATGGATGAAAGAGGAGAACGGCGCGGGTCGGGAGAAAACGTGGCCTCCACTTTTCCACCTCACGCACCTCACTCTAGGAGTCTAGAGTCATGACTCAACATCAAGACAACAAGACAACAAGCTCTCATGATGGACCAGTAAGAGTACAGTACATCACATGTCACTTGTGATATATATCGTAACAAAAAACTATGTACAGAGAGGGCGCACTAGAAGCAAGGAGGACCTTCGTTCCTGGGTGTTAATGTGTTTGTTGACTTGTTGAATCATCCTTTTGACACGTCATGCAAAACAGCGAAGAGGCATGAACGCTATGCATGCAACGCCGCTATGATGACTATGTGCACTGGTCAATAGTATAGTTGTGGAAGAGTAGTTGCGGGCGTCGAAGGGCATGCAACGGAAGAATTCACCACTCACCCTCCTACTTCTGTCGTCTCGCCCTTTGTCAACTTTCGAGTCCAATCTTGTGAAAGTCCGATTACGTTCCCGACCTTGGCACATGCTGGACATGTGTATGATTCCATAGTAAGATGACATGGCTCGAAATGGCACACTGCGCTACATACATGCGCCTCTGAGCCTTTCCGTCCCCGCTGAGGAGAGAAATATCCTTTGAGACCTGTCTTTTTTCCAAGCTGGTGAGGTATGTTGGGCTCAACTAGGCTTTCATCTTGGAGGGGCTTTGTTGAGTCTGGTATTGCTCAATATAGTATTATCACGGATAAGTCTGATCTACCTTTGACCACGATTGATGAGATGGGGAGCGCCGCTCGTCGAGATGCAGTAATCCTTTCTTTCGAACAACAATATAGCTACCCAATCTGACTGAGAAAGAATGTGGCTGGCTCCTCATAAAGCAATCAAGGCTCGATCAAGGCCGACAATCTCATCCTTCCAGTCACAGCTCACATCGGTTGACATAGCTTTTAGTCTGTACCATCTTCATTTTTCTCTTTGACGAAACCGCGTCGGCATAGAAGTACCACGAAGCCACTATAGGAGCGAAAAAGAAGCAATGCGGCTAACAGAACTTGGCTTTGAATCAGAAGCTCATTACACAAGACGTAAGGCCAGAGCCGGCTCGACAAGATCATCCCGCCACACTACTACTGACAGTTCTGAACCACCACCACCACCATCATCCGGTAGGGCACACAATCTTCCTTGGGCTCTTTGGTGGATGAAAGCTGATTGTCGAGGTAGGAGGGACTGGCTCTAGCTGTACTACCAAGAAGAAGAAGGACAGGTATAATGCACTGTTCTTCATAGGGGCGCCTTCTGGTTCTTCTGCGAAGGGGAAACGTAGTCGTGGTAGTAGGAGGACGGGCGGGAGTACAATGGAAGAGTCGGCTGTGGGTGTTGATGGGGATGAGGAAGGGGATGGGGAAGGGGGTGGAGAAGGGGGTGGAGAAGGAGATGCAGATGGAGGAGATGCAGATGGAGGAGATACAGATGGAGGAGATGCAGATGGAGGAGATGCAGATAGAGATGCAGATAGAGATGCAGATGGGGAAGCAGGAGCAGAAGATAGGGGTGACGAGAATAAAGGCGGAGATGAGGGTGGGGACGGCGATACAAATGGAGGGCATGATCCGAAGGAGGAGGATGGCCGGGAGTCTTCTGAACCGATACCAGAGCCAGACTAGAGTCATACAGTCATAGATGATCCGCATCTAAACTTATCATGAAAATGGATCTAGACGAGTTGGAGTATGGTTGGGTGTTGCAGAGAGATTCAATACGTTGGTGACGACGCTGCCGAAGACATATGGTGAAATTGGTCTTGTTAGTGCGGACCTTGGACGATATTACAGGTTATCATTCACTAGGGTGAAGGACTCATAAAGAGAACGAATGCCCGTGTCCGAAATCACATCGATCAACATGAACAACATATTGATTCGGCAGATAAGACATGTAATGTGCGAGTGAGCGCTTGATCATCAAGATACTGTGAAATGTTGGTAGTACTGAAAGGATGATGAAGCGGCAGGTGGCATGAACGGGTTTGCGGCGCTGGAACAATCACTTAAGAAGGGACCTTGCTGTCCATTCGGAGCGTGAGAATTGGTCCTACATATCGTTGCATTCACCCTCTCTCACACCTTGCCTTTATATATGACAGATAATTTTGGAATCCAATGACCATCATCTTATCACTAAAGCAGAATGGCGTCGTCCCAAGTCACATCCCAGGTCTGGCCCGTGAGCAACGATGATAACTGCGACGACGAGGCTTGCTTTTCGATTGGTGGTATACTCGAGAAGGGTGGCACTCAAAGTCCTTCCCAAGCTGGCGAAGAACAAACAGAGAAGGAGAAGAAGGCACACATCTGGAGCTGCACGTTCATCGAACCCGACGGTGAACACATATACCGAGGTTCATTCACGACCTGCTCCCGTGCGAGCAAAAGTTCAAAAGCTGAGAATGCCGACTATATAACCAGGGCCAATGAGCTATCGATGGCTCTCTACGATTCCATAAGGATGACCAAGTCCCTGTGGGGTCCTGCGTGCCGTACAAGTGGGAACGTGGATCATTTGATTGAAGCGGAAGAATCGACCTTTCATAAGCTGGTGGAGGATATGCCGGAGAGATATGGGGATATAGCTTGGCATGAGGCTGATCGTAACAACGCCGTGCGTACAGTCATGTTGTATGATGAGGATAGTAGTCAAGGGACCAGCAGCATGGGAGATGGGAGTGATGTGGAGGAGGTAGTCGCTGGAATGCGTCTTGTTTTGGCTGATGACTAGACTACTATATAGGAATGAACTACTTGAGCACTATGAGGATGTTATAGCATGCCGACTATGGTGAGTACTTGATAGTTCTACGAGACTATCCTTCGCTTTGTCATATGTACTTGAATGCGCATCGCATCCATCCTCAGCGCGTTCATGTTTCGATCATCGATTCTACAACAGCCCGTCGAGTAGTAAAGAACGGAGCTATCCGCTTTTGCTGTCCGACGTTAGGTACATCCCAAGTGGACACAGGCCAAAGAAAGGATGACGATACTTGTGTATAACGGGCTGCTTTGTAAGGAGTCGTTCCCACGAAGCCCAGGAGTTTGTTACTTCTTTTCATCAGACGCTTCTCTCGTCTGATCGGAGGTGCTGGATACGATACGTTGTTTATCCGCAACATTTTCACATAAGAATCACTGATATAATCTCAAAGGTACCAGGGCCATGCGGATTGCATGAACGGAAGGTTGATGTCGTCAGCATTGATCCCTTTTCGGAACTTGTATTTATATGTGAACATTCTCAAAGCTGTGCTATTTATGCCAAGCTTCCATACGTATATAAGGGATGATGGGTGCCGAGAGAACCTATCTTTATTACAAACCATCATCATGTCTTCCCAAGTAACTTCCCAAGTCTGGTATGCGAACGACACCGATTATGACGAAGACACCATCTCCATCAACGGTATCCTCGAGCGAAGCGCTGTCAAAAGCTTCTCTTCCAGACAGCCTGCAGGAGACAAAGAAAAGACTGCCTACGTTTGGACTTCCAACTTTATCGAGAATGATAGCAAGAATATATACCGAGCTTCATTCACCTCTGGAGCTAACGCGAGCCGAAATACAAAAGCCGAAAACGACGACTATATGCTGCGGGCGAATGAGGTCTCGACATTCCTTCATGATTCGCTCAAAGACTCTGCATCTCAGTGGGGTGATCAGTGCCGTACCCAACAGAGCGCAAAGCCTTTGAGAGACGCAGAGAAATCGACGTTTGATTCGCTGGTGAACACGATGCCGGACAGGTATGGTGATATCGGCTTGGGCAGCGTCGACCGTGAGACTATGAAGCAGGTCTTGTTGTACGATGAGAATCAAGGTGATCTATCGAGTGGCGGGAATGTGGTTGGGGCAAACATGGAGGAGGGGGATGATATGAAGATGGTGGCTGGGATGCCGTTTGTGAGGACTGGGGCGAGTATTGGCTATGGGTTCTTGAGTCAACAGCCTTCTTTCTATCACGGTGATGATAGAGATGATTGATAAGGTACTTGATGATATGTACTCAATTCTCTCGTGGATCATTGGTGCAGTGTAAGTTCAGCTGGAAATTTGGATGGAAATGTGCAGGACGGTCTATACGATAGGCGGTCTTGGATGATCCACGAAAAAATGCATCTTTTTACTGCTGCCACTGCGTTCGAGCTTCAGATCGGGACAATAAGACGCACAGCGTATGCTATATCGTCTGCTGAGCCAGAAACTGGCTTGAGTCTGACTTAACGTCCCTTTTCTCGTTTCGGACAGTCGACTATGTAAATGTCACGACCCAGCTGGAATGCAGCAGGGAAGGGACTGGAAAAGAGTTTTGAAGAGGGAAAAAGACCTTTCGGTATTATCGCATGGAAAGAGTAGAACAAATGATATGAATTGAATATGTACACCGCGAGTCCTTCGTTCAACCATCCACACAACTCAGCGCCAATCGGTAAATCCGTCTATAAGCTCGGCGGCAAGAAGAGACATTGATCCTGACCCTTGGTGCAGCCAAGAAAATGTTGAAGCTTGGTTGTACTGAGTACCATCTCCCAGATCATCCAACATCATCGTTCCTTCCGCCGAGACACGTCAGTCACCTCCCTCCATGGACTCTTACCCGGCCGTTGAGAAAGAGAAAGGCGCCAGCATGGACGACAACGACGAATGTGGATCCAGGCAGGAGGGTTCTGGTCGAACCGATAAGACAGGTGCTGCTGGCACAAGTGTGCTGGCCTTTCACGATATCTTTCTCAAGAGAGACCAAATTCACCCTTACGTAGAAGGAATGCTTTAGAGCCATTGTCGACTCTATCAAGGCCACCAACCAGGGCACAGCATTATGATGCGTCTTTCCCATGCTGATGAGATATTGTTCTCGTATTGTTACGGTCCCGTACTGATGCTTTGAATATGTCCGGCCCACCTTTCACCTACAGTGAATATGATTATAAGCGCCGCTGGAAATGCAGTCCTTTCTCGCAGACAACTATAGCTGCCAAATTTAGAGAATGAGAACGATAATGGGTCATAAAGCATGGCAATGTAGACGATGTCATGTAAGCCACCACCTATCGATAACTATTCATGGGTTGACATGGCTTTCAGACTGTCACAGCTTGACTCTTTCCTAGCGGTAGAGCGTCTGCTCCATAGGACCTCCTCGGTGCCACTTCTACTCGCACACTACTCGTACACTCAAATGCTGCTGTCAGAACCCGGCTGGGAATCCCAAGAGCATTATGCAAGACGTAAAGCCAAAAGCCGTTCGAGCCGCTCAACGAGCACATAGTACTGTAGTACATCATCATCCGGGTCAGATCGGGACACCACACGGGTGCCCGAGTCTCGTTCTCCACTTCTCTTCCGTCCATCGCACCCCATTACATCAACATACCCAAAATGGCACCTCCCTACGTCCCCACCCCGGAACAAATAGCCCTGGCCGAAAAACGAAGGGCGGAGAGGGCTGCGAAAAAGGCTGCTATCGCTTCCGGCGCTGTTGCCGACCCCAACAAAGCAAAGGGGGAGGGGCAGGGGGAAGGGGAGGTGGCGTTATTGAAGAGGGATTGGGTCGCTGTTGGTCCTGGGCAGGTAGAGGGAGGGGCAGGGGGGCAGAAGGGGGTGAGGATATTGACTTGGAACGTACGTGACCTCCTAATGCAGATCGGGTTGAAAACTGACGAACCCAAATCAGCTCCTCGCCCAAACCCTCGTCCGTACGTCACCTCAAACCCCACCTCGTTGATAAACATGAGAGCTGATAGAAGTCGATAAGGAAGAAAACTCTTCCCAGGATCAGACTGCCTGAAATGGGGCGACAGAAAAGCGCTCTTACTTGCCGAGATGGCGCATCATGGGTCTTGTGATATTATTTGTCTTCAAGTGTGTACCCCCTCCCGCTCTCTCTCTCCTGTTTGGTAGACCAAGAGCTCATATAGGGCTTGTAGGAGTGCGACAAACTCTCCGAAATAACCACTTCCCTCCCCAAGCACGCTTTCGTGAAAGGTACAGGCCCTCACAAATCGCATGGCTTGGTCATACTCTATAACAAGGAAAAGTTTTGGGCGGAGCGGAAGGAGCTTGTGCATCTTGATTTCGAGGACCTCCATCCTCCTTCGCAGAATGGGGGGGAGGGGAAGGGGGAGGAGAAGAAGGGGGATGGGGAGGAGGATTCGGGAGAGATGAAGAGGAGGAAGGGCGGGTCGAGGATGACGAAGAATGTCGGTCTGATCGTGGGGCTAAAGTACAAGGATGAGAGTGGGAGGGGGATTGTGGTCGCTACCACCCATCTGTACGTTCCATCTCCATCTCTCCCTCCACCCCTCATCTCCCAACAAAGTACCCAAGCCAAAGACAGGTGCTGACCAAGGGGACAGCTTCTGGCACCCATTGTACGCCTACGAACGTACCCGCCAAGCTCTACTGTTGATCCGTGCGATCCGCCGATTTCAAGGGGTACATGGGTTGGAGGGGTGGCCTGTTGTTTTTGCGGGTGGTGCGTTCAACCTCTCCTTCTCTTCATCCTCTTCCTTCCTCTTCTTTCTCTTTCCTTTTCATCTGCACCTACTGATAAAAAGGACTAGATTTGAACACCCAACCATCCGAATCTACCTACTTCCTCCTGACGTCCCCACACTCGCCCCTCCCAGCGTCTTGTGCTGCGCAAGTGGAGAGTTCCAGGATCGTCCATGATAACCTTAAGAAAATGTCTTTCACCGCCCCCCGTACTGTACCCGTCACCACCCACGCCGACGCTTCCATCCCCCCTGGAACAGGCTCCTTGCCCGCCTCCGGCACCCCCACCCCCGTCCCAACGAAGACGGACGAAGAAAAGGACGAGGATAGGGAAGATAAGAAAGACGACTCCACCGCCAACTCTCGTCCTCCCCTTGTTTCTGACGGGATCCCGACGACAGAGGAGATGGTGGGGCTGTTTAGGGACGTCTTCCCGGGGGGAGGGTGTGAGAGTGCGTATGGGTCGACAGGGTGGAGGGTTGGGAGGGATGTGGCAGGGTTTGGGGGGAGGGGAGGGTTTGGGGGATCAAAAGAAGGGGAGGGAGAGGAAGGGGGAGGGGATGAGCCGGGGTATACGTGTTTTACGCCGCTGTTCAAGTTGACCCTCGGTAAGCTGTTCTCTCAACACACATTACGACAAGACGGGGCGCTGACAACAAAAAAAAAGATTACCTCCTCCTCCTTCCCCCCCTATCCCCATCATCTGACCCAAAAGCGAGATTTTCAAAGGTGCTTTTACCGCCGAGAGCGGAGGAGCTTGGGGAGGGGTTGCCGAGGAAGGGGATTTGCGCGAGTGATCATGTGGCGGTGGGGTGTGAGGTTGTTTGGTAAGATTTCTAGACGGGGGATTGGGGATGAGGGGTGAGGTGGGAAATAGAGTAGATGGTTAGACAATGCATTGATTAGAGCGGTAGACTGGCGATGATGGGGACAAGAGTTATTGTGATTTGTGACGGCTGACGAGGTCGAGTGACCGCTGGTTTCGCCCTTCCGTCCCATAGGACATCGCCTACAATTTCCCCATACCCCCAACAGATCATTGACATCGACTGGAATCGATTGCGGTGTGCATGCACTAGTCAATATTGGGCGAGGAGACGAGATCGTCGGGCATAGTGCAAGATTGGTGAATTGTAATGATTCTTGTAATGGTGTTGTAATGGATTAGCCCCCGTTGTAATCGGTGGTCATCGGTGGAATAGCCGACTTTTTTCGATCTTGTCTAGTCGACGTCGTCTCTTTCTTCTCTTTCTTCTCTTTCTTCTCTTTCTTTTCCTCGTTCTCTTTCAGCCATCGCCATGTCAGACACCCCCCACCCCGCTCAGGATCCCCCCCAGGAGGATGCCCAGCTCGAGCAGGACCTTGACCAGCAGCAGGAGCTTCAGTGTACGTCCTCCTCCCCCGCGAAAAAGTCCCCACTCACCTTCCCCAGTCCCTGCTGTCGTCGTCAGGATCCCCGCCCCCACCTGCCCCAGGACCGTCCCCAAGCAGGACGGCGCCCCCACAGACCGCATCACCCTCTACCCCCAGCCGGGAGAGACCATCCAGGACATCAAGCTGCTCATCAACGACTGGGTCGGCGCCTACTGGCTCGGCCCGTACTCGCTTCGCCTGCCGTTCGTCAAGGGCGAGGATGGTAAGGGGCAAGTGTACACGAAGAGGAAGGACTTTAGTGAGGTGAGGGCGGGGGAAAAGCTGAATGAGTGGCTCGAGGTTGCCGACGCTTTTGAGCATGTCGCTGAAGGCGAGGAGAGGGTCCTTGAGGCCATCAAGGGTGAGTCTGCTTCTGCAATGTACCGAGACGAGCGCTTACATAGTCTCAGAACCCTATGGCGAGTTCAGTGCCCGTCAATCCATCCTCCGTCTTATCGAGCTCATTGCCCCCGCCGGCACCACCGCCAACACTCTCTCCAACCCACTCGGTCTTTCTGCCGGCGCCACCATCTTTGAGCGTGTCCGCGACGGGCTCTCTGCCGATGCCCACTACGAAGAGGTCGAGGTCGCTCTGCCTTCGGGACGCAAGGGCAAGGCCGGAAAGAAGGAAGTCGTAAAGGTCAAGCGCGCCGTCACTGGCGATCGCGCCCACGCCTTTGCCGACTTTAAGGACTGGCAGCCCGCCTCCTTCGCTTCCTTGCCCGTGTCTTCAGCGTCCTCCGAGATTGCGCCTGCAGTCAGGTCTATCCAGGTCTCGCCTTTCAACCCCCCTCCTGCGCATTTGCGACAGCAAGGCCACCAGCTTTACCTCACTGTTTCTCTCCTTGAGGGCGAGACTTTGACTTTGGTGTGTACGACCCGAGGATGGTATGTGTCCAAGAGCAACGTCAACAACTTTGACGCTACCCCCCGCGACGCTGCTGCCCCTATCCACTCCCTGGTCGACCTCTTGCACAACATCTCTCCCCAGTTCTCCGAACGCATCTCTGCCCTCCCTCCCATCTCGCTCGAATCCCCCATCGCCGACCCCATCTCCACCGTCGCCCCCCCTCAAGCCCAGCCCGCTTACCCCTTCCTCGCATCCCTCCCCAAACCCGCTACCACCGCCGAACAGCTGCGTACCCAACTTGCCTTCTTGCACACGGGGGCGTACGGCCCCGAAGGCGTCGATAGCGCTAGGGACTGGAATGAAGAGCTTCAAGGTATCCGTGAGCTCCCCCGCTCGACGATGCAAGAACGCGTCATGCGGGAACGTATGCTCCAAAAGACCATCGCCGAATTCGATACCGCCGCCATCCGCGCCGTCCTGTCCATCTCTTCCGGTGACGTCCCACCTATCAACCCCGCCGAACCGGCGGAAGCATACATGTACCTCCAATCCAACATTTTCGTCACGCCGGGTTACAATGATGCTCTGGATGCGTATGCGCATCTGGGCGGGGATGGGGCGATGAGGGTGTCGCATGGGAAGGATGCGGCGGGGATCAGGGCGTTCAATAAGGTTGATGTGGATGGGCTTTATACGCTTGGACATACTGTTGTGGACTGGATGGGGAAGCGATGGGTTTGTCAGAGTGTCCTTCCTGGGATTTTCTCCAACCGACGCGCTCTTGAAGAAGAGGCCGAGGCCAAGGAAGCTAAGGGTGAGGATAAGGATGAGAAGAAGGAAGACTGGGTGGACGTCACTGCCTCCCCCAAGACTGCCACTTCTGCTCTGAAAGAAGGCGAAGAAGCCGAGCCCGAGCTCGACAACCCCATGATGATCTATGGCCTCGATTCCGAACGACCTACCACCGTCCACTGGGACGCCCTCACCCACAAACTCTTTGCCACCTACGCCGCCCTCAACAAGCTTGCGCCTCACAGTCTCACCTCGGGCACTGGGGAGAAGCACGAGTTTTATGCGTCGGCTGAGGTGAAGGGGTTGAAGGGGCAGGATGGGAGGCGGTATGTGCTTGATGGGCAGAGGACGAGCCCTGTGGATGTGGAGTGGCTTGAGAAGGATGTTGAGAGGGAGGGGTTGGGAGAGTACCCGCATAAGCTTGTGTTGCTCCGACCGGAGTTGGTGGAGATTTACTGGGACTTTGAGTTGAAGCGATGGGCAAAGAGCGTCTCGGACAAGGCTACCAAAAAGCAGAAAGAGTCTGAAGACGCCGAAAAGGCTGAGAGCGGTGAAAAGGAGGAGGTCAAGAATGACGAAAAGACGGAGGAGAAGGCGTTGGTGGATGAGCATTCGCCTGCTGCTTCTGCCGCCGCCGCCCGCCGAGCCGAGGAAGACGCCCCCATCGACACGTCCGTCATCGGCGACATCAAAGACTTTAAACTCCTCTTCAACGCCGACGCTTTCGTCCCCCAGCCTCCCGCCAAAGAAGGCTGCCCCGCGCCCGTGGCCATCAACGACGAGTCTGACCCGTCCGTCAAGGCTGTGAGGGACGCGAGCAAGTATTTGAGGGAGCTGGCGATCCCGTCGTTGGTTTATGATGTGATGATTGGGGTGACGAGTGGGGTTATGGATGGGGAGAGTTTGAGCAAGCATCTGCATTTGAGGGGTGTTAATGTTAGGTATCTTGGCAAGGTTGCGGAGACTATTGAGTCGTTCTCTGCTACCAAGGAGGGGGAGAAGCAGGAGGCCAAGGGGTACCTTCAGGCTTTGCAGGTGAGTCTTTTCTTGCGGAGGAGTTCAATATGCTGATGGGATACAGTCTATTGTGTACCAAGAGATGGTGTTCCGTGCCTCCAAGCACATCGTCAACGACCTCATCAAGACCCTCCAACCCGACCAAGCTACCCAAGCCGTCTCCCACTTCCTCAACTGCCTCCTCGGCTCTTCCCTCAACCCCTCCCCCACCGCGGCCTACTCCCCGCTCTCCATCGGCGCGACCGAGCAAGAGCCCGCGTATGTTTCTCTTACTGTGGAGGGTTTGAGGAAGCAGATCAGGGAGGAGGTTAGGATGAGGTTCAGGTACGAGTTGCCGGAGGCCTTCTTGGAGGGAGGGATTAGGAGGAAGCAGTTGTTGAGAGAGTTGTCGTTGAGGGTGGGGTGGCAGATGCAGCAGCGAGAGTACTACTTCTCCAAGGAGGAGCAGGACGCTGTGGAGGAGGTGAAGGAGGACAAGAAGGAGAAGAACAAGAAGAGCAAGGCGAAGACTGAGGTCAAGAGGACGACTACGTTTGAGCCTCAGGATGTTTTGACTCTTTTGCCTATCGTCAAGTCTACCGCTCCTTCGGTGAGTTGTCCCACTTTTGATACATGACAATGCTGACGTACAAACAGGTCTCTGTCGCCGAAGAGATCCTCGCCGCCGGCCGAAACACCATCAACAACGGCAACGTCAACCTCGGCCTCGAATTCATGCTCGAAGCCATCCAGACATACGAGTCCATCCACTCTGTCATCCACCCCGAAGTCGCCGCCGTGTACAATCAGTACGCCCAGGCTATCCACCAGATCGCGCGTATCAAGATTGCCCAGCTTGCGCAGAAGGAAGATGCGAGCCCGGATGAGCCTTTGGGCGTCGATGTCTCTACTGCGCTCAAGTTGCAGAGGCAGGCTGTGGTTATTGCCGAGCGAACGCTGGGTATCTATCACCATGAGACTGCTAGTTATTACTTTAACCTTGCTATGCTTGAGAACCTTGAGGGTAACTCGCAGCAGGCGTTGAGGTACTTTAAGCATGTCTTGACGCTTTGGGACGTCATGTATGGACGGGACCACCCCGAGGTCAACACTGTGCTTGTAAGTCGACGTTATCCCAAGTGGCCGTGAGCTGATGACTATACAGAACAATGCCGGTATCATCCTCCAGACTGCCATTACCGACCTCCCCTCTTCTCTTGCCTTGCACCAGCAAGCCCACGAGTCGACTTCGTCCATCTTTGGCTCGTCTCATCTCCAAACCGCCCAAACCCTCAACCAGCTTGTGCAATCCCATTTCCTCGCCGGCAACCACCGCGAAGCCCTCACCTCCGCCGAAGCCACCCACACCATCTTCCTCGCCAAGCTCGGCGAAGAACACACCCAAACCAAGGAATCGCTCCGCAACGTCGAGCTCTTGACTGCCTTGATTGATGGTGCGGAGAAGCAGAAGGAGAGGGAGGAGATGATCAAGAAGGATGCGGAGGAGAGGCTGAAGGCTGCTAGGGGCCAAAGCCAGGGGTTGGCGGGCAGGTTGGCGGGGAGGAGGTTGGGGCAGCAGGTTAATGGGAATGTGCCCTCTGGCGTGAGGGTCATTGACCAGCAGACGCTTGCTGCGCTTACTGCTGCTGCGCAGAATGGGCAGTTGCCTGCTAGCGCTGCTGCTGCCGTCGCCGCCGCTGGTCAAGCGCTCCCCAACGGTCAAACTTCCGCGGAGGGCGCTGCTGATGCGGCCGCCGTCCAAGGACAAGGACCCAGGATCGGGGAGAGGGGTACAGAGAACTTGGAAGAGCTTGTCAACTACATTCAGGGCGGTAGTGCCGGTGGGGCTGGTGGTGCTAAGAGAGGAAAGAATGCGTTGAGGGGTAAAAGAAGGACTGGCTCGAAGCGTTAAAAGAGGTGTCTTGCTCGACACTTGCTCGAAAAAAAGTAGACAAAATAACATCAAATCTCTCTCTTCATATCTCTCAGCATATCTTGCATCTTTCTCTTATACGAAGCATGTTCGTCACAGAACTAGTACCAAAAACACCTCTCACATATGCAAATGCTTTTCGGAACTTCTGGTACATCTTTTCATCCGGTAAGATCTACATGACATAAGTAGGGCGACAGTCCACAGTCGTTGACCATGACATAGTACGGTCCCGTGTCCAGCTCGCTTTTGAAGTCGAGCACACCTTTGAAGAGCGTCCTGAATCCGTTCTTGCGGTACACCGAGGCCTGCTCAGATATCAGCGTTTGTCCTCAAGAGAACATAGATGACGTACCGCGCTATCTGTATGCGTCTCCAACGCGACTCTCGATCCATCTCTCCGGGCAAGCTCCTCAAGTTTCCCCAAGAGCGCCGACCCTAGACCTTTCTTTTGGAAGGAAGGATGTGTAGAGACGAGGTGGAGGTAGTATACAGCCGCGGGGCCGCCGCCAGGGATGAGAGACCGGTTTTCATGCAGCGGTTCGAGCTCGGTGTCTAGCCATTGCTTGATGGCGGGGGATATCTTTGGGGATACGGTTTCTCGGATTTTTTTCTTCTCCTCGCTAGAACATCATTGTCAGCTTTGACTTCAATAATATCGAGGGATAAGATAGAGCTCAATGGGGCATGGAAGAGCGATCGGCCGAGAAGACTCACGTATCCCAAAGATCTTTTCCTGGCGGACTGACTATCCCTACACACCCAATTTCACCGTCAAGCTCGACTACCCAGAGCTGCAGGTCGACCAGAGTGGCCTGTACACGGGATCTGAAGAATTCTCGCGTATTGGAGCCGAGCATGTTAAGGATCTGGTCTGGAGGAGAAGGAAGGTGTCAGTCATGATGTGATCTGGAATGAAGCTGAGGGTGTGATGAGGGATAAGCGTACCGTGTACGAAGCCTTCCTGATAGACATCGAGGATTCTCTCAAACTCTTGATCTACAAGAGAAGTACATCAAAGATGGGTAATCGGAGGGATGACGTCCACGTACCGGTTGGGTTCTGCAGAAGCCTGACTTTGACGTCTCCCATGGTGCTCTATGTGCCAATTGCAGTGGAAGAGAGATAACCTTATCTGCCGCAGCATCGCACGTGATCGGCCTTGTGCGAGAGACCAAGAGCGTCTTCTATGCAACCAACCTCTTGTACTTTTCAATTCGAATGATGACTTTCGACTCGAATAATCTGACTTTTGCCACACTAGCTCTGCTACACACAAAACGAAGACGATATATAGTTTCCTAGCGATGTACACGCACTCGACAAAGATCAAAGACTACCCCAGCTTCCTCAAAAGGACGCGTTTCATCAACTCTCTACATGCGAGGTAATGCCAATTGCCACCGCACATCCAGATACCAAATACAGCAAGGATGATACATCGATTGGCTATTACAAATAGCTATATCGCTTCCGTAGACAGCCCACAGTCGTTCACCATAAGGTAATACGGCCCCTCGCCCAGATCGCCTCCGAACCGAAGCACAGCATGGTAGATGATCCGTAGCCCATTATTTTGGTATATCTTAGCCTGTATGATCATCAGCTTCCAACCTCAAGGACAAAGGATCACATATAGCGTACCGCTCGGTCTGAGTGAGCTACCAACGCGACTCTTGTTTTATCCCTTCGCGCGAGCTCTTCCAGTTTTCCCAAGAGCGCGCGCGCTAGGCCTTTATTTTGAAACGAGGGGTGGGTACCGAGGGCGTTGAGATAGTATGAGGCAGTGGCGCCGCCGGGGAGATGGGACTTGCTTTGGCGATGAGGGTCCAGTTCGGTTTCGAGCCATCGTTTGGCGGCAGGGGAGACGGTGGACATTGCATTGTCGCGCAACTTTTTCTGTTCTGCACTATGTTTCTGTTACCAGGTATGTAACAAGGTATAAAGTGAGCACGTACCTTTCCCAGAGGCCTTTTCCGGGCGGGGCGACTATGCCGACACAGCCGATTTCGCCCTCGAAATCAACGACCCAGAGCTGACAGTCGACCAGGGCAGCTTGTATGCGAGAGAGGTGCGATGGAGCTTGGTCGTTTGGATTAGTACCGTGTGTCTGCATGAGGATCGGTTCTGACAGATGGTCAGATAGAGAGTCTGATGACAAGGAAAGACTTGCCTGTTTTGAAAGCCTCTATGAAAACGTGGAGACATCTCTGTATCTCGTGTTCTGTGCCATGTCAGCGATATCGGACCAGGCGGTGCTGCTTACCAGTTGGATTTTCTAGGAGCCGGACTTGACTTTCGCTCATATTTCCAAAGTGACAATACAGACGTGATACATACAGACATGCAAACCGATCAGACTCTCTAACGAATCCTTCTTCTGATCTTAGCTTTTTTCACTGTGGGAACTCGCCGCGTGGAAAATCCGATCCCATAGCGGAGCCATCCGCCGTGGGCGGGACCTGGACTGGCGGGACCAGATGGCGTTTTTGCCTGTACGGGGACGCATGGGCACCGCATGGGAATCGGGACAAGCCCACGCCGTCTGGGGCACCCGCCCAGGCACTGTTCACGCGAATGTTCACGCAACGTCCATGCGGCTTCCACCCAACTTCCACCACTTTCTACGCTGCTCCTTCCCGACGATGCACCCCATGCTTCTGTTCTTTCTAGAGCCTTCTATCACTTCATAGCTTGCATAGCCACTGCGAGAATGTTCTACACCACTTCCACTCTATATAGAGGCTCCTTCCATCGCCCTCGTCGCTGCCGTTTCTTCATTGCTACTCATCGCCCCTTACCGTCAGCGCCTCACTCTCGTCCACTTCACCTCTACTCATCCATACAACATGCCCCCTACACCTACTCAACACCAGCGCACCCCCCTTCGGGCCCGTAGCACCAACACACCCTACGGTAGATCAGCTACGGTCCAGCAGGCTGCTGATAAATCGCCTACCAACCTCCCTTCTCCTTCCCGGCCCCTTGCCAACAACCGATCGGGCAGCCTTTTCAAACCACCAATGCCCGCTAACATCTGCCTGCCGGTCGATGAACCCGTCGCAGTCGTTGACTCGTTGGAAGCCGCAGCGGGTCATCTCGACGCCCTCGAGCGCAGCCTCGACAACCTCGCGTCCTCGCCCCCTTTCCCTCCCGGGCACTCACAACGCTGACGGAGAGAGACTTCATGAACCCGCCTGCACTGTTCCAAACCTTGGGTTCCCATTTCCCTCGTACCATAAACGAGAACCAGGAGCTCATCAACAAGGTCGACTGGCTCGTGTCCTCCCGGAAGTCCTCCATTGCCATTTCGCGTTGTTACCGGGAGGCATTGTCTGGTCAATCTGAGGAAGTGGCCGAACTCAAAGAGCAGATATTAGCCCTGCAGCAAGTGGTTAGCACATTGAATGGCGGCGAAGGAAGGAAGAGAAAGAGAGGAAAGGCTCAGACGTGGGAGAAGAACTCAGACATCGAGGTACGTTTGTCTAAATCGGAAAAGAGGTCTGGCGGGTATGTGCTCACCATTGGTGTAGTCCTGGGTGCATGCTGGCGTCCGCCGTCTGCTGGGGATGCCCGAAACGGGAAGCAAGGACAACTTTGCGCCAGAAAAGTGGCCCGACTATGACAAGGAGGAAGCAACCAATGGGTATATCCAAACGTCGGAGGGCAGGGCGCTGTGGAGGCCGGACTGGGGAAACCTTAAGAACAGATTGTGAGTAGGAATCTATAGTGTGTTGAAAATGGTTGTATTGACGCAATCCAGCTTTGAGAACCTGGTCGAAGCGGCGATCAAGTCTTGTCTCGATAACCAGGCGATACTCGAGAAGGCCAAGGTGGCGCGTCCATCGGAGGTGGAAGTGAGAGATCGAGTGGTCATGTACCTTGAGTCCATCGACAGGAAAAAAGGGAACGCAGCGAGCGTTGAGACGGAGTGGAAGAAAATTGATGGTAGGACCAGATCGGTAAGTGGTTGGGTTTTGGGTGAAGGATCTTGAGGGATCTTGACGCTGACTGGAATGTAGTTGGTGAAATTCATCAAGGATAAATGGGACGACCTTCCTTTGAGCAAATGTCGGGAGGCACCTCTTCTCAAGGCCGCCCTCACCGAGTACAACGGGGTTCTGCGAACCCTCTATTTCATAGAGTGGCACGAGACTCAGAACCCCTTGAAGGTCGCCGAGAATGTCGCGGAGGACGGCGAGAATATTGACGATCTTGAAGATGCCGAACTTGACGACTACGACGAGTTCCTCCTCTTCCGCAACATTCAGACCGGTTCCAGGGTGGAGCAAGATACAAAGTCTCGAGTATTGTAGAGCCATGGTGGTGGTCGGAAGTGGTAAGTACGAGCTGAGCTGTGATCATTGTCAGCATATCATATGACAAGTCGCTCATGGCCAACGTAGATTCGTCTTGCTGTATGGACCGCCTTTGAATTGTGGCAGCAGTCGATTAAGAGAGGCGGCCGCCCCAGCGTCGACGTCTTCCACCTGCCACCTAATTATCACAAGCTTAGGACTACCGGCTTTCGTCTTGCTTCTGGCGTATGCGCCGAGATCGAAGAGGGAGAAGGCGGTGGTGAGGAGATCATCCAGCCCCGGATCAAGTGCACCAAGAGCATGATCAACTGGGATGTGGTCCGACCCGTCAACTCACCTCTGATACCCGATGAGTCACAAATTCCTGGTGATGTCGTCTCGGCTACAAGCCGCCACTTGCCGACACTTCAGCAATATCTCCTAAACACCCAACCTGGGATCCTGACAAAGGTCACCGATAAGCATCTCAAACTTCCTCCTTGTGTCGAGAGCCACTGTCTCAGAAGCATGTGGAAGGGCCGACGCAGACACGACGGCGTGCCGTACCATATGAAGATCAACGCCGCTCGTCAGGGGGAACGCTTCGATAATCTGCAAGAGTTTCATGAACAAGAGTCGGCGTCGACAGACAGGCGGGGTAGGGTGGTTTGGCCGACAGATGGAGACGCTTTCAACGATTACAGTGATGTCGGGTTTGGCGATGTTGGTGATTTCAGACTTGACGATGATGGTGATGAGGATCCTCCCCTTCCGCCGACTCAAGAGTGATAGTTAATCAGCCCGTTTATAGTCACTTTACTTTTGTTGATTGTCGCAAGGAATGTTACATATGAGTGTCGATTAGAAGGAATGCCCCTGTGATTCAAATTCGTCAGAAGGAGTTCACAATTCAACCGATCATAGCCGAAGAGAGTCATACCAAAGACGAGCTGCGAGACTGGAGAGACTGTCGTGCGGAGAAGCAGAAAAGGAATCATAGACTGGCTATGTGTGCTAGTATCTCCAATTAGCACTGATCAGACCTGACAGCAACGAGACTTACGCGTGCGATAGGGATGCTGAGGATGAACTGCCGACCAGTGGGTCTGTTCGGTTCCACAGGAACCCGAATCAAAGCAAGAGGATGAAGGTAACCTATGGTAGCAGCCCGGATCTCAAAGAAGAAGGGGTCGTCTAGTACACTATCGGAATACGAATATATGTCCAATGTGGCCCTACAACGCAATATAAGTCTGAGAAACTCTGTTCTGCAGCGTATGATGAGACGTACTCTTGATTATACCGATATCCGTTCGCCTGCCCATATTCTCCCTGCCACTTGAACCACCGAGTCACGGCGTAAAGCCTCTCTGTCATCATAGCTCCATCCCTTGACCGACGCTTGTGGCCTACCACGCTCCAAAGGATCCCTGACCTGGCAGGTGCATGATGGTCGGCAAAACGACGGTATGCAGGCCGACATTCGAGAAAGGACATGGCGTTCTTTTTAGTGATCAAACGAGGGATTTCTACCTTGGGATCGATTTGCCAGTCTGACTTGAACATTGGATCCGCCGGTCGAAATCGATAGCCACGGACGGCCAGCTCGTGATGGAACTCAAACTTGTCGATAAAATCAGTCTCCGTGTTCAATTGTAGTTCTCGCTTGAGACGGATCACGACTTCTTTGTCCTCGATAGCCTGCGTTCGAGGGCCCCGAGATAGAAGATCAATCGAGAATCGCTGGTCCAGCCCACTATTGTCGAAAAGGCCAAGAGTCTCCAACTCTTCACTCAACTGTGAATCTATACCTCCCCTCTTGTATCCTTCACGCAACTCTTCCATACATGGCTCCTGATCGTTCGTTCCCTTCGAACGGAGCATTCTCCTCAAAAGTAGGAATGCAGATCGCTCACGAAGGAGAGCACGGAAAGCGATAACCTGCTCCTGGAACATATTCCGGCCGCTCATGTTGACGTGTTTTACACGGCCGTTCAAACGCTCCATTGCCATAAGCCACCACCCATAGACAGGTCCATGGTTGATGATATGGTCAGGGATATGTCGGATAACGTGAAAGTTGGTCACGCGGGCGGGCAGATATGGGTGTAACTTAATGACGAGCTCCAGAAAGCTGTCAATGAGTTTGTGAAGCCGAGAGATCTGAGCCTCTGAGATTGCGGATTGGAAGGTGTAGCGAACGATGGCGAAAAGCTTGAGGGAAGTAGTGTAGTCAACTCATCGGCCGGAAGTGGTTTTTTTGTCATGGCCTGTTTGGCCCACAACCAAGGGAAGACAAGAGGGCCGAGTACTTCACCAAACGTACGCCACTGGGCAGCAGTGGGCTTTCGCTGCTTGGTGAAGAATCCTTTCCCGACACTGTCAATGTAAGGCGGGACGATCACCTGCTCCATCATGGCTTCCAACCTAGTAAGAAGCTTCTTTGGGATGATGGGATTGGCGTCGAGATCCTCCTTGAGGGCACGTCCGGCTGCCCGCTGGTACCCTTCAAGCTGTCTAGGGTTCTCTGAGGCAGCGCTTCTCTCAACAATCCGCTCATGGACCTCTCTCAGCTCTTCCTCATCCATCTCGGATTCAGTGCCCACAGCACTCTCAGCATCTCCTTCATCCTCAGGACGCCAACCTAATGGGGGCATCTTACAGAGCCTTCCCATGATGAGCACGCGTCGGATGTAGTACAGCAGTAACCCTTCCAGGATAGTGTGCATGGGGTCTGCAACAGCGTGACGAATTTTGTCGAAGCCCGGGAAAAGATAGAAGATGGACAGATGGCCTGGGACCTTGAACACAGACTTCTCCACACCCTCAAGATACACTTGGGTGGCCTGCGATATCCTCCCAGCGCGGCGAGAGATATGTGTCTGGTACGACGTCTGAGGAGCCTCATCAAATTGGCGAAGGAATTTGCGTTGTTGATTGAGCATTGCCTCTGAGTGGTCGGATCCGAGATGGGCAGGGAAGGGGGAAGAGCTGGACAGCTGACTGGCCGGGATGGTACACATCAAACAAGGAGTTTTTTTGCTTTTGTAGTGACCGCCTCCGATAATGGCTATTGCAGCCGGACGATCACAGCAGATAGCTCCAATCTTGATGTAAACCTTGCGCCCTGAAAACAGAGAATCAGCATCACCATTGCGTAATGATCAAAAAGACTCACCATTAGGATGCGCAGGAGTCCTGATCCAGATACCATCGTATGCTCCAGTAAGGATGTCCACCCCCAAAGCCAGAAGAAGCCGGTGAAGTAAGCATCCGGGCGGCTCGTTGGGCGCAGGGGTGATTCCCATCAACATTGCAAAGGTAGATTTAGACCGATATTGGTTTGGAAGATCGGCCAGCTGGCAAAGGATAGGACCCATGGAGTGTGGCAAACGATTTCTGGATTTCGATGGATCGGCCCAATCGATGTGAATGTTGATAGTCAAGACAAGACATCCCCTCTGGTGTACATCTGCAGTAGCTCCGCCCTGTTGGTAGCACTCGCCATCCAGCTGATGGCGGTAGATCTTCCCGATGTTGGCATCCTTGAGATAACTCGGGGGATTTGCCTTGTCTCGCTCATCTTGCTGCTTGCGCAGGAGCTCTTGGTCTTCTACAAGACGTTCGATTCCCTCGATACTGAAGAGGTATTCGAGCGCGGCTTGCAATGACTGGCGAGGGAAGTGCTGCCCAATGAACTTTTGTCCGTCTTTGAGAGGTGTCTGGCATTCCGGGCACGCCTCTGGTACCTTCCGGAGCTCATCCGCGTCGGCAATATCAAAGAATGTTGCTTGACACTCTTTCGTTGGGCATTTGGGGTTGACGATGATGACAGGGTTGATATCGAGGTACTTGTATACCGACTTCACATTTCTCTGCAACTCAGAAGCAGAACTTTGAATAGGACGGTCAAGCTCTTGTAGTACCCTTTGCAGCTGAGGTTCGGCAATGTCGCCCATATTCTCGACAGCTGCTCATGTCGCTTGGCGATCTTCCAAGATGGCCAGCTTGATGATGACTTCAATGATGGCTCTCGCCGTGTCACCATATCGCTGGGCAACCCCAGCAAAGGCTGTGAGGAAGACGATGAACGCAGCGAATACCCTGTAGAGGAGAGGCATGGTTGCCATGGGGTCGGTTGTGCGTAGCTCAAAGTGATGGCGGTAGGGGTTCTCGTTACGGCCCGAGTATGTTGGAATCAAACACTCCGGTATCTTTGTCGGCCATCTCGCGAGGATAGACCGCAACCGGTCTTCTGTCTCGCCAATAGCGTCGTTGTCGGGTGGCAGGGGGGGAAGGTCATCATAGCCTTCATAGAAAGAAGGGTCACTGCCCACATCCCCTGCCCCCAGACCATCCATGGTTTCGTCACCGAGGGCGGAAGCGGTTTGCTCGTGATCTGCCACAAGGGAAAGGACGTCAGACGACGCATCTTGAAAAGTGGGCGCCTCAGCGGGTCTGTGATTGGTGATACTCGGTTGAGAAGCCGACTCGAACTTGTGATCAGCCTTCCAATTGAGCCAGGTTCGGTACTGCATCACGCGGCCTGCTGGAGGGCAAGAAGGACAGCGGCAGCGGACAAAGGCTCTCTGGGGCTATGGCGTATATTAGCTCGCTGCACACAACTAATCGCGGCCCTTTCCCAGTGAATGGCTTACAATATGCATATCCTTTTGGATGGATTGAACGTCAATGGGAGCCTCTCTTGGGTAAGGGTCAAACAAAGGCCTGTAATAGGGCATCAGTAACTGGACGAATCATGTGCAGACATGGGTAGGCCCCAATGCACGATTACCAACGTACCTGTTGCGGCACCTTGAAGGACCCGAGGAAGGCATTGTGCTTGAAGCTGATTGAAGCAAGTCGCCAGGGATGAGCTGGAGAGTGACTGTCTCTTATGGAATATTCTAGAAGAGCACCGGTTTGTGAGCCTAGGCATGTATGTACTCGGCTTGGGATGGACATACGGGTATGTGGATAGTGAAGACGAAAGCTGGGAGATGGAGGTACGTATATGTAGTTTATTAGAGTAGTGCTGGATGGGTAGTGATGAGAAAGAACTAAGATGAACTTGAGCGTTGCTGGAGCGCCTGCGGTGCTGGCCGAGGGGGGAGGGGGGTCGGGTGGACAGGAGCAGAGTCCATGCGACAGCCAGGTGGGATCGTGTGGGCAGTACATGGACCCATCGAGCGGACCACGCCGCATGCACCGTCCCCGCCCAGACGCCTGCCCAGCCCATCTGGCGCTGACCGCCGCCGCACGCCCACGCGACATTCTGTCCATGCAACTGTCCACGCGGGGTATGCCGTCTGGACAAAAATTCCCACGCGGCGAGTTCCCACAGTGATGGCCCTGATAGACCACGAGGACGGGCTTTCGGCGTTACAAGGTGTGGCAGCTATGGAGTGTGGCATCAGGCGCGCTACATCACCCCCCTGCTCGAAGAAGACCGCGTCCCGAGGGCTATAATTGAAAAGGATGGAACAGAGAAAAGAAGACAGAACGTCACACAAGGAGACCGCCGGAGCGACGACGATGCGATGGCTGAGCACGAGGAGATCCCGGGGGGGACGACGACGCACTTACTACTAGGAGGACCGGAACGTCACACAAGGAGACCGCGTAGCGGCAACGATGCGATAGCAAACTAAGAAACTGAGACGTCACACAACGAGACCGCGGGAGCGGCGGCGATGCGATAGCAGGAACACAAAAACGGAGACGTCACACGACGAGACCGTGGAGGCGGCGACGATGCGATAGCAATCACGAGGAAACCCGAACAGGGACGACGACGTGAAGTTGAGGGGGAAGGGGCGGCTGTAACCAAAGAGGAGACCAGGCGTGATGGGCTCTTGGTAAAGGGGAAGGAATGGATGAGTTGTTGTCGAGGCATGTCGAAGATGATGGGCAAGAAAGGATAGGAGCAAGGAGGTGCGGGTCCTCGTGCTATATGGGGTTGTGTTGGGGAGGACGAGAGGACAGGACGTATGTTCCCATGGTCGGAAGGTGTGCGAAAGTTGGGGCGTATGGGAGGATGACAGAGGAAGGCGGGAGAGGTAGGAATGGAAGAAAGAAAAATGCGGATGAATGGGCGAGGATAGAAGTGTGGAGAGCGGTGGATCACACGAGGAGGCCCGAACAGGGACGACGACGTGGTATGGAGGGGGAGTCGTTACACGGATGATGGGCAGGAGATGATGGGTGGGAGATGTTGGGCAAGACATCATGGGCAGGAAAGGATGGGAAAGAGGAGACAGGCCGGGAACGGACGGAACGGAAGAAAGAAGAATGCGGAGAAAGTGGTGGGCGTGTAGGCCTTGGGCTTATGCGTTGCCCTGGGTGTGGCTCTGGAATGGACGCGTGCCCTGCTGGTGGTCTTGGTAGCGATCGTCGGAAGGCCGAGAGATGCCGTTACTCCCTGAACTAGCGAAAGTACGACTCTGGCTGTTGTGGCGCTGGTGATCATCGAAGCCATTCTGCGAGCGACCATAAGAGTCGGAAGGCGGGGTGTTGAAAGGGTGCGGGCTGTTTAGGGGACAGAACTCGCGCCAATGCCATTCGCCGCAGGCTCTGCAGGGAGAGGGAGGAGGGGCTGCTCGCGTCTGCGTGGACTGACGGCTTGGGCCAGTACGAGAGCGGTCTTGTTGGTCGTCGTTGTGTGCTCCGGGTGGCTTGTTGTTCGGAGCTGGGAATTGAGAGCAGAGACTGGGCTGAAGATCTAGCATGATGCGACGGAAGTCGTCTAAAGATGCACCGGGTGGGGTCGATGCCTTGATTAGGGCGCGCATAACCAGAGGGATCCCCTCGACCATATCGGCGATGAGGTCTCTTGAGGAGGTCCCGACAGGGTAAACCCATCGCTGGAGACGACGCTTGTCGTCGAAATAGGAAGGGCTTGTGTCGAGCCAGATTGGGGCATATGGCCCTGATAGACCACGAGGACGTGCTTTCGGCGTTACAAGGTGTGGCAGCTATGGAGTGTGGCAGCAGGCGCGCTACACCTAAACACCCACACTCCGCCCCAGCTCGAAATAAAGATCATGCGCCCCAGTACATCCTACGATGCAAACGGTTTCGCAGAGTACGAATCTGCCCCAGAGGCGATCGAAACGTGGGAGAAAGTTGCAATGATTTTCGCGGGGCCGCTTGCTGCCTTACAGGGCAAGATTGTGCCGAAGTGTTTTGGGGCTGGGAGTGGGGTTATGTATGCTAGTAGAGAAAGGGGTAGGAGGGATGTTTATCTTTGGGTCTTGGAGAGGGTTGACGATGATGTGTGCGATATGAAGAGCTCCCTCTCGAAACCAAGTGAGTGTTATGCAAAGCCACATCAACTATAACACTGAACAACGTTAACTCTAGGGTCGCCAACCGATACCTTTTTAGATCACTCCACAACGTCCGTGTACTTCACTACAGACACCTTCTTTGCTACCACGTCAGCCGGCGCGCTGATGGTAACTTGTGCCTCGTCGACTTTGAAGAAGCAAGATTCGTTCCACCTGGGGAGGATGGCGATGAGGATTTGGAGATGGAGATGCGGGATTTGGAGAGCACTCTGGGGCTAGAGGGGCGCTAGATACAGGTCTATAGTGGGATTGCATGCCTGCTGGGGTAGCAGACAATGACCGGCGTTCCAGCAAACTCGTTGAAAGCGTTGAGGGTCTCGTCAGCCAACCGCGGAGGGCCCGGCCGAACAACGGCCGAAAGCCTATAGTAACGAAATTCAGCTTGCCCGCGACCGCCCCTATCGCCCTTGATCACCAAGTATTCCTTGGTATACCAGCATTGACCCTTCTGATGCATCCAGCCCCACCCAACACGCCTACACTCCCCATGTAACGACCGCATGCAGACGCCCGGCGGATTCCCGAATTGACCCGAGAGAGCTTCGGAGATGTGCCCGCGCAAAGCCGTAATTACAGCGCCACTTGTGAATTCGCCGCGTACCGCCGCGTGCGGGCAGAGACACTGTGGGGCGCTCCGCGGTGGGATTCTCAGCCTTTCTATCTATCTGCTCTCTCTTTCTCCTCTCCATCTCCCCACTCCTTTCTTATCTGTGTACGAGGTAGAAACGAGGTTAACGAGGTGAGTGGTCCTTCTCTGCGTGCGCAACTGCATGGCGATGGACGGGGAGGGGACCGGGGCTTGGAGGGCATGTGGAGTCCGGTCGTGGGACCGGTCAAGAAAAGTCGGCACTTGGCTTTACGGCCGTGTTTCTTCCTCGACGCGCCTCTTGTGCCCATCCCACACCCCCTCGCCAACCACCCGCTGCTTTGCACACGCGCTACACTTTTTTTTTCGACCTCGCACTGACCCTCTACAGTTCAAAATGGCCGACATTAAGAAACCCAAGGACACCAAGGCTTTCCTTACCGACTTCATGATGGGTGGTGTTTCCGCCGCGGTCTCCAAGACCGCTGCCGCCCCCATCGAGCGTATCAAGCTCCTTGTCCAGAACCAGGACGAGATGTGAGTGCCTTTTTTTACGACCACGTCACCGATTCCACGCTGACTTGTTTACCAGGATCAAGCAGGGCCGTCTCGCGACCCCCTACAAGGGTATTGGTGACTGCTTCGCCAGGACCTACGCCGACGAGGGTCTTACCTCTTTCTGGCGAGGTAACACCGCCAACGTCATCCGATACTTCCCTACCCAGGCTTTGAACTTTGCCTTCAAGGACTACTTCAAGTCTCTCTTCGGCTTCAAGAAGAACGAGGGCTACTGGAAGTGGTTCGCTGGTAACATTGCCTCCGTATGTCTTTTTTCACCGTCAAAGCGACCTTTACTCACACTATCAACAGGGTGGTGCCGCTGGTGCTTCTTCTCTTCTCTTCGTCTACTCTCTCGACTACGCCCGTACCCGTCTTGCCAACGACGCCAAGTCCTCCAAGAAGGGTGGTGAGCGTCAGTTCAACGGTTTGGTCGACGTCTACAAGAAGACCCTCGCTTCCGACGGTATTGCCGGTCTCTACCGAGGTTTCGTTCCCTCCGTCGCCGGTATCATTGTCTACCGAGGTCTCTACTTCGGTCTCTACGACTCTATCAAGCCTGTCATCCTCGTTGGTCCTCTTGAGGGCAACTTTGCCGCTTCCTTCGCTCTTGGTTGGGCCGTCACCACCTCTGCCGGTCTCGCTTCTTACCCCTTGGACACTATCCGACGACGAATGATGATGACTTCTGGTGGTACCGTCCACTACAAGTCCATGTTCGACGCCGCTTCTCAGATCGTCGCCAAGGAGGGTATCAAGTCTCTCTTCAAGGGTGCCGGTGCCAACATCCTCCGTGGTGTTGCCGGTGCTGGTGTCTTGTCTCTCTACGACAAGGCCCAGGAGCTCATGTTCGGCAAGGTTTACGCTGTACGTCTACCCCTTCTTCTTTCTTTTGACCATTGCTTACAGTATCGCAGGGTGGTTCCGGATAAACGCATCGTTTATACAACCCCAAGTAAAAACCCCCTACATTCCTACCTCGCACATGCAGAATCCTTATTCCTTACACCCTACATTCTTACCTCTATATATACCTCTTCCTTTGTCGATTATCTCGTTAGACTCTGGCCATGGTTCTGGTATCGTAGAGTTGGATGCACCGAGTTTGGTCAATTTGATTATTGTTGCAGGCGTGGCTGGTTGGCTGAAGATTCAATCGGTCTTGGGGCTGACCTGCTTTATTCGGACCCTTGTGTACTGCCTCCTAGCCGAGGGAGTATGGGACTCCAAAGCATACATACAAATGTACATTGTCCATACGTACGTACTTACGTAGAGCTCGCGCATACGTGGAGCCTGGAGCGATGTCACCCGGTGGAGGTCGATCGCCTCCAAAACCAAACATCACATTGCCATCTCCTGTTTTCAACATTTCCTTCTATCCCCTCGACTGTTTTCTTGCCACCACCCAGACCTCTTATCGACAATGGGGTTACTTTCTTGAGGCCCTTCGCCAGATACGCAAGAGACGCTACGAGACGGCGATATGTCTGAGGAAGAGACTGGTCCGGGATCGTCCTCCGCGAAGGAGACTGATGGACCGATCGGAGCCGCTACTCGACCCTCCCCCAATCCTCTCGAGTTGGTCAACCTACCTTCCGAACTAGCTCTTCCTACATCTCCAATCGATCAAGGCCACCAAGCAGATCCGACAATCCTCAAGGATGAAGCCAAGGATGAAGCCAAGGATGAAGCCAAGGATGAAGCAGAAGACGAAGACGATGACGTTTTCGGATCGGACATTGTCATGGACGAAGCTTTGGAGGAAGTGCTTGATCGGGTGGAGAGAAGGTATAGGGTCCAGAGCATGGCTCCACCTCGAGAGGCTCGAGAGGGAGAGCGTGTGGAGCTGTTGGTTGATATGGAGGATCTGGTTCCTCCTCCCAAACCACCGACTATTGCGCGTGATGGTCTACTCCAAAACGTCGGCCATGGGGATGGAAAAGATGCTCTGGAATCTCCGCCGATCGAGGTCGACGTCGCGGATGAGACAGAAGAAGGCGCTGAGGAAGGAGAGGGAGACGGAGACGGAGACAAAGAGGAGCAGCAGCAACAGCTCGCGCCGTTCTTTCAATTCAGACGGAAAGGCTATCTGAGTGTATCTGACTTGGTCGGGCCGTTGTGGTGTGAGACTCAGGTGAGTTCTTCTACCATCGATTTCCATGCTCGAACTGACAAAGATTATAGTACGACTAGTACGTCCTCCATATACTGTACATCAACCACCTCCAACCAGAACTGACCCTTCCTCCCAGCCGTCTCCGAACTCTCCCCTACCTCCCCGTCGCCCAGCGTCCCTCCACAATCACCTCAACCTCCGGCAAACTTATCACTGTCGATACTTTCCGTACGGAGGGTAAGGATCGGGTGATGAAGCGTGGAGGAGAGATACATAAGAGGTTGGAGAGGGAGATACATCCGGAGGAGGTCGTTGTTGGGACGGTTAGTCGGGAGGATGTTTGGGGGTTGAGGTGAGCCTTTTTTTTAATTCTTCTCGAGCCATGGAGGGCTCAAGGGGGGCTGTGAGAAGTGGTAAGGGGCTGATGACATCTTGACAGGTTCTTGAACATGTTCTCGGCGGTGGAAGCGCTCTTGACGATCGGGAAATGTCGAGAGTTTCCTGTGGTGGGGTTCGTGAACGGTGTGATGGTGCTAGGGATTATAGTGAGCTCCCCATCTGACCCCTCTCATCCTATAACTCACAAGGAATAGGATGAAATCGTTCGCAGACCTCTAAAGCCCACGAAAGAAAAGGCACCCTCGAAACCGCCTTCCCCAAATCGTCAAACATCACTATCCTCCTTCTTCTCCCCTACCAAGCCTCGCCCTGCCCCTTCCTCTTCCCCCACAGACGGTCCCAAAGCAAGGACACACAAGCTCTTCATCTCCGATTCCAAAACACGCACCAGCGGTTTTCTGCCTCGAGAAGACGATTCTCAAGCGGGCAGGCTGCAGGTGATGATGTACAAAGAGATGCTCGACGCTATCCTTCTAGCTCCTTTTCGTCAAAACACTTCCGAGATAGACGGCACTGGGGATGGCGATGAGGGACAGGACCCCAAGCCGCTCGATATCCTACCAACCCAGATCCACCCTTCAAAAGCATTTTCCTACCCATTACTCTTTGCGCATCTTGACCTCTCCCCGACGGCCCTCTTTTCAGATCAGTTCATGCAGGACAGCAGGGCGGTCATTGAGGGCAACAAACTGCGGTTCGGGGCCAAGAAAGGTGGGTGTTTGGAAGACTATCTGGCAGTCTGGGAAAAGTATGTTGTTGAGCTTGGACTGGGATGCCCCGCCCCTCCTAGTTCGTCGACACCTTCTGCCACTCCTTCCTCGACCACTACGAAGCCGCAGGCGAAATCCAAGCCTGCTGGGGATGAATGGCGCAACTTGGGCAGGACGGACGACAGACTCGAACTTGTTTACCGCCGTGCTGGTGGGAAGAAGAAGGGGAAGGGGAAGGGGAGAGAGAGGAAGAGACGGAAGGGTGGCTTGACGGGAGGAAGTGGTTCGAGAAGGGAAGAGAGGGAGGGGAAAATGAGGGGGGCGGAGGAGGAGAGACTGGTGCGGCTGGCTATCGCCGAGAGTCTGAAGCTATCTGGGGAGTCAACCTCAGAGCCAGACGCTCCGATACCCGCAGAATCCTCAACGGACCAAGGAGAGAACCCTCTGCCCGACCCATTCGAGAACACCACCTTGAGTCCCAATCAGCCTCTGCCGCCCGCATCATTTACGCTCGGCACAGCTGCCTCCAAGAAGCACCCAATCGACGATGAGGAAATTAGTAGCAAGAGCGAGTACTTTACGGCAGATGAAGACGAAGCGTTCGTTGATTCCATCGAGGTGGGGTTGGGTGGAGAAGAGGACGAGGACGTGAGTGTGGCTTCGCCGAAAGCAAGAGTCACATCTCTTCCCAATTCTCAATCCCTCGCCTCGACCCTCCCTCCGTCAATCCCAGCTCCGAACCAGGCCCCAGCTCAAGATTCGGACGAAGATGAAGACGCCAATCCTTCCTCCGGGTCGATCATCGGCAAGCACACTTTTACCCACTCGCCGGAGGGGCTCGCGTCGCATTTGGAGAGTGTCCTCCAGTTTTGGATGGGAGAGCGGGAGCCGAAGGGTGTGGAGATTACGGAAGCGAGGAGGTGTGGATGGTGCGAGTTTGAGGAGGGATGTGAGTGGCGGTAAGTCTTTTGTCCTTCTATCGACAGGAGATGGTTCTGACGGCGTTACAGGTTGAAGAAGATCGAAGAACTCAAATCTAGGAAGCATCACGGTTGAATTGTACCTCGTGTCCCATGTTGTACGACTAACCATACAGAATAATCATAATGCATGTTGTCACAACGCTGGCCTATGCTTACACTCCGACGGATGATCTATACAACACTCGCTTGCTCAACAATCAACAAATGCCCATCTACATTCTTCTCCCCAACAGATCTTGCCCCATCCAGACGCTCCCTGTCCGCCCACACAGCTCGCCCCACCAGTCCAGCCGCTCCAGGGAGGAGCACCGTTCCATTCTGTCCAATACGCATAGAACACCATGCCCCAAATCACCATGTTCAAGATGACAAGCCCAATCGCAATCTTATCAGCCGGCTGAGACCCTGGGTCCGAGGACCCTTCGTCGAAACAGTGAGGACAAGAGTGCTGTGGGAGGATAGCCGCGTATGTCCCAGCCTGAGAATGAGGACAGGTAGCTTGGTGAAAGGAAGGAGGAGGAGCAAGGAGGAGAGTGGTGTCGTGGGATGAAGGAAATGGCTTGTAATCAGGAGGAGAGTTTGGCGCAGCGTACCCCGGCGGAGAATGTGCGGGGACAGGTGTGGTAGAGGCGTACGTGATACCCCGGGACGGGTGCATCTTGTGGTCGGACATTTGTATCGGCCGCGAGAAACGATGATGGGTCGAGCCTTCGGTATCCTGGGCACAGGTCTGAGCGTCTGTGCAATCTTGGACTGTGAATGTGTGCTGGATAGCGGTTGGATTCGGGTTGGGGCAGACACCAGGAGGAGGATAGCAGGGATCTTCTCGAAAGTGATTATCGCGGGGCGGTGGAGGACGGACAGCTCGGTGGGTGCTGAATGTAGTGCTGTTTGGGTACGGAGTTGGCAGGAAGAAGGACATCGTATGAGGGCTGTATGATGTCAGCGATATTGATATCTCTTCGTGTTGTCTTACTTTTTTTACTTTTCAAAGGTCTATGGCGGCTGATACTGTGACTTGCAGCCTTCGTTAGATACCGGAATAGAACAAAAGACGGTGGGTACCAGTAGGTTTATATGTTCTCGCCAAGGGCGACTCACACGCACGTTAAGAGTACAAAGTAACGTTGCCAGGTCCAGACATAGACCACCTTCTTACGTACCATTCATACTTCGGTCCCAAAAATCCGACACTATAATGGATGTAAGAAAGCATGATACAAGATGCGGGAGTGGAGGATAAAGGATGAAAACAAAGGAGTGTCGGTCGTCTTCTGGAGTTAAGTAGTGGTGCTTGTACGTGTCTCCTCGCTTCCGTTCCCATTGTGATCATGAGCAATACTCCTCCATTTCTCTCCAGCAAATACTTCCGTAAAGCTCCAGCAAAAGGGACGGGGAAGCTTGAAGCAGGCGGGTTGGGGGCCATTATATGCGGCGAAGTGAGGTCTCTTTCACTTGAACCAAAAGCTCGAAGTGTATAAATCGTCCATTGGATAATGATGAGAACCCTGGTATATGCCAGGTGATGGGCTCCTATGCAGAGGCTCATCAGTCTTGATTTACTTGCTTCGCATTCTGCCACACTCGGCGTTGAATGCGTATGTTTGGTTGCGCTGCTATCTTCTTTCGCATCCACGTCAACCAAACGTCAGCTCCCAATCTTCCTCTTTCTTCAGTCGTTCACAGGCCCAGAAGCCACTCGCCCCAATGAACGAACCCCCCTAGCCGCCGACTGGCCAGCTCCCCGAAGCATACAAGCGTCTTAAAGACTTCAGACCGTACAACAGCCGCTTCCGCGTCCCCGTCCTCCACAGCACTGCGCTGCCTTCCACCGCCTCTTCGCAACAGGCGCATTATTCCGAGACAGACACTATTCAAGTGCACCAGAAGCTCGGATGCTGAAGAGAGCATCGACAACGAAGTCAGAACGGACTCGTGCGTTGCCCTGGTGCTCAGTAGCTCGAAGCATGTGCCCGTCACTTGTGGCCTTTGGCATGCGTACTGGGAAGAGACGGATCTGGAGAAGGTCAGACGTGGCTGGGAGATGTATGTGGCTATTCAAGAGGACGCGAGGCAAAGTGGAAGATTCCAGCAGTTGCGCTGTTGGGCAGAGCAGGATGTCAAGTACTGGCGAGTTTCTGAGTCGCTTGGTGCCATTGTCGATACTGACTAGTAACTTTCAGCCAGGAAATCATCGACTGGATCGATTCGATTAATAAACAAGGATACACCAACGGTGATATCGAGGCCAAGCATGGCTATGTTGCAGATTATGGCAGAGAGTGGAAGATCGTGGATTGGGGCAGGGCCCAGGAGAGGGGTATTCTGGATGACGAGCGGTTTGGATGGGCGTGCGCGGATGAAAGACTCGAGCTGAGGGAGATCATACCGAGAGATCAAAAGTCCTGCGCAGTAAGAAGATTGTCACAATCGTATGCGAACTTCGCCATACATATCTACTCGTATACTTCATCCGGATGCTGGATCAACCCAGATAGCACAGTCATCGCATGACTCCCGTGCCTGACACTCATCGTCGACAGTTCTTGACAGTTGTCGCCAATCGGCGCCAAATCGTCGACAGTCGTTGACAGTGTCGACAGTTGCCGCCAAACGTCGCAGATAGTCGTCAATCGTCGCCAGTCATCGAGATTGTCGACAGTCTTCGACAGTTGTTGACAGTGTCGACGCTAGCGCTGGACCCTGAAACACGTACATATGTATAAGTAAGACACTTGATCTCACTTTCATACTTTTTCCCTCGATGAACCAATATTTGTTTGTTGTCTCTTAACAAATACAAACACTTCGACAATAGCCACGCCGCCCGATATTGACTTGGCTGCTTACTCTCATATAAGCCTTCAGTTCATCTCTATACATCGCTATACCGTTCAAGAGTAGTTGACCCGTCGGTCGGCATAGCCCCTTGACAAAGATCAGCCAAGAGGCGTAGAGGCGTAGAGGCACAGAAACAGCAAACCAAACGGAAATTACGCATCGTCATCGACATCATACAGTGTATTGTATCGTGCCCACACAATGCTGCCCCGACTTTTGCCCGGCTTTCTTCTTCACTCGAATCATTCAACATGGAGGAAGTCACGTGACTGTATGGACGCGTAAACAATTCCACTCTAATGACAGCGCTATGTTCTGCTATCATTTTGACTTTCTTCGTATCTCTCTATTCCTTGCTGCTCTTGCTCCTTGGGCCCTATCCCATTGCTCTCCCAAATCCATTAACCCCCCTCTTTGAGCGCTGCGGCCCTCACCTCCCGCCTCTCCACGCGCCTGGTCACCACCTATCACCAGCATGTCCGCCGATACACCCTCCAAAATCCCGGTCATTCGCCCCCTTCCCCACTCTCGATCCACCTCCTCCCTAGGCCCCCACCCTCAGAGCCCAACGTCGCCTCTCGGAGGCGCCATGGGTCGCGCGAGCCCCGCTCCCGGAACACCGATTCTGGGCGTAGGCGGCCGGAGGCTGAGTTTGGTCAATGGCTTTGGTACTGGACAAGGGGCGGGGGCAGGAAGAGGGGCACATATTCGTACCCGGCAGGGAAGCAAAGCGGGGAGTATCAGTGAGGTGCTGGAGGATGATCCTGGTGCGTATCGCTTCACGTAGTCATCAGTCCGTGTGGCTGACCATGGTATGCTTCCCAAACTCTAGCACATTTGAAAGCCCAAATTCAATCGCTGAGAGCGGATCTCGACTCTACCAAACTCAGACTGTTACAAGCAGAAGCGAGCCGAGCTACATCTCCGACATTACCAGACGTATCTGTGGGCACGCCCTTGACTGTGAGCTTGATAGAGGAAGAGAAGCGTGGAGACAGAAACAGTCCTCTGGATCATGAACGTCAGTAACTATAGACGTACCATGAGCGCAGAGCTGACTTGAATGGCAGCGCCAACGCGAAAGAGTAGTGAATCAGGGTCGAGACCGTCTTCGAGACCGTCTTCAAGAGGTCTGCCGCATTCCAATGGGTCGTATGATCTCAAAGTCCACGCAGACACTCCAAAAGACGGACGAAGCCGTAAGCCCCTCTCTCAACCCTTTCCCTCTATTCCCTTCTGACCAAGCTGCGCTTTCTAGGCATACCTCAAGCAGTCGTCTCCCACGCTACCGCGCTCCACCCGACCCCACCAATCTCCAACTCCTCCCGGCGCAATGTATCCTCCCCTTCCCCCGGGCCACACTCCCCTCTGAGCGACAGGTATACCACCCGCTCGCCATATCTCGCCGTCGACTCTCCCTCCCCCAACCCATTCCCCTTCTCCCCTCTAGCCCACTCCACCTCCTCCGGCCTCGGCCGCGCTTTTTCGCCCTCCCCATCCCCTTCCTCCCGCAAAACCTCTGGCTCAGCATCCACCAAAGTCATCGATTCGCTTCAGACTGAATTGTTGAATACAAAGACGCATTTAGAGAGAGTCAAGAGTGAGGTGAGAGCAGGGCAGAGGAGGGTGGAGCAGTTGACGAGGCAGAAGGAGGATTTGCAAGAGACGAAGGAGAGGATGAGGGTGGAGAATGAGGGGCTGAATAATGTCATTGCTAGGAAGGAGCGATTACTCCAGGGTACGTCTTCTCCTTGATTTTCAGTGCTGTCACTCATGTTCGATGTAGAGGTCCTTGAAAGAGCCCGCACAGCCGAATCAGCATTCAAAGAAATATCCTCCACCCGCAAAACCCTGGAACAATCCACCAAAAAGTCTCTTACCGACATGACTGCCCAACTGCAAGAAGCCAAAATGCGCGAAATGAAGGCAGAACGAGAAGCGCAGAGTCTGAAAGATGGCGTGCAGAGTTTGAAAGATCTTTGGGCGAGGGATGTCAAGGGGGTGAGGGAGGAGATGAAGAGGGCGGAGGAGGCCGAGAGGGAGAAGAGGGAGGAGGATGTGAGTCGGTTTATGGGGTTTATGTGGGTTTGCTGACGGGAGTGTAGGCGAGAAAACGCGAAGAGGTGTTGAAGCTTGTGGAAACTCAGGCGTGAGTTTATTCCGACTGTGCGGGGGATATAGCTGAGACACCTTGCAGTACCGAACGGGCAGAGACAGAAAACGTCGCCAGAGACGCCCTCTCCAAATGCGCCCAACTCACCGAACACTTCGAAGAGCGTTTCAGCGGTCTCAGAGCAGAGGCAGAGAAGAATGGGAAAGAGTGCCAAAAGGCGAATGCTCGGGCAAAGTGAGCTCTATCCTAATGAACCGAGCAAAAGCTGATAAATCGAAGAGACTTGGCTGAGGAGCTCTTGAGGCTAAGGCGGCTGATGAGAGAGCTGCCGAGAGAAGAGTTGGTGGCGGCTGCAGGGTGGCAGCCCGACATCTTGGAAGAACAGCCATAAACGCATTCTCTTATTTGGTTCCAAGCAATCTTGACGACATCTATTCCCCGCATTTTATATACCCTCCCCAAATGTGTATATCTCGGGACACGCTTCATATTGTAGCTCTATCACGACTTTAATGATCTACATGACATGCCATGCTCAAAAACGACATCTACGCCCTTCTCTCCTGCTTGGCTGCCTTCTTCTGCTTGTCCGCCTTTGCCTTTGCCTGATCCGCCCTCTGCTTATCCAGCGCCGCCTTATCTCTCTCCTTCCTATCCTGACTCGCCTTCTTCTGCTGCTCCCTCTGCGCCGCCATAACGAAATGCGCCTTCTCCTTATTCAAATTCGGCGCCAACAGATCCACCTCTTCATTCTTCCTATGCTTCTTCTTCCTCCCATCTCTGTACAACGCTTCTTGGATCATCCTCTGCCTCTCTGCTGCCTGTCGTTTCGCTTCGAGCTCACGCGCCTTCTCGCCCTTGGGCGGCGCGCCCCCACGACCTTCGGCGTCGGGAGCGCCGGGGAGGGGAAATTCGGAGGAACCTTCTTCGCCGTCGACGTAGGCGTATTGGCGGAGGAGGGCCTGACGGCGGGCGGCGGCGAGTTCTTCGGGGGTGAGGGTGGAGAGGATGTTGGAGGCGTCGAATTTTTCGGGAGAGGGGGAGCGGTCTTGGGGGTTCTTGTCAGCTCTTGTTCTTCCGGGCTCAGGGGGACGAGGCAAGGAGGAGAGGGGTAACATACTAGCTTCAGCCTCTTCCCTCTCTCTCTCCAAATCCAGCTCATGCAATCGAGTCTGCTCATCAATGACCCGGTCGAGCATCTCATCGACTCCTTCTTCCGGCAGCTCGCCCTATATACCCATCAGCACTTGTCCTCTTCCACAGCACTGAGCTCCAGTACAAGGAGAGGAAGAAGAAGAAGAAGAAGAAGAAGGGACAGGGGGACATACACCATCAACAACACCTTCCAACATCCCCTTAACACCTTCAGCCTTCTCCTCCCGCTCCAGACCTTCTTCTTCCACGAACCGGGCCATCATCTCGATCTACCATTCTCATCAGCTCTTGCAAACTCTCATGTTCCCCTCACCCTTTCTCCCCAAACCCTCCATGGAAGGGTGAACGGGAGGAGGGGGAAGGAGGACGTACGTCATCTTGAGGGGCAGAGAGGGAAAGACCTTCGAGCTGGGCGAGGATATATCGCTCGAGCGCTTGGGCGGAGGATTCAGGGTTGTCGTTGGACATCTTTTCTTTCTTTCTTTCTTTCTTTCTTTCCTTTTTCTTCTTCTTCTTGTTTGGTGTACCTTCACTTTATAGTAGTAGCAGAGTCGGCAGCTTTGAGGGGTGGGGGAGAGTGCTGGAGGGGACGAAGAAAGGAAGGTGAGCGAAAAGGAAAAGGGAAAGAAGAGAAACTTGAAAGAGAAGGAGTGGTGACGCGGAAGGGAGATGTGCCTGGTGGAGGTCGTCCACCGTTCACCAGGGGCCAGGCTGCTTTCTGCTTGGCTGGTACGGCGTGAGCAAGGATGTGCGACTCCTCTAGGACTACAAAGAGGATGAGAGCTGGGCATAGCTATGAAGTTTTCAGATTGTTAGGGTACATGCATGAAGGAGTAAAAGGCAGAAAGAAGACCGAGAATCGAATGTCCTACATATATGTCTGTCAACGTCATCCATCGTGCCCTATCCTCAAGCAACTCACTGTACTATCCTCAAGCTGGAACAACGAGAGCGTATATTATATCAAACAAACCAGCCCGTGCGACAAAAGCCCTTCCGAGTTGGAAGAGACAGGAAGGAAAAAAGTGATGATGCAGGACGGTATACAGCCCCGCAAAAGCCGACAGAATAGCGTACCCCAGCCAAGTGTCAAGTTAATCCGAACGTGTTCCTCTTCTCTGATCTCTTTCACGACAAGCATGGTGGGCGTTCTTGGCATAATTTGCCCGCAACCGATTTTCCTGGAACGTTATGGGGTCCGCAAGCATCATGCAGTGGTATGCCCAAGAGTTGGCTTTACGCAGCCCGGCCGGCCGGGTCAACGAGATGCACCCCAAGTGGATCCTCCCCCTCCCCCTCCCACCTCACTGGGCACTGGGCTTGCTCCCGCTTTTCTCGTAACTGTAGATGGCCACGGAGAGGGAATGGGATTACGGAGTATATATCCAAAGCCGCGGAGCTATTTAATGCCTCTGGATATACTTGAGCTGGGAGGAATGCGTAAACCCCCCCATCCACTGCCGACTCCCGCATGACTGAACGTTGACATGAAGCCTGTCTCGAGACGGCGTAAGGAGCCAACATTCATCATCATCACTCATCACTCATCAGGGTGTCAGGCGTCTGACGCGAGTGGCAAAGTGGTGGAAGATGAGCGATCTGTATAAGGGCACAAGACTAGAAGATGGAAGACACCCCCACATCGAGGCATGATTTTCTGGGAACCGCCGACCCGGCCAACTGTCCAATACATTTGCTGAAGCGTCATTCGACATCGGGCGCCTTCCTGCGCTTCTCCTCAGTCTTCATCTTGCAGACTCCAGACGGCAGATGGCATGTTGATGCACATGCAAGAAGGCCAACTGATAGCAGGCCTTGTACGTAACACCTCCTTCGAATATAACAGGCACGAGCCTAAATAATCGCGGCTAAGCCCTCCCAAGCCCCTGACAGATGAAAGGTAGATCATTCTGCCCCTTCCTTGTATCCTCGGGGAGCGAAAGTCAAGTGTTGGAGAGGGGTAGGGGGGATGGGAGGGATGCGTACGATGAACGTCGTATAGCCTGTACTTTGAGGGGGACATTTCGGGGGAGAGAGGTGCCCAAATGACCCCTTCGGGCACCCGCAGAGATCCATATCGTAATCGCCAAATATAATAAAGCTTTTTTCGGTTCCTCAGGTTGAAGAAGAGTAAAAGACGGACGCAAGTCCACAGCTTTCGGTGCAGCAGCGGGAAGCCGGGGTAAGTCAAGGTGGATACATACATATGCAGGGAGAGGGGGCATGCATGGGTGTGGGTGATGCTGGGTACATATGCTGGGCCCTGGGGCGACAGGGGCGAGCGGGATTACCTGGTTATGCACGTAGACTGGTGGCGTTTAGTGTCTGGCTGGTTCCTGTCCTCCTCGTAAATCCCAATCAATCCACTCTTCCACCGCCACAACCACAAGTGAACATCCTCCCCCTCCCTCCCCCTCCCTCCCCCAGTACACTCACCCAGCGGCCCGTGCGCGTCCAACATCACTCTACAGTACAGTCGCCCCTCAATCACATCTCCATCTCTCATCCTCATCACATCCCCCATCGCCCCATGATACCTTGAGGGCAGCGCTCACTCGCCTCCTTGAACGCGCACCTCTCCCTCCTTTCAAGGATATACGAGACACCCCCCTCGACATCCCCTGCCCCCGACTTTACGGCGTGCCGACATATCATCCCGCTCTCCGTGCACTTGTACTGTCCTATACCCCGCCAGCCGCCACCACTGCCTCGGGCTCGCTGTAGCTACATAGGGCGAGTGCTGCCTCGAGCACTGTTCTATCGCCGAACGATCGGCCTGGAAAGTCTTCGGACGACTGTCTGAAATTAGCTTTCAGATTCTCAGAGGTGAGGTCTTGAACTTGTCTCACCCTCCCATGAACCCGCTCATTGACCCCCCCCCCTCAGAGTCCCTTCCTCCCCCTCTTCGCTCTGAGCAACTGTACAACCTGTAGTGGGAAGAAAAAAAGCGTCTCGTCATGTCCGACTTTGACATTTACCGCGAACCATCACACTCTCACGCTCTGTACCGCGAAGGCAGCAATCAGACTACCACCAGCTCGTACCACCTGCCCACGCCCGATAGCATGGCTTCGTTTCAGCACCAACAGCAGGCCGCCCTCCAGCGCCTCCAGCAACAGCAGCAAGCGCAGACCCAGGCTCAGCAGGCGCAGGTGCAGATGTATCAGCAGCCGGTGTATGGGAATGGCGGGAATGGGGCTTTTAATAGACGGCGGCAAGAGTCGGAGGACGTTGAAGGGGATGGACGGGTCGGTGTGGAAGATCCACGTGAGCTGCTTATTCATTTCACCCAGTGGGCTCGCTAACCATCATGGCAGGCCAAGACCGACAATATACAGAACTCAAATGCCTCGGAGACGGTTCATTCGGCACAGTCTGGCTATGCGACTGGCACTCTGGAGTCACGCCCGACGTCACGCTATCAGCCATGCAGTGCGGAGCTGGAGCGAGGCCGGAATGGTCGGGGAAGAGGCTGGTAGCGTTGAAGCGTATGAAGCGGGTATGGGAGAATGGATGGACCCAGGCGAAAACCCTCGGAGAGCTCGCCGTGAGTCTCGTCCCGACATCAAGGACTTCCACTGACTGGATACTTTCAGTCACTACGGAACATTCCCCCGCACCCGGCCATCATCCCGTTATACGACGCATTCATCTCCCCCAAATCACGCGAACTCTATTTTGTGTTTGAGTGTATGGAAGGAAACCTCTACCAACTCACCAAATCACGGCGAGGTCGGCCCCTAGCCGCAGGCCTCGTAGCCTCGTGCTTTCATCAAATCTCCTCGGGCCTGCACCATATCCACCGCCACGGCTATTTCCATCGAGATATGAAGCCTGAAAACTTGCTCGTCACTACCACCGGCCTCGCCGACTATCTCACTGCGGATACGCTTGCTGCCATTAATGAGAGACGGGGCGGAGAGCTCAAGTATGAGAAGGACGTATCTGTTATCGTCAAACTCGCCGATTTCGGTCTCGCCCGCGCAGTCGACTCGAAACCGCCCTACACCGAATACGTCTCCACCAGATGGTACCGCGCGCCCGAAGTCCTCCTCCGGTCCTCAAACTACGGAGCACCAGTGGACATGTGGGCGCTGGGCACGATATTGGCGGAAATGTTGAATCTGAAGCCGCTCTTCCCGGGGGTGAGCGAGATTGATCAGGTGTATAGGATATGTGATACGTTGGGAGACCCGAGTGGGGAGTATGGGGTGGATGAGCGGGGGATTGGGGTTGGTGGAGGACCGTGGAATTCGGGGATCAAGTTGGCCAAGAATGTTGGGTTTTCCTTCCCCAAGGTGAGTCATCTACTCGGAAGAACTCGGAAGAGAGGATGGGGCTGACGAGGGTGTAGCGTAAGCCAATGCGATTCAGGAGCCTGTTCAGTGAACATGTCCCACAATCACTGGTCGATTGCATAGCAGAGCTGCTACGGTATAATCCCCGCTACCGCCTCACCTCTGCCCAATGTATCGACCACCCATACTTTCACGAAACGCTTCCCCACCTCCAACAAACGCCGCCTCTACCCCACATCCCCTTCTCCTCAGGCCAACCTCTCCCCCATGCTATCCCCAAACCAAATCTCGGCGCCGCGCCCATACAGCCCGAACCGCCGAGACAACTACCCCCATCACATGCGCATACGCCCCACACCGACCTCCCCCGCCCGGCATTCGCCAACGACGACCTCCGTACCCTCCCTCCACCCCTCTCTACCCCCGACTCGACCGTCTCTTCTGCGCACATGCACCAGCACCGCATGTTCTTCCCGCAGCACGTGCACGGCTCGTCGCCGCATGCGAGCAGCTCGGCGCTGGTCAACCAGCTGAGAGAGCTCGATTTGCCGACGGATGACTTGGCGAGTTATGGGCATAGGCCGGCGCTGTCGCCGGCGAGTGTTGCGAGGGAGAAGGAGAAGGCCAGGGCGGGGAGTCAGGCGCAGGCGCATGCGGCGCATCTCCACCATTACGTCGGTGATCTTAATATCAACGGAGGGCAAGGCGGAACGGGGACAGCGCCGAGCAGCTCGTCTCGCCGGCAGAGCACGATGTATGATGGGTCGGTGTTTGAGGGGAGTGTGGATGCGGGGGGGAGGAGTAGTGCGAGTTTAATACGATTTGGGTCGACGGCTTCGTTGGAGGGGCAGGGGCAGCAGGGGATGACGCAGGCGCAGTTATCGCAGGCGCAGGCACAGGCTCAGGCTCAGATGCAGGCGCAGATGCAGGCTCAAGCGCAAGCGCAAGCTCAGGCTCAGGCTCAGGCTCAGGCTCAAGCTCAAGCCCAAGCCCAGGCGCAAGCGCAAGCTCAACAGCAGAGTTACGGGAGGTCAAGTGCCAATGTCGCTGCCTACCTCCAACAACAGCAACGCTACGCTGCCGAACACGGCGCCCATCTCCAAAATCCTTCCCAAGTCTCCCTCAACTCCCTCACCTCCCCTTCCAACGTCTCCGTCCACTCCACCCACGGTCACCCACCCCTGACACAACAAGCCGGACCCTCTTCTTCCTCCGTCCATATTCCTCCGCCTATTGAGCCTACGATAGGCGGTGCTAGGCCGGAAAAGCTTGGGGTGACGGGTAAGAAGAAGAAGTGGGGGCTCAGCTCGGTGTTTGGGGGTGATAAGAGCTCGGCGAATCTGTCGACTGTGGATGAGCATGATTATAGTGGGACGTCGTCGCTCAAGAGGACGCAGAGCGGGCATAGGCCCGGAGAGAGGAGTGAAGTGCACCTTGCTCCTGCTGCGGCTTCTTCCATGGCACTGGGATCCAGTCCGTTGGCTATGCAGTCGACTGCATCTGTCATCAACCCAGACGACCCAAAGAAGGCAAAGAAGGAAGCCGACCGTCAAGCAAAGGAGCTCGCACGCGCCCAGCGCGATGCTGCCGCTCTCAAGCAAAAAGAGCGAGCTCGGGCGGTCATGCAAAAGCGAAACCAGCTCATCGAAGCGAGGACGCAGACAAAAACGAAGGGGGAGATTGAGTTCTCGTCCGGGACGTTGGGATTGGAAGCGCCGTATACGGGCTCGACGGCCAACTTGGAGTCGACAGCAAACTTGGGATCGACGGCGAACCTTTCGCAGATGAATGTGCCGTTGGGGAGTATGCGCAATTACGCAGGGTCGCATGCGTCCAACTCTCTTGCTAGTGTGCATTCGCACGATAGTGGACATTCCGGGAGGAGCGGAAGGAGTGGGCTGAGCGCAAGGGCGTTGAAAGAGTATGAAGAGAGGATGGCTAGTGGGGATGATGAGGCGAGGCACAAGGCGAGAAGAAGGGATGATGATGATGATCATTCGATGAGCAGTTTCGGGATGGGACTGGGAGCGGGGTCACTGAGAAGCAGAAGTGTTTTGACTGTCGGTACTGTGGACAGCGAGTAAGTGTCTCTTTACGCTGTATATATCATTTGCTCACCCTAGCCAGTCCTGGACCGAGAAGATCAAGATCACGCTCAGGATGGGAAGACCCTCTCATCCGACATAGTTCCCGAGCTCCCTCGGCCTCTTCCACCTCTCTTCCCCCGTTCCAATCACCCACAAACCGCAGCCACCCGCTCACATCCCGCTCCAACGTCTCGGTCGAGTCTCAGCTTGCAAACGACTTTAAAGCACGCGCCAATATGGGTGCTGCGGCGTCTTCAACTTCAAGTCTGGGTAGGCTGGCACACTCGCACAGTCATAGCTACCTCGCCCAAGTACCAGTCCACGGTTCCAGCCAAGCATCTCTTCATGGACCGAGTGCTTCTCAACGATCTCTGCCTCTGCAAGGCCACGGGTATGGGCTGGAAGTACCTGGCGGATACCCCGCGACAGTCTTGGAGCAAGGCCACGAGAGCGCACCTACGAGTGCTTACGGTCATCCCAAGGGTGCCGCCGTCTCGCTCGGAGCGGGTATCGCGAGACACCCAGGAAGCTCGGGCCTTGGGCGTCCGCCGATGTCTGGTGGTGGTACGGCTTTGCCGAGTATCAGTAGTTGGGGAGAGGTGGAGGGGGAGGGGAGTGAACCGGGGGATGGACAGATTAATCCCATGTTCCGAGTTGTGAGTTATTTCGTTTGAGGGAGAATATTTGGTGACTGACGTTGGATGATAGCCTCCTGTTGCGTATGAGCAGCCGAATCAGCAAACGCTACCGCCGTTTTCTGATATCGCTAGCTATGCCAGCGGGCACCAACAACCGCGTTAGAGCTCTCGACTAGGCTCGCCTCGGCAGGATCGTCGGTCCTTTTCACCCATTGCGCCTCGAGTGTAAACTCGAGACCACGGACTCTTTATCGACCGTCCCATCTTTTATCCAGACGGACTCTGTACTCTTTTACACTTGCATTATTCACATGGCCAACCATTTACAATCACGGTTGCTGCATGTACTCTTTTCCATTTGATTTGAATCAACTGGGGATTCACCTACAGTAACATTTCCTTCTCATTCCCTTTCCTGCACTCTTTTGGGTGCTACACCTTGTATCCATGTACTGTAGATATAGCATGGCTTTTTCTTGGCATCAGTACTCCTCACGTACGAGAGAAAGCTATTGCGGTTGTGGTGGTGGTGTCTCGTTCGAGCACATCCCGCGAGAGAGGGGGAAAGACGACGCACGAAGGGAAGGGAAGCAAGGGTATATGATCATACCCTTCCTTCGATTGGGGAGTAGACATGCATTTGTCGTTGATGCAGCTTTGACAGCTGACTTACCAGCGAGAATGGAAATGTTTCTCTCGCAGAAGCTCGAGTATTGTCTCACGTCGTGCTACCCACGGGCATCCGGGCATCCTACGACGCTACGACGGCTTCGAAAAGTACTTGTTGGAACGAAAGAAGCTGATCAACGCGGCACAGCACCGCCGGTATCGTGCGGGAGTACGTCTCAAGTCTGCGGTATAAAAGCCTGCATCTTCCAAAGAGAACCCATCACACCCTTCCCCTTTTTCCCCACCTCTCTATCAAGCACCATGCTCGTCCAGTACCTGCTTGCCATCCTCTCCCTACCCGCCTTCACCTTCGCCTTTCCCACTACCAAATCTATTTCCGAGCGCGCCACCTTTTCCGACGTGATGTTTACCAGCACTTTTCCGGAGCAGATCGTCCCCGGCTCCACCACTCTCAACCTTGCCTGGGAAGGCGGTGATGGTCGTTACGAAGGTGTATACCATATTGGAGTATCCTGGTCTTCCTACCATCCACGTGAAGTCCTCTTGAGTGGAGCTTTTTCTGGTACACTTGACTGTTGTTTGGCATGGGGCTCATTTTCCCCATCATGCGTATATCAGCCTGGATTCATATTCCACAACACGACAGAGACGTCTGTGACTTGGACCCTCAACAGCCCTACGTACGGTACTTTCCTGCAAACTCGACGCTGTGAGTAACTTGGAGTTCGCTTTTGCAAGTTGGTAGCGTTCTTTACTAAGTAAGGCGTGGGCGGAAACAGTCGATTTGGAGTCGCAGATGTGAATAATAATGTCGATGCCGAGCATTGGTATCAGCTCGTTGGGCCTATTCCTGTTGATGAAGACTAGTAGAATCGTATCACATTAAGAGCTGGCCGTGGGATTTTGTGATATGTGAATGTAACAGCTCGTCCAGATATCCAGAAAAGAGCATAGTGACCCCACCTGTAGCAAGTGAGCAAAGATATGCTTGATGGGTTCTGAGCGTCAGCCAAAAAGTCAGCCAAAAAGACCATCCATCAGTGCGTGTCCTCATTCCGTCTCAAATCTCCAATCCCATATCCCCAACCAACCCATGTATCCCAACATCTCGTCAGTACTCGCATCAAGACTCAGCCACGGTTCGTTTTTTTTTGTTTTTTTTTTTTTTGTATCAAAGTGCATAAATGCGCCCAACATCCCACCATCACCTCGTCATCCCTACATCTGGACACTGTCACTGCATTTAGTAACCGTACTGGATGAGGTTGTCGGCCTTGGGGGCAGAGGCGGCGGCCTTGTTCTGGAGCTTGAGAGCGGCAGTCTTCACCCATGTCAGTGAGATTCAAAGACAGAAAGAAAGAAAGAAAAAAAAAGTGAAAGGTACACACCTTGCGCTCGTGGTAAGCCTGGCCCTTAACCTTCCTCTTCTCCTCAAGCCTGTCCACAACATCTCCATACTTCCACCCAACCTCGGCACTCAACCTCTTCAAAGTGCAAAACTTCCTTCCGGGCTTCAACCTGAGCACTCGGAGGGCGGCGGGGACAACCATCTTCTTGATCTTGTCCTGCGCGGGGGGCACGCCTTCAAAGAGTTCGAGGCGCTTGAGGGCGGCGGCGCCTCGGGAGAGCTTGTGGGGGATCATACCGCGGATGGCCTTGAAGAGGATTCTGGAGGGGGCTCGGAAGTGGAAGGGACCAGACTTCCTGGGGTTGACAATGTGTCGCTCTGAATAATTGTCAGGGGTCTTCTTTTGTTGATAAAGCATGGGCTGTACGCACTGTGGAGGTAGTCGTGGTACTTGAGCTTGTTCCTGAAGAAGGAGCCAGAGATGTTGATCTCCTCACATCGGACGACGGTGACCTTTTGGCCAGAGAGGAGCTATTTGTCGCACGTCAGCTCCCGACTCTTCATTTTTCCTTCCATCCCTCTATCCCCCTGCCCCTCTCATTCTTTGCAATCCACTGATCCACTCTGCCCAACCCATCTAGTCTCATCTCCCGACTCAAATGCCTTATATCTTTGATCCGACTAAAACTAACCTGTTTGGCGACGATGGAAGCGAGACGACCGAGGAGGTGTCCCTTACCGTCAATGACGATGGGCTGGGCGGAGAAGGAAGACATCTGTAGTATCGAATCGAGAATCAAGTATATTGTCGAGTGTAGAGGGATGTGGAAATTTGAGGTTTTGCGAGAAATGGCAGTAGAGGGATGCGGAAAGTCGGAGGAAAGAGGGAGTATGGTCAGCACTACTGTATCCAGCCGGGGGAGTAGGGGGACTGACTGTAACCTGCCCTGATGGATGTTTTTTGAAGTACAGTCAAACCAAGAAGCACCTGAGAGACAGTCGACAGCCACAGAGCCTCCACCGGGGATATGCGGCGCGCGAGTGTGGCGGAGGGGACCCGGGCGGGAGCAAATGTGGGTGGAGGGCGATAAGTCCGATATGCGCGTGCGAGATGCGGGGAGGGCCGCTTTGGACAGCCTATCGCAAGGTGTTCACATCCATGATCTATCCTACAATGCGAGAGGATACCCCATGCAAATGTTCTTCCCGCCTCTGCTATTCTCATCGCGGGAAGAAGATGGGATGAAGATGGGCAGAGAGGATCAAGATACTACTCGGGCGATGGTGGATACTCGGCCTGTACCCAAACATGATGGACTTTAAAGAAGGGACTGCACACTATACTTGAACGAGAAGCCGCTTATAGAAGAATCGTTGGATGACGGGGGGTTTGTGTTCCCCATGTTCAGAACAGCTAGTATGCATGAAGTGATGAACAAGCAGTCGAGCAGATGGCCAGCTTGGAACCATAGCCATGGGCCTTGGAGTGACACAAGAGGGATCTGAAGAGCGGCAAGGTGGCACAGGTTAGTCGCCGGGTATGTCCCTACGTAGTTGATTGACCCACTCTGCTTCTTGTATTATGTTTACCCCCGAGGCAATCATCACTCCACCAACAATCTTTCCCCGAGTATAACCACGGAAAGTCAACAGATGGATCGTCACGCCTGCGACTCTGCGAGGCCGAACGCGCTCAAAGCAGAAGCCCAAGCTGCCCAACTGCGAAGTTTGAAGTTAAGGTTGGAATGCCTGTGGAACCCTGAGACATCTGGTGGCATCTCCTCCGCGATACATTTCATGCATCTTGCATCTCTACACCCTCTCCACTCCCCGTCCCCAACTCCCAACTCTCAGCTGTACAGCCAGATCTGCCACCCCTGCGCACAGACAACCGACAGGCCAGTCATTAACCATGTCCACCGCGTCCGACGCGCCTCTGGAACGATCATCCTCCTCCACCTCCCTCTCCGGCATGGGTATCCATTTCCCCCCATCCTCTCCCTCCCCCCTCCCCCCCTCACTCTCCCCCTTCCCTCGCCCTGGCGAATCCAAGGGAGGTTATGGCGAAGGGATGCAGAGATCTCTCTCGGACGATGGCAGCGGCAAGAGATGGAAGGGCGCCGTGCCTGACGCGTCGGGGGGAGGGGCTGCATCTTCGGGTACTGCGATGGCCCATTCATACTCCAACGCCGCCAGCCTCCCGCCGTTCGCTGCGCCTGTCCCGGTGCATACCCAGAGCAGCTTGCACCCTACCTATACGCCCACGAGGCCGAGGACGATCTCCCCCAGGCCGCCTTCCTCCCCTTCCGGCCAGCACCCTCAAGCGCAGGAATCATCTCAACAGGGGTTCGCGTCTAGTACCGCATACGGTGCGATGCAAAGCGAAGCCGCCCGAGGCAGGGTCATCTCCCCCCAAAAAGACCCCGGTGCTCCCTCCCCTCTCGACCCCTCCTCTTCCTCTTCCTCCGCCTTGGCTTACGCGTCTGCAAACGGGTATGACGCTTCCAACCCATACTCTTCCCCTTCCTCCACCCCCCTCCGCTCCCACCACAACGGCGGCAGCAGCAAAGATGGGTATCAATCGCTCTTCCCACTGACGGGCGAAGAATCGCACTTGGGCTCGTCCCCGACGGTGCATCAGGAAAAAGTAAAGTTTACGGATAGCACGACGTTCTGGCTTGGGCTGTACTTTCTCTTCAATTTGGGGTTGACGTTGTATAATAAGGCGTTGTTGATGAGTTTCCGGTTCCCCTACGTACGTCTTTCCCCTTCTCATCTTGTCAAGAGGGGGAGATCTGAGCTGATTGAGATGTAGACGTTGACCGGGTTGCATGCGTTATCGGGGAGTGCTGGGTGTTATATAGCGCTTGAACGAGGTGCCTTTGTATGTCCCCTCTCTATCTCTTTGTTTGGGGTGGAAGAGCTGATGGGGGTGGTAGGTCCCGGCAAGGTTGACGCAAAGGGAGAACTTGATACTCGCAGCGTTCTCGGTGCTTTATACTGTCAATATCGCTATTTCAAACGTGTCCCTTCAGCTCGTCTCTATCCCCGTAAGCCCCTCTCCCTCTCCCTCTCCCTCTCCTCCTATTAGAGCGTAGGATGTGAAAAGGGGCGCGATGACTGACAGAATGAGCGCAGTTCCACCAAGTCGTACGCGCTTCAACACCGCTCTTTACAATCTTCATCTCCCTCATCTTCTTGCGCACCCGGTTCAGCCTGATCAAGCTCGTTTCGCTGTTACCTGTTGTTGCTGGTGTTGGCTTTGCGTGAGTCCCCCTTCCCTCCTGCCTTACCCCCTTCTCCCTCCCTTCCTCTTCTCCCTTCTTCCACAGTCATACGGAGGAACAAGAGCTGACAAGAAGGGCAGGACGTATGGAGATTACTCGTTCACTGCTTGGGGTTTGATCCTCACGCTGCTGGGTACTTTTTTGGCGGCGTTGAAGACGGTAGTCACAAACTTGATCCAAACCGGGTCCGGCGGTCGTCTTAAGCTCGTACGTCCCCCTCCCTCCTCCCTTCCCCTTCCCCTTCCCCCTCCCCCTCCCCCTCCCTCTCCCCTCCCTACGCCCTCACGCTAATACTCTGACAGCACCCCCTCGATCTTCTAATGCGCATGTCCCCCCTCGCCTTCATCCAATGCGTCCTCTACGCCTGGCACAACGGCGAACTCGAACACGTCCGCGCCTACGGTGCCACCCAAATGACCCGCACCAAGGCTGTGGCGTTGCTCGTGAATGGTGTGATTGCTTGTGGGCTGAATATTGTGTCATTTACGGCGAATAAGAAGGCGGGGGCTTTGACTATGACTGTTAGTGCCAAGTGAGTCCCTTCCTACTATTTTGGTGTTGGTGTTGGTGTTGGTGTTGAAAGGAAATGAGAAGGGCATGAGCTGACGAAAGGAACAGTTGTAAACAAGTCCTAACAATCGCACTCGCCGTCGTCCTCTTTGGCTACACCATCACACCCACCAACTCTATCGGTATCCTCCTCACCCTGGTGGGCGGCGGGTGGTATGGGTGGGTCGAGTTTCAGGAGAAGAAGAAGAAGACGAAGGTTTCGGAGCGGTCTTGATTCTTCTTTCTTGAGAGTCAGAACCATCATTCCTCGTCTGTTTGGGGTACAAAGAGGGAGGATGGGTCATGCTCCTCGCGCCTCAGCGTATTCTTTCCTATCCTATTCCGACATACGACAAAACACAACACAAAACAAACAGGAAAAGACGATACGATATACAAAATCGGCGCCAAGGAGGCAAAAGAAAAGAAAAAAACACATTGAGAGCAGAGGGTAGAGAGAGAGAGAGGAGTTATATCTATAGAGTTCATTACGTGTAGAAGAAGGGCCCGGTATGTTGGCCCATCCGGACTGGGAAATATCATCATCGTCAAATGTCGTGTCAGCTTTAGAGAAAGGCGTTTCTCATTTTCGTTTATCCTTTCGTTTCTTACCTTGGGTCTTGCATCTCTTATCCTCGTTTTTATGCTCTGATATCTATAGAGTTGGTTGTTCATGATGCGTACATATGAATACAAGTTATATCTCGCTTGGGCCCCAGCTAAAACGCGTGGGAATCCGAAAAGAGTTGTGGTGAGTCTGTTGTTCGTAAACGGATCTCGAAATTGAGGTTCATTCGAAGATCAACATAGGGTCGAGTCCGACTTGATCCTTTATGACCGATCAATCCCAAACCGCTCACAGCCTTAACGTAAACCTTTATGCCCTTTCCCATTATACCACTTTTTTTTCCTTGGCTTCCTTAGCCTCGCCCCAAGTCAACGGGAATTCGGACCCCGCCATTATCTAAAGCCGGCAATCGTATACCTCTCAGGTAGACACATACATCTACAATCTCTCATACATCGACCTGAATTAGAATTTTGGCCAACAGGTAATCATGTCTTCTTGCGATACGTTGTCGAACCCTTATACATCTCTCTGCCCGAACTTTATACACCTCAAGTCAGCGGTTAGGGATCGCCGTTTTTGGGTGAACTATAGTCGTCATGATCACAGCTTTAGCTCCGCTTCGGATGATGATGAGGGAGGTGGAGGAGGTAGAGATGGATATGGGCATGATCAGGAAGAAGAAGAAGAAGAAGAAGGAGGAGAAGAAGAAGAAGAAAGAGGGGGAGGAGGCGGAGTGTATGAGGAGAGGGTTGATGCTTGTTGTCATATCTACACTGAACAACTCTCAAAGAACCAGAAGAACAAAAAAAAACCCTCCAAACCCCCTCGCACCGCCCAAAGCCCAGCCCTCAACCTCACCCAAGAAGAACAAGCCCACCTCCACAAAAAGATAAAAGAACAAGCACAAACCATAACGCGCCAAAGACTCTCCACCCTCCCTCCCCTCCCCAACGGCCAACCTTTAAATCCCCAGACCCGGGCACAACTGAAAGCACCCCTCTTCCACACAATCTTGAAAGTACTAGAGAAACAGCAAGATAAAGGTTCGAGGGCCAAGGGGATACAGAGTATCGTACCGACTCTGTTGATACCGATGCCTGGGAGAGAGGGAAGGGAAGGGAAGAGTGTTGTGGTGGAGTATGTGGGGAGGGAGGGAGTTTGGAGGGAGGTAAAGGGAGGAAAGAGGCCGGATTTTGAGAGGTATGAGGATATGGTTGATGGGTGTCCGCTTGATCATATTAAACAGGGATCATTGGTGGAGGAAAAGACGGAGCTTAGCGATGAAGCACGTACAGAGAAGGATCCTAGCCCTCTGGTTCGACACAAGGATGGTATCAGCTCCCTTTCCCAAAAAGCAGCCGACATCTCCCACCGCTTCCTCTCCTCCCTCCTCCTGTCCCACCCGCAAGGCCAGCTCATCCATCTCAAAACCCGAGACGACGTCGAAAAAGCAATATACAAAGCCGCCAAAGTCGTGCTGAAATTGTACAAAGACAAGGATGTGGGCCAGTTGAACTTGATTCCGGTATTGGTGCTACCGATGGGGAATGGGATGGATATACAGGGGAAGTGGGTGTCGAGTTTGGGGGAGTGGGAGGATAAGCCTGGGGATGTGGTTGTTAGTGTGAGATGTGAGTGATATGGTATCTTGATGTAGTAGTGTAGGTATAGGAGCATGTGAGTCATTTTGAGAAGTAACTTCTGCACTACGATCTACCGATGATGCCTTATATTCTACCTATCTCCGACTGCCAGCGCAGTGATAGAGTTGTTGTGGAGCAGGAGTACATACCCCCGGACGGGAAGTTGAACGACACTAGGCGCGCGAGGTGAGTGATTGTGCCTATTTAGCCTCCCCGTGTGGTGTTTTCCTACGCGTCGTGGCTGTCTCGTTGTTGTTTTTTCATTCTCTCTTGCATCCCGAGCAGGACTCTCTCTGCCCATATCGCCAGCTTCTCCACGCTCTCTACCGTGAGTCGTCCCCTGTTCGTGGAGAGTGGAGAGTGGAGCATAATGGAGCGGCGTGGCGAACGCGTCTGCCTGCTATGAAAGGAGCGGCGGGGTGAGGGGGGTGGCGGGGTGCATACACGGACAATGCTGACGCTGTATCCCATCTGCTCTCTCTGGAACTGCTCTCCCCGCCATCTGCACTGCCATTGCTCTCGCCGACACCGCCTCTGTTGTCCGCACAGACCACTACTCGTAGGTGACGACGACGCAGCAAGATACTCCCCACTGAACAACGATCAGATCCCAGGTGCAGGTCCGTCAACTCGGCTGGTCACCTCCTATAATCTCACCCAACATGGCATCCCAAACCCTCCGCCCCCACCGCTCTCCCTCCCCCTCCCCCTCCCCTGAACCCCCCGTCAACCTCCACAACCCCGCCAAACTCACTCGCCAATCCCTCGGCCCCCCCACTTCGGGCACCCAGAAGGGTTTCGGTGGCCTCGGCGTGGGTTCTGGACAAGGCTCGGCAGCGGGCGGTTTGGCGAGTCCTTCCGGGGCGAGCTACCCCCGACATGTCAGTTCTAGCGTCGCGATGGGCATGGGCAACAGGGAGAGCTTGAGCCCCAGGCCGAGTATGGGTGCTGGACGTGCGGTCAGTGCTGCTACCGGCCCGAGGCCGAGCAGCGAATACCTTCCTCCTAGGGAGATGAACAGGACGCCCGAGGGTGAGTGGGATTTGACGGGGGAATGAGATCTGACGGCTCGTAGCGGAGCAAATCGACCAGTGGTTCAAGCATCTTGCCAGCTGGGAAAATACTCTCGAAGAGATGGCTGCTGCCAGCACTGATCAAAACTTTACCGAAGAGCTTGGTGCCATCGAGCAATGTACGCTGCATAGCTCCTCAACGAACTCTGCTGACGTCCTGTAGGGTTCCGAGTCTTGTCCGAAGCCGAGCGAACTGCCGCTCTCTACTCTCTTCTTCAGCAAGCCACCCCAGTGCAAATCCGATTCTTCATCTCCGTCCTCCACCACATGTCCCAGTCTGACCCAATGACTGCCCTTCTCTCCCCAGCTCCCCCCGCATCAGCCGGTATCGCCTCTCAGATGGAGTCCAAGCTTTCTTCTCTGAATCTCAAGTCGCCTTCTGCCGGCGGAGGCAGCGGTTTCCCCGGGTCGCCTGGTGCTGGCCAGTACCTCGCGCCCGAAGACGCCAAGGCCAAGGCGAAGCAGAACAGGATCTCTGCGCCCGGCACGTTGCAGCCCCACGACAGGTGGCAGGCCGGCCAGCTCGACCAAGTCATGGAACGCGGCTCGTCCCCCGGCTTGGAGAGCGACGCGTCCGGTCGAAGCCAAAGCAAGTCGCCCACCCCTGAACCTCGACCAAAGTCTACCGACTTTTCCGGCAAGCCGCGTGAATCTCTCGAGTCGCTTGCGTCCAATCGAGACCGTACTTCGTACCCGCGTTCTCCGCGTGTTTCTGGCGCTGGGGTTGGTGTGGGATTGGGTATTGGGGAACAGTCGCCCATGTCGAGCCCGTTCCACAACCCCAGCTGGGCTAGTATGGTCAACACCCCCATGGCCGGTGCTTTCGGCGAAGGCAACAAACTCGGTACACCTTCTTCCGTCGCCGACTTGTCCCAGGCGCTCAACATGGCTACCCTCCAACTCCAGAACCCCGGCTACCTCCCTCTCGAAGACCCCCGCAAATACCGCCGTCCCTCCGGTCTTTCCTCTGGCCAGACCAGCCGACAAGTCTCGAGCCAGTACAACGACGACGGCGAGGTCGTCCACCCCCGCGCCCCCCAGCCCGGGCAGCCCCAAGGTCTCCTCCCCAACCAGTTCGGCGCCCGATCGCCGCTCATCGACCAATTCGGCCTCAACTCGGCAGGCTTGGGGATGGGCGCAGACCATATTGGGTTGGGCGGGTATGGCGGACTGGGGATGGGTGGGATTGGAGGACTGAATGCGGCGCAAGCGGCACAGATGTTGGCTATGCAACAACAGCTCGCTGCCGCGCAAGCCCAAGCGCAAAGCGGACCATACTCGCCATTCGCAGCTTCTTCCCCCGCCCTGTCCAACAACCTCAATCCCGGCAGACACGGTCTCGCCGCTCAAAGACCCCAAGGCGGGCAAGGCAGGCGCTCGCCCAACCCGATGAAGGCCAATTCGCCCGCTCCGGGGCAGCAGGGTGGTGGAGGTGGCGCTGGAGGGGGGGCGGGGGTGGCGGGGCCGGAGGATGTGGATGAGAGGATTTTGGAGGATGTGGGTGGGTGGTTGAGAGTCTTGAGGCTGCACGTGAGTTCTTCCTCCCTCTCTTTTTCTTTTTGGATGGCGCGAGGAGGGAGAGCTGATGAGGTGGGTTTTTTTAGAAATACACGACGACATTCGAAAAGTCCAACTGGCGTGATATGGTACAGATGACAGACCAAGATCTGCAAGACAAGGGTGTTAGCGCGCAAGGCGCCAGGACCAAGGTACGTCCTCTCCACTCCCTGCTCATGTGAGCAGAAGCTGACGGGGGGTGGTAGTTCTTGAAGGTCTTTTACAATGTGCGAAGTAAACTTGACATACCTCATCCTCCTGGTCAGGAAGAGTATGCGCCTGGAGCCAAGTAAACCCGGCAAGGCCGCAACGATGCTCGACGCACGACACCTTTTGTGTTCAAAGGAATCTCAACCATCTTTGCTTTAAGGTATCTCAATTATACCCCGAAATGTTCATCTTTTTCTTCTTTCGTTCGTATGTCGTGGTCCAAATCAACTCAAACTCAAACTTCAAGTCTTTTCGCTCTCTTCATCTATGATATTTCTTTTCGTGAATCATAACGCTTCTCGTTTCACCAACGTCTGTCTCTTCTCTCCCAGCCATCTGGAAATCTGAATATATCACGAAGCCTTATATGTGATTTTTTCTGATCAATTATCTTGCATACTCTTACATGAATTGTCTACACAACTTGGGGGACAATCTCAGATGCGAAAATCGTGTCTCTCGCCGAACTCAGAGTCGCTTGTAGGAATTGGAGAGGACAAGGGAGGACCGGCCAGGTGCTTCGCTGGCCTGTGACGCTGAAGCTGATCCTTCGGGATGGGGCAATGAGGGCAATGCAAAGCTAGGGATGGATTGTTGCGTAGGCTGAGGTGCAAGACATGAGAAAGCTTGCTTGAGGTGCTGCGGGAGAGTGCGGGTCCTGTGTGTTGTGAGGTTGAGAAGAGAAATGAGATGGGGAAGATGAGAGACGGAGGAGAGCTGGTCTGGAAATATCCCCTGTTCGATACGGTGCCCAGAATGTCCAGAATAGATCGATGATTGCCAGGTGTACAGTTCCTTTCAAGATTTCGGCAAATCGTCCAAACTTGAGCTATTTGTAGAAAGCATGCGTGAGTATGTCATTGTATCCCAATGACTGCGGCAGTCATCCCGCCAGCTGATTGACCACACGACGAGCACCATGTTCCATTGTCACTTTTGGCAACCCATGACGATAGTAGTACATGAAACATGCCGGTGCGATGGAGTAGCCGACTAAGCCGCCGAGTCCCTAGAGGCAGCAAACATATCTTCCAGCTCTTCATCCAAAGTCAGCAAAGATCCACATCACATCAAGGCTACTTACCCTTATCAAGGTCCTCTTTGCCAGGCTTCGGTCTCTCCCTTCGTCCTCCACCCCTTCCTCCACCTCCTCCGCTTCTGAACCCTCGCCCCTTCCTCACAATCCCCTCATCCTCCTGCCCATACGCCGAAGCCCCACCTCCATCAACATCCATACTTCCACCTCCACCAGAACGCAGGTTATCAAGCTGCCTATCCAGGTCATCCTGCGTCGGCCTGCCCCTACCCCTTCCATCCCCTCTCGGCTCCGGTCGATCATACGGCTTGCGCTCCCTTCCCACTCTCTGCAGCAATTCATGTCCCCCGCTTTCATAAGCATCAGGCGCCGACTCCCACCTCGTCTCCGACCGGCCTTTCCCAACCCTTCTCGGCTGAGCCAGACTTTCCTTTCCGGCATCGCGGCCGTAGGTGGCGTACCACTTGGAAGTATCTCTACGGCCTTTTAGGTCGGCGTCTTGTTGGAAGGCGATGCGGATGGCTATACGCGCAAGGGGGTTGACGCCTGGGGCGAGCTCGTATGATATTTCAGAGGCGATGGCTCGCTCGCCGTCGCCGGCGAACATGCCTCGGCCTCTGCGGTTGACAGCAGCGTCCTCGGATGAGGATTCGGCGGGGATGGTGCGTTCTTCGATCGGCTTTTGAGGGGCTTGGGGTAGGAGGTGGATGGGGAAGGAGTGGGCGGATCGTTCCATTAGAGGGTCATCCCCTTCTACGGGGTCAAACCCTGTTTTGGAAAGTAATGAGAGGGCAAGGAGGGCTTCGGCAGAGGTTTCGAAGAGGACATGAAGGGAAGTGTCATTCAGCCACTCGATGCCTAGAAAGCATTAGCTACCAGAGAAAGGGACAAAGGGAGAAACTTGCCTAGGGGAGTCGCGCCGAGGGATGAAGCCCAAGAGAAGAGTTTGGACGTTGAGAGGTGCTGGATGAGCTCTGAATGCAAGAAAAGAGCATTGTCTTTGATTTGGACATCTTCCGTGTTGTACGTTTCTACTAAGAGTGAGCCTTGCGCCAGAGACGGAAAAGTCAAAACATACCCAGCCACACTGACGGATCTTGTTCCTCGAGCAACTGCATCAACCCCTTGACTTTCGGATCTCTCCTCACTCTTTCCTTCATTGCATCCACATGCAGTATCGCCGGCGACTCTTCAACCAAGTATACCTTGTTTCTTGACATGCGGGCCATGAGATCTTGGACGTGGGAGGGGACAGGAGGCGCATAGTCGTCGAGTGCTTGGTCAAGGCCGGCGGGGCCGTCCATGGGATCATCCTGAGGTGCCGGGGGCGGTGACTGGGGGGGAGGGGTGGCGTCGTAGGGAAGAGACATTTGGATAGCGGATGTTAGATGTGGCACAAACAAAGAGATGCGATTTTGCTTGGATTTTGCGAAGAAGCGTCACCGAATCAAGCTGTCGAATCTTCCCTGTCATCACTTTTCAAAGTGCTGATTCCATACATCGTCAACCCACTCATCACTTGTCGTGCTCGCCCAACAACACTTACTTGCTTCTTCTGTTCATGTTCGCGATGCAATGGCGTACAACGGTACAAGTACAGGGCTCGCTCGGAAAAGGTATATAAGCAGGTAGTTCTGCGTCCAACTTTGAGCTCCTCAGCGATCTCGAATTGGTCTTTTCTGCATTCAAAGCTTCTGAAAAGCAACGTTAAAGGAAGACTGGAACTCAGTCAGACTGAACACGACAAGTACTTTATGGAAAGACAACGCACGCTGTTTTGACACCGCGTAATAATATCTGGTTGAGTGATGCCTCCACTGCCACATTCCGCAGGGCCTTGGTGAGTCAAGACAGTATCAATGCAGTACCGGCATGTGTATTGATACGGTCGCAGATCGTCCCTTTGGCGCATGCCATTGTATCAAACTCATCGACGCGAGCGATCAAGGCCCTAAAGCAGTTTCGCTCCCGTATCCATACTGACCGCCTTGTTCCCGCCGACCCGGCGAAAATCGGGGCGACCTCGTCCACGATAAACCAGATGATGGTCACCTGGCTCGTCCGGCAAGCGTTGCCAGCCTTCGCCGAAATCGCCAAGAAGTCGACCCGGACCCATCCGGTGCAGATTGACCTCAGTGTCTCTCGCCGTGTTGTTCATTGGGACGTGGTCGCGATGGCGGGGAACCGCAGAGAGGGTGAAGAGGTTGGGGATGAAGACATCCAATTTCTGAGGACATCTGTGAGTGGAGGTTCAGAAAACGTGTCGGCGAGGCGTATTGTAAACGTCCCCCTACTCGCCCCCAACAACGCGCTCTCATTGCCACAAGCTTTTTCGCTGTGCTCCTCGAAGCGCCCGTCTCCCTCTTCGTCAACACCATGCTCCTCTTCGACTGCTGGAGCCTTGACTTTTTCTTTTTCTTTTCCTTCTCCAACTAAAAATATATAGAAATACATCGACATCCTCATCGACATCGACACATAGGTTAACGTCGCAATTCCGAACTGAATTAGATATAGCAAGTCTACTGTCTAAGTGCGAGCTGGGTCTTGACACATACTGAAGACTGTCTCGGAGACGAAGATGCATGTTGTGTTTGCATACCACAGGTCTATATAATACTCTATTGTACTCTTGAAATGTCCTTAGATATACAGCAGATGATTTGATTAGATTATACACTGTTGAATGATATATCACGTCTTCAAGCCCATTGTCCTTCAACCGGCACACGATCTCTCCCCTTCTCTGCCTCTCTCCACCCCCCGTTCCTCCCTCCGAACCAACTACTCCTCTTCCCTCCCCCATTCCCATTCCCACCTGTCCCCATGTTCGGGCTCACAGCTTTATAAAAGCCTTTGCCCGCATCTCCCGTCGCTGAGCCAGCGCGCCATTGCCAGATACCCCGTTTCTTCTCGTCAGACGACGGCGAGTCTGCAAACTGCTGTTGATGCCCCTGAGTCGGTATCAGAGGCCAATTCTACGCATGATGAGGCGCATGAAGCTGTCCGGGGGAGATATGGTCTTCACCGGGTATGGGCGACGACCCAGGGAAGGCAGCGTAATTTTGGTTTTGATGTTGTTGAGATCGGGGTGGAGACTGAAGCTGAGAGCGGGGCGGGGATTGGCGTTGAGGTTCGTCGTAAGTCTCCCTCGGACGAGTCTGACTCGGCTGACGAGAATGCCTAAATCCATTCCTCGCCGCAAACCCTCCCGCCCCACTATCTCCATGCCCTGCTGCTGCGCCATTCCCAAACTCATCCCAAGTCTTCCCCACCGACATTTCCGACGCCGTCCTCGCCACCCTCCCCGACGCTCTCCTATTCCCAGAATTCCCAGACCCCGGCAACGGCGCCGCCCCATACCCCATCCCACCCGAATCCCTCTTCGGCCTGAGTGATCTCTGCGAACCCGACTTGGCTATTAATGAAGCGCGCGGAGGGTTCGGAGCAGGCGCAGGCGCAGGCGACCTCATCCTCCCTGCCGACGTCGGCGGCGAAGTCTCCACCAACCCCGGCGAATAATACCCCTGCTGCTGCCTATCCCTATCCGCCATATCCTGATACTTTTCCTGATCTCTCTCGCGATCCATCTCGTCCCTTGCGTGGGCGAGCAACAAAGGTTGGGATTGGGGGTTTTGGTTTGAAGCAGGAGGAGGCTGAGAGGGAAGAGGTTGTTGGTAAGGGGGAGGGACGGATCGGTATAATGCGGGGTTGGCGTTCGGGGGCATTCCCATACCCATGCCCATGCCCATGCCCATATGACTTCCCGGCGGCCCACCCATCGGCATCGGCCCCATCGGTCCCATAGGCCCCATCCCCGCCGCCATCCCCGGCCCCATCCCAACCCCCATCCCGGGCATCATCCCCACCCCAACACCCATCGGCGGACCCACATGCGCCATCGGCCCCACCGGCCCCATCATCGGCGGCGGCAGCGTCGCCCCGCGCACCATAGCGTTCATCGTAGCGCGCTGTTGTCGGCGGATCCCGCGGTACCACATGGATTGGAATGAATTGCGGTTGCGGGCGTAGCAGATGCAGACGAGGAGGAGGAGGAGGCCTAGGAAGACGCCGATTACTGTGGAACGTTAGCGTCAGCGACAGGGAAGGGAGGGAGGGGGCTTACGGATGCCGGCGAGTTTCATGTTGGGGTGACTGCCAGAGTTGGATGAGGCGAGATTCTGGGCGTTGATGCTGTTGGGTTTACCTGCCAAACCGATGTACTGGGCCCCGTCGGTATAATAAAGCACGCTTAATAGTTAAACCCTGGTCAGCCTTCTTCCCTTCTTCTTGATTCCTTTGTCCTTATCCTTACGGCACCAGAACCCAAAGGCACAAGGCCGCTTCAAGAAGAAGATGTGACTCACGAATAAACATTCGACATAAAAGGAGTCCCCAACCTCACCTCCCCTATCGTCTCCGGCACACTCCCATTCCCCCACGCCACCACCGAGCTCCAACACGACCTCCCCGTCGCCGCACCCCGCGTCTGCACCAGCTGCGACGACGCGATACCATAAGTCGTGTCCGAGATGGTGAGGGTGAGGGAGATGTTGGTGTCGCAGGGAATGTTCCAGCGGGTACGGTCGGAAGAGTCGCGAGAGGCGTCGGGGACTTTGGAGAAGAATTGTTCGGCGAGGGAGGTTGGGAGGTAGATTGCGTCGAAGGCGGGGTCGATTGAAGCCTGGAGATAATGTTTTAGCTTGGTCTTTGGAGAAGGAGGCGGGGGCTCACGTAGTAGTCACCGCTCAAGTCGATCACCTCATCCTCTACCCTCATCCTATCCAGCCCGAAGCCCCAGCTCCCAGCAACAGACCGATTCGCTTCGATCCAATTACTACATCGGCTCATCAGATCCCACCACATCAACTGAAAGTAAGGCTGAAGACTTACAAATCGCCCGTCCAGCTTCCATTCGGCACACCTCCCCAATGCACCGTCCCCGCAGTCTCCGTATCCGACGTGGACCTATTCGCTATATCAAAGCCCACTGTGAATGATACTTCCTGTGAGGGAGCGCCGTTGCCATCGACGAGTATCATATTCGGCATCATCGACCTGTTCTTATTATCCTACACAGGTACTTCACATCAGACCTTGCCTTCTTTGAAGGACTGGAGGGGTGGGAAGATGACTTACCTGAAAAACGCCCATACCCCAAAACCCACTCGTCCCATCACTCAACTCCACCGCCGCCCCCCTCAGTCTCCCTTCTTCATCGTCCTCTTGTACATCCGAGATCAGAGCGAGGGGGCGGGTTGTATCGACATCTTGCCGTTCGTCAGAGAGGATTTCGGAGGCGAGCTCGCCACCGAGGGAGAGGGTGTTGGTGGAGCCGATGGGGTAGATGAATGTGTGTATGAGGGCTTGTTGGATAGTCTGGGAGAGGCGGTTAGCTGTGCACAGAGTGGGACAGGAGAGCTTACAGAAACGGAAGATGAATCCTCTATCGAGTATCTGGAATATCGTCAAATTTGTGCCTTGAATAGTCACGATGGCTTACGTTGCGCTGTCTTCCGTACAATCATCACACTCATCAGTAGTAACCAACATAAACTCCACATTCGTCGCTACATCACATCATCCACCATCAGCTCATCCATCTCCTTTCCCAATTCCCATCCCAATAGGCAGTAGACTCACAAGCAGTAAGATTGACGACGACCTCCGGCGTACCCACCCCGATCTGCAAGACATTCGTCCCGGCGCCGGATCTGTATAATGGGAGACCGGTGTAGGCTGCGCCCATACGGGTGAGGTCGAGCCTGTGGTCGGCTAGAGCTGGTAGAGAGAGAAGAGGGAGGGAGAGTAGGAGAGGGAGGTGTGGGAGGGGCATGGTGCTATTTTGGGGGAGAGTCTCAGGTGAGGGACTAGTGTTTGAGAGAGTCAGTAAAAGAGAAGTGGGAAAAGCAGAAGAGAGGAAAGACGGATTCCTGGGTATATGAGAATCACTCGGAAGATAGTCCTCCGTAAAAAATCGAAAGTAATCCTTCGGCCCAGTATCCAGGCCCCTTCCTCCCGATACGGCAACTGCCCTCCAAAGACCACTCCGTCCACTCTCTCAACTGAGCAACCGGAGGGAGTATGACGGCGGGGCTTTGGGTCTGATGGGGGATGTGGCCAGTTTGGGAAAATGAATGAAATGAGGGAAAGGACGTACCTTTGATGCCGGAAAGAGTAATGAGCGAATGACAGAGATGGCTCGAGGAAGTCGAGTTTTAGGCTGATGGTTCAGGTGAAGCGGACGAGAGGGGGGACGGAGATGACGAAGGATTGATAGGAGAGGGGCAAGCAGGGCATGAACCGACGTCGCTAGGCGATGGTCGTATCCCAAGTACGTGCCAGTACGATAGTGGTTTGATAGAGTGTGTGGTCGATACAGCCCTTCTTCTTCTTTGGTATACTACAGATCAGGTCCTGGTAAAGCGAATGGTGGTAATGACAACGCCGAGAATCTTCCATCTTGTACATGGCAGCAGATGTCCAAGTGATCGTTCCTGGCACATGCCGCAACCAAACACACAACCCAAAGGACCCGTAAGCTTCCGCCCTGATCGAGGTCGTTCAACTTTGGTATGCAGCTCCCTGCTGGGGAGTATTTATGTTCACGACTTTTTTGTTTTCATTGGTATTACGATTATCTAGAGCTTCGTGTATATCAACCCTTCTTACTGTACAACACTACCCCCATTCTACTCTTCCCGGTACTTTCCCACTCCGCTTGACGCCCCGCTCGCCAAGACTTGCCCTAAGAAAGACTACTTTCCATTCGGCGGCGGCGGACGTCCATTATACCCATTCGGCGGTTGAGGATCGTATCCATCGCCTTTACGCATTTCCCAGCCTATCGAACCCACAGTCAGCTTCCATTCAACGATTACCAGCCGGATGCCGGATGTTCGGACTCGAGGTGGAGAGGGAAGGGGAGAGACGTACGGCAGATGGAGCAAAGCCAGATTTCATGCTTGACAAAAGGGATCAGAGGGATCCAGAAGAATTCAAACCATGTTCGAGTTGCACCGCCCACTACGAGATCACAATCAGCGAACCGACTTTGGGCGGCATTCGGGAGTGTGAGGCGTACCGACGGAGGCTATGGGATCAATTGGCTTCAGTATGGGAAAGAAATATAAGGGGGTGGCGTACCGTTATGACATCTGGGACACATACGTCCACTTGGTTCGGGCGCATCCTGTTTGAACTACGCAGCAACCAAGCGTTAGCACTCTTGCCACCAGCTCTGCGATCGTTGGCTGAACGTACCTTGTTTGGGAACCCGCCTGTAGATATCGAGAATTAGGTATCAGCTTGGAGATTTCTACTATACCGGAGTTTGAGGCGTACAAACAAGGGGAATACAAACTGCACAGCACATCAGTGATTCGTTCTCGCACGAGGCAGCCTGGACAAAGACCCACCAGCCATTCTCCGATCTTCTCTTGCTTATTCGATTGGTAGTAGGAATGAAGTGACAGATATGCAGTATCTGATGGAGGTGTTCGGCTGAAGTGGAATGGGAAGATGAAAAGACGATGGCAACGACGAAAGCGGAGGCGTGACGTAGTAGAGACGGTGGTCGCCGCTGTTGTTGTTGTTGCCACCGTCGGCCTTCTCTCCAACGGCCTGTCCACTCTGCGACTATCTCCTCTGACATCCTCAAAGAACAAGGATACCGAGTATGAGACTCGCCTTTGCCTCGCTCTCTGCCCTCACCACCCTGGCCCTCACCTCCGCCGCCCTTCTGCCTCCATCCGGGACGTCCGACGGCTCGGTCGGCTCTCTATTGGACACGCCCGACCAGCTCCCTTTCGGGCATACCCTGCCTCTCTCTGCTGGAGAAGAGGATGGAGAGAAGGTGAACGTAACCCTCTACGTCATGTCCCGCTGTGCCGACGCCGTAAGTCCCCTCCCACCCGCCCCTGCACCCCCACACCCCAAGGATCTCGAGCTGACAGAGAGTTTGACAGAGACTGTGCGAAAACACATTCGGCTCCGTCCTCCGCTCCCCCTCTATCCCTTCCAAAATCAACCTCTCCCTCCAATTTATCGGTTCCCTCAACTCCTCTTCCCCGACTTGGCCGTCGCCATGGGGTGTGGAGTGTAAACACGGTCCGAAGGAATGTGTCGGCAACGCCCATCAACTCTGTCTCATCCAACACCTCTCGGGGCAGCAAAGGGGGGGAGGTAAAGGGGTGGAAGAGTGGTTCGGAGGGGTAGAGTGTATGAACTTTCCCTCCGACTGGCCTGAACGTGTCGGCGAGATCGCAGAAGTCGAGCGGTGCGCGAAAGCTTCGGGAGGGTGGGATAAAGTCGAATCGTGCATCGTCGGCTCCAAATCCGAGCAAGGCGATGCCCAGAAAGGGGAGGATGGCCTGTACTTGACGAAAGAAGCTAAAAAGTTGTTGAGGGATAACGTGAAAAAGACGGAGGAGGCTGGGGTGAAGACGAGCTGTACGATCGATATTGCGAGTACGCTCGTAAGCGGTGGGAGGCGGACTTGTGTGGTGGATGGTGGTGTTTGGAAGGGGTGTGATGTGAGTCTTCTTTCTCCGCTTTGACTTGGCTGGGGGTAAGAGCTGATGGGTGGGTAGGATGGGCATACGGCAGCGGATTTCGTTAGAGTGATAGAAGCCGAGTATAAGAACCTCCAGATCATCTCCCAAACCACCTCCCAGTGAAACCCTTGTAAAGTACAAGCTTGTCATGTAGTTGTACAAATACATATTATATCTATATCTACCATGTACCATTTATCAGCTCAAGAACCCGCCCGCACCTTTGCCGTCACGCTCAACACCGACAGCGTTCCGTAGTAGACCGGGCACGATCTTGCCTTGGAGGATTGTATCTTCCACGACCCGGGGGATCTCTTGGGGTGTTACGCGACCGTAGGAGATGTATGCACCTGAGGGGAAGACGATCTGAACGTACATCAGCACCAGTCACAAAACCAAAAGTGGCAAGAGATGATACTCACGAGCATGACCCCGGCATAACGATGTCCTCCCAAATGATTGATATTGAATATCCCAACCTCCCCTCCCTCCCCTCCATGTACAGCCTCAATCTCCCCAATCCTCCTCCCCACTTCCAGCTCCCTCTCCTCCTCCCCTCCTTCCACCTCCTCCAGGGGCGGGCCATCCAGGTTGATCAAGGACGACCCCGTATCGTCCACTGCTATATCGTGTGTCTGGAGACATGTGTGCAGGGCAGAGCGTAAGAGGGGGGCTGCTATGTGGCAGCGCTTGTCTCTCTTCTTGTGCGAGCAGAGGAGGACGACAGCGCGGTATGGAAGGACGTAGCTTCTCTTCCTGCCCACCCCACTATCATCCGTCCCGCTCTTCCCCGCCCGGCCCAACTCGCCGTTCAGGACTTTATCAAACAGCTCTTGCGCCCCGGCTTTAGACTGTTCCACTTCGTGCACGACTTTCCAATCTGGAAAGACCAATACAGATTGGTCGGACGGGTCGTCGGACTGGGAGATGAGGGAGGAGGAGTAGAGAGACGGAGGGGGTGCGATGGGGTCGGAGAAGGGTTTGGAAGGCGGGGGGAAGGCGGAGGGGGTTATATATGGGAGAGAAGGGTCGGGGCCCTTGGGGGCTTTGATAGCAGGGGCAGAGTCGATGACTTTGCTGAGGTATTGTGCCAGAGATCCCTTTTCGTCCTACTTCTCAGTCAGCTTTAGCCCAAGGCGAGGTTTGTAGGACGCACTGTATGGTCCTTCTCCCAATCACTCTTCCCTGTAGATATCACCGCTATCCTCCCCTTCCCGCCCTTCGAACTCCCAAAGAGATCACTTTCCCAATCCGTATCAAACCCCTTCGGCAGCCCTTCAATCTCCCCATACCTCTCCCCCACATACTCTTCATACTCTTTCCCGCCATACGCTTCTACCACCACCCCCGCACCCTCGCCCGAGGAGGAAGAAGAAGAAGGGGAAGAAGGGCAGGGGAGATTGCAAGCAGCGCAGTCGGTGTCGGAGACGGGGACATGGGCGGCGCTGAGCAGGTGGGCGAGGGCGGCGTGGGATTTGGATCGGGCGGGGGCGTGGTGGTCTGGCGGGAGGGGGCCGGCGGTGAGGCCGATGGCGGAGGTGAGCTTGCCAAACATCTGTCTCTTGGCCACTCGGGATGGATGAAGAATGGAAGAGCGAATGAGGATCTCGTCAATTGCGACTTTCATCTCTTCGCTTTTCTCCTCTCCTCGGCCAAAGCCGAACTACGCCACGGAAACTCATGTGTGCTTTCGCTGCAATATCCGACTATGAGTCAATTCCATATTTATACATGTAGCTTTTCCACTCGACCAACACTCTATAAACACGATAGAAGCCCAAAGCAATCAATATGAAAAGCCAGAAACACGATGGTAGCACATGAGATTGATAAGTATTCTAAAAGCGCACACAAAGGTAGACGCAAGAGTAGAGGACAGCGGAGCGGAGATGGAGAATATATCGATATAGGATGGTTTAGCAAGACTCAAGAGTATAAGACGAGTCTTGATGGGTCGATGAGATGTCTATAGAGTGGCAGTAGGGCACGAACAAACAAGAGGGTGAGAGTGATGTCTATGTTACAAATATGTTTTTGATAATTTGAGTAAAGATGAAATGTCTCCCAAAGCCCGAAAAGAAGTAGAAGAAAAAAACCAGAGCAAGAGATAGAGTAAGAGAGGCCTAGTGTTGCGAAGCAGGCGGCGAAGGGATACCAGCCCCAGCCCCAGCATCAACAGCCGACATCTCACTATCCCTCCTCGTCACAAACACGCTCTCCCTCGCCGCCATCTCATCCTTCCGCTTCTCATCCCCATACCAATCATCCTCCCCAAAATCGTCTCCCATGCCCATGCCCATGGGCCCATAGTTCATACTCATAAACTGCGCCCCAGCGAACGACGTTGATCGATCGACAAAGGGAAGACCGATATGGTCGAGCGAGTTGGGGGTGAGGGGAAAATCAGAGAGGGACGCGAGTCGGGGGGCGGGGCTCGCAGTAGACACCGTGCGCACAGTGTGGGAGAAGGAAGGCATACGGTTGGTATCATGCCCCGCACCAGCGAACGTCGTTTCCCGCGGTGTAGCCCCAGCCGAAGCTTCCGACGGCGACATTGGCATCTCCCCCGCCAACGTCGGGCCTTCCGGGTACTCGTCCGAGCGGTAATACTCGGGGTGTTGCTCGTAGAGAGAGCCGAAGCGGATAGAGTCGTCGGGGTGGATTTGGGGGACGAAGCCGTATGTGTGGTGAGCTGGAGCGAATTGGGGCAAGGAGGGGTCCTCGGGGGGAGGGGCGATGTGGAAGGAGGTAGGGGCGGGGTCGGTGAAGGCACCGCTGAGTTCCGGAAGGGTGGGGTAGAAGCCGTTGTCTGGAGGAAGCAGCTCGTAAAACACTACACTCATAGTCAGCCACCATCCGAGCATATGTATCGCTAAACCTACCAGCTGGCATGGGATCCAAATTCTTCTCATCCATCACCAGCCCACTCGTACGCTCATACTCCTCACCCTCCTCCGGCCCCAGCTCATGCCACTTCTCCGCCAACGCATTGATATCATCACCTTCTTGGAAGAACGCATCGTCCAGCGCCGGGATCTCATCCATCTCCAAGACCGCCATCGGTCTCTGGTACGCATCCATGCCCTCCACATTGATAGAAACCAACGCTCGCTGGAAAGCATCCTCCTCTTCATCCCTCGGCACCGTCCTGGGCGAAGGTGGCTGCGCGAGAGAGTCGGATGACGATTGGAATTCCATAGGTGGTGCGAGCATCTCTGGCACCGCACGTCTGGGCGCGGGCGCGGAGGCTGGTGTGGGAGCCGAGTGGGCAGGAGGTGGAGGGGGAGCGTGGTGCCACATGTATTCCTGGGCGATGGCCATACCAGGCGCCGGCGCGAGTGGAGGTTCGACGCCTTCGGGGCGGGCCATAGCGGGCATAGCGTAGGCTGGTAGAGGGAACGGTCTGTATTCGTCCTCGGGATGGGACATCATGTACCCGCTCGATGCTACATTTTTATCAGCTTCATCCTCATCCAGATAGAAAAAGACGTACACTCGACGCTGGAACCAAAGTAAGAGCTCGGCGGGGAGACTTCCTCATGACTGCCGGGATAAGGCTCGCCATACACCAAGTACCTGCCCGCCGCCGACAACGGCCCCAGTCCAGCTTGGGCATTATGAGCATTATATCGACCTGATGCGTCGTATGGAGACATCGGCGAGTGCCTTGAGTGGCCCCGGGTAGTCAGACCAATATGTCGTCTCGCGCCTATCACGCGTCAGCCCCTCGCGGAACCGTCCGAGACATTTTTGTGTGGACTTACGGCTACGGGTCTTTTCAGATTGTCTCTCTTCCTTCTTCCTTCGCTTTTCCAGTTCCCTCTCTCGCTTGGCGTTTTCGCGCGCTTTGATCTTGAGATCTTTACTGACGGGCTTGAATTTGTAGTTGGGGTATTTCAGCGCGTGCTGCAAACGCGTCAGCATGCCGGATGTGAGTTTGAGGTACGCGGAGTTACTCACTTCTTCTTTTCGGATAGCTGCTTGGCGTTCGTAGTGGGACTTGTTTTCCTTTGTTTCGTGTTTCCAGAGATAACTTATGACTTTACTGACGTCAGCCTGGGGCAAGCCCTTGCCGGCTTTGCCTTCCCGCATTTCAGCTACAAATCACATTAGCTGACGATTCGACGTAGCGTTCAACATGGCAAGACTTGCACTCATGATCAGAATCCGGTAAAGGCGCCAACCCCAAGTCGACCCTCGCTTTTCTGTACCCCGGAATATTATCCCCCTTCTTGAAGCGCGTGAGTATCTCTGAACGGTAGATGATCCACGCATTCGGCGGCCTGGGAATGATCGCCTCCTTCTCCGTCTTGGTATTCTTTCCCGCACCAGAAGAAGGCCCGTCATCGTCCGTCGTCAAGCCGTGCTCGGGCTCGGCGTCGGTGGATTGCCATTCGGGTGAAGCAGCACTATGAGCAGCGGGTGCGCGGTGGGTGGGAAGAGGAGGAGGGAGGAGGGCGTTTGTGGGGTGGTGGGCCGTCCATTGAGAGGGGGAGGAGGAAGTCTGCGGGTAGGAGGAAGGGTACGTGCGTGGGGGTATGTGGGTGTAGGGTGGAGCGGGAGGGGAAGAGCCAGAAGCTGATGGCCTCATGGGCGTAGCCTTGGGAGGGGCAGGAGCAGACGAGGTAGCGGGGACGGGCTCAGACCCCGAGCCTTCTGGCGACGGAGCCTCAGGCGACGGCGAAACAAGCTCGCGGGCAGAGTTGTTGTTCTTGCTCTCAGCCATTATGTAGTGCAATGCGTTCTTCTGGGTGGACTCGGGAAAATATCGGCGTGGGTGCTGTTTGGGCTTGCCCGGGGCGGCTGGTGGTTGTTGATCGCTCTCTTCGCCGTCAGAGTATGGCGGAGTATGCTCAGAGGCGGGGATGGGAATGGGTACAGAGACGTGGGAGCTGGCGCGTGTTTGACGTTTGGACATCAAGCTAGCACAGGACTGGAGGAAAGTGTCAGGATCAAAGTCTTGGGCGGTCTGGCTGGTGCGCTTGGGTGCAGAGGTCTTGGGCGACATGATGGGCTGGTGGAGAGGAAAAAGATGGGGAGAGAAACTGACAGATGGTAGAGATATACGACTCGGCACGGGTGGCGATTATGATGGCACGAGCAGAAGCAGATGTACGTTCAGCAGGTAGATACCGAATGAAACACGAGCCTGGTGGGTATGTGTACAGGGACAGATTGCTGCAAGTGGCGGGCGGGGCAGGCGGGGACACGACGGTCAGCGGGGCTCATGTTGGGTGAAAAGGTTCTGGATGCACTCACAGGTGACCGCAGGGATGTCTCGGTGGGTACAAGAGGCCAGTCGGTACAGCTGGGCATGGGACTGTGGGGGAGGCGGTGATGGTGCACAGGAGATAAACCTGCAAGATAGTTGTGATGGGCGGGTAACTGAGCCTGGCGACTTTTTCTTGGAGAACAATAGGAAAAAGTGGATGGGGATGTTTGAGGAGCACGGATGCAGGCGCTGTTGGATGTCAGTCAGTGTTTGACGAACAATAGAAAGACAGAGCTCCCATCAACACCACACACAACCAGGTACACACCGCACAGACACCACCACCACCCCCAACCGCCAGCTTGCTATTGTTCTCCACATCCCTTCTCTTCTGCCCATCACACTCCCGCCCACCTGGCCATGGCGCCGAGAGTAGGGCACACACACCCCCCAAAAAACGGGCGATGCTGTTGACCTGGACATCGGCTCCGGCCTCGACCTTGTCCATCCGACATCTCATCTCGCGGCTCGCCAGTGGAACCAAAGAAACAAGAATTCACTCGAAACAGGTAGGACTGACAGTGGAGATGGGGTCACACGAGATGAAGCTCTAGCCAATTTATGGTGAGGCTTTATACCGAAGCTGGTAGCGAGAGGGCGCCTTGTGCTGAGGGGTATAGTACAGTAGACAAGTTGAAGAAGCCGGAGGGGTGGAGGTCGAGTTTTTGTGCGGGATACTATCGACTGATGATCATATGTAACCGTGTGTGCAAGAGAAGAAGAACAAAGAGAGATAGCAAAGCGACAGGGGCTCTCAAGTTTCATCCTGGGACATGGATATCCTCATTGGGAACCTGCAAGCTGATCAGTGACCCAGAGTTCTGGGTTGCGACGGGATGGCGTTGGGTCAAGGGAAAATGGGCACGGAGCTAAGGGTTCGTCCATGTGCCAGACATGGGCTTCCGACCGTTGCATCCGCTGATCACTCCCCTAGTCTCCTTCTCTCCACAGTACCCTCGCGGGGTCCAGGGAGACCGTGGACGGGGGGAAGTGTTCAATTGAAAGTTGAAGATCCGCGGTCTACTGGGATGCCATAATTGCCGTGTTCGAGCGCTGCTCAGGAACCGTGCCAATTGATATGAGAGACCTGGAAATTCAGGTTTCCGCCCTTCGCGCCCTTTCAGGTTCTTCGGCTTTTTGCCTTTGGAGTCTTTTTTTCCAGTCCGAACGAATGGTTGATAATCTTATTTCACCTTCTTCTTCCGAGAACCGAGAATGCAGCATGGGTTTCAGGACATGACGCCCACCCTCTTTTTGCGCTACTCTCCGCCCGCATATGTACACGCTCCCGACCCCAAGTCGCTTCCCATATGGCTCTTCACCATATCCCTGCCCCACATCTGGACAGAGTAAAGCCCGTCTTTACCTGCTGCTCCTGCTCTTGCTATTCAAGACTGCTGCTGCGATGCCTGCCGGTCTGCTATTGCTATGGAGTCACGGCTTGGCATATGCATGTGGTATTCTGGCGCTTTCCCACGCAGCTGAGCTCTTGTTGCTTGCAACCCTTCACGTCATTCCCGACTCCCCGACTCCGGCGCTCGGCATAAGATAATGGATTGGTTCATGGAAATGTTTCAGAAGTTGGTCTTTCCGTCGGCTTTTGACCTATGAGTCACTCTGTTTTACCCGCCGGCAGAGTACTGTCCCGACAGAATGGCAGAACGTTCTGATCCACTCTTTCGGGTTTGGCGTCTTGTGAGTGTACTGTCTTTGAGTTTGTGGCCCTTGGTTGACCGCTCGGTATCGTCTTCGGTATCTGGCGATGGGAGACGGGTACTTTTGTCATGTGACTTTCGGTGTTTTGAGATGCAATCCAGCTTCGTACGTATGTATGTACTCCTCCAAAAGTCGGAAGACCGAAAAATAACGGAAAGTGCTCGAGCGTATGCTTTCTCCGATGCTTCCCTCTAAAAGCTCCATGGGCTGCCGTACACATGCGTTTCCTAATAAAGGCCTTTGTCTTGCATCTTCTTGGGCTACAGCAAGCTGACAAGTTCAGGCGCTACCACAACCAGAGTTCAGGTCTGAAAGAACAGGGGTTTCGCTTCCAGTTTCGGTAGACGTGCAGGGGGTAGGAAGAACGATGCAGGAAGTGGGGGTAGAAGCGCCTATGTGCCTGCATTTGCCAGATAAGCTGGCACGCCAGTTCTCCTTCAGCCCCATAGAAAATCCTTTGGGTCGGACTTTCCATCTCTCATCAGCTTCATTACTAACCCTTGCCCTCATCTTCAGCCCTGGCTTATTGGACTGGTCTCCGTCTTTCGCCCACCTGAGCCATCTGTACCACCTGATCCATAGTGCATGGACAGCTCCCCCGCACAGATCTATCGCTATCATCCCCCCCCCTCTGGGTCCCTAATGAAATGCTCCAAGAACCGGTCTTCCCGTTCATTTCGATTGACACCGATCTTCTTATCTTGTCGCATGTCCATTTCCGGGGTGGCACCATGTGTTGCCCATGTGGGTCGCGCACCCGCGCCAAGTGATTGATAGAGCTGCGAGGAGCTGAGGAACGGGTGATAATTGATATGTAGTCGATTGTTGATATACTGTAGACGGAGATAAAGATTAGCGCGTTGAGTAATTGAGAAAAATGCCGTGATGAAGGAAGGCTCCGCGTAGTCTTCTGCACATAGATAGACCTGGAGCTGAAGCTTGGAGTCGGTAGATGGGACTAATTTGTACGAGTTTCAGATGTTTGGTAGTATGTACGTATGCACTCGGGCGATTCTCGAAGGCGACCAGGCCTCATAGAGCGGGACAAAGATGTGACTGCAAGTGCGCATAGCTTAACAGTTGAACGCAGACATGATCGGTTCAATCGGCACTCGGTACCCGCGAAGAAAGCTCCTCCCAAGCTCCCAAGAGAGTGAAGTAAGATACACCAGGGTAGGCACGGGGGCAGGGGGGGCAGGGGGGACCAGCCAAACGTATGTAACAACCAAGAGACACCCCGGCGTGAGTCAGAGCGGCATCATCATCGGAGCTCTTTCACGCGCCACGCTGACGTTCTCACCTGCATTACACCCTTGATACCCTTGTCCGCCTATTGCAAACGTCCATGATGACACAATTCATGCATCTCAACCACGCCAAAATGCCTCAATGCCCAAGGAGAAAAAAAAGATACGGGGTGGATGCATGATGCACCAGTTTCGTCTCCGCCAGAAACGGCCCTGAGCTCGGGGTCATTTTATGGGTCATTTATCTCCGAGGCACCTGGAATGACCGAAGAAGCAACAAACTTCTTATATCCTTCTTTACCTTTTTAACCTTCCGAGGCGTTCCAAGCCATGCCGGACGTTCCGAAGGTGCATGAGTGATTGTGCCGGCCGGCTTGTTGGTGTGCAAAAAAAGGAGAATCGGTGTCGTTGCCGGTATGGGAAGAGCTCTTTTCACTACCAGCTCTCTTCGTGCTCTGTCGGCTCTCCATGGTAAATGACCGGCGATCACCCGTTCTTGGGGCATCCAACCCTTGCCCCATGCATGCCACGCACTCACTCGGGCAGTCAGCACGCGTTACCGCACACGCACTCCAGGGAGTCTGTCGCCCCAGTGTCCGTACCGTCGGCCCCGTACCCGGCCTTCTTATCTGGAATCTGAAATCTGACCGGAAAAACAGCTCGGAGTGTACCTTATGGTATTTGCCCCCTGCCCAGGATGCATGTACATCTATGATATAGCAGAAGGACCCGAACTCCCGCTAGGTACCGAACAGATGCAATGGTGATTGTGTCTCGTCAGCGCCTCCAACGTCAGCCTCGACACCATTACCAAAGCAAGAGGGTATGACCGGAAGAATTCTCACGGCTGGGTGCCGAATGAAAGAGACAGGTTTCTGTGGTTTGTGCCGACCATGAAGACATTATCGAAATCGAGCGATCATTCTTGGAATCTTGACCGCTCTTCTCCTGTCTTTGTCTCCTGCACTCACTGCTTTCTATACTGTAAAAGGAACACGCACAAGCGCGGCGCCAGCCATCTTTTGCCTCCTAGGCCTGGTCACCCCGCTCTCTCCTCTGTGCTCTAGAACTGTACTGCTTGTGAGGTTTCACCAATTTGTGGCCCTGCTCTGGGTCCGCAAGGAGAGGATCGGCGCTAGAGAAGTACGACTCATTTCCGTCTTTCCAGCAAGGGTGGAGTATCGGGAAAGGGGCCGAAAGCAGCTTCTGAACGGGTGATGTTGAGTCGCCGCTGTCCTTGGAGCGGAGAGGCTGCTGGAATGTGCACGGTGGATATCTCCTTCTTGGCCAAGTATCTCCATCATGTATGGCAATAGTTCAGCACTGAGATCTGTACGTATGTAGTCTGCACCGGACAATGATTTTACACGCCCCATGCGCTTCGAAGGACACAGGTTTCGCGTAGAGCGTATTTACACGCATCTACATAGAAAAATGTACGGAATGCTGCAGTCTGAGGAGCAAATGCAGTCTATCTCTTCAGAGGCCCCAAACAGTCGTGGGAATCAATCAAACAATTGAGCCAGCGAAGGTTTCGGAGGATCATTCCTTTCCATGGAGATTGACCTGCGCTAGTGAAAACCTACATCGCTCCTATGCACGGAGGAGATGGCACTAATTCCCACTTTTTAGCCGTGCATGACTGACCAGTCGCCGTGTATTTCTCACGAGTCTCCTCATACTATGTAGAGGTCATGTGTGGTGTATCCGCTAAATCATGTGGGAGTTTTAGTGGGATCAAGTCCTGGTCTAGCATTCCTTCTTCTTGGCCTGCCTGCACCTCACCTCTCTACATCCAACTGCCTCAAGTGTCTGCACCATCCTCCGTGAACTCGGGATCGGAGACACACACTTCAGTGACTTTATGGCCCCAAATAGCACCTCAATGAATGTAGGTGCTCTCTTCGACCTATGTGCTCCTTCAACGGGTGACGGACATGCTTGTGGCAAGCCTAGCTTTCTCCTCGGCTTGTGACAATGGACGGAAATTGGCCCAGTGAGCGGTACATAAGATCCGTCCTTAAGAAAAGACCCGATTGTATGTCGCTCGATATGTCGTGGAACAGAAGACTTTGGGGTTGTGGCAGCATTGACTTGATACTTTTCGGCTGCACTCTCTTTCATACGACTTTTGGGGAACGATGTACAAGATAGATGGGCGGATTATTGAGCTGATGACTGCGAGTCTTCTTCCAGATCCCCGGTTTCCCTTGCATCGTGAGCCTGTGTGTTGAAACAGTTTCGTCTGGGGTGGCACGAGTATAGTGGAGTAAAGAGGTGTTGATTCACCCACTGTGGCATCAAAGGTACTCCTTCAGCTTGATATAAGTGCACATGACGGGTGTCGAGTGAATGATAGATGTGGCAGCAGTACTAGAAGTCGCAGTGGTGCGGCGTGTCCGCGCACTGGGCGCCCGACACTGGCCTCCACTCGACTGACACATCTCGATTTATACCTTCTTTCTTTCTGCTGTATCCAGTCTTTGAATGACGATCCATCACACCGTCATCAGCTTCGGAAAAGCAGATCGCACGACCGGCATACAAGTTACCAGCTTTCATAGCTCTGCAGGGGTGACGCCTGGCATATTTTTCTGCACAGTCGCCTCCCTCGTTCAGAGAGATCAGCGCTTCTCTCGAATTGGAGCAGGGATGACGAGAGAGCACACCCGGCGGAAAGTCAGGGACCGGAACGGATGTGCCTGGCTAGACTTGAAGTTGGAACGCAGCTATAGGTGCCTGCCGCCCTGGCAACCTGAAACACGCATCTCGACAAATGTTCTTTTTTGTTCTTTCTACTACTCTGCTTTTAGATTTCAACGCGAATCGAGCACACAAATAAAGCCAATGTCTTTCCGCTCTTGCTAAAATCTGTATACCGCACTTACCTCTTGTGGTGTGTGGCTTTGTGGCATGTGGACTGCTTTCTGCCTTGACTCTTCTGGTGGCAACCGAGATCCTTATCTTCTCGTCAGCATAGCGAGCATTTTGTGGCTCGTTAGGCCCAAGTGTGCAGTCAGGTGTTCAGGTCTGCTAGATTCTCTCGCAGTCCACGGTAATCACAGGACCCACTGCCCAAAGCCCACGATTCACGGTACAAGCTGATACAGCTCTACCCGGCTAAAAACTTACGCATAGATAGCTACTAGCCGCACCAGACTCCAATGCATGTCTCGAAAGATCAACAATCAGGCACAGGACGATCAATTCCATTCTATGTACATACACCCAGTACTTTTCCAGTTTGGATCTACGCTGGGCGTCGCCCTCTTTTAAGCGAACCTCAGCTCGCGATTCGTCATCTGAAACATCTTGCCAGATTCGTCTATCTCTTGCTCATCTAAGCGATATCCACAACCCAACTAATCATCCGAATATGATCCTCTTCTTGCTCTTGACCGGTCTTTTGCATGTTGCCTGTTGCGATATTTGTTCCTCGCTAGGTTCCTCTCTAGTGGCGGCGCATAGCCCCGGCATACATACCTGGACGTCCTGGACATACGTACCTACTCCGCAACCCCTGCTACGCCTTTTCCCTTAAGCTCCCTCATCAACCCTGGCAAACGCAGAAGCCTCATCCCTTCCTTGTTTGCCTTCCCGCTTTCAACCATGCCTTCTTCAGTAATCTTTTCCGAAACCAAGTAGGGAGGGACGGCTTCAGTCTTCCCTGGCCCGGGTACCTCACCCAGCTGGTATTGCGCTAGCTTACCACACCGGCTTCGAAGTAGCTGAAATCCTGATGGGCGACCTGAAAACAAGCAAGTACTCGTACAGTACTCTACTCGTACGAGTCACACGAGTACACTGGCTCGACACAAGCCCCTCGTCCTGCGTACGTAAACATCCCAGACGAGTACAGACAGCATTGGTCTTAGAGACTTGATTCCGACTTCCGACTGTTTGGTACCAACAGGATAAACAAGTGCCGCAAGTGCAACGTGACTTGAGCTGGGTCCCCTTCAGATCAAGGCGACGATCTGCGATCTGCTGCATCTGCTGCTGCTGGATACTGACGGCTACTGGATTTGTGGAGACCAGCAGAAGGAAAGTATCGGATAAAAGTGCAAGAATTCTTATTTCAGTCATCTCGTAGACAGCCCTCCGTGATCGGCGACAAGCATGGAGCTCTACTCTTAGACTTGTCAAAGCGCGAGATAAATGAGTGCTCGTGGCCCCCGTGGCCCCCGTGCCATGCCCGTTGATACATAGATAAATCACCTCCAGAATGCGCTAAGACTCAGATAGGGCGATTCATCGATCAACTTGCAGTCTAGACTACCCGGCACTTTTTCCTTTTTCTGCTGCGATGACCGGCCACCGGCAATGTCGGTGCAGTGTCGGTGTGACAATGTTGACTCATATGCACTTGCCTCTTGGGCCTCTTGCATCCTCGATGCTCGGAACTGCTCATCTGAGCCATGTGGCGTCGAGGTCTTAGAAGATGGAGCCTACGTGGAGCTTTTCGCCGGATGCACCACCTTCCTTTTTGGGTGTTGCTTGTGTCACTGCTTTCACTTTAGTAGTCGGGCAACAGGGTGCGATGCCCTTCCTTTGACAGGCCAGTAAATGTGCAGTCCTTGGTACTCGATACCCCCTGGTCTCTCGATATCGACCCTTCAGCTGTATATCTGTGCGTGACACTATATCAAAAAGACCGCCGTTGATCACTGCCCAGCGCCATCAAAAGTTAGAGCCACCGGATCGCCGCAGCAACTCGCTTTGTGCTCCACCTCAAGCCGACTGACCTCACAGCTCCATTCCCCGATCAACTGCACTGCTTTGGTCACTGCTGTCTGCTCAGCTGACTGGCGCAGACATTTTCATGCCCCCAGGCCATTCTTGAGCGATGGAGAGTTTGGAAGAGCTCTCCGAAGCAGCCCAAGAACGAGGCAATGCAATAGCTCGAAGATGTACTCATCTCCGATTCTATCTCGTCAGTTTCAAAGCCCTTGACGCCTCCCCTCCATGTACTAACCATGCTTGAATTGACCTGCAGCTACATACTTCAGGCGGCTGGCTGGGGACCATCATCATCTTACTATCCGACCTAACGGGCGCTTGGGAGTTTGTCTTTACGGCTATCTTCTTTATGGTGTCGTGGACGATCCTTAGGCTGGCCGAGGCGGAAGTCTCGCTCGTCCTAGGAATGAGCTACGATCTAGTCATCCCACTCCAACACCAACGTACGCACCCCCCTCTCAGATCTCGCTTCAGTGTCGAAATCCCCACTAACTTTTCTCCTCGCTCGCGCTCGCGGACGAAACAGTTGATCCAACATTATACCCCACCCACGCAACCCACCTCGAACAATACTGGCCACTCTTCATACTCGGCACTCTCATCGAATCCATCGCTTTCTTCATGGTGCACCCGGACCTCTTTACGTTGGTGGTGTGTCTCAAGACCATGAGCCTGTTGGGCGTTTGGATGGGGCGAGATGAGAGGGGTGGATTTGTGAGTTCGATCTTTGCTCTGCTCCGGGGAGGAACAAAATCGACGCTGGCATGGTCAGGACTGACAATATGATAACAACAGGTAACATCGAAGCTACAGGGAAAAGGTATAGCACCCCAAGACCTCGGTCTCCCCTCCAAATCATCTTCATCCTCCTCCCCATCGACCTCTTCATCTGCACCATCCTCAAGACACCGCAGACACAGGGATACCGCCGAACCCGAAAGCTCTCAACTATCTTCCAGCCGATCGGGTAAGCCACCCTCCAGAAAGCCAAAGTCGAGTGATGGTGGTAATGAAGCGTCGCAGGTCGGTAGAAGAGGTGGCGATGAGGGTCGATCTGCCGATGGGAGCGGGAGGTCACGAAGAGGAGATGAAGGGAGGGAGGAGCCGAGGAGAAGGGAGAGGTCTAGTAAGAGGGGTCCCCCGGCGGGCGATGATGCCTCTGGAGACAAGACTTTTTCTACCGAACGAAGCAACATCAGCGAGCCCGATACTTCATCAGACGAGGGCTCTGACGCAGCTCCTGCAGGCGGGTACCGTGGTGAGACTGAAGGCAAGAACAAAGACGACGAGGCAAAGAAGAAAGAGGGGGAGAGAAAGAAGAAGAAAGATCAAAGGAAGAAGCGTTCGGATGGGGATAGCAATACTCGCTCAACCTCCTCGACCACCCCGTCGACGCCTACGTCTTCAGCTTTGTCATTGTCCGGGGACTCGGAACCTCGCAGCGAAGCTACCACACCAACTTCTGCATCCTCTTCCTCTTCGTCGTCTGACTCCAACTCCGATAGTACGCCAAACTCCCCAGCCACTTCCACGCCAGACACCCCATCATCCATTTCATCCAACTCGACCGACTCTCAACCTCCCACACCCGAACCGACCCCGTCACCCACATCCTCAAGGACCGATAAAAAAAACGGAAACCGAGACGGAGCTCCAACCGGAGACGAAGAGGAGAGGGGCTACTTCCCAAACCGCAACGCCGATTCTCGCGGATTCAAAGGTAATCTCTTGCCCATCCGGAAGAAACCCCCAGAACCTCGTGAGGGCGCACGTCGACACTGGGGTGGAGATGGAAGGGAAAGAGGGGGAGGGGGAGCAAGAGGAGGAGAAGGAGGGGAAGGGGGGGAGTATCAGCCAAACCAGAACGCTGATTCTCGGGGGTTCAAAGGTAATCTCACGCCTATCCGCAAACGACCACCGGAACCTCGTGAGGGTGCACGTCGGGGCCAGAGGGAAGGAGGGGGAGCAAGAGGAGAAGGGGCGAGGGAAGAGTACATCCCGCCCGCGAACGCCGACTCTCGAGGGTTCAAAGGTAACCTGCCCCCTATTCGCAAACGACCCCCAGAACCTCGAGGAGGCGGACGTCAACCTCGTCCCGGTGGTGGGACGCAAGGATGAGGAGAAGAGTATATCCCGAACCCGAATGGCGATTCATACGACTTCACCGGAAATCTCATACCTATCCGACGCTAGGAATCGTATCTGACAAAGTCGACTTTGGCAAGAGTGTTGCTGTATCGTAGTTTAGCTTTTGATTCTTTGGGTGATCGTGTGTTACATGAGAATAAAATGCAATATGTGTCTTCCTTGAGAGTCGGTTCCTTACAAGACCTTGTCTGTTCCTCCTTCATCCGCTCCCAAACCTTCTCCACGCAGTTCAAAGATGCTCTTCTCCCCTACCTTCGGCTCCAAACTCACCCCACCCTCAAGTTTTTCCCCAGCATCAGCAGCATCCTCCTCTCCCTTCTTCCTACTCCACTTGACCTCCAACTCATCTTCCGCCCTCTGAATATCCACGCCCAAGTCATCGACCCGGCCCATACCGTAGAATCCAACTTGGGAAGGGAGGAGGGGTTGGATAATGTTGTGGGCGAAGAGGTGTTGGCGTTTTTCCATGTCGAATGCCCTGACCTCTTTTATCAGTATCTGTCCAACAGAACGGAAAAGAAAGAGGAGAAGAAGACATACCACATAGCAGCCCCCACCCTATTCCCTATACTCAACCCCAGCCCAAGTAACGGCACACTCTCCACCCAAGCCGCTACAAACCCAAATACCCTATACGCCCATTTCCTCTCTTCCACCCACCGCCAAACCTGCTCGTCCGACATGTTCTTGGAAGAGAAATAGGGTTGGTGCAGGTAGGAGGCGGTGTGTAGGGATTTGAGGAGGGCGGTGAGGAGGGGGGAGAGGAGGGGGAGGGTAGGGGAGAGAGGGAGGAGAAGGTCTGTTGTCTGTTAGCTGGGAGGGAAGGAGGGGAAGGAAAGGGGAAAGGAGCGTACATTTGCGCATGACAAGCTGGGTAGGCCACCAGAGTATCCAGCTCAGCCAGACAGAGCTCTGTCTCATCCGCTTGCCGTTCTTGTCTATAGTCCCTGCCATGACTGGCGGTTGTGCCCATTCTTCGATATATCCCTACTCTCGTCAGCACTTGCACATCGAAGGAGCAGAAGGGGACTCACTTGAGACCAGAATTCACGAGGCTTGCCTCGGGAAGAGACGGTAAGAGCATATGCGCGCGAACGAGCAAGCTTGAGGTTCTTGTAGATGAAGAACCGCAGAATGGAGCTTAGTTGCGGCAACAATATGAGTAGATGTGTATCTTGACAAACGTCAGCTTCTTCCGCAAAAGATATTCTAGTCCGCAGCAACTCACAAAGTACCACATCCAACGTAACGCCCCACCTCCCAAGCCCAACCCTCACCGTCCCATCTACACTCTCCTTCATCACCTCCTCCCCCTTCTTCCACCAGCTTCCCCCCATCAAAAACCTCCTTATGACCCAGTTTAAGAAGTTCCAGCTGAACACTGCGTACACGGCGCCGACGATGAGGCCGCGGGCGGTGGCATGCTTTATCTTGTCAAACACGGGGCTGCGGATGGAGGGGTCTGAGAGGAGGCGGTAGAGGCCCACGACGATATAGAGCGGGGGGAAGTGCAGCAGCTCGGAAGGCATCGTGGTTTGCTGTATGAAATGCGTTCTCGAGACACTTTCTGGCGCTGCTTCGGTGATGTTATATGATGATGTCAGCGGCACGGGTACTTACGTAACTCACATCTTATCAAGCGGCGCCCACCGCTTCAGGGATGATACAAGCCCGCTGACAAGCATAGCCCAGGCATGCAACAATGGAATGAGGCCGAGTATCACCGCTGAGGCGGGGAGGCGGTCGAGTTGGTAGTCGTGGGGTGTTACGCGCAGAAGAGTGGAATGTGGGGATTGTTACGGCGAGGGGTGCCGTTGGTGGGATGGGAACGTGTCGCTAAAGTTGTGCGCTATCGCCCACATGGAGCGGCAGTAAGGCGGCAGAGTGAAGAGTTGGACGGGATAAAGTATGGCCATGCACCCCTCCATATGCACAGTATTCTGAGGCGTCGGCCAACGCGAGCCCCGGGCATGAAATTCTGAGTACATAGTGAGATCTGTTGCAGGTGCGAGTATTGCGGGAATCAATTATAAGATCTGCACCCGAGATCTGCGGTGACTTCTTGGCTTGTTGGTTTTCCGGCGCCAATTGTTGACAATTCGTTACACCGGTTACTTCTTCTTTTCCCCCCTATTTTCCTCTATCATCTCCAACCCACCAGCGCATCCCAACCCACTCCATCGCGCTGCCGGCTATACGCCCAAGAGGAGAGAGAAGAATTTGACGGCCCGGCATCTCCTCGGCACGACTCGCGCTTTATTTCAGTTCCTGTCACAAGTTACACAACTATCCCAACCCCTCCTTCTGTCTGCGGTTTGTGGGAAGTGTTGAGACACACTTTCCTTCCTGCGCACACCCATCCCGCCCGGTCCGAACGCTTTTTCGACGGCCTCGACGGAATTACCCCGGCTTTGGCGCGCAGTCTATTAATTGTCGTCAAGAATCCATTAATCATCCCCGAGATATATAATCATCGACCCCCTCCCGGCCTTCCCCTCTCCGTTCCTTACCACTCTCTACAAGTAGAAGCCGCGTACGCCGCTCCCCCATTGCCGCCTTTCGATTCCAACAGCACCACACGAATCTATCGGATCAACAGGCGTCGTTACGCACCGTCCCATCAAACCCTCCTGTCACCACACACATCTGTTCAATCGACCTTGCGTCCTTCGTCCCTTATCCCCTGATCCCTGTGACAGTCCCCGATAATTTCGTAGTGTGCGTATTTCGGTGTGCAAATTCACGGTCCAACCTTTTCCGCTGACACATACATGTAGCAGCAGTTGTCTTATATAATCACCACAAGACATTCCCGGGCATATCATCCCATCCAACTCTTCCTTCGCTCCCCTTCTTCACTTTCCAAAACTCAACAATGCCATCCAAACGCGCCGCCCCCTCTTCCTTCTCCAACTCCCAACCCCAACCCCCGCCCAACAAACGATCCCCTCTATCATATACTGGCCGTGCAGGCCCGCCCAAGCAGAATGTACAAAAGTTGAGGGAAGAGCTGGGATTGTCGGCTTGGACGGCTTGTAATGCTGATCAAGAGGTGAGTGTTCTTCTGCTTTGGGTTCTGTTCTTTGGAAGAGTTGGCACGTTGGATGAAGTTCGTTCTTCGTTCTTTGTTCTTCGAGGAATCGTTCTTGGATCATCCTGATCTCCGAGCGGAACGATAATTCCCCAGCCTCCAGGGCGTAACATACCCCAGATCGCCCATCGCCCATCGCCCATGGAGTTCATGACGATCCTCTTCTCTCGATTACACGATCGTAGCCCACATGCTGACCCGACTTTCCAATTCCCTCCTCTCAGGCAAAACTCCAATACGTCTCTGAAAGCATGCAAGACATCCTCGGCTACACCCCGGACGAATTGGTCGGCAAGTCTTTGTATCTCATCTTTCATCCGGATGAAATTCCGATTTTGAGGCATATCCATTAGTACGTTATCCTCTCCTCTCCTTCTCTCCTCCTCCTTCCTTACCTCTTTCTTTCCGTGGGCAGAAACCAGAAATGATATCTGTCGGTATTTTTCGGTAGGGGCCGAGAGAGGGAGGAATCCTTTGGTGGCGCTGGTCGTCACTCAAAGGTACTTTTGGTGTTGATGTTGAGCGACGCAACACCGACCGTTGACCGACAGGCGACACGGGGGACGGAGGTCCGAGCAATTATACTTTGGGAGTGATGATCGCAGGACATGGGACCACATGTCTTGGAAGTTGGGACGGAGGACAGAAAGACAAAAGCAGAAAGCAGAAGAACAGAGAGCTGACGTTGATCCCACAGTCAAGCCTTGACAGAAGAACGTACAGCCTGCGTAGCATACTTCCGGGTCTTGCATAGGGAAGGGTATTATGTGGAATGTTGTTGTTCCTAGTACGTCCTTCATTCTCCCTCCATCCATCTTCGTCTCTTCCGGTGGAACCTGTGAGGGTGAAAAGCTGACGTAGAGTGCAGTTATACAGTCTACGACATGTCGTTAGCGCTTTATACGAGAGCGGTAGATGGACAGCGGACATTACGTGAGTCGGTCTTGACGGGTAATGTGAGACAGTGGAGAGGTATGGTTGGCTGACGCTTTGGGTCCAGAACAAGCTTTGACAGCTAGAGAGATTATCGAGATATCACCCGCTTCGCAAGGCCAATGCGCCATCAAAGTATGCCCCCACTTCCATTCAGTCCAATCAAAAGAGCTAATCCCCGACTTAGCGATGGACACCAAACTCCACCTCCCCCCTGACATCTAACCCCGCCTCCATCCGCCTCTCATCCTACACCTCTCCCGACCGCAACAAGCCCAAGGACGGCAAAGAAGACAAATGGCCCGTACCGCCAAAACCGTCGCCGAGGACGTTTTATATATTGGACAGATTTACAGAGACGAGCAAGGTTGTGTATGTGAGCAATGATGTTATTATCAATGGGTCTTCTGTACGTCCCTCTCGTCTTGTTTTCTTAACTCTTGTGGGATATGGGTCAAAGCTGACGAAAACATAGTTGTTGGGGCAGAGTTTCTACTCAATCATCAAACCTTCGGATCGACCGCATGTGCAGCAGTATATCGACGCGGCGAAACAATCCACACCGGTAATGTTTGATCAAGAACGCTCAGGCGGGCATGGGTATACGACGTTTCATGTGCTCAAGGTGCGTCGCCCCTCGCCTCTTTCCCTTCTCACCACCGAACCAGGATCAAGCGCTGACAAGACAAAACAGATCCCAGACCTCCCCCCGTCAGACGAACGTTGGCCCCAGGGAACAGACGAATCAGAACGCTCGATGCCTGGACAAGGCTTCATCCGTGTCGAAGGGATCTTTACGGCGAGCAGTGATAGTCTAACGTGTATCATTGCGAGGGTGGAGGATGCGCCTCCGGGTGGGTCTGGGTCTAGTGCTGGACCGGGCAGTTCTGGTTCAGGAGGAAGCAGAGGAGGCGGCTCAGGAGAGGCAGGGAGAGGAGTCGGGGGAAGCAGTGGAGTGATGCCTATCAGGAAGTTGACTGATTAGAGGGAGAGGTGATAGAGAAAAGAGTAACGAACTGGCACACGAACGTATAATGGTGGACTTTGTATGTACGATACTTTGATACTTTGATCATTGTCTGTTTGTCTGTATCAATTGAAGGCAAATAGATATAGTGCCATTTCAACAATGCAACATGACTCATACAGATGTTCTCAGAGTTCGCAGATCTCATGCCTTCTCCAATGCGAGCATTTACCACACTGCGGGGAAAATTGAGGTCCAATGCATTGTCTTGTACGTCAAAGAGAATGATACCCAAATGCTGTGAGACCCAAAAGACCAAAAGAGATAAAAGCAAGAAGAGAGAAAGCGAGAGAACAATATATCCAAAATTTATGCGACCATCTTGTCTAAACATTTTGCGTCATTCATAACCATCTTTACCATCCTGATCCACCGCCTCCACCACTCCTCGCCTGAGGCGGCTTGTACACACTCCCGCCCGAAGGCCCATCACCCCATCCGTCATCTCCCCCGTTCCCACTGTCGCCTCCCGCCCATCCTCCATCCGTCGGACCTTCTCGACCGCCGCTCGCACCGCCCCATGTAGCAGACCCATCATGCACATCGACCCACTGCGGGCCATTCGAGCCACTTTGTAAATGCTGGGCACTTGAAGCAGGCACCAAATAATTGTGGGATTGCGGCGAAGGTGCCCTCGTAGGCGCTCTTGTCGGTGCGCGGGTGTTGCCTATAGAGTCAAACCCGCCAGCACCAACACGCTCAGCTTGGAAGTTGTCGAGGATGCGGACGATGTCGGTGGTGAGGTACTCGAGCTCTTTGATCTCTTCGTGCGTGAGGGCACCAGAGTATCGCGAGCTCTCTCGTTTGGCGGCGGCGTCCTCTTCGTCGTCGCTCTCGTTCTCGTCTTCCCCGCTACCTTCCTTCATACGGGAAGACCCGTCTTGCACTTGGACGTCATTACTCCTCCATCGCTTGTCGCGGCCCTGCACAAGACTCTTGCCCAGACCCTCGAAAACTCGGAGTAGACAACCGTCCAAGCACTGCTTGAGCCTCTGCACATCGTCCAGCGCTACCAGGTTACCAGTCACAGGCAACCACCCATCGCACTCGAGACCACCTTGGGTTACGACAAGCTCGTAAGCGCCAAAGAGCATGTAGGTCATCGGGTCGAGTCGGGTGACGGTACGCAGAGTCGTGGTAGCGCTGTTGGGGTTACCGCCGATAGGGACGTTGCGCGACTTTTCGCCGAAAGCGTAGAGACGTTTCTCGGCGCGGCTGAAGAATTGGGGCTGCTCATCTGCTCCACCTTCACGTCGGCGAGAGTTGACTGATGAACCGTGAATCATCACGACCTAGAGAGCATCAGCGGGGCTCAAAAAATGGAGAGGAGGCTTACCTTGTCTTGACAAGTTCGACAAGTCTTTTCGCTGGTCTTGATGGCAAAGTTGGGAGCACTGGCCAACGCAATCAACGCCGCCAACAATGGCAGCGATTGGTTGTTCTCGTTCAACACTGGCGGTATGGATCCATACTTGCCGATCCTCCCCACCTGACCTCCAGCAGACACTGCAATAACACCAGCCTGTTCCAAACTATAAAGCAGACTCTGTTTGACCTGCTTGATCTGCTCCAGAGTAGGGTTGGAAAGGAAGTTGCGGTCGGCAAATCGGCGGGCAGTGAACAGATCGCCCTTGCTAGCGATCTCGCTCCAAGCGTTATAAGCAGCGACGATAGCCAGAGGGTCCGACCTGAATGCCGTAGGCGACCACGAATCTTTGATCGCATCCGCCTCCTGCTTCTTCAATGGTGGGGCTAAGAAGGGGTCCCTGTTGGTCAAAACCGCCGCAAGGGTCAACGCAGAGTCGAGACAACGGAAGAATGAACCGTAAAGACAGAGCTTGCCGATGGGCGCTTCGACGGGGAGTTGGAGGAGGACACGGCCGAGAGGGGTAAGGTTCTGGCGAGCGTCGAGGGCACCGAGCATGCGGAGAACTTCCATGGCGGCGACGATACGGTTGGCCTCAGGGGGTTCGATAGTCGCGGCAAGGACTTCTTCGACTTCACCCAGATTCAAAGCCTAAACCGCGTTAGCAGACCCCTTTTCATAGAAGAGTGATACTCACCTTGACGTGCATGACCACATTACTCAAATCAGACCTCTTCATCTCCACCATCTGATGCGGGTCCAGACTGTTCATCCTATTCTTGCTGACCAGTCCATAATACTCTCCCTCTCTATGTCTACCCGCACGACCAGCACGCTGGTTCAAGTTGGAAGCACCAACCCAGGCGGTGACGAGGGAAGACATGTGTCGCTCGGGGTCGTACCTCTTTTCCTTGACTCGGCCCGTGTCGACGACGTAGACGACGTCGGGGATGGTCACGGATGTCTCGGCAATGTTGGTAGCCAAGATGACTCGCCTGACACCAGGTGGAGGCGTGCGGAAGACTTCACGCTGTTCGGCAGCAGGGATGGTAGAATGGAGGTAGTGGATACTGAACTGGCTCGCGTCCTTGAAATTCTTCCCAAGCAGAGCTTTGCGCCCGTCGAGCAGGATATCAGCCACCTTTTTGATATCATCCCATCCTGGCAAAAAGACGAGCACGTGTCCGTCTGATGATTGCGACAGGACGTGGGCGATGGTAAGGGCGACAAGCGGCAGAGGGATCTCCAGCTCGATACCAGTCCCGGGCAAAAAGTTGTTGGCGTTACCACTGAGCTCCTTGTTGAGATACTCCTTTACACTCTTATCCTGGAACGCCCATCCACCGTTCATCACCGGCAACCTCTCGAGCTTCGGGAAGATGTCGTCCAAGAAGAACTTTTGGACGGGGAAGGTTCTACCAGGGATTTCAGCGACGGGAGCCAATTGTCCGCGGGTGTCGGTAAAGTATGACTGGAACAAGGTAGGGTCGATGGTAGCACTCATCAAAATGACCTTGATAGGTACCCCTCGGCGCCTCCTGTCCGCGATCAGTCGCTTGAGGACGACGAGCAACAAGTCGGTATCGATATCCCGCTCGTGCACTTCATCGACCACAATATGGGATACCTCGTCCATCCTCGCTACAGCGACGGGGTCGGGCTCTTCACCAAGCGCAGATTGCATCCGCTTGAGGAAGATACCCGTCGTGCAAAAGGTGATCGAACCATTCGGCTGAGGAAGTCGCGCGTCGAAACGCACTTGATAACCCACTTCCTCTCCCAGCTTTTGCCCTCGCTCATCCGCAATACGCTCCGCCACACTCATCGCCGCCAACCTCCTCGGCTGCGTACACACAATATTACACTCTGCCCCTTTTCCTTGCTTGATCCAGCTATCAAATAACAACTGCGGCACTTGGGTGGTTTTGCCCGACCCGGTCGCTGCCATGATGATGGTCACGTCGTTGACCTGGATCTGCTCCATCATTGCTTCGGCGCGGGAGAAGACGGGGAGGGAAGCGCGGGTTTTGCGCATCTTGGCCATATGCTGGTCTGTCTCGTAATGCGTCAACCGGTCAGAAAGCCGGCTGGACTTGTCTGCAAGCTCCCCCTGGCTTGCCGTGGGCCCTGCACCAGCGTGCCACATCGGCAGCGCTTGGTGCAGATTACCCGCAACCCCAGGCGCGGGCGCATTTGCCCACAGCTGGGACCGGCGGATATCGATACAAAGACCCTCGACATCGTTGATGATGCTGCCCGCCATGTTGAACACGAGATGCGGCGCAAGGCCAATATCTTTGACCGACTTGTCCTTTTTAGAGTACTCCATAAAGTCTTTCCAGAGGTCGGGGTCGCAGCTCTCGAGATAGAGCGTGACGTCGAGATAACAGGTGATCATGGCAGCCTTCTTGTTGTTACCGCTCCCCATCCCGATCCTTCTGTCGTTTACAGACATGACAGCTTCCCAGACCATCGCAGTCTTGCCCCTTTGCTTCTTTGTTGCGCTCTGGGAAAAGTCGACGTCGGGTTTGCGGAAATGGTAGCGATGACAGTAGTACTCCATAAACTGTCGGGCGCGGTCGAATGATATTTGGGTGCCGTCTGTGAGGGTGGCAGTCTCGGTAGAGTTGGAGGTGGTGTCGACGATGGAGACTATCGGTTTGGGGTCATTGGCAGCAGAGGCTTTGGCAGTGTTCCTGTCGAGCTATGGGAATGTCAAGTGAGGTCCTCCACGAACAGCGACAGCACTTACACGACCTCGCGAGACGAGCTGAAAAACGGCGCTCAACGCAGCGAGCTTTTCAGCCTCCTTCTTGTTGCTGCTATCTCCAATTCCTTCAATACCAGGCGTAGGGCTGATCTTGACACTGTGTCTTGTGTCAGCCACACTTGACAACCACCTTCAGGACAACGTACCGATAAACCTTGCGTCCATTCACAACGCCATCCAGATAAGCATACATCTGATTCACATCCACCCCCTTGCCCGAATTGGACGCTATCCAGTTCGCCAGCGGGCTCTTGGGGTTCTCTGCCCATTGCGCCTTGAGCACGAGGCCGTTGGAGTACGTTTGGGTGATGTAGGCTTCGTCGTGCAGGGGTGCTGAGAGGGGGCGGTTATTGGAAGGAGGAGGGGGGTTGGCATTGTTGGCGTTGCGTTTACCGCCACCGCCGCCGCCGCCGTGTCCGCGTCTCCAGTTACCCATATCGTCTTCTTCTTTAAACTCGGGTGCGGTAGTAGGGGTAGGTGTAGGAGTGGGGAGAGAGAGGGTAGTGTTGGTGTGGGTAGAGATGGGGGCGGGCTGTCGAGAACGAGGGCCGGTAGGGATAGGTTTGGCGCTGGAAGTAGCTCTAGGGCCGGTAGGGATGGCGAGTGCGCGTGGGCCGGTAGGGATCTGTCCTGGTACTCGTGGGCCCGTGGGGATCGCTGGGACTGCTTGAAACTTGGCTGGTTGCTCTTCTTGAGCTGAAGGGGATAAAGGTCGTTTTTGGAAAGTGTTTTGAGAATCTGCTTGACTACCAAAGAGGACACTCGCGTCAGCACACCCACGGGACCAAACCCATCGACGATGACCTACACTTCGCTGAATCCAACAAGTGGGGCGTGCAGAGATAAAGTCTCGTCCTGCTCCTGCTGTCTCTGCTGCTTATTTCTCTTGGATGCGCTCTTATGCGCACACTTCAGCTGGCTCTTGGTTTTACCGCCTCGTGCACTTGCTCTGTAATCAGCGCGGGGCGAAGGTGATCGCGAGAAGTCTGCTGAGCGGCCTCTGAAACTGGGGCTGCGGTACCGTCTGGGGCTCGGCGAGCGAGCGTGGGGGTAAGAGGGTGATCGGGTCCGGCCTCGGGGTTCGGGGCTTCTAACGGGAGACTGGTATCGAGAGGATCTGTAATCTCTAGACTCGCGGCGGGGGGGAGGAGAGGGGGAGCGGTAGCGGGAGGTGCTCGCTCGGGGCTCGCGGTATCGTCGAGGGGAGGGGCTTCGGTAGTAGTGGTCCCTGGCGTCTATGCGCTTGGCTGAGGAGGGTTCTGGGATAGACCTGGGAGGGTCAAAGGTCGGTCTTTGGGGAAGGGCGAACTGGGGCCTGGGGGGCAGGGAGGCGGGGAGGGACGGGGCGGCAGTGGCAGGTCGCTGTGGCAGGACGTCGTTGGTGGTCATGGAGAGACCCCCGGGGAGATTACGGAAGGAGTCACAGCTCAGAGTATGCAAACAGAAAACTGCTGGAAATGAATACCGCCCGTTTTACGTAAATGCGCATCCAGGTTGCATTGCGGGAAACCGGCCTGTATCCCAGAATAAATGATTCCGCTTCCACCGCTGTGAATATATTCCCGGATTTCCATACCCGGGCCGCCCAATTTCTGTCTCCATATAACTGTATCACTCCACTCCATTGTGACGTTCTCTCATCCTCACAACACTCGCGATGGGCTTCTTCACCCGCAAAAACGACAACCTCATCCCCCCAGTAGCACCCACCCAGGGCCAGCAACAGCGCGATGACCCCTACGCCAACGCCAACGCCGCCAACACTACTGGCAGCAGCGACCCCTACGCCCGATCCAAGCCCGCCGCGGGGGCACACTCCTCCCAACCTTCCTCCGACCCTTACGCTGCCAACCCCTCCTACCAAGCCGGTACCGGCGGCGACCCCTACGCCAAACGCGTCCCCGCCGCCAAACCCCAAAACCCCAACGACGCCGCCCGAGCCGAGCTTTTCGCTGGGTTTGCCGCCCCCGAAAAGCCTGCGGTGGAGAGGCAGTGGGGCTATGAGGGACGGGAGATGGAGGAGGATTTCGATGAGGATGAGGAGGTGGAGGGGATCAAGCAGGAGATGAGGGGGGTGAAGCAGGAGAGTTTGGCTAGTACGAGGTGGGTCAGGGCCTGTGCGGGGAGACGGTTGTGAGATTCTAATGTGGGTGTAGGAATGCTGTGGCGCTGGCAAGACAGGCGGAGGAGAATGCACGAGGGACGATTGCCAAGCTGGCAGACCAGTCCGGTACGTCTCTGCGACCCATACGGCTCATGCTGACCTCGTGCAGAACGTATTGCCAACTCGGAACGTTACCTGGACATGGCCAAAGCCAACAATCAACGTGCCGAGGACAAGGCGCAAGAACTCAAAGTCTTGCGCCGAAGCATGTTCAAACCCGCTATCGTCTGGAACAAGGTCCGTCCTTCTGCTTCTGCTCAAGACTGTGGCTGAGAAGAGTTCGTAGGACAAGAAGAGACAAGAGGAAGAAGACAAGATCAACGAGCGCCATGCCATGGAGCGCGTCGACCGCGCCAAAGCCCTCCTCGACGTCCAAGACACCCGCAAACGTCTCGGCGCTTCTGCCAACCCCGCCCCCTCCCCCTACGCGTCCTCCGAACTACCCATGCCTGGGCAACAAAAGGCCAAGAAGGATGCGAGGGCGAGATACCAGTTTGACGCTACTGCGTCTGATGATGAGCTCGAAGATGAGCTGGACGAGAACTTGGATGAGGTCTATGATGTGACAAAGAGGTTGAAGGGGTTGGCTACCGCCATGGGCGGCGAGGTGAACAAGCAGAACGGCAGGTTGACGAATATCACGGACAAGACGGAGAACTTGGAGTTTGCGGTGCTCAAGAATACCGAGAGGCTGAAGAGGATCAGATAGACGTGTACTTTTTGTCTGACTCTTGTGTTTGTATAGAATAGTTGTGTATACATGTCTAATGTGCGATGGACTGAATGCCGAACGTAATCATGGCTGTGCATAGGGGCTTGGATAGCTCAGACGATAGGGATCACCCTGGACTGCTCCTGTCCGACGATGATTGACAAGTTCTGGGTATGCTCCTCCACGCCAAAGACGCTTCATCCCTGTAGTCAGCCTTCATTCCTAGGATATGTGATGCTGAACTCACATGGACGAATTGACAGGATAGTTTCCAATCTTGTAGTCCAACTCGGTAAGGGTGGAATTCACCAAGATCTTCTGGCCCTTGCTCACTTCATCAGCACAATCTCTTCCGACCATGATAAGACTTACAGCGCTGACACTAGCATCTTCCCCAGGATACCCAACCCTCTCATACAAATTGTATAATCCGTCACCTCCTTCCCACTTCAAACTGATAGTCTCATTCGCCGACAAGTTGTCAGGGAAAGTGGAGAGAAAGTTGATGTTGGGGTACTCGTACTGCGAGTCTTGCCTTTTGCCAAAACCTTCAGGCGTGAATTCGGCGGTGGAGTCTTGCCTCTTGCCAGAACCTTCAGGTGCAAACTCGACAGCGGCGGGTGTGGTGCTAGCTGATGGAGAGGGTTTTTCGGTGGTGGACTGGGGAAGGGCGTAAGCTAGGGGGAGGAGGAGGGCTGGGAGGAGGGAGAGGAAGAGCATCGTATGTTGTTGTGGTGGGGTTGTGGGAAAGGGTAGGGAGAGGGTTAAATGAGGAGAGAGCTATTCGCAAGCATGCATTATATATACGTTCTGTGACCTCGGCGAGATGACTCAACCCTACAAACGAATTCTTCCATAGAACCAACGATACAAACGAACGAGTCGCATTATCCGACTAGTGACTAGTGCTCTAGTGGGGTGGATGATACACGTAGACACAGAGGAAGGCGATGCTTCCAGTATCCTTCCGATCTGGCGGCTTGCACAGCTTTCTCCCCATGCTTCTTCTAGCTTGAACTCGAAACGTTGAGTACTGAGAATCTTTTGTGGGGCCGAATGTGACGATGGGACGTTGAAAGGTCCAATGGAAGGTCGGAAGAAGGGATCAAGGAGATTAGATCATCATCTGGGTTCGGCTTTCGGGGGTGAGTCACTGGGTGTTTGACTCTCACCCTGTAATGCTGCTCATTGATGCCCGAGACCTAGAGGATCATCTCATGCAATAGGAGATATAGCGCCGGTTCTATGAATGGTAATTTACACGTCAAACAAGGCGCATGAACCAGGCATACATACCACATCTACGTACACACCAACCAAACGGCGATATCACAGACCCGACCTCATGAAAGAAAAGAGTAGAAAAAAAAAAAAAAAAACACAATAAGGCAAGAAACGCTATTATTACAACGGTAGAGGAAAAACAAGTATCACCTCAAGACCCCTCACGAAAGGAAAAAGGTCGTCTACTCTGCCTGCATCGACTTCCAATGCAGCGCTTCGAACCCCTCCAGCTCAAACGGCTCTCTCTGCCGGCCATCCGTCTGGACCCTCTCCTCCTGCGTCATCCTCTGCGTATACCGCGAAGACTCACCATACCCATCTTCCGCCCTCAAAAAGCTGCTCAGCCCCGCCAACCCTCCATTCGGGCTTTCCCCGGGCAGAGACATGCCGAAGCCTGGGATGTTCATCGGAGAAGGCACTTTGGGGATGTCGCCGTTAACGGTCATGGCCTTGACGGCTTCGCGACCCCAATCGTCCCATGGTAAGCCTGTCAATCCCGGGATGGAGTCGTCTTGGTGAGAGTCCCGTTCGGAAGAAGTGTTGGGAAGGATAGCGAGCTCGGCTGGGGAAAGATCACTTGTGTGCGTCCTGGTAGCTGGCGTAGTTACAGCAGGACTGCGTGCGCTAGACCATGAGCCCACGGAACAAGGGTCCGAGGCAGAACCAGTACAAGCCGGGTACCCCGCAGAGGCCGAACCAGGTGAGTTCTTATCGTCGTTGCCCAGAATCAAGGCCGATGGGTTGTCTGTTGGGTAGGTGATCCGGCGGTTTATGCCGGAACACATTTCTTCCGAGGTCATAGGACGTTGGCCGCTCAGACGGACGTAGTTTTCCATAGCGGCAGACATGGTGTTGCCGAGAGGGTGGCGTTGGCCATAGCGGTCCAGCACTGCTTTCGGTCAGCCTTTTGTAAATATGACGAGAAGGAAAACTCACGGTTTTGGACACTACTCAAGGATGCTCTGTAACGCACAGCCAAGCTGTATTGCTGGTTGCTCAGAGCATGAGTGACGTAGTCGGCTATGATTCTCCCGACCGTGTGCATCGTGCTGAGAACTCGTCAGTGCTGCAGCCTCTCGCCGTGGTCGTGTACTCACAAAATCATGAGCGGCGAAAAGATCATCGTAATATCCAAATTACTCGGGATCAAGTGCAGGATACCCAAAATCGCCTCGTAGCTCTTTTGCACAATCTGATAAGACGTGTTGGTAGGCTCCCACTGGATAAAGCCCTCGTGCATCGCTGCAATCGCGACGTGGGGCAAGATGTGGATGGCAAGCAGGTTGGCGTCAAAGCTGCTGCCTGGGGCGAAATTGTCCATGAGTTTGAAGATGTTTTTGAGAGCTGCGGGTATGCTTGCGCTAAAGACAGGTCAGAGTCAAATGGCCATGTGATGGGGCGAGACGTACATGTAGCCCTCAATATCGGTGACCACAGTTTTGAAAGACTCAGTACTGGGGCCGTCTTGGTGGTCGTCTGGCTTGGCATCTCGCTGAGACCATTTACGCAGCCACCTAACAGGATGTGTCAGTAGTGGTTGTATACACATAATGTACTCACGTGGCAACGCGGCTCATGATGATGCTTGCTTTGATGACAAGCACAAACGAATCCTGAATCGGATGCCTAAAGCACGCATCAGACATTGCACATCGCAAACAAAAAAACACACATACTCTTGCAAAACATTAGGCGACGCTGCAGTCTGCGGGTTTGCCTTCATATCCTCGTCATTCACTTTCCTCCACTCATCAATACTCGTAGGCAAATACGCCGCGATATCGCCCAACATCATACTAGACATCCAAGTGCTATTGGTAGCGAAACTGGCATCGGCGATAAAGGCCATCCAGAGCGTGGCCAGCCGCTCTTCCCTCTCGCGCGAATTCTTGGCCTTGGCCAACAAGGGCGGCTTGTAAAATTTGCGGTAATTCTTGTTGTTGAGTTCGAGAACGTTGATGAGCCGGGGTGAATGGCCGCCGAGCATCCAGCCTTTGAGCGGGAAGCCTTTAGACATGTATACCTCGCTCAGAATGATCTGTTTTGGATGTCAGCGATGTATCTCATTTTTATTGTAAGAACGTACGCAAGTCTGGGTAAGCTGAAACATGAGTTCACCACCGCCCATCGCACAGGCCGAAGCAACCATATCGATACATCGATTCGCTCGTTCAGCTTGGGCGACCCCAAAGTCTTCAATCTTGGTGAGATCTTGGTCTAAATTCATGATTCGTTGCACGGCGGGCTCAACCTGGTGCGGAGCGAGATTGTTGACCCAAGCAGTGTGGACGGATGCGGCAGCGCAGATGGCGTGAAGCAGACCGGGGAAGGGAAATTCGGGGGAAGAAGGGGGTAGCTTGATACGAGTGAGGAGGGAGGCGCGGTGTAGCATACGAGGCGTTTGAGGGACGTATGAGAAGAATGTCTCGACGAGGTGTTCGAGCAAGACTATGATATCGTAAGCACGAGTCGCGGAGCCGTTCAGAGGCACTCACATGGCGCAGGAAGGTCTCGTGGCCAGTCCACAGGTACCATGAAAAAGTCGTCAAAAGTCGCATCCTTGGGCAGCTCGCTTGGGTTGGTAGTAGCACTAGCTGATGCACGAGAAGAACTGTCCGAGGAACCATTCACTGCAGGAGCAGGCGGTAAAAAAGCGCCCATCGTCTCGTCGAGAGTGGGTCTGCCCGCGTGCATGCTGCCGGCTCCAAGGCTGCTTCCGATTTGACCCAAAGCACCGGCATTGATATCAGTAACCCATGGGTTCTGGTCTTGAGGCAATCGGCCGGATGAGTTGGGCCGTGATTGGTCTTTGAAAAAGTTGCTGCCGGATGGTACTTGGCGTCCGGTGACGGAATTGAGCTTTACTTCGAGTTCCGCTGTGAACTCGGTCAGTATCGTCACCATTGTCTAGCATGGAGCTTACCAATCCTTTGTCGCAACTGATCGTTCTCTTCGTCTCTTGTCGCCCTCTTGCCTTGCGAGACAGCCGGTCTCTTGTTGCCCGACCCACTCCCGGTCCGTGGCAGACTGGGCGGAGCAAACTGCTGGTGTTGCGGTGGCTGATGTTGACCATTCGGCACCGGTACCCCTTGTCCAGCATACCCATTCGCCATAGGATAGTCTCCCACCGGACTATCATCCCCCACATCGTTATCGGCCCACGTACAAACCAGCACCGGCGGTGTTGTGCCATTACGGTTCGCCGAGCGCGTAGCGTGAGCGTGAGATCGCAGACAAGGCGAACAGACGGGATGGGCACCGTCGCATTTTGTTTTTCGGCGCTTGCACTGGCGGCAGGCGTGATTTCTTTTGAGCGGAGCGAGGGTTTGGTCGGAGAGGATGTCGTCCTGGGGCGGGGTCGACGTTTGGCCTCGGTTTTCGGGAGGGAAAGGAGCAACGGGCATTGTGACCAAGCCAATAAAGATTTACGTTGATCAAGAGCGTTGAAGACACTCGGGGGAGCGCTGATTGACGCGTAATCGATTTGAAAACGATGGGATGCTTTGTTGAAAGGGAAAAAATGGCAGGGCGATGACTGCTGATGGAAAACTAACAATTGGGCGAGCGACTTTGGTCGAAGCTTTTTGAAGCGGTTGCTGGCTGTTACACCTCACTGGGCGGCACTGTGGGGCAGCCGGGGGCGTTACAAGGTGGGTTGGATGGCGAATGGAGAAAGAGGGGAAGAGCGCCGCCAATCGCCGACGGTCATCTCATCCCTGAAAACAGTGGCGACCGGCGCGAGACCGCGGCGTTATAGTTGGTGTGGCAGAGGTGATTTTACGAGAAAACGACAAAGTATTAGAGTAAGATATGCAGATAGCCTGAGTATAGTCTGTACATTCGACCACAGGCAGGTCTTTGATTTTTCTCGAACTAACCCTGACACCTTTTCTGACATTGCCTGTGTCTCCTTTTTCCCATATACGTATATAACGAAGCTTGGTGCGGCCGCCGGGCCGCGGCCGTGTTGATGATGTGGGTGGCGTTACGTAACCCGTTGTCAGCTTCTAATGTGCTATTATCCCCGGCGGGCTTGTGATACCCGTCGGCCTTGTGGGGGGTTGGTTACACGCAGTGTTTACCCCAGGATGTTTCGTGGATGTTGTTGTTGAATGTTGTGACGAAGACGCGCGAGGTAGAGAGATGTGGAGTGGAGGTTCGCGCGGGGGAGTATATATATCCCATTTTTTATGTCGAACTGCTACAAACAGTTGACAACTCTAGTGTATTCGAGTCATGTACCACTCGTATTACGCCCCGTGTAAGCCATGCCTACCCCTTGAAGCCCCTATGCCTCCCTTTCTATCCGAGATGCACCGCAATTTCAAGAGGCGAAACGACACGAGGCCTATATGTGCGCCCTCCTCGCTCTTACTTTACTCTGCTGCTACACACAAGCCCTGTTTTTGCTCCCGCTAACATATTGCTCTGTGATTTATCTTTTGTAGTAATCTTTTGTTTACCTCTCATCCGTGTCCTCTTCCCCTTGACAGCACTCTTCCTCTCGCACCTCCCAGAGTGTCTCAATTTGCTTGCGAGTGATCGCAGGAGGAGGACATGGCCGACAGCCATCAGACAGCGACGCGCGCGATCGTTGTACTGGTTGCCATGGTCAGCCACTCACCCCGTCGTCCCACCACGAATGACCCACCGCGGTAGCATGCGTCAGCTCTGGTGGCTTACGCTAGCACAAATTCCCCTTATGATCTCTCGAGTCGCTCTGCGCCTTCCTGATATATCTACCCCATAATCCTCACTTTTAGACAGCACCTTACGCTGTGCTCCGGCTTCATCTGTGTTGTCTCCCAGCGGAATTTCGAGAGGCGGAGCAGCCTACATTGACCGATTTTCTCGCGTTGCCGGATGGAAGGAAGAGCATTGTCCTGGCTATAGTGGTGGGAGATATAGAAGGTCTTGATAATCAGGCACTCTCTGGATGATGCCCATGTGAGGCTTCTCCAAACTATACATATGATAAATTTTGAGAGGTACTGACCAGAATTCTAGGTAGCTGTCGGTCCGGTATGTCAGACCCTACGAGATGGAGAACGAAAGCGGCTTCGTAATGGACCGCAAGATGAGCTCCTCTTTGTCATGCATCTTGGATAGGGGCTGACAACGACGGTAGCTAGCTCAATGTCGAGTACTTGAACACCTGGCACAAGAGGAGAAGGGCCACAAACGTTGTCAAGAGTAAGTCTATATGTCTTGTCTGGCATATGTACGCACTGATGCGATCGCGTCAGCCTTCCGCCATTTCGGCTTACATCTTCTTCTGCACCACAGATAATACAACAATCTTCTGTCACTGGTGTCGCAAGTAGTGAGTGCCATCTCATTCTCAACAAATAGGACCAGCGACTAAGACACGATAACAGCTTTACAAATCCCTATCGATGGGAGTCCATCAATCTCCCTCCCTCACACCCTCGATGAAGAGCTTCCCGAGAAAATCTATTGCTCGGCGGCATACCACACAACGATACCGATGATGGCGAAGTGGAGTAAGTGTATCCCCATGCTAGTGGTATGGGAGTAGACAGGCGTACATGTATGTGCCTTTCCATATGGGTATTATTGATTACATGTATCTATGTGTATAATATGCAGCGTCCTATATAATAGCGCTTCTCAATGATCCTCCTTGACCAACTTCAACCATATATTCCCAACCATGCACTTCTCCCTTACAATCTCCCATGCCCCAATGACCGGCCTACCACCTCTACCATCGCCTACCAATCGCTTCTCAATATCCCTCTTTCCCTCCGCCGTACCCTCTCCTTCAAGACTGACGAATCCTTCCCAAGCAGCATCCGCACCCGTACCAGCACGCACTTCAAATCCAGCAATATGCAAGTAACGCTTCGCATTCACCCTCGCACCGCTCGACACCGTCATATCTCGCCTATCGTACGCCAGCCTCAGAGATGATAGAGCATCCCGTCCATAAGGCGTGAGGTCGAGGTAGATGATTTGAGTGACTGGGAGGAAGGTAAAGTAGTAGGAGGGAGGTAGCTTGAACGCGTCGATGTTCATTGGCAAGGTTCCTGTAACCGAGAAGGCATAGGAGAGGGGTAGCAGCTGATGTTGAGCATAGGGAACGTAGATCAAGACGTGCTCCGTGGTCTTTGGGTGATTGATAGCAGTATTTGCCACCAGGTCGCCCAACTTCAACCGTTTCATCGCGCCGCACTTTTCAAGCTCCCTCACCGCAGCAGCAGCTCCCTCGATCGAAGGCCACCTCTGCACCGTCTGTGAAAGAGGTACGAACACCCGTAGTATCGGGGCGCGACCCAGAATGTAGGGAATGGGCTTGTCGAAGGCTGGTTCGATACGTTTGACGACAGGAGAAGGAGTGTAGAATTGCCTGTTGATTGCGTCCACGGGAGAGTTGCCACCGTAGTCGGATCGGCGACTAGATTTGCCAAGGTCACTGCTCGAGGAGAAACTACCTCTCTTTCCAGCCCCACCGCCGATAGGAGGAGGGAACGGCAGATTGGCGGGGAAGCCAGGTACTGGCGGAGCGTGCCTATCCACGGCAAAGCTTGCAGACGAAGCTCCGCTGCCGCCCAATCTATTGATGTTGTTCAATTGAGACATGGACGCAGAGCTCTGCACAGAGAAGATGGAGCTTGGTCGACTATCCGACTGACTCGTCCGCTTAGACGTGGGATCTCCGTGGCTTCTGAATCCGTATCGCTTGGCGGTAGGATAGCTCACCGGCGGCAGACTAGCTTTTCCACTGGGAGGCATCGGCTCCGCAGGGTTGTGGAACGGCATGTTTGCGATGCTTGCAGCACTGCTCCCCGAACTAGACTTTTTGCTCCTCAAGAAAGGCATAGAAGCTGTCGAAGTCAAACTCGTCACACTACCCCGTCGACGCAGCTTGGCAGCCGCTACGGACGAGTTGGACAATGGCGGGAACTTTTTAGAAGCTGGGGTATTTGTCGGCGACTCGTCTCTGGGTTGCGCGGCTAGCGGCTCGGGCATGATGAGCTCAACAATCCTCTCGGCCTTGGGCATTTTGAGAGAGTCGGAAGCGGCATCCAGCCCAACCATGCTTCCAACCCGCGACTGTCTCCCTTGGCTGCTCAAGCTACCTCGAGAGCTTGAGAAAGGCAGATTGGGCATACCGCCTGCGATCGAACCAGCGTCGTCATCGAAAGGCTGCGGTGGGGGACTGGGGAAGAGGTCCTGAGGGAGAGATCGCAGATGCAAAACGACGAGCGTATGCGACAATGAGAGGTGCTTTAAGAGATGGTGCCACTGCTCGGGATAAGTGCTGTAGCTCGCCGGGTCATGCAAAAGGGATTCCACTGCCAAATTGTCAGCCTAGCTTTGATATGGATACCAGATACTCACGGAATCCCTCCCAAACCGTCAGATTCGGCCATGCAACATTGCCGGCATAACTGCCCTTCTTCTTTCCAACAGACATTCCCCATTCCCGCATAATCCACCTCCCCACCATCTCTCCGCTAAACCTCCTATTGACAGCCTCTGAAGCGCCAGTAAGACTCAAGAACGAGTTGATGCTCAGGTATTGTAGCAAATTGGACTGGATAGGGGTATATAGGAGGATGAACGTGAGGGTAGCTGGCGGTCGCTCTCCCCTGGGTTTTACCTCTTGAAAAGCGTCCATGGACAATAGTGGAGGAAGGGTGGGAATGGACGACGACTGGGGCAGAGGCTGGCTGACAGCCCGGCTCCCTTGCACATCTGGCGCTTGCCCGGGCCATCGTCTATCTTGGCCAGAAGATACGCTCAAAGGCGACGTGATTCTCGGACTGTTCCTTCCATTCAGAGGAGAAGACACCGTACGCCTTCCCGGCTGCACTTGCTGTTGCGGTGGTGGGAAGTAGCCCAACTGGCTTTGAGAAGACTGTGGGGACACTCCTCTGGCAGGGAGTTCGGTACTGACCAAAGGCGTCTCACGAGATAATGAACTCTGCCCGCTCCTGCCACTAGCCGCGCTCCTTCCAGATCGCTCACTTTCCTTCCTCTGCCTTTCCCTTTCTCTCTCCTCCCTCTCCATCTCCCTGATCATCCTCTCCTTTTCATCCGATGCTGCCCATCTGGCAATAGGATCCCTCTCTTCAGCCCCACTCCCAGTCTCCAGCCCCGCCGTAGACGGGCTCGCTAGAGGCGAAGTGGCGACACTCGAGCTGTTGGGGTTGTTTCGAGGATCAAGGAGGGGCGGCAAAGTGGGCGAACGAGGAAAGTCAAACGCGAGAGGCGACTCTTTGGGCTTTTGGATGTGCTTGTTCTGGATTGGGGTGACCTGCTGGGGCTGAGGTTCGATAGAGGGAGCAATCTTCTTGGGTTCGGGTGTAGGAGCGACTGCCAAGAATGACTTTTCGACAGGAGGTGGAATATCTTGCGATCTCATTGTCCTCCCTCTCTCGACATCGCGCCTGCTCACACGTTCCTCAACAGGGGACCTCATTTCAGACCTCACTTCGCTTGGAGGAGCAGCAAAGTTTGGCCTAGTAGGCGAAGCCATGTCTTTCAAGGGCGAACCCATAGCGACCCCGGTATTAGGCTGACCCACGCTCTGCCCCTGACCTTGAGTCTGGATGGGCGGCAATTGCGGCGCCCGTACAGGTGACACAGCAGGCGAGCCAGAGGCAGAAGTAGGCGGCTGGGGTAACGGCCTCCTGTTCGGCGATCCATCTTTCCCCACGCTATTCACTGACCGGATAGAAGCATTCGCAGCGTGCCTAAAGCGTCGTTCCATATCCTTGTCCCTCGTGGGAGTATGAGTTGGAGTGCGATCAGAAGGCACTTGCGCTTGCTGCTGCCTGGGTTGCACAATCGCTGCAGAAGGTGTAGGCGAAGAAGGGTTTGAGGAGACCCCTTCGTGTTTGATAGAAGCAGCTACCGATTGAGCGTACTTGCTAGCTTCGCTCATCTCTTTCGCGGGACCCGGCGTTCCATTGCGAGAATGCGGGTGTGGCTGAGCAGGTTGAACAGGTTTTCTGCGGGGCGATTCACCTTGGTGTCTGTCAACCTGCTGAACTTGACTCGGCGGTATTCTCTCCATCTGCCTATCGGACTGAGCTGCAGCTGGGGGATTAGATAGCAGTTGAGCTCGAGGATCGGCTGTTTGAGCAGATGGCCCCATCGCATTTCCCAGGCTCCACGCCTGCCCGCTAGGGCCTATAGGCGAAGCTGCCTCAGGAGCAGCAGCCCCAGGAGGCAAATTCGGCGCTACCACCCCCCTCATCCTACTCGCTTCTGCCTGATGCGCTTCAAGCGTAGGAACCGGAGGCTGATACCTCTCCCTCTCTTTCGGGTTCTGCGCAACAATCGTAGGCGAAGGTGTATACGCAGGAGGCGCATCAGGCAAGGGGTGGGTGTCATCTGTGAGCGCATCGTCGAATCGTGATTGCCTGTGATCTTCTCTACCACGAGAAGTCGGCTGAGCACGCGGGGCTGAGCGGGTAGCTGTAGGTTCAGGCCGTGTCTCTGGGGGAGGCTGGGGAGTTCGCTGACGAGATGCCTGGGGATGGGGTTGATGAGGATCTGAGGGTATGACCAAGGGCGGTACTACTGGTCTATCGCCGCTCCCGGGTCGACTCCGTCGTCCGCCGTGCTCTTGCGAGACGGCTGCTCCTGGCGCAGCTCCCAAGCTGGCTCCTCTGGGGCTCACGCCCGGCACACTGGGCATAGGCGGAATACTCTCGCCTTGTCCCGGTAGTGGTGGGGGCGGAGATGCCAGGGGCTTGGTGGTAGAGGGAGGCGAGCGAAGATCAGATTGGGTAAGAGTTCGGGAGGATGAACGAGGTTGCGGTTTAAGAGGTTGCGGGTGCGGCCGACCATCTTGTTCACGTCAGCGCAGGTCTGTATAACACGCCAAGGGTGAAACGCACCTTGCCTAGATAACCCCCTATCTCTATCTCTCCGTTCTTCCGCCATACCAGACGACACCATACCAGGCTGCATCTCCACAGGCGACCCATACGTCGGCGACCTCGGTCCATGCCCATGCCCGCTCTGACTCCCCGGAGGACTCGCCACAGGCGGAGGCGATGGGGAGCTTGCCAAAGCGGGGTGTACAGGGGCTCTATTTTGGGAAGGAGTACGGAATGGTTTGAATGCCGGTTGGGGTTGGTAGGATTGTGGTTGCTGCAGCTGAGAAGGCGCACGATTCACAGTCGGATAAGGTCCATTATCGCTTCCCATTGGAGGTTGTCCAAGTTGCCCAACAGGTCTGGCGAACTGATTATAAGGGTGTGTTCCAGACATGCTAGGGTAGGGCCCCCCCAAGGATCCAGAGGCGGAAGCTGAGGGCATAAAGCTCGGGTCGACGGGGTATAGGGGTTTGGCAGGGGCTGGTGTTTGGCGAGTCGGTTGGAGATCACCTGGAACGAAGTCAATGACATTTCCTCATCTTCCCAGAGCAGCTCACCTTGGCGTAGCTTTTGCTTGGGCGGAGGAGCACCAGGGTCGTCGCCATATCCAGTATTGGACTTAGCATTGGTATCTGGTCTTCTCGCCGAGGACCCTTCTGTCGGTGTATGACGGGATGGTTGAAGATCACCTACACAGCATCAGTGAGAGTTCCCGACATTGCCAGTGCAAACTCGCCTTGCCGTAAACCCGACCTGGGTGCTGGATTGTTGTAGCTCGAGCTGGGCGACGAGTCATACTCTGGCCTCCTGGCGAACGAGGCTGCGATAGGCGTTGTCTGCGGCGGAGGTGTTGGCATGGGAGGTGGTATGGTGTTGGGGGTCGATGCTCTTGATTTGGACTTGGACCGTCCTGTTTCGCATCGTCAGTGCTGTTCCCGCCCAACTCGCCAAGACTCACCTTTATTCCCTCCCCAGAAACTCCTGTCCTTGCTCTTCGACCTCGCCACACCCCCCTGAGCTCCATCCCTGTATGCACTCGGCCCGCTGTCCATCCCACTGAGGGGACGGCTCAGCTCTTCATAGATCGGCCCAGCCTTGACTTGGTCCTTCTTCTTTCCCAGCTTGTTTGGAGACACCGTTGGGTTGTTGCTCGGCGTAGCTACTGACAGGCGGTGGAAGAACCCCTTCTTTTGCGCCGGGGCGGGGGCTTCGGCGGACATCGTGATTTTCGTTGGTTTCGTAAGGGGTGAGGTTTTCGGTGGGTGCGGTTCGACACGCGTTCGGGGTTGGGGTGGAGACAAGTCACGTTGGCCCTCGTGTATGATGTGCTGGGTACTATTCACACTGCCCCCCTTCGGGTCCTCCCAGGTCGGTGCAAAGACGACAAGACCACTGAGCAGCTCGGTGCTCCTCCTCCTACGGTGCTCCCAAAAAGCGCTCGGGGGCGGGGAGGCAGGGGCCTTGAGGGTGGAATCGGAGCGGAGGGAGTAGAAGGAGAGAGGGCGGGGTGTTTTGGGGGGGAGGGGGGGAAGATGGATGAGGGAGAGCGGTGGAGATGGAGAAGTGAAAGAAGAAGCGGCCATTAAGTGAAAAACGCGTAGACGCGGGAGTGGATGGCCTCCGACCTCTTTTGGATATCCCCAGTGTTGCATCTCCATGTTCTTTCCTATTTGTATGCATCTCGCTGCTCGCTCTGGCATCCCCCGACACTCAAGGACTTGCCCCTTCCGGACACGCTGCGAACGGCCCCCCTGGCCGCTGTTTCACGAACAAAAAGCTCTTCCGTCGTTCCTCGCTCGTGAAACGCATCATACGCGCCAGCCGGACTGTTGTGCTTGACAACGGCTATCACCGGTGACACTTCATGACCGTGCACTGTGGGTACCATGCGGGGTAGCACAGTGAGTGTCAAAACTCAAAAGCGTGCAAAGAGGAGCACATACGTAGGCCTTGATGGGCCGAAAGTCAGCTGGAAGTCTAGGCCTTCAATGAGGCACGCGCTTCATGAGACGAAGACCAAAAGGTAAGTTCACTGATCAAGTGGGGCGTTGAGCACCGGCAGCCACTATGTAATGAAGAGAAGACAAAGTGCGGCTGTCAATCGCGAAATCATTCATGTGATACTTCATTAAGCTTGGGCGACAATTATCAGACGATGTGAAATCAACAGACTGTATCGAAGAGGAAATGCGTTGGGAGTAGCTGCCAAGGCCCACTGGAGAAAACCTTCCACGAAGTTGTCCCAAAGCAAGTGAAAGCTCTTAGATGTACTGTTACATAGGATCATTCACCACACGTAGAGAGATTCGGGGCAACAAATTCGTTCAAGCGCTCGTGGTATCAATCACCATCCGCCACAATCAGGTCCCAACAAAGATATCCCAAAAGAGTTGTCTCTAACTGTTGTCCATCGCCACCCGTGTCAGAGATGGGTTGTAAGTGGCCCTCCCCTTGTACGTGTGACACTTCCCAGCCCTGTCAGTTCTGAGCAAAGTGATATCAGCATCAAAGAGGTCAATACCAGATTCCGCCCTCCTGGACGTGAAAGGAGATGTCTCTGCGTCATCAAATGCGCTCAACACGATGCGCTGACTGTCGGCATAGTCAAACAAATTCTTGCAAGAGGTAATATCAGAAATGATCGTCATCGGCTCTTTGGTGATGTACAGATCATTTACGTGAATGAAAGGGTAATTGGCACGGATGGGATCTGCGGTGGTGCGGTGGAAGCATGTTACATCGGTAGTGAAAGCCTCAGGATCATCCGACAAAGAAAGAGAGCTGATTTCTGAAGATACCCCATGAGACGCGGGTGTAACTGTGAAATTGACCGAAGGGTGGTCTACTGGTATCTCAAATTCAATGGCCGAGATTAATTGTGTAGCGTGCTTGTCGGATCCTGGGTCGTTGTTGAGCAAAGATTGTGAAGTGAGCCCCTCTTGCAACTCGAGCCTCATACGACGAAAGTGGTGACGAACGCGACTTGCACCAATTGATTCGTTGAAGGCAGTAGTCTCCCTCGCGGATGAGGCAGGACCTGCGGTTGTAGGTTGAGGCCGAAAGCTCCATCCTTCAGGATGAGCTTCCAGCTCCCGCATTGCGAACTTTGACACATTGGCCACTTGGTGAAACAATCCAGGGATGCTGCCATCAGCAGGCAGTCTTTCTTCGAGTCCTTCTCTGCTGTTGAGTTCTTCTAGTTGGGTCATGTTTATATTATTCTTGGTCAAGTAGTCGAATGGTAACACTCACGATGTCTGAGGGGCCTGTTTTTTAGTGTCCAATATGAGCTTTAAGAGTCGAGACGAACGAACATCCATATATCCACTCCTCTCATACTCGAAACCTGTTTCAATAAGTTCGAGTTTTCACGTGAACGATAGTCTCATAAACACACCGTACGCTCTCATCAGACGTGACCTTCCTTTATTGGGAAGACGGGGATTGGCGTAGTAGCTATGGGAATATATCACAATCGCCTTTCCCAGGATCAAGCAGCATATCATGAGGGGTTGCTGCTGCTTGCAGGGCGAACATACCTGACTCTAGTCATTCCCTTTATAGTCATATGGACGGAAAGGGTAGTAGAAAGATTCTAGGCTGCCAAAGAGTGGATAATCGATGTACAAAACAGAGAGAGAAAAGCAAGCATCCACCGATGCTACCTCTTCTTCATAAACATCATCATATATACAGCCCAATCGCGCTACTACTACCGACGGAATTTGAGCTTGCTAGATACTGACTCAGCTGCTTTCAGCGACTGCTAACTTCTTTCAGCCTTCCTTGTTATGCTCCTCGGGAGACACTAAGAAAGAGATACCATCGAGGACTTCTGACGAAGATTGCTCGACAGCAGTCACAAAGCTAGAGCCGTCCTCTGCTCCCGGTCTCGTGACAGCTTTCAGAGAAGAATTGTAAGTGACCCTTCTCCTATACAGGTGATGATAGCCAAACTTGTCTGCTCTCACCAAAAACATATCTACGTCGTACACTGGTATATACTCTGTATCCATCCAGAAGAAGTGACCAAGCGAATCAATCTCGAACGAGGCTTAGCTTCCTGGATTACTCATACTGATCATCCTTTAGATACATAGATTGGTCTCCCACCACAAGAAGGTCCGCAAGGCACTCCTGTTGCATGTTCACATCTCTAAGGTTACTTTCCCCTCAGCCACCTCTATGCTACATCATCACCCTCCTCCCGCAGAAGATCCTCAGAAGACACAAGAAAACTCGCGCCTTGGATAAAGTCAGGCTTGGATCGATCAATGGTCGTAAAGCTATATTCGTCCTCCACTTCTGGCCTCGTCACCGGTTTTAGAGATGGATTATACGTGACCCTCCCACTAAACGAGCGAGGGTCCCAATTCCTGTCAGTTCTTACGAAAGTAATATCAGCATCGTAGATGGTGATGTCGGGCATTTCCGGGCATCTTCTAGCGGTAAAGGGTAAGTTCTGCTCGTTACCGGGTGCTATCAAGTCTGTCTCTACCTCCCGACCGTACAGGCGCTGATTTTCGATATAGTCGAATAGGTTCTTGCACGAGGTGATGCTTGAGGAGATCGTCATGGGTTCCTTAGTGATATAGACGTCGGACCAGCGATGAAGAGGACCGTTCTCAGCGACGAGAACGGGACTGGAGTGGAAGCATGTTACGTCAGTGGTGAACGACACCACAGGCACGTCCCCAAACGTAGTTGTGTCAATCACTTGAGCGCCCTCATGCGAGCCTGGGGAGGTTCTAATCTCGGCGAAAGGGTGGGCTGTTGGTATTTCAAAGTCGATAGCCAAAATGGGCTTGTCTTCATAAGGTTCCAGTATTCCAGGGCGGTCGTTATTGAGCAAAGGCTGAGAAACGAGTGGGTCTTGCAGCTCGAGCCTCATGCGCCTCGAGTGGTGGTGGAAGCGACTTGCCCTGAATGTTTCGTTGAGGGAAGCGTCGAGTTCGGAGAGGCCGGGTCCTGTGTTTATAGGTCTTGGTTGGAAACTCCAGCCTTCGAGATGGGTCTCCAGGTCGGTGACTGCGAGTTCTGGCAGTGTGGCGATTTGTAAAAATAGGCCGGGAATACTGCCCTCGGACAGTCGTTCATCGAGGCCTTCCCTGCTATTGAATCTTGGACGAGACATCGTTGTCTTGTAGAGATTGATGATTGTGAATAGATACTGCTACGAATGAGACACTGTCCTCTTGTTCCCACCCTCCATTCACAATGGTGTATGCGTATTCCCATCCTCCTTGGCCAGGAGCAAATGCAGTGGGCGTGGGCTGTAGCATCTCATCATTCTCAAGACATCGTGATGCTTCCCAAGCCAAGGAAACGCCACATCAGCCAACGACAAAGAAACTGAAGTGTTCATGACATATTCATACCATCCGACATGAAACCTACACCTCCTTTCCACCATTCAACTCGTCACTCGTATCTTCGTACATAGCTAGCACCAGCGCTCTAGATCTCCCTTGCAGCAGTCGGCCTACCGATCCCAAACTTTTTCGAAGCGAGCGAGCCGTACTTTGCTTCCACCTCATTCTGGACGAATTCGAGGCTGGTAAAATATTTGACAGTCTTGACTCTCAGTTCGAGGGTGGCATCCTCACTATTCCTCATCAGCCTCCCCCTTTACTAGAGGATAGAAAGCAGAAAGGGACTCACTCGCAAACGACCAAAGCCCAAGGATGCGTCTGCAAAGCACTAGCAGTCACCATATGATTCACACTCCCCTCAATCATCTCCTTCAACGCCAAACTCTTCTGCTGGCCCGTGACCACCAACAAAACCTCCCGACTGTCCATGACGGTTTGCACACCAACAGTGAGGGCCATGCGGGGCACGGCGGAGAGGTCGTTGTTGAAGAAACGGCAGTTGTCGAGGATGGTCTCGTAGGCGAGGGTCTTGATCCGGGTTCTGGATGTGAGGGAAGATCCGGGCTATCAATTCATCAGCATATCGGACTGCAGGGGTCGCGAAGAGGGGAAAGGGGACGCACCTCGTTGAAAGCAATGTGCCCGTCGGCACCGATACCGCCTAGGAACAGGTCGATCCCGCCGGCAGCCTTGATGGAAGCTTCGTACTCTTCGCATTCTTTGTAAAGATCCTCAGCGTTGCCGTTCAAGAGGTGGGCGTTTTCGGCGCTGTGGAAAGGTTAGCGATTGGTCTGGGGGATTGATTATCTCTCGTCCGCTCGATTTGCTTTAGGCTAAACACCTGCGCCCTCGAGGCAAGGTGGGGTAGCCCCACAATCAGATCCAATGAGGACAAAGAGAGGCAAGACGAGCAACTCACTTGATGTCCACGAGAGAGAAAAAGTTGGTAAACATGAATGTGTGATAAGACTCGGGATGATCCCTCGGGATGCCGACGTATTCGTCCATGTTGACTGCGCGCCGTGCGTTAGCAGCGTGTTCTGCCCAGCACCGCCCCACACGCCCCATCCGGTGAGAGAGATACTCACAAGTGATCACATTTTTGAAACTGACTTTGCCTTCCTTGTAAAGTTCGACTAGCCGCTTGTAGACGGGCAAGGGGGAGGAGCCGGTGGGAAGGCCGAGGACAAAGTTCTTGTGGTCGGCGGTGGGGGTAAACGAGTTGATGCGGGCGACAATGTATTCCGCAATCTGGCTACCTGTCAGCTGTGCTCCAAACTCTAGTAGACCAGACCCACGTAGTTTCCCACTTCCTCTTTGGCCTTGCGGATAGTCAGTCTCATGGTGATGGGGGAGTGATAAGGGTTGTTCAAGCTAGTTCAAGCTAGTGGTGGGGGGATGAAAGATGAGATGCAAAAGAGAGATGAGATGTGATTCTGTGCGGGATATATAACTCTCCACGTGAATTGGCTCGACGCCATGCAGGGAACGATACGGCCAACAACGCCAATCGGCCACCGCAGAGGTGACACCCAGGCACCCCCGCTTTCCCCGCCTGGGTCGCTTGTTTGGTCCGCCGCTATCGTCGGCGAACGCGGCGAGCAGCACTGAACCGAAGTGCTTTCGGATGCCAGATGCGTGCTGACGAGAGATTCAAGCATATGGAAGGTCAGCAGAATGGGGCGAAGTGGGTAGGGGGCCGACGAGGATATACACGTTTGGCTGAGACCCCGTCCGAACATGGACGAGAGGGATGTCGCTCGGTTTGGTTCTCCGATGACAGGCTGTGGCACATGACAAAGTGGTACGCTCTTCCGCGTCTTACATCCCCCGACTGGGTTCTACCGGCCAATCTCTTAAACTATTTGACCTCAGGCCTCATGTCAGGTTCCTTCAACCAACTGGCCGACATCATATCAAGTAGTGACGTGGAGGTACCAAATGTGATCCCGTTCCCATCTGCGCCCCCCACATAGTCTCGGTCGCCAGTATCTGATTGCCATACGAAACTTGTTGATAAATTCTGTCTTCCTTTTCATCTTACCGAAGATCCCTTCCCAGACAGCTTTTCTATCCCTCTCCTACACCCCCTCAGCTCGTACTCATCCACAGCCCGACCCAATCCCCGAAGTGCAGCCAGCCCTGATCACCCGCGGCCTCTTACACTTTTTTTCAAACTTTATCGCCATTGACCAGCTCTCAAGAAAATAATGGAAAGATGATGGAGTATAGTCATGTCTCTTGTGCCGCGTGGCAATGGCGATAAAGTTCGAAAAAAAGGTGTAAGAGGTCGCGGGTGCACAGGGCTGGCTGGAATCCGGATATTGGTACAGGGTCTGGGGTACATACCAAGGCATATGGTCATCTGTCCTTCTCAATGTCTTCCACATCCCTCATGCCCTTCTGTTGACCTTTCCCTACAGCCAAGCCCCGATATCTCGCAGTGTCACTCAGATCTAATCACCTGCGCCTACACTTTTCTCCGACCTTTATCACTTGCCGCGCAAAAGAAGAGTCAGCATTCCACATCAACCAGCTCTTCATAGAATGAGTCGTGGAGAAATGATGGATTATTGACGTGTCTCTTGTGTTGTGTTGCGTGGCAATGGTGAGAAAGGGCGAAAAAAGTGTAGGCGTGGGTGCTTGGGTCTGGCTGGAGCTTGGCGGGGGTCGAGTTTGGCGTTAGTGTACGTGCTACATAGGGAGCACTTGTGATACTTTAGGTTGATTGAGGCCACGAAATGCATCTATGAGTACTACAGAAGAAGAAGCAGTAAATACTTGTACAGAACAGTCCGAGGTATTGAATGGAAGGAGATGGTGCAAGACCCGCTTCCACGGCTCAAACCCCCGCCGCCTACAAGGCAACGAGCGCATGAGACGTAGAGGCGAGACCTGCCCCATCTTTGGACAGCAGGATCTCGCGTATGTATACGAGAGTTACAACAAAGAAGATAGGGAATGAAAGAAAGGAAGAAGGAAAGAAGGACAGAGAAAGAAGGACAGCCACTTACGATCTTGGATGAAAGCCAAAGGGGTCTTTCAAAGACAGGCTTACGTTGTGACACGACTTTGAAGCCGAGTTTCTAATTCTGGATGATTCGGAGAACCCGATAGCGTTGAAAGCTGATAATGTGTCGATGGGAACATCAGTGTTTGATGATCAGAGACTGAGATAAGCGTCAGCTTTCTGACAAAGCATGTTCAAGGACACTCACGGTACGGCGAGACCAAAGTCAAAACAAGAAAAAACTCAAGACAACAGACGGACAACGTCGAGAAGACGTATTACTATGTACAGCTATATACAAACATCATACTTTTACAGTCATCAAACTGTTACAAGCATACTATTACAACCCACATACTATTACACCTCTTGAACGCCGCCAAGTTTCGTCAGATAGAATTATAGACATGATAAGACATGATAAGACATGATAAGACATGATAGCCGGGGAAAGATCACCGCACTTTCAAACCAAAGATCCCGGAATATCCACAGAGCCCAGAATACCACAGCCCAGAATACCACAGAGCCCGGAATACCATAGAGCCCGGAATACCACAGAGCCCAGAAGAGAGACCAAGACCGCAAGATAGAACCATAGATGTGAGTCTCCAAGATGTCTCTTTTGACAGAGATGGAGATGTTGGAAGATACCGAAGCAAATGACGGAAGGTGATAGACGTCATGTGATTTTGCTTTTTGGCGAATAAGTCGTTTGTACGACATATTGTTGTCTTGACAAGATCGCTCCGAGCGCTATGATGATGTGAGCGCTACAAGAAGCTCAAAGTCTTGTGTTGTTTGTTGAAATCGGATGGGTGAGAAAGGCGACGGCGGGCACCCGCTTTCGAGTTGGTTGATCCGCCTGGCGGCGGAAGAAGGAATGTGATTCGTACTACTTTCCTTCAAACAGTGTCAATTTTCCGTTTTCTCCACGTCTTTACAAAGTATTCTCAGTAGGAATGAAGACTCAAAGAAGGAGAGAAAGAAGGGGATAGAAAGGGGGCGATGAAAGCATCTTATGAGGCAGGAAGACGCGTACGCCATTCCGCCAAAGACGAAAGACAAAGTCCTCGCGTCGGCGCGACCGACGCCTGAATGACGCCTGACATGCCCCGCCTTCTCCAATCAAAAAGCACCAAATGAATATCTTGAACAAAGAGAGAAATAGAGGATGAGAGAAGGATGAAAGATGGAGACACAAATGCTGCCCCATTATATCTCATTCCCAGCGGCGGAAGTGAGAATGATCTTTCCGCAACTTCATTACTTGCTTGTTTCCAGCTCGCGGAACCGGTGCTGAGAGCATGCTCCTGTTTCCGCCCTGCACGTCCTCTAAAGCCCGATCATATTGGGGGAGAAGAAGTAGGGGGCACATGTGATGGGCAGCGATTGCCTCGTTTGCTCTGAATGAGAGTTGTGAGAGGCGTGGCTCTGCGCTTCTCATGAAACCTGCGCCCAGACACGTTTTAATTACAGGCAGATCCCTCTTCATCATCAAAAAAGCATGATTTTATGCATGAAATACTAATATCATACAAAAGTACTCTTCAATGCTACTGCGCGTCAGACTTCTGAAGGAAGCCCATCTTTTTGGTCTTTGACAACAAGCTAGCGTACCAGCGCGTCCAAACGGTACTATCCACACTTCCCCACCAACAGTCTCAAGATCTCAAGATTCGCCTACGCCTGACGGACCCCCTGGCGACCCTGGCGCTGATCCCCCAACATGAGCCATACATTCTCCTGCGGCCCTTCCAGCTGCTCGGCGTGGTAGAACAACGCTTGCGCCGCCATGCGCGTTTGATGTTTTGGAGGAAGGTCGCCCATCGTCAGAGATTCGCCTATTGTCCTTAGCAATGACACCACTACACCCAATCAGCCATCTATCGCATCAAACAGGCAGAAGAACTCACCATCCGCGGCATCGATCAACGCCCTCTCTTCCAACGACCCCAAAACCAGCCTCAATTCTTCCGCGGCCAAAGTGATAAAGAACAAGTACGTCGGCGAAAAGTAGAGCAACTCTTCCCTCGGCTGCCAGCTCGCACATACTTCCAGCATCTGCATCGCACAATCCGCCGCTTTCGACCATGACGCCTCCCTCAACTGAGTGTCAGACGCGCTGAGCTGTGGGGTCGCGGAAGCGTATGGCAGGTGCGCTTGGTATTGCGGTTGAGTGGGGGAGAGTTGGAGGGCAGAGTCGGAGTAGCTGTGAAAGTTTTGGGGCCGGGCGGCGAGGGCGTCGGGGAGGGACATGTTGACGCTCAGCTTGGTAAAGAGCCATGTCAAGAGGGTGTAGTCCCACTTCAACACGGCATTCTCCCCATGCCTCTGCCCAGTCGGCCTGACAGCATCAAAGTTTGCCTTCCAAAACTCCAAATCCCCATTCGTTTTTAGTACCAACCTCTTCATCTGACTCTGATTGCCTTCTGGCACAGCTTCTGCCAGAAGCCCGAGCTGTTTGCGCCATTCGTTGAGGATCATGATCACTTTGGTGTGAAGGGTGAGGAGGAGGTCAAACGGATCTGAAGGATGTGAAGCAGGCGGGGTGGCAATTGGGAGGAGACGGTTGCAATTCGGGAGAGCGTCGCGGTATGTTACCTGGGGCGCTTCGGGGCTTCTCAGCCGTTCTGTACTATCCACCACCTACCCCTATCAGCTCACTCCCCACCTCATCACAAAAGACTCACATAACAAAACAGCCAAACTCTCGTCATATCCTGCTCTGTCGCCGACCTCTCTGCAGGGACAATCCCCACCTTCTCCGCCACCGTCATCATCCTATTCTGATTCTTCAGAACCTCAATCCATCCCCTCGCCCATCTGAACGCCACCCGCGCTATCAACGCCGCTTCGCGCCGATCCACCATCCATGTAGCCACCACACACAATCCTACAATCTCCTCCGGCCCCAACGCAAACTCTGCATCAATCGCACCCTCCCCATCCAAATCGCCGAAATCTTTACTGATCGTCGCGTCGAAATTCTGCCAAGACTTGGCGGGGGACGTGTTGAGGGCGGAGGAGATTTCGTCCTGGAGGGGCGAGCGGAGGTGCGCGAGGTGGGGGAAGTGGTCGCATGTGACGAGGCAGAGGATGGCGAGGATGAGGGGGGTGAGGGTGGAAGGTCCGTCGGGGAGGTAGGGGAAGTGGCCGAGCTGGAGGCGGTAGCCGTACAAGAAACCGCTCATACGTGAATGGAAGCTGCTTGTCAGTGGCATCCTGGGTGATCGTATACTCACAAGTTGATCAGCACCAAGGCGTCTTTATTTGAGACAATATCCTTCTTGATCACATCCGTCCTCGTGTCCATCGACCCCACAGCAATCTCAAGCCCATTCTCATCAACAAACATCCCCTCAGACTCGATCGCCGGGAGAGGCTCATCCCGCATCGACGACAAGGTCAAATGCCCCTGCCCCGGGTACCCTCCCTGATGCATCCTGTACTCTCCCTCCTGTGTCAACCTGCCACGATTCGTAGGACTGCCAAACGCAGGCCCTTCCTCGGGCGTCTCCTTCTCCTGCTCGATCGTATCCGACCCTTGCGCGTGCCCTTGCGTCGGAAGAGGCATGGGCAGCCCGAACGCCTGCTGCGTCGGACCCAGCCTGGCCGAGATCGGGCTGATGATCTGTGCAGATGGTAGAGGCGCAGTATGCGGTGGTTGGTGGTAACTGAACATGCCAGAAGGCCCAGAAGGGGGCGGTAGAAAGACGCCAGCTGTAGGCTCTGGACTCGCCGGTCTTTCTTCGTCTTCTTCTGCGCTTTTAGAGGCCTTACGCCGTTTCTTCTTGTCTCCGTCGTTGTCCCGTCCTTTCTTGTCTAGAGGAAAGTAGCCCTCCCGGTCGGGTGCTTCGTACCGTTCGTACGGCGGGTACAGCGGCGGGATGAGGTTGGATGCGGTGAGGTGATGTAGGATATGATGCACAGCATTGGAAAGCTGGGAGAGGTGGTTGGTGGCATTGTACAGATCTGTTTGCAGTGTCTGTTGCCAGTCATCGTCCTGAACGATATCAGTACCCGCCCAACCCCACTTGGCAAGACACTCACATGGCCTCGGGGGTAAAAGATGCACTTTTCCTTTCTCGAATGACACCTCACACACAATGTCTGATTCGGCTCGACTATACACTTCAACTTTGCCTTTCTGCAATTCGAACACGCCTTTTGCTTCTTCTCCCTCGTCAACACTGCCGGGTAGGCGGGCTTGAATTCGGGCGAATCCTGTTGTACCGTATGCTTCTTCCGCGATGATGACGATGATCCGTTCTGGACGACGTCGGGTGGCAAGACAGATTCTGTCCGAGGGCGTTTGGCGGTGGCCTTGGCGGAGGGAGGTGGCAGCTGCATATGCGGCAGCGCCGGCTCAGCATACCTCCCTCCATCCCTATCCACAAAGCTCCCCTCCGGCAGTCCCCCGGCATGCGGCGACGTCTGAGGCAACACCTGATCTCTCCGCCAATGCTTCCACTCTTGATACTCTGCCATAGGCTCCGACGGCGGGGGCTGATATGTCATCCGCCGAGCCGCATGTGCCGGATGGCCAGGCAAGTCCTTCTGCGGCCGGGGCAGCTGCCTATTCGCCCACGGCCCTTGTCCTTGCGCCGCACTATCCCCAGAACCATTCGCGCTCAGCGGTCTCGGCCCGCCACTAGGCGGCGCTGCAAAGCTGAACGGTCCACCCGGGTGGCCTGGGTGCCCCGGATGACCTGGAGGAGGGCCGTAGTAGATGGTCGGCGGGCCGGGCATGGTGGGGGACGATGAGTGGGGATGTATGGGCGGGTGGGGGTGGGGATGTGTGGGTGATTGCGAGGGGTTGTGGGACATGGTGGGGCATAGTCCTGGGGAGACGAGCAGAGGCTGAGAAAAGCGGAGGGCGTGAGGCGGGAGGCCGAGCGGTTGTCGAAGGGTACTGCTGTGGTGGATGGGTGAGTGGTAGCACCCCCGGCTGCTGGGTAGGCGGTGGAGGGAATAAAAGTATAGGAGAAATAGAAAGAACGAAAAGTCAGAGGAGATGGGCGGTGATAGCTGATGCGTGACACCTCGAGGCTGACCCTGGAACGGTGCCTGCGCTCGGGCCGCCTCCCCTCTTTACGAGTATTGTATTCTATCCCTCTTACACTCCCATCCCCAGCTATACACACTCTCACAGATGACCCACTCGCCACTCCATCCTCCCACTCATCAATTACTCCGAGACGCCCAACCCTGTAGATCACTCCTCCTCTGTGTGCCCTTGAGTTGCTCGATTGTGCTACCTGCTCTCCCTCTTTCCCAAGTAACGCTTCTTCCGTCATCCCCTTCCTGCGTCACCTTGCGTTTCGTCTGTTTCAGCCTTGTCCATATTGCAAGCTGTATACAACACCAACTTTAATCTGCCTCAATCGTGCTAGAGTTTATCATTTGTGGCGTTGATGAGGCGTCTGATCGTCGAGCAGACAGCGGACAGCGGAAACACGCCTTCAACACGTTGCGAATCCTTGAATCGACTGCCAGCGTCCCCTTATGTCATTGGGGTTGATTGTTTTACTTTAAGCCCCGTAGTCGGCTTGCCAGACGGTCAGTCTGTGTCTTCCTGTCTTAAACTCGTGCATGGTGAATCGTCGTCGTCGTCACGGTCACTCGTGCTAGAGTCAGCACAACATGATAGATGATAGCAAGTTTCGGGGTGAAACTTGGGGGGTAACGTTAAAGATCAAGATATCTACTACATACATAGACCAAGTCGTTCAGATTCACACACGCATGGGTGGGTTTGCCACGAATGAGCTATGCAACTATATGGGGTAAAAGAAGGCACATGCTTAAATAACAACAACCACAGTCACAGGTGCAGTAGACGACCCGGCTCTCATCTTCCCCCGAACCCCGCTTCGACTCAAGCTTCTTCAGATGAGTGCTACCTACCAAACCCTAGACCAGCTCACGCAACTGGACCCCAGCACTCCACGAGTGGGCCGACACCCTCAACGCTTTTCTCACCCGCGATATACCGGCTTATATCAATGCCCAGGTCGCCACCGAGGTTGACAAGCGACTCAGGGAAGAGGGACAGGAAGTGGATACTGAACAAGATGATGCACGACACAGGTGGATCGGCAGGGTGGCCGGTGTGAGAGGTCATACCTATCAGACCGGACGGCGATCCAAGGCCTACCCGACGATATACGGCATTTGGCTCTCGGGGGTAAGATGGCGAGAATGATGATCCCGCAGCATCGGCGACAAATTTGTGATTTGACAGAGATGGAGATGTTGAAAGATACCGAAGCGAATGACGGCAGGTGATAGACGTCATGTGATTTTGCTTTTTGGTGAAGAAGTCGTTTGTACGGCATGATGTTGTGTTGGAAATATCGCTCCGAGCGCTATGATGATGTGAAGCGCTACAAGGAGCTCAAGTCTTGTGTTCCGGTCTTTCCTTCAAACAGTGTCAGTATTCCGTTTTCTCCACGTTGTTACAAATAATATTCAGTAGGAATGAAGACTCACCTCAAGCTCACTCCGGCGGTTTGACCTCCGCCAAAACCCAAGGAAGACGAGTCCAGCGATGACACTGTGGCGAGAAGAAACGAAGTGAGCATGTATCAGTCTGGGCAATATAGTTGTTGGTGGACGGCGGCTGCTTACAGAACCATTAACACGACATGGTCGAAGAAATCCAAGAAGAATAAGATGGACAAAACGGAGGGTATCACAGCGAGTATCAAAACGTCGGCGATAACTGAAGAAGCATATCAGCTTGGAGTGAGATGACTCGGATGTACTTACAGGAGAGTCAAACACCGTATGTGAGTGAGCTCTCCTTGATCGCCGTCCAACTCTCACACCGGCCACCCCGCTCATCCACCTGTGTCGTGCATAATCTCGTTCAGTCTCCACGTGTCGTCTCTCTTCCCGAAGTTGCTTTGCAACCTCGGTAGCGACTTGGGCGTTGATGTAAGGCGGTATATCGTGGGTGAGAAAAGCGATGAGGGTGTCGGCCCACTCGTGGAGTGCTGGGGTCCAGTTGCGTGAGCTGGTCTGGGGCCTGGTAGGCAGAACTCATGATCTGAGGGAGTTTCAGTCGAAGCGGGGTTGGGGGGAAGATGAGAAGCACTTTAGAAATGGGAATCGCACAGTGCAGGAGGATCGTGCGTCTGTCATGCGTTGTTTGCGGCCATCAGGCGGCCATGGCCGCTCATCAATCAACATTCAACAATGCCGGCCCTTTTCGGTTTCGTGTGGCCCACATCATCTCTATGATCGAAGCCTTGAGATGAATATGAGCTGACTGTTCTCGAGGGTAGACGTGTACTCCTAAAAGTCCGAATTTCCCGCCCGGGATTTTGCAGCATGATACATACAGTATATGCAGCGCGAGCATTGAAGTACTTGCCGCCGCTCGCGCACGCGTCCTCAGCTTCCCTCCACCTTCTATCTATAGTCTGTATCATCTCACTTTTGCTCTATCTTTTGTCATACGCTTACACTCATTCCTCTAATCATCCTGCTCCACATCGCTGCATAAGATCATACGACATCCAGATAATGATAACAACATGTTTGTTGGCCCCCCAGTTGAACAACATGACAAGATCGAGGGACAAAAACCACACACCGCCCTTGCACTCTACCCTCTACTCTCTCGGCGCCCCATCATCATTCTCCCCATCCCTCCACTCCCCCTGACCCCAAACTTCCTTCTCCCCAACCCACGTCCCCTAGGGTGATTTTGACGGAGGATAAATCTTGATAACAGCCTGGCAATCATGGGCCCGGGTATAGTGTCCCCGTTCGACACTCATCGTCTTCCGTCGACATCTCCGGAGCAGCAGAAAGACATGCCCGCCTGATCCAGCAGCAGCGCAAGGCGCTGATGGTACAACCGATGTCATCTTGCCCGCATAACGCTCAATGAAACACTTTCTCTGTCGTTGGCGAGGACCAAGGACGGCCAGGGTGATGACAGTGGCGTAGTCAGACGGACTTGGTAGAGTGTTGCATGGTCGAGGAAGTGGAAGGGAGTGGGTGGGCAAAGTGAAAGCCAAGCAGTAGTTGGACGAATCGGATGTGCGTCTGAGGAACGCAAGCTTCTGGAAAAACTGAGTAATGAATCAGTGATGGCTTCTCATAGAGCAGCGAACAGAATAACCTATAATATCCCCGTTCAGCATCTCAACATCTATGTCGACATCTCCGGAGCGGCAAAAAGAGCTGCCCACCAGATTCAGCAGCAGGCCAGTGCAAGGAAGGCGTGGTCGGCACATACGACCGTATCGGTTGGCACACTGGGAAGAGCTGCGTTGGGAGCAGGCTACGTTGAAAGAGGTCGAATGAGGTGGGCTAGGGTTAGGACGGCGGTGTCCAGCTGCTTGACTTCGTGGAGGCAAAGAACCAGCGAGGGTGCGTCGGTTGCGTTGGGCGGCATTGGGCGGAGGCAGTCGAGGCTCGTCGAGGAGGCTGAGTAATGGTGTGTGGGGAGATACTGATAGAGTGAATATTGTAGAGAAGGGTACCAGGTATGTGAGCGGTGTTCGAGGGGAAGCAAGAACTGAGAGCGAGAACGGGAACAGGGTGGCAATAGAGCGCATGGAGGTAGAGGCAGGTGCCGGCAGCCGACGGTACCCGACATGAAACGAAAGAATGAAACAACCGAGAAACGTGACGTGAGACGTGACGTGAAAGATTTTGGGACCTGGGAGAGGAAAGATGGGAGCTGGAAGAGGAAAGACGATGAGCGCACCGGAGACGCTTGTCGAGGGAAGCGGAAAGGCACCTGTCTGGCCAGACGTTTGGGAGAGTCGTTGTTCGGTCGTTGTCAAAAAATGACGTCAGCTCAGCTTGCGAAAGCGGAAACATACGTACCTTTTCACCGACTGCTTTCCGTTCATAGCTTTGTAACTGCGCATCTTCTTCGTTGCTTCAATCACCATTGTCATTGTGATACTTTGCCAGCCAGTCCGTACTGTACTGCGGCAGCCACCACAGGGACTCCTAGTCATGTTCCCCAAGGACGATGGTTCCGGCCATGGTGATAGTACTATTCATTCACCTCCCAGTTATCAAGACTCAGTGTCTGTCATCCAAAGCGGAACAGTCCCCCCTTCCGCACTCTCGCAGGTCGAACACCCATTCTTAAAGTGTCCCCCAAACGACAGTTGTCCCAACGCCCTCCAATTTGTACTGGACACATGTGATAGGCGCACCATATCTCGTTACGATCGCACTATATCAGATAACTCAACCATTATCAGGTATGCCCCTCGCCGATCTTTACGGGAAAGGGAGGAGGGCAGGCCGGAGGAATTCTTTTTCACGCACTTTACAAACGGCGCGACTGCTTTCAACTCGATCCACTTCTGGACACAGAGCGGAGGGCGGTTGAAGGCCTTGTCTTCGGATCCCACATCAGCAGTTGGCAGGTACCTCGAGGCAAGTATTTTTGTCCACATAGGATTGTCAGTGAGATATATCTAACAGCTCGAATACACAGGTCAACCGTGATGCGGTTTGCAATGCTTGGCTTCTGACATTGGATATGGTCTACTTTTTGCAATGGTTTGTCGAGCTCGGCGATCATAAAGTTGAGCAGTCACTCTCAGAACTTCCCTTCCTATCGGACCATGGTAAGGTAGATCACAAGATGATTTCAGAGTCTCTGCAAACAGTGAGTCAGCCGGGCGCTTACCTGATCTTTCCTTGAAAATCTCTTAATCAGCTGAATTTTTCTCTCTTCTGGATAGTTCGTCTATGCTCACAATGAGCTGACTGTGACGCTCGACACCTTACGACAATGGGAAGCAAGCAAATACATCCCTCATCGCTTCACAGCGGCCAAAGACATCTCGGAAGAGATTCACATTCTTTCATCCCCATGGGCATACTTTGCCATGAAAGCCTCACAGCCAGAGAGCCACCTCCAGCCTGGCAAGCGCTATAACAACCTGCCTGCTTCTTGGATCGTTCTTGTAGCCTATCTTTCATACCCTTCTGTTTTACACTGGTGGTACCGGCTCTTTGATCAGATCACAGCCTCCCAGGAAAGTCTGCATGTCTGGGACAAGATGCCTTCCGCCAGTATACCGTTCCCTATGAAGTTCGAGCCGGCGCTCTTTGATCGTCATTGGAAGTTGGGGGCATAGATCTGCGACTGAGAGTCTGTTGTCTGGTGATCAGTGGTGAGAGGAGGTGCAGCCTTACAAATGAATCAAATGCATATAATCCCGTTGGTCCACTGAACGCGCTGGCCCAACAAGTGGTGCAGCGCAGTGCTCGCTGCAAGCTAGGCAGTCCTCCGTCAGCCGGGAGCCCTTCGCACTCGCAGCTGTCGGTGCCGACCATCATACAGGACTCGTACGACGATTTAGGTTGGATAAACGCCCCCTTTGAGGATGCGTGCTGACGGGGAAACTAGGCAGAGACGTATCAACCAATACGCGACATGCCTCAACGCCACTCGTCAGCGCATGAAGAAGGCGTGACTTTTGAAGTTCCCGCAACGCAGTTAGGGTCTTATCAGCTGTTTTCTCCCACCCAGAAAAGTGTAGGAGTCCGCGGCCGCCGGCACGTGAAGTTTGCACCTCTTTCACACGTCATGCATCGGCCTTGTTGTTGTTGTTGACCTGGCGTATTATCCTTTCTGCTCCGTCACCGTCTGCCCCTTGCTTGTCATCTCCACTGCACTGTCCGTTCCGCCACAGCTCCCCATCGCTTGCCGTAGCATGCCCTTCCCCTTCCATCCCGAAGCCTTCGCCCTTCTGATCGCCACCTTGGCAGAGGACCTTCCCGCCTACCGATTTCTCCAGAACTTCGCCGCTCACCACCGTTTCCCCCCTCTCCCCGTATTTGACACCTTGACTTACGCCGGCCCAAGGGGCGCCCACGCCTTTCAGCATTTGGCTGCACGTCACACGTGCACTCCCGAAGGCCATGTCGATAGACGTCAGTTTCGGGCTGCGAACTTAGACTCCACTCGCTGGTTCCCAGACGACCTGCCCTTTATGAATCCTGTTTATCCTGCTGGCCCTGTACATAATCCTGATGTCCTGAACCATCCTGCCATCCTAAACTCTGACCTGAAGGTTAACTCTTCTAGCTCTCGCCGGTCAAACGGCGATCCCTCTCGAGCGGCTCCTGGTCCTGTCTGTCTCCCTGTGTATGTGGATTGACGACATCGACTAACCTCAGGCCAGCATTCACGAGCTAGTAGAACACCTGACCGCTCTCCGGGACGCCCGGATCCTCCGTTGTCTTCTGGTCCAAATCCTCGAAAAACGACACCACATGCTTGATGATTCCCAAAACCATCATCGTCCACATAGAGGGGTCAGTGCTACATCATCTTTGCCCTTCTTCCGTCCTTACTGACTTCTGTGTCCTCCTAGAGCCGACACAATCAGGTCATACAGGTTCGCCTTCGGTCTTCCTCCTCTTTCCGTAGCTGACGGTTTGACCTCCAGTATGATGAAGAAGGGGCCCGTCCTAGTGTTGTGGGCAGCGAGGCCGGCGATGAAGAAGAAGAGGATGAAGCCAACAGGTAGCCTTATGTCCTTCAACCTAGGGATGTTCTTCAGGAGTCTCGCACCGTGAGTGCCACTTTCTTCCCTTCTCACAGGTCTGCCCCTTCACTCACTCATCCTCTTCTGACCCCCATCAACTTTGAGACGACATTGCTCCCCTCGTTGATGTTGGGGTAAATTAGGGTTTGTTCATCTCCTCTTCTACGCTACTCCTCGCGCCTGATATACCTTGCGCCCCCCGCTATGGAAAGTACTAGAATGTCTAGCCTGTCCCCTGTGCTTAGTAAGCACGCCCCTTGTAGAATATACTGGAAGTATATACCGTCTTCCCCCGCTTACCAATACCGCTACAAGGATTCCCTTTCTCCTATATACTAGAATATACTACGTTTCTTCTGAATCACTGTAGAAAAAATTCAGTGTATAACATCAATAATGCATGGCCTATGGGGGTTGATACTTGAAAGGGTCCGCGGATCGATTGGCCTAGTCAATGAGAAAAAAATGCGAACGGAGAAGAGACAACAAGTTAAAGAGAACAATACAAATTACAAGGTCAAGAGAACGAGGCAAAAGATAGGGGGAGACGACGAAAGACAGTAGGAGACCTAGTTGACCTTGGACGTATTCTTGAAGGGGTAAACTGGCGAGAATGACTCCGCAGTGTCGTCGACAACCTTTTGGAAGGCTTCTTTCCAATTATCCGGGACCAGCCCGAATACCCTAAAGGCAAAAAGCTATTGCCCATCAGCTCAAAGAATAGAGAAGCGCAAACAAGACTCACCCCGAAAATCAGGGTGGCCAGACCCGGGAAAAGCTCCCAAAGACCACGCGCCCTCCACAGTAGTCGAAGCCTCTGGCGGAAGATCCCCTGGTGCCGGAGCTCCTCAAGGACAACGATATCGCCCTCAAGCTCGCTCCGGCGGTTTGACCTCCGCCAAAAACCAAGGAAGACGAGTCCAGCGATGACACTGTGGCGAGAAGAAACGAAGTGAGCATGTGTCAGTCTGGGCAATATAGTTGTTGGTGGACGGCGGCTGCTTACAGGACAATTAATACGACTTGGTCGAAGAAATCCAAGAAGAATAAGATGGACAAAACGGAGGGTATCACAGCGAGTATCAAAACGTCGGCAATAACTGAAGAAGCATAT